GAAAACATCTTAAGCTTCAACTTCTGAAAGCATAGCAAAGAAAAAGGTCTTGTTGGGGAGCCTTCAGATGTTGCTTTTGTTGTGCATTTGTGATTATTTGTGCTCATGATGGTTAGATGCGATCCCATTTTCAACACTGCAAAAGACACCCTCAGCTGATATAACTGCATGAGAAAGGTAGATAGAGATGAACCTTCAAGCTTCCTAGACTGTCCTTCCTGTGCTGACCTATTGATCTTTCTGCAGGGTTAGACTGATACTCTCAGGGTTGCTGGCCTCATTTCCTACTTCCTTCTTCATCCTTACCTCAGGAAATGTGATCTCCTTGTGTGTTTCTCCTATGCACGTGAAAGAGCAAATATAACTCTGAGGCCTTGCCTATCAAGTATTTACTTCCTGTAATAAATGTAGATTTCTTGCTTTCCTTCTCAGAGCCTCAGTGTGAATATATCCGTGCTCCTCCAACAAGGATCCAGTGTTCTTTCTTTTCAGCTTCTCTGTGCATGTTAACTCCAAACACCCAACACATCCTGCCTCATCTTCAGTCAGTGACTGTCTTGTAACTTCCTGCTGAAATCCTGCAACTTTTTAAATTGCAACTTTGGTTGGTTGGTTTTTCTGCTGCTTTTATATATGGCAAAAGAGTGTCCTTCCAGAGGGCAGTAGCAATGGGGGGAAATCACAGAGCATCAAATAAGTAGAATGATCTGTGGGTGGTCCAGTCTACATCCAGCACTAATGCACTATTATTGTGTCAATTACATGTCCCAGAACTCACACACACAACAATCTGGAGAGATGTCTCTGGAAGGATAATGGGGAAGGAATCACACAGGTATCATACAGGGGTGTGTTTTAGAATGGTGTAGAGCATGGGCAGGCAAACTAAGGCCCGGGGGCCGGATCCGGCCCACAGACGGTCCGGGAATCAGCATGTTTTTACATGAGTAGAATGTGTCCTTTTATTTAAAATGCATCTCTGGGTTATTTTGTGGGGCATAGGAATTCGTTCATTATTTCCCCCCCAAAATATAGTCCGGCCCCCCACAAGGTCTGAGGGACAGTGGACCGGCCCCCTGCTGAAAAAGTTTGCTGACCCCTGGTGTAGAGGCTAGATGGATGTACCGTATTTTTCGCTCTATAACACACTCCCAACCATAACACGCACATAGCTTTTAGAGGAGGAAAACAAGAAAAAAAATATTCTAAACGAAACAGTGGATGTATGATTTTTGTGGTTCATGCTGTGGCCACAGACATGTGATCTCACAGTGAGTTTGGGGTAGCCCAATGCAAAAATCCTGAGGATCCATGTGGATCCGTGCTTTGTAACCACGTTTTTGCACCACTGCGGCCCCAGGCAACAATGGGTGCGTGCTTTTTTTGGTGCATGCTGTAGCCATGGACATGCTATGTGATCTGATGGTGAATTTGGGGTGCCCCAGTGCAAAAGTCCTGAGGATCCATGTGGATCCGTGCTTTGTAACCATGTTTTAAGTGGGGAGGGAAGGAAAAGCACTCAAGGGACAAGGAACACATGTGGGGTGGGTGGAGAAGGATGCTGTTAATAATGCAGAAGAGGGGTATAAGAGGAGAAGGCTCTTATAAGAGGAGTGGGGAGGAGAGAGAGACAGAGAGCCTGCTTGAGAAAAACTTTGCTGCTATTTAGCGAGTGGGGAGGAGAGAGGGACAGAGAGCCTGCTTGCTTTAAAGGAGCCAACCGGACAGGAGCCGCTTACACTCGTGTAAGCGGCTCCTCTCCTCTTCTCTGCCGCTTTGCTCCTTTAAAGCAAGCAGGCTCTCTGTCTGTCTCTCTCCTCCCCACTCAGCGGCTCTTCTCCCGCTTTGCTGTTTCAAAGTGAGCCACGGAGGAGGGAAGGAAGGGGAACCATGGATCCCCTGCTCACGACTGCAGCAGATCCCCCTGCCACCCGTAGGCATTCGCTCCATAACACGCACAGACATTTCCCCTTACTTTCTAGGAGGAAAAAAGTGAGTGTTATGGTGCAAAAAATACGGTAAATGTTACCCTTGGTACAGTACACTGGTTTCTAAGCACACCTTTCCCAAGGGGCATTATGGGAGTTCAAGGATGGCAAAATGCTCAAGGGTGGTTCAAAGCAGGGTGAGTGAGAAGTGAGGTCTGGGGAGAGGCCTGAGGAGCAGCTAAAAAGTCTGAGGTGTGTGTTGTGTGCACATTTGGCCTATGGGCCTGAGGTTAGCCATCCCTGGCATAGAAGAAAAAACTGGGCCTGTTCTGACCATAACATACAAATGTCTTCCCTTCTCTGAGAGCCAGTGTGGTGTTGTGGTTAAGAGTGGTAGACTCGTAATCTGGTGAACCGGGTTCGCGTCTCTGCTCCTCCACATGCAGCTGCTGGATGACCTTGGGCCAGTCACACTTCCTTGAAGTCTCTCAGCCTCACAGAGCGTTTGTTGTGGGGGAGGAAGGGAAAAGGAGATTGTTAGCCACTTTGAGACTCCTTTGGGTAGTGATAAAGTGGGATATCAAATCCAAACTCTTCTTCTTCTTCTTCTGGGACTGTGGGGAAGGCATCAGTGATGGATGGCAGGCTTGGAGTGCTGTGCTGGTATTTTTTAAAGGCCTTCTGAGGGCACAAAGCACATCCTATAATTTTGCTCCTTGCTCCTTACAACACCCCTGTGAGGCAGGCTTGTGTTATCAGTCCCATATTGCAGATTGAGACTGAGAGTTTGCGCTTTCCTGAGGCTACAAAGTGCATTTGTGGCAGATGTGAGATTTGAGCCAAGGCCTTGCTGATTCACAACTCTGTTGTTTAGCCACAACCCTACCTTAACTCTGCGGCAGCCTCAATAGCTTTTATTTTATTTTTACTTGTAAGGAGAAATTGGTTTCCAGACTTGTTTCTTTGTTCTAGAGCTCAGGCTGGTCAGAAAGCAGATTAGTATCTAACGCTAGATCTCACTGCAATTTTCAGTAGGTCAGTGAGAGTTTCTGAATCCTAATTGTTTAACTGTAGCAAAAATACAAAAACCCCTTTTCTAAATTAGATTTGCTAAAAGGAAGAAAGCTTGGGGAGTGGGTTGTTTCTGGTGAAAGGACCGTGTGCTCAGTTTAGCTACTGAAAACACGTTCCCGGACTGAGCATTTTCCCAATAGGTACTTAGTCCCTTAATTCTGTAGCTATTAATCCACTTTCTGGAAAGTGACATGGTTTGTGAGGTGACAACGGAGAAGTCTCAAGCTGGCTGTGGCATCGTGAGATGGTAGGAAGCATCTGTCTGTTTGTCCGATAGATAACATACTGCTAGTTCTGGTAGCTGACATCAGGAACAAGGAGGGAAGTCGCAAGGAATGGGATTTATGAGCTCATCCCTAAAGACATAGTGCGCTAAGCCTGGAGTCAAACATTGGCCTAATTCTCACTGCAGTGGTAATTCTGGGTTGTACCACTTCACACTGCAGGTGCCAGAATACACCTCTGTACAAAGCAATTCTCTGAGCTAGCTAGAATTCTTCTCCCGGTTTTTTTGGGGGGGGGGAGGAGGGGGGACTGGAGAGATATGGTGGAGCATTCAATCTGTGAGTTTTGACTTGTCGCCTGAAGTGGTACAGCCCTGATACAAGTTCATCACCTTGGAGCGAACTGCCGAGCATTGGTGGTCATCATGATCAACTACCCACCCAATGCAAATTACTTATTATAACTTATTAATTGTAGCAATTCTACAATTTTGTTTGAGGTTAGATTTGGTACAGGGTAGTGTGTCTGTGTGTGTGTGTGTGTGTGTGTGTGTGTGTGTGTGTTCCTTTTCCAAAGTTATTTTCTAGTCCTTACGTTTTTGCGAAAAAGCTGAAAAGGTTATGGGTAATGGCAAAATGCTTTTTTCACACCGAAAGAACATTTAACAGGCAAAAGCAGTTGCTAAGAGGCCATCTTGAAGATTTTGTTTTCATGCACCATGTTATTACAGGGACGTACCACCTTCAGAAGAACCTCAGAAAAGAAGGAGGGGAGTCCCTTGTTTGTCAGAGGGGTAGCTGGGTAGATTTTCCAGTGCTAGGGGCAAGGGGCAGGCTTCCATGCCCTGCATAATTATTTGCCTGCACCTGGGATTAACAGAAGGAAGGTGGGATTCCCTGCAGTTTGGGTGGGACTTGCACCCTTGGAAACATGCAATACATTTGTTGGTCTTCAATGTGCCTTAAGGCTCTGTGTTGTTTGGTTTCAGGAAGCTAGCAAGACCTCTCTTCTCAAAAGTGTTAGGAGCCTGAAGTTATAGTTTTAGACACACTTGCCTATGAATCAGGCTCCCCGAATAAAGCAATCAGGCTCATTCCTCCTGAGTAAGTGAGCACAGGTTTGGCTGCACATCCATTTCACCAGCAGATTCATCAAGGTGCAAAGTCAGCTTCTGCACATCACACATAAACCCTGCTGAGTTCCATAGGGCTTACTCAGAGGTACCAGAGAGTAAGTCCCATTGAGTTCAGCAGGTCCTACTTTTGAGTAAACCTATAGGGTTGCTGATACACGGCTGCATTTATATGCCCATGTGCGCGCGCAAATATGGGAGTAAATCCCATTGAATCTTTTGCATCTTCCTCCTGAGTAAAAGTGCCACAGGGTCCAGCCGTGCAGCCTTAACTGGGAATGGTGGAAAGGCCAACTTTAATGCCATAAGTCGTTTTTTATTCAACAGGGCAGCACACAAGGGACTCTTTCTTTTCTGAGGTTCTTCTGAAGGTGGTACATTCCTGTAATAATATGGTGCATGAAAACAAAATCTTGAAGATGGCCTCTTAAGCAACTGCTTTTGCCTGTTAAATGTTCTTTCAGTGCCAAAAAGGCACCTATATTGAGGTTCTGATCACTTGAACCTTAATTAAAGCACAAGCGATTTTAGAGGGCAGACGGTGCATCCGCTCAGCCGCTTGATGGCGCTAGTTCTCATGGCCTGCTCTCTTTTCTCTCTCTCCCACAGCTTGCTGGGGAGCCTGCCGGGGGCCCAGGACCATGGCCAGCAGCCCTTTGCCAGGCGCCACCGACCTCCTCCTGTCCGCCTCGTCCAACGCCTTCCCGTCGGACTCGCTGAGCCAGGGGCCGCCCCCTCCGCCTCCACGCGGCGGCCCTCCTCACCCGGGCGCCATGAAGCCCAACCAAGTGGGCCAGGTGATCCTCTACGGCATCCCCATCGTGTCTCTGGTGATCGACGGGCAGGAGCGGCTGTGCCTGGCGCAGATCTCCAACACGCTGCTGAAGAACTTCAGCTACAACGAGATCCACAACCGCCGCGTGGCGCTGGGCATCACGTGCGTGCAGTGCACCCCGGTGCAGCTGGAGATCCTGCGCAGGGCGGGCGCCATGCCCATCTCGTCTAGGCGCTGCGGCATGATCACCAAGAGGGAAGCCGAGCGGCTCTGCAAGTCCTTCCTGGGGGAGAACCGGCCGCCCAAGCTGCCCGACAACTTCGCCTTCGACGTGTCGCACGAGTGCGCCTGGGGCTGCCGGGGCAGCTTCATCCCCGCGCGCTACAACAGCTCCCGGGCCAAGTGCATCAAATGCAGCTACTGCAGCATGTACTTCTCGCCCAACAAGTTCATCTTCCACTCGCACCGCACCCCCGACGCCAAGTACACGCAGCCCGACGCCGCCAACTTCAACTCCTGGCGGCGCCACCTCAAGCTGACCGACAAGACCCCGCAGGACGAGCTGGTCTTCGCCTGGGAGGACGTCAAGGCCATGTTCAACGGCGGCAGCCGAAAGAGGGCCCTCCCGCAGGCCTCGCACGCCCACCATCCTGGAGGGGGCGGCGGCGGCGGAGGAGGAGGCTCCGGCCCTCACTGCCACCCTTTGGGCGCCGTCAAGGCGGCGGTGGTGGGCGTCGGAGGAGGCCTGCTCAGCCCGCACCTGCTGGGCGCGCCGCCGCCGCCGCCCCCTGACCTGCACCAGAAGCGCGGCCGCTTCGACGACGACGAGGAGCTGCAGGAAGCGGTGGCGGCGGCCGCGGCGGCTGCAGCGGCCGTTGCGCACGGCGGCGCCGGCAAAGCGCAACGGAACTACCCGGTCATCCCGGTGCCCAGCAAGGGCTCCTCCTTCGGGGGCGTCCTGCAGAAGTTCCCCGGCTGCGGGGGCCTCTTCCCGCACCCGTACGGCTTCCCCGCGGCCGCCTTCAGCCTCTGCCACAAGAAAGAGGACTCCGAGGGGCTGGGCGTTGGGGCGCAAGGCGGACCCGCGGGGCACAAAGCGGCAGGTGCCGCCCCGACGGCAGGAGCGGGCCTCTCAGGGCTCTTCTGGCCCGGGACTAGGAAGGACGCGGCGGCGGCGGCCGCAGCTTTCTACCCGCCTTTCTGCATGTTTTGGCCGCCGCGCACCCCGGGGGCGCTCCCGGGGCTGCCCACGTACTTGCAGCCCGCTCCGCAGCCGCCCACTTGCACTGCCCTGGGCGGGGAGAGCCCCAGCTTGCTGCGCCAAGCCTTCCTGGACCTCGCGGACCCCGGCAGCGAAGGGGGAGCCGCAGGGCTGGGCACGCCGCCCGCCGCAGCCGCCCCGCAAGCGAGCGGCGGAGGCGGCAGCGGCGGCAGCAGGGACCCACGGGCTTTCGACGGCAGCGAGGCGGCATGTTCTCCCGCGGCGGAGGGAGGCGGCGGCGGCGGAGGGTCGCGGGGCTCGGCGCCTCACCAGCCCCACCTGCTGGACGGGCAGCCGCGGGGCAAATCCGGCGCGTCGTACCACCACTCCAGCGCCTTCCGTCCAGTGGGGGGCAAAGAGGACTCGGAAAGCCTAGCCAAGCTGCACCACCACCACCCGGCGCCGCGCTCCTCGTCCTCGCCGCCGCCCCTCTTGCTGCTGCCGCCCCCCGAGCGGGAAACGGGGGGCTGCGAACGCCCCCTCCAGCCCCCCGGCCACCGCCTGCTCTCCCCGGGGGGCACCAGCTGCAGTTACCCCAGCGAGGAGAGCAGCGAGGAGGAAGAGGAGGAGGAGGAAGAGGACGAAGAAGAAGAGCCGGAGGTGGACGTGGAGAGCCACAAGCTGCCGGAGGAGGAGGAAGCGGAGGAGGAAGCGGAGGAGGAAGAGGAAGACGAGCAGGAGGTGGTGGACCCCGTCGGGGGAGCCGGCCGCTACCTGCAGAGCCGCGGGCTGACGGACAAGGGCGCCTCCCGGGACAGGCCGAGCGGGGCAGCCTCTGCAGTGCCCGCTGCCCCGACGGGGCCTTACCCCGCGGCCTCCTGCCGGCCGGCTCCAGAGGAGGAGAAGTCGGGGGCGCCCCACTCCGAGCAGCTGCTGCTGCCGCCTCCCCCTCCTTCGGCTCTTCCTCTGCCCACCTGCCCCCCGAAAGGAGGAGGAAGCAGCGGCGGGAGCAGCCCAGCGCCCCATCCATCAGCGGAGGAGCAGGCGCCGCAGCCCCCTTACAAAGATGTAAATACCCCCCTCTAGGCTCCTTCGAGCCAATTATTTTTATTGAAATGCACCTCTAGGCTGAGTCGCTTCCAGATGCAGGGAGAGGAAGATGGATCGAGGGGGGTCTTTTCGCAGGGCCCCCGCCCCTTTAGAGCCAGGGAAACGGAACTGGCAAGAAATAGGGCGAGCCTCTCCCGCATCTCCAAAGGCAGCGCCTGCCTTGCCCGTGACACTTTCAAGCGGTTGCGGGTGGCGCTTGGCTCTTGTCTGGCACTCCCCCCGCTCTGCGCCCCAGCACAGCTTTTCTGGGGGGAGAGGGCATGGGGGAAGGGGGCTCAGGAAACGGGGGCCACTATCCGGCCCTTTCCCAGCCTCATTGATTTCAATGAGACCTTTAAACACCTCCTCAGTCTCGGCTTCTCGCCCAATATTTGCTCCAATATTTGCTCGCCCAATATCTGCTTCCAAAGAATAAGGTCTCCCTTAGAAGAAACACCAGTTCCTTCGAGCCTAACTGGGCTTCTTCGAAGGAGGCGGGTGCGCGTTGCCATTTTTGAGGGTCGCACAGAAAAACTAACGCGGGGGGCGCTTTATCACAGGTTTCAGGACCCGCAAGAGCTACAGGCGGACCCGATGCCTCTCCCAGCACGGCGCACAACCCGCTTCAGTCTCAAAATCCCTTGTCTGTGCCTCAATTCCGTGGACTGGATTCTCACCGCAGGCAGATGAGATGGCAAATCAGTTTCTGGGCTGTGCCATTTCAGGTTGAAGGCGTAAGGGAGTACGGGACTGAATGCTCCTGCATATAAAATAATTAAACCAATGGCTCTCACGCAGAAAGCTAGCATGTCAGGGAGGGACCTTCTTGAAACGCTAGCTTTCTATGCGCAGCGGCATTACTATCATCATCATTTAGTCATTTTTTAGTAGTAGTATGAAGAACCACCTGAAATGTCGCGGAGCCCAGAAACTGCTTAACTACCTCATGTATTGTCTGTGAGAATTAAGTGCTTTAGTGCCAGGACACTAAGTTGGTTGGGTCCCAGCGCACGCCTTGTAACAGGAGCCACTGCAGACTCGCAGACGCTAAAGGGCCTGAGTTGGTCCTGTGCATTAACTTCAAGGGGTCTACTCGGAATAGGACTAACATGGGCTACCGCTCCATGCCCTTTTACTTACAGCTCAGGACCCGCCCTCATAATAGGTTCTGCGCAGTTCTGATAGCCACACCTCAATTTTTTATTTTTTACTATTTTTATTTTTATATTTCTAGAGTTGGGAGAGGAGCAGAAAAGCACAACCAATAGGACTAGGGGTCTGGAGCGAGTCCCTTAGGCGGAAAGGAGCTTTTTGGTTCAGAAAATAAGACCCAAGGGTGCGGAGGAAGCACCGAGAGAGAAGCTTTTCGCTCTCTCATAATGCTAGAGTTCTGGAGAAAGGACGTGGATGAGCGGTAGGGCGTCTGCTTTGCAGGCCGGAGGCCCCTGGTTTGATCCCGGGCATGTCCTGCCAGAGCTGGGAGAGACCTCGGCCCGAAATCCTGGAAGAGCCTCTCCCAGTCCGTACTTGAACGAGATCAAACGGCCTGACCCAGTATGTCAGCGATCAAACTGACTAATTAATCTCTGGAACTCGCTGCCACAAGATGTAGCGCTGGCCATTGACTTAAGATGGGAATTTTCTGCGGGATCAGGAAAGGACAAGTCTATAAATGAGTCCTAGTTGTACTGGGTACTGTATGCAACTTCCAAGTTTGGGGCGGCGGGGGGGGGCGTGACTGCCTATCAATAGCTAAGGAAAGTCCAAACGTGTACACGGCCCTGAATAGTGACCCGTGGAAATTAAGGCCACGATCCTCTACTACACACATATCTGGGAGGAAATCCCATGGAACTCAGCGGGGCTTACCTCTGAGTAGATATTATATAGGATTGCGCTATAAATTGGTTTAGAGGGGACCTCGCCACTTTTTAGTAGGTCCCAATAGATGCGTGCGGGGCCCGAGGGTTTGTCATAATCAGGTCTCCACTTACTCTTTTTCGGTCGGCATACACACTGTACTGTACCTTTAAAGCAAATTCGCTGCACCTTCCTTCCCTCAAAGTATTCTGGGCACTGTAGTTCGTTAAGCGTTGCTTTGCGTTGTCACCCTGTGAGGCGTAAACTACAGCGCCCAGAATCCTTTGAGGGAAAGAGGTTGCAGCGAATGTGCCTTAAAAGGTTGATATACAGCGTTGAAGGCAATCCTTAGCTTGCTCTCCTGTTAAGGAGAACGGATCACCTCTCTGGGAATACTCTGGTTCCATGCACCCATTTCCCTGACATCAAGACCCACTGATTCCAACGGCACTTCTTCCGAGGAAGCGCCTTGAGGAACACAGACTTGGGTACACACCCAGAAGGAAAAGCCCCTGGATCAGTTCCACTGGAGGCCGCGAAGCCCAGCTTTCTGTGGCCAACAGAGATAAATCATGCGGTAGCTCAGCTGGTTGAGCATAAAACTCTTGATCTCAGACTGAAATCCATGGGTTTGAGCCCCACATTGGGCAAAAGATTCCTGCATCTCAGGGGGTTGGACTAAATGACCTTTGCAGTCCCTTCCAAGTTTACAATTCTATAATTCTATAGATGCTTCCCCGGAAGCCCATCACTGACTGAGACAACGTCTCCTCACTTGGTTCGCTCCCGCCCGCTCAGGTAGGCTGCGCAATGAACGACAGTGGCCCGGCTTGGATTCCTTAAACTGGACTTAAACTGGTGGTCGTTGCCTTCAACGGGGGAGGGGGCAGATAATAATAATAATAATAAGCACTTCCTTCCACTCTGGGCAGCTTCCACAAAGACAAAAAATACACTAAGATGTCACACATTAAAAACTTCCCTTCAGATGTCTTCTAAAAGTCTGGTAGTAGTTCTTCTCTTTGACATCTGGTGGAAGGATGTTCCACAGGGCGGGCGCCACTACCGAGAAGGCCCTCTGCCTGGTTCCCTGTAACCTCACTTCTCGCAATGAGGGAACCGCCAGAAGGCCCTCGGCGCTGGATCTCAGTGTCCGGGCTGAAAGATGGGGGTGGAGACGCTCCTTCAGGTATACAGGACCGAGGCCAGTTTAGGGCAATTGAGGTCCATGGTGGACATGTGCGAGTTTACTTCCGAGTAAACAGGGCTCACTATCCAGCTGTGGACGTAAGCCTCCCCTCCCCACACCCAGCCCGGACCTGTTTCAACCACAACACGGGGAGTTTTCCCTGCGTTGAAGTAGACGAGGCTTTACATTGCTAGAGCGCGCTGGGGTCGCGCCCCCGGCTAGGATCCGCGCAACCAGAACTAAGGCACGCTGCTTACTCGAAAGTAAGCCTCAATTGAGTCCAAGGGTTCTTCGCTGAAATCCATGGGGTCTTTTATTGCGCGCCCCCCAGCAACCATCCTTAAATGCGACCCTCCCCCTTTATATAAGACTTGTTTGTGGATGTTATTCATCTGTTGCCCCCCCCCCCCGCCTCAAATAAAAAATATCTCAGGGACCCGACAAGCATCGCCGGTCGTCATGTTTGTCCCCCGCCCCCGCGTTTGTTTCTCCTGCTCTATTTTCCTTGCTCGCTGCAAACCGTTTACTTTCCCTTTCCTGTTAATTGCTCATCGATTGCATTAGGTTTGGCTTTTAATTCCTGTTTGTCTATTTGTTTCTCGTCGTGCTAGATCCAGAAAAGCAAGGAAGGGAACCAGGTTGCCGCGTCGGCGAAGGAAGACAACAGCTTCTCAGGCAAGACACGGAGCCGTTGGCTAATTTCTCACGCCGGGGCACACCCGGGAGCACCGTGGAAACGGACAAATGCGCAATTGGGGGTTCCAGATCCGTATTTGTCCTTAGGAATGTGGCTGCTGAACCGCAGATCCATTCTCAGACACTGCACGTGTGAGCGTGTGCGTGTCAGATCACACCGAACTAGATATCGATCTTCTCGAACATTTAATCAGCCAAGTTAACACGACAATTACCAGCAACGACTAAGAAACACTGGTCGTTAGTATTCCTAACAAATGCTAGCAGGTTCTCAATGCCATACAACACGTTTTCCTTTCTCTATGTCCTTGCATGCTGGCTTGTTATCTACTCCCCTCTCAGGTTTGTGGGGTGGCGGTGTTCCTTCCAAAGAGCTTTGCAATATTGCAAAGAATAATAATTAATTCGGGTTTTGTTTTTTGTTTGTTTTACTTTTAGAGAAGAGCAAGGAACACAATTTTTTCATCACAGACGCCGAACATCCAGGAGGGGATTTCTGGAGAAATATTGCAGGTAGGCTCAGAGTGCAGGGGAATCAATGCACACGTTTGCAACCGGACCGGTCCCGTGTTTACTCGGAAGTAAGCCCCGCTGTAAGGCTTCCTCCCAAGTCTGCGTGCGTAAGACTGTGTAGCCTTCAAATTCCTAATCAAATGACTGAATATTTTGTAGAAGGGTAAAAATAAACAACGGTCCCAGATAGATATAATAACTAAGGGAAAAATGCAAAGAGGTGTTAATAGCAATAAGGTTATTAATTGCTGGGCATATTTCAGCAGGAAATTTCGGGAATGGAGCAGGTTACACAATGGAGCCGGCTGGTAGGGAAGAGAAAACATAAAATGACAATAATTGAAATGTTCTCTTTGAAACCTTCCATTAAAAAGGATCACAGCTTATTGCTTTTAATATCTGTCAGAGAGACATTAAAGGTGTTTTATGAGATCCATGGCAACATTTATATTATCTCCGTGATAATGATCTCTACACAAAATGTATAATACATTGACAAAAATTACATTATACAAATTAAATGGAACCACCTTTTACTGATTGCTAAATGTCTCCAAGGGGTTTGGGGGGGCGGAGGGGGGAGGGAAAGACGTGATTAGAAGTTTTGATACTAAGTTGTCTATTGCGAGGGAGGGTTATAAGGAAAAGGGGTTTTTGTTTCTTGGGAGAGGGAGAGAGAGAGAGAGAAAAGGGAATCTAATTTTCCATTTATGTAATGCAAACTGTCTTGGCTTTGACTATTCACGGTTAATTGACTGTCAAACGAGGTTGTTATCCCGAGGCTATGTCTGCAAATTTGCCTGTCAAATGAGACAGAGAGAGCAAGCCTTGGAGAGAGAGAGAGAGAGAGAGAGAGAGAGAGAGAGAGATGCAAGTGTAGTGGGAACTGATGGAGAAAATGGGATCTTCCAGAAACCTTATATAATAGCAGCCAGCACAGTTCTGACTATATATATATATATATATATATATATATATATATATGATCCCTAAATGATCCAACATGGTTATATGCTTGTTCCACTGCAAAAAAGCAAAACAAAAGCAAACCCTACTTTTCTTCAATGGATTTCATATGATTTAAAAGCCCACTCTGAAACGGGTGCTGCGACGAGGGAGGGAAAACAATGGCCTTTTAAATAAAGTGAATAAGAGATGATAAAAAGGGAAATTGATATTAAGAGTGGGGCAAGGGATAATCTAGCTTGATTATTTCCAGGGTATTATGAAATGGCCCACCAGGGAGCCCAATACCAGCAGGAATACATTCCAGAGTAAGTTATTAAGAAAGCTTTGTACGATTCTTGGCTTCCTGCGCTGGAGAAAATTTAGATAAACTGAGATGTGTAGATACATAAAAGTAGTCCCACATCCCTGCATTGTGCACGTGTGTGTGTGTGTGTGTGTGTGTGTGTGTGTGAAAGAGAGAGGACTCCTGCATGTATACATGCAAATGAATACCTCTCTCCCATTTATCTGATTTCTGGCTCCAAAGTACTACAAAGACTGTTTTCTAGAGAAGCATCTGTGTTGAGTCTGTTACAGCGAAAACAACAAAGAATCTTGTACTACCTTGAAGCACTAATAAAACATAAGCCTTCAAGAGCCATAGTTCAACTCCATCAACTATTCTTAGCCCACAACAGCTAGGTGAACCCTCCGGAATCAATGGAATCTTACAAAAACCAGATATTGGGGACATGCAGTGGGAGGGGGTCTGATGCCTTCCATGGGCCAATCATGGGCCTTCCAGAAGCAGCTTGCTGGCCACTGAAGCTAAGTAGACCCCATATCTGATCAGCAGGACTTATGTTTTGGGTCATGGTGCTATCCAACTGCTGTTGGACTTCAGCTCCCATTAGCCCCAGCCAGCATGGGAGTTGGACCAACAACATCCACAGGGCAACACGCTGGCTGCCACCATGGACTTGGAGATTTCAGTGAGATACTCAATTTTATTCATTATTTGTCACATCCTGGCCCACCTCCCCTCTGACTGTTGGATGGATCTAGATGAGTAAAGGTAAAGGCACCCCTGACCATTAGGTCCAGTCGGGACCGACTCTAGCTCATCTCGCTTTATTGGCCAAGGGAGCCGGCGTACAGCTTCCAGGTCATGTGGCCAGCATGACTAAGCCGCTTCTGGAGAACCAGAGCAGTGCACGGAAACGGCGTTTACCTTCCCACTGGAGCAGTACCTATTTATCTACTTGCACTTTGACGTGCTTTTGAACTGCTAGGTTGGCAGGAGCAGGGACCGAGCAACGGGAGCTCACTCCATCACGGGGATTCGAACCACTGACCTTCTGATCGGCAAGTCCTAGGCTCTGTGGTTTAACCCACAGCGCCACCCCCATCCCCCCATCTAGATGAGTAGGAGAGGATATTTTATATATGAATGATCCCTCGTATTCTCACTTGTGTGAGAATGCAAATAATTATTTCAGCAGAGTAATATCACCATCCATGCACAGGTTATCTCTAGAAGCTATTTGGGACAAGGTTACATAACCTTCTAGAACAATTACGATATCCAAGGATGCTTAGGCAGACTTGGATTATTTTCTCCCTTTTAATGTTTCCCTCTTAACAAATAAACCACTCTCAGGCTGCTTAAGTAAACAAGAATATACAAGGTTTACTCACATTAAAAGTCTTGCCAGGATTCAACAGTTACAGTGATGAAAATCAGTCAGGCAATAATCCTTAAATGTTACAAAAGTCCATATTCCATTTCAAAAGGGAGTGTGCTCCCTGGAGGAGAGCTCACAGACAACTTACTCCATTGCAGGTAAGAAGAAGAAGAGTGTGTGCAGTGACAGGAAGAAAAAGATTAAGTTTCTATTGTTCCCCTTCCCATCACACAAGTTTAGAGGATATGCCATCACAGAACCCCATGTTTGTGACTATCTAGCAATCATGCATCTAGCAATTCATGACAGACAAAAGAAAATACTTATTTACACAGGGCATAGCTAAAGTGTGGGATCTGCTCCCACAGCAGGCAGGAATATCCACCAACTTGGGGGGCCGTAAAAGAGGATTGGGCAAACTCATGGAGGGATTAGCTATGAAAGATAATGTTGTGGCTCCACTGTTGGGTGCGTGTGCTTCTGACCTGTTCCTGGAAACTCCAGGAGGGGAGAGTTCTGTTGTCTTTCCAAGAACGGAAGTGGCATGAGTAAAAATGGAGACTTTTCAATTAAAATAATACTAATAATGAAGGCAGAATCACCTCCCACATTAGCCTCTGGGACTATTTGTCCCTTCCCTCATGTGCCTAGTTGTCAAATTGATTGCCAATAGGAAAGGGGATGTGTTTTCTGTTTTTCCACCCAAAATGGTAACGTCTGCCATTGCACCTATCATAGATAGATAGATAGATAGATAGATAGAGAGTATGGCACATTCCATCCCCCAAAAGGGGCAACAATGCCTTCAGTTTGCCCCCTATTCTGGCAAAAAATAAAACAGAGGTTTCGTTTGCTTGCTTGTTTTTGAAACAGTGATCTTTAAAGGTTCCCTGCAAAAACCACCAAGGTGGATCTGCCTCAGATCTGGCAGGCTTAATTCACTGTGGATCTGGCGGGCCTCTTTTGCCTGCAGGCTTCCTTGACTTATGTGCTAGCATGGATTATGCCATTCTACTAATGGGATGCATTAGGGAAGCAGTCTACTAATGCGTCCCATCAGCGCAAGGTTTTCTGCTTGTGCAATAGGGCTTTGCCCTTCTCCCTCTCCTGTATGCGCTCCAGAACATGAGGGGAACCCCCCAGAATAGATCTAGGGGCTGTGCGAGGAAAGAGAGGGAGAACGTTCTTGCTGTGCAATCGGAAATCCTCGCACAGATGGAAGGGTTGCCCTAGCACTATGATGGATTCCACCAATTCTGCAGAAGTATGTACTGAGAAAGGGACGTGGGTGGCACTGTGGGTTAAACCACAGAGCCTAGGACTTGCCGATCAGAAGGACGGCGGTTCAAATCCCCACGACGGGGTGAGCTCCCGTTGCTCAGTCTGTGCTCCTGCCAACCTAGCAGTTCAAAAGCATGAAGTGCAAGTAGATAAATAGGTACCACTCCGGTGGGCAGGTAAACGGCGTTTCCGTGCGCTGCTCTGGTTCACCAGAAGCGGCTTAGTCATGCTGGTCACATGACCTGGAAGCTGTACGCCGGCTCCCTCGCCCAATAAAACGAGATGAGTGCCGCAACCCCAGAGTCGGCCACGACTGGACCTAATGGTCAGGGGTCCCTTTACCTTTTTATGTACTGAGAATGAGCAGGTGTCCTTGGTTAATTGTGAGTGGGGAGGAAAAAGAGAGACCTAGAGCATCAGATAAATACCACTGCTCATCCTGCTACTCTAAGTTTCATTCCTAACACTAGAAAGCAAAAAGGTCACCAAGTGACCAGAAGGGGGGTGGAAATACCTGATCTTATGCCCTTAACAGCAGTTTTAGCTGCATAAACCAGCAAGCTGTTGCTTTTCACAGATGGTTATCCTTCCTTGCTGTGTGTCAAGCTGCTGCTGGGATACGCAGCAGGAGACATAAAGTGAAGCTGCCAAGTCGAGGTAGACGGAGAAGGTTTTTCCAGGTTGTGGCAGGCCTTGTCATGCACGGGGCGACTGAAGCTTCTTATGTTATTCCTTAGCCAGTTATTAGAGAACACATGTAATTTCACAGGAACAGCATAGGGCGGTCAGATTAAAAGTGATGGCAGATATTTCTGCACCTTTGGTTGCTGCACCCTAAGGAACTATAAAAGGTGCAATAGTGCCTGGTTAGAACAGCAGACAAGACCATTGCAATTTATATTCCTGACTCATTAATACTACAATTCTAGACATGCTTACTCAGAAAGTAGGTCTCTTCGAGTGTGTTTTAGTCCCAGTCCTGGTTAAGTGGAAAGAAGACTGTAGCAAGAGGCCTAGCTTTCAATGCAATGGCCAATCTGTCGGAAAGCTCCTAAAAAGAAGAATAAGGAACTTCCCTGCACACAAACAACTAGTGTGCCAGGGAGAAATGCTTTAACTCAGGCACCCCCAAACTCGGCCCTCCAGATGTTTTTGGGACTACAATTCCCATCATCCCTGACCACTGGTGCTGTTAGCTAGGGATGATGGGAGTTGTAGTCCCAAAACATCTGGAGGGCTGAGTTTGGGGGTGCCTGCTTTAACTTACCCTTCTCCTTGACATCCTAGGGTTGCTGTTTTTTTACATGCGGGGATTTATATGCTGTCCAGCACCAGCCTGCAAGGATCAAGCAACATATATTCTGGGTCAAGGACACATAAGAGTAGTGAAGTTTTGCAGGACCAAGGACAGCTCCCTATAAGAGCTTTTAGGGGCAAACACTGAGCTCAGATGGTTGAGCAAGGCAGCTGCACTGTAGATTCTGGTTCCCTGCTGGAGAAGTTTGAGTCCACAACCTCAGGGCAAAGTCAAGTGTCCTCTTTGTCAGGGTGATCTTGGCCTTGGCCTGGGTTAGATCCTGGCAATCCTGTGGCAGAAACCTGCTAATCCATATTTAGAATCGTAGAATTGTGGACTCACTAGGGTCATCTAATGCAACTCCCTGCAACGTAGGAATCTTTTGCCCAACATGGGGCTTGAACCCAGGACCCTGAGATTAAGAGTCTCATACTCTACCAGCTGAGCTATTTGAATACTGTATTTTCCCAGGTATAACACGCTCCCATGTATAAGATGCCCCCTTTTTAAAGCCTCCAACTGATGGTCCTCTCTCTGGCAGAAGACGCCATGCACCCGCCCAATTGCCCCAGCAACAGCCAATCAACAACACAGCTTGCCACAGCCACCATTAAAACAACCAGTAGCCACTGACAAGCTCCGGCTCACGCCAGTAACCAAACCCAAGTCCCACCCCCCAAGGCACTACTCATGTATAAGACGACCCACAATTTTTCACATTATATTTTAAGAAAAAAAGCTTGTCTTATACACGGAAAAGTACGGTATATTTGTTTTTTGTAAATAGATAAATATTTGTTGATATGGAGAGGGGTGGTTAGGGGGGTGAACGACGGGGTGAACAACGGGGTGAAGTAGTAAGTTATGTTTTCTCTGGGTTTATGATCTTTCCAAAGAGAGAAAAGTTTTTATTTTGCAATCTATACTTGTAACCCAGACATTGCGCATGAATGGGGGGGGGTGAATAACTTTCTTGTACTTGGACCTTGCCCCCCCCCCCAGTGCTGCTTATGTCTATAGAGGCCCCACACCAACTCAAAATTGCATCTGGGGTCTGCAAGGCACTTTTTGCCATGGGCAAGATGGTCTCTATTTGCAAGCAACATGACAACCTGTAAAACGTCCCCCTCTTGCAAGGTTTATTAAATCACTCCCCCTCCCTGCGGAAAGAAACCCTGCACTGTACATCAGCGTGATATCTTCCATTGCAAGGCTAGAAACTTGTGGAGAGTAACAGAAGCACCAAATCACACATCTCTTCTCCGTAATGATATGAGCAGAGGTCCAGTTCATAAGCTCAGTCTCCTGGAAGGAGTCTCCAGCGTGTGCTGGGCCCGTGGGTAACCCTTGAAACGCGGTCCAGGACCCGGGCCAGAATCCGAAGGTTCTGCTAGGAGTCAGTCCAACAGGGCCAAGGCAGGAAACCAGGCAAGAACAGGTACAGGATCTGGCATACAGCAATGTTGCTCCTGGAACCTGGGGCAGGGTCCGTCAGCCTTTTATCTTTGTCGGGGTAACGGCTGGTCCTGATCCCCCGGCGACTCACCTCCCTGTCTTGCCTGAAGGCGAGCACTCCTCCTGCGAGTACTCAGGCCTCTCCTTCTCTCAGACCTTAGTCTCTGCAGCTCGGGAGACGTTGGTGGGTTACTAGACCCAGGGGCCACCTCAGCCTCCCCTGACCCAACTGGTAGTGGAGCAGCTGTAAGTGATGGCCCAGCTGAAGGCAACGAGGTCATCCCCGCATCTGGAGCCAGGGCAGGATCAGGCCCCTGACTCGGCCCAGCTGGTGTTTGTTGCAGGGGAACCTGTGCAGACTGGGACTCTTCAGGATCAGGCCCCAGACTTGGTTCAGATGATGCCTGAGGCAAAGGATCTGGTGCAGACTGAGACTCCTCTGGTTCCGAGTCTGAGCCCGAGTCCCAGGCCATCACACAGCCAATGTGAACAGTGCTAGGCCCAATAGACTGATGTTCTGGTTCTTGTTGAAGGCACCTTCATACACTTCCATGGTCTCAAGCTTTCTGAAACAAGCCCTGATCCAAAGTCCAACCCAATAAAGTGATCCTAAGCAGCTCCATAGAGGTCCATGGGTAGAGGAATGCTTTAGAACAGGCATCCCCAAGCTCTGCCCTCCAGATGTTTTGGGACTACAACTCCCATCACCCCTAGCTAACAGCACCAGTGGTCAGGGATGGTGGGAGTTGTAGTCCCAAAACATCTGGAGGGCCGAGTTTGAGGGTGCCTGCTTTAGAACCTGGAGTTCCAGGCCCCCTGTAAATGGAGTTGTTTGATCATGAACATAAGTCAAGGGATCGGGTGGGGTTGCCAGTAATTTCCTTCACCTCTCAGCCAAAAAATAATATACAAGGACCAGCTAAATCCTACTGCTTTTTATAAGCGTCCTTTTTTCTCCTGCAGTATTGAGCTTTTATTTGTATTTGTATTTTGAATTTTTTAAAAAATTGCACCGGACAGTGACCTTGTGTTCCTCACACAACATCCTGGAATGAAGTTTAGCAACCATGTTTCTGAGCATAATGGAAATGCTGGCACCACGTTGGATACATCTGGTTTTACAATTGCATTACTACAATAAATATCGAGAAGAGATCACAAATGTCACTATTGAATATGCATCATACGCAATAATAGGATTTCTGCAAAGGGCAGATTTAAGTGTACATTGATCAGTGGAAACTAGGAATAAACCAGTCCCTGTAAATATATAGAAAAATCAACAAATCTAAAGTTCATGTTTTAATAATATCTCATCATCTAATATTCTCAGATGACATTGGCTCATTTATATATTGTCCTTTGTCCAAAGAGCTCAGAAAGGTGTGTGTAGAATCTTCCGATTTTATCCACCCAGCAGCTAATAATAATAATAATTATTATTATTTTATTATTTATATGGCTAGGTTGAGAGTTGTTGTCTAGCTTCATGGCTAAGCAAGGATTTGAACTCAGGAATTCTCAGCCTACACAGAGCACTCTGATTTCTTCTGACTGCCTTTAATCTCGTACAGAGTTACTTAATACACAGCTAATTTAAGTCTGCATGTTTCAATGAGTTTACTTCATGTTTAACTGTGGCCTGCGGCTCTTCCTGCTTTTGATGAAATGTTTTGCATTTTCCATTTTATCGAGTGAATATCTTGTCAGCAAGCAGGATCTAGCTGCCCCCAAAACCCTTACAGGGCATTTTGACGGATGGGAGGGGGTCACATACCTGGCAATCACCTGACCTCGTTGTGACATCAGGTGAACGATTCTCCTTTACCTGCATGGATTGAAATCAAACCATGCAGGTAAGGGCTCAGGGCTTTGCCAGTACCATTCACCGGCTGATTAGTAGTGTCTGCAAACCCCTGTTCCACTGTCAGCACAGTTTGAATTGGTGCCCACATGGACCAAGGCACTGGTGTCTGCAGGCATAAACCCCACTTTTAGAAGGGATCTGCATCTTTATCCACTCAAAACCTCGTGATATATATGAAATCAAGTGTACAACAGGTGGACATGTCTTTGGGGAAATGGCATTGTGCAGTTTAAGACACCGACTGGACTGAATTAAGCCTGAATTAAGCTGGTGGTTGCCCATCACTGATCTATCCTGTAGCTCAGGCATCCCCAAGCTCGGCCTTCCAGATGTTTTGGGTCTACAACACCCATCATCCCTGACCACTGGTCCTGTTAGCTAGGGATGATGGGAGTTGTAGTCCCAAAACATCTGGAGGGCTGAGTTTGGGAATGCCTGCTGTAGGTCGTGATTTTATTTATTTATTTAGACAATTTATCTATTATGATTGCCTCTATGTGGTGTACAAGTGACTCAACAATATAATAAAGATAACAATTTGTTAACAATTTGTAATATGCCTGCTGAAATTAACATCTTTGATGGGGTATGCACTAAACATATTAGATACACTAGTGTGTACTAAATATATTAGATATACCGCTATCTGTATGTATATACACCATCCTGTAAGGTGGGGTTTATACATTTGTTTGACAATTATTGTACACCAACAATTTTGCGCATGAATAGTGTATATGGTTTATAGAGCTGCCTTGTATTGACAGATGTGGTCCATGTGCTGCTTCCCAGATGTTGTTGGACTACAATTCCCAGCATCCCTGACCACTGGCTGGGTTGCTAGCTGGGGCTGATGGGTGTTGGAGTCCAACAGTAGTCAACAGGCATCACATTGGCTATCCCTGGTTCAGACAGTACTCAGCCTGTCACCTGCCTCTTATAAGGCAACTTCCTGTGTCCCTGATGTAATCCCTACTCTCTCTTGGTTGGTTACCCCATGCCTCTGAGTTGGCCTTTACCAGGGATGAAGTCTTTAGTGCAACAGACCCTGTCCTGTGGAACTCCTTGCCAATCATCGCTGGGTGGGAGTTATCCCTGTTTCTTTTAGATGTCTTTTAAAAAAACAGTAGCACTCAGACAGGCCTTTGGAATTTGAAATGTCTGTACCAACCAGCGTTTATTGGCAAGACGCTGAGAGTTTTTAACCCATGTTATTACTCTGTGGTTTTTTCCATTGTATGCTGCCTTGATGTATTTCCTATGCAAGTGTGGTTTGTAAATATATTAGTTAGTTAAATATAAAACTGCATTTAAAATTGGGAGGCGGGGCTTCATCAACTTCAAGCGCTGATATTCTTTTCTGCACACCTTCAGAAAAAGGAGGGTAAACAGATACTTTTTTTAAAAAAAAAGTGGCATTTCTTCACTTTGAGATTTAATATATGTATGTCTTTCTCAAGCCAGATCTCTGGCTAAATTCGAATGAACAAAGACTGGAGAGTCTAGGCATTTGCTGGTGCCATAAAACCCTTTTTTGTAATATCTCCCCCCCACCCACAGCCATTTGATGAGGATTCAAAATGAACCTCTGCGTCTGATAAGAAGCAGCATACATGTAAATCAATAACTTTATATTCCTCTCTTCATTAGGCGAACCCATACAGGAAACCAATTCACCTCATTCTCTGAAAAAGGATGTCGAAAACATGGGAAAAGGTAAAAGAGAGAGAAATTATATATAGATAAATAGCTCTCGATCTATCGCTGCTATGTGGCCCTTTGTTTTAGCAGCAATACAAAGACAATTGAGGGGATTTTTCTTTTCTTGTCTTTTTTTTATTCTCCGCCATATTTTAAGCTTGACAAGTAACATATGAATAATATATGGACCTTTTGTGTGGCTATAATTGAGATTAATGCATATGTATCAATCAATACATGACACTGTACTATAATACTTTAAAATAATATATTGCATTGATTTATATTCATGGATTTCTGCACAAAATCTATCCTGGGCCTAAGCAAGACTTTCCACCATGGACACCCTTAAATTGCCACCACCAACACAGACAAGTCTTTGTAATAATGGATTGCGTGGATAAGCAGACTCTCAAGATTTATTTCAGCTGATTAGTAGAAAAATATCTCCTTTCCTCTTGGTCTAGAAGAACTTCAGAAGGTCTTGTTTGAGCAGATAGACTTGCGGCGGAGGCTAGAACAGGAATTCCAGGTCCTGAAAGGAACCGCCTCTTTCCCTGTATTCAGTAAGACAATCATTTATATTATTAATTTTTCTTACTTTATCTCTGTATATTTAAGTGTATGTGAATAACACTCAAGAGGATCAATTGGTACCAGAGGAGGGTGTTACTTTAGGGGCAAATAGGACCATTGCTGTCAACTTGCAGATTTGAAAATAAGGGACCAGCAGCCTCGAAAATAAGGGATCAGCCGCCAAAATAAGGGATCAACAATTACTTTGATGAAATACATATTTTGTTGCGGGCAAATGGCTTTAGATACCTACTAGGTCCATAAATTACCATATAGCATATATTCAACACAAAAAAACAGCAACAATTTGTTGTTGGCAAAGGACAGCTGGACATAGAAAGGGCCCCATTACCTTCAGTGGCTTATTTAAGGGACATCATCAATAAGGGACAGCAGCGGGACATGGTGCTGGGATAAGGGACTGTCCCACCAAATAAGGGATGCTTGACAGCTATGAATAGGACACTGCCCCACCAAGCTCATTCTGCCCTCAAACAGCCTCCTACCTGCCTGGTGTCTTGCCGAATCCAAGGTGTTTTTTTAAAAAAAGAGATTCAGGGGCAATACAAAACCCAAGTGAGTGAGAAATTTTAAGATTTTATTCTAAACGGAAAGCAATATACACATTACCAAGCAAGCACTTCAAGCTGCCACTTGGAAACCCTCAAGAAGTGGCGAAGTGACTCCCCCAAGTAGTCTCAGGTTGCACAGACCCACGGCCGTCAGTCCGTCCACCAGCTTCTCAGAACTCAGCCCAAAGTCATCTGATTTATAGGTAGCTAACCTGTTAGCCTGCGTGGCTTGCCTGACTGGCTAGTGCTACTAGCTACATGCAGATTATTCATTAGCTGCCTCTCCCACTGCCTCACTTTCTTCAAACAATGTCCAACATCAAAAGAAGGTACCCAGTAGTATCACATCCTTCCCTTCCAACAGATTAGGGCAGGCTTCCTCAAACTTGGCCCTCCAGATGTTTTGAGACTACAGTTCCCATCATCCCTGACCACTGGTCCTGCTAGCTAGGGATCATGGGAGTTATAGGCCATAAACATCTGAAGGGCCGACTTTGAGGAAGCCTGGGTTAGAGCAGCGGTTCTCAACCTGTGGGTCCCCAGATGTTGTTGGACTACAACTCCCATCATCCCTGAGCTCTGGCCTTGCTAGCTAGGAGTGATGGGAGCTGTAGTTCAACAACATTTGAGGACCCACAGGTTGAGAAAGGCTGGATTAGAGTATTAAAGGCTGTTCTTCAGCCATCAAAGAGTTTAGAGAGGGGGAAGCAAACAGGAGCGGGAATGATAACCATGTTAGAACACTAGCTCCTCAAAATACAATTATCTTCCGTATCAATATACCTGGCTTCTTATCTACAGCCAGTCCAGGGGTGGTGGTGTTGGTCTCCTTCCTCCTCCTCAGTCTCAGTGTTGCCTCAGTATTATGGACTGGTTGGACGCAGAGGAATGGTGGGAGGAACCAGGTGAGGAACCACCAAAGCAAGAAGGCTTAGAGCACAGGAATTGGTGGTGGGACAACAATGAGTGGTCAGAGAGAGAGAGGGGGAGAAGACTAGGAAGAAGAGGTGTTAGAAGCTGAAGAGCTAGCAGGACTTAAGTGAGCAGGGAGAGTCTGTGGCAGAGAGAAGTCCAGAATCAGAGGCAGAAGCTGAAGCAGGAGAGGAGGGAAGCCAAGATGGGTCAGGCTTGTGAAGAGGCATGGGTGCCTCCTCCTCTTGCTGTGACAAGCTCCCCTCCCCTCTGGTCTCCCAGAACCAGAAGAGGCATGAAAAAAAGCAGAGGAGAGGTTGGCTTCATGCAGGCGCAGTCTCCGATTGCTTGGGAAAAGTCTTGGAGACAATGAACTCAAGTGGCTGTGGGGAGGTGGGGACCTTCAGCCTCAGCAACTGATCCATGGGGGCAAGACCTGCTGGGGTTGAGCTGCTGTGCTCATGCCACCAGGTCTGTGCAGATCACGTTCTTGCTAATAAAGAGTTAACTCTAGTTTGAACAGTGTGATTTACTGCCGGCTGACTCCTGACACCCTTGTAGTACTCGCCTGGGAAGAGGATGGGGACAAAACTGGAATTGGCCAGCTCCACCTGTGATTAGTAGGGGACGCGGGAGCGCTGTGGGTTAAATCACAGAGCCTAGGACTTGCTGATCAGAAGGTCGGTGGTTCGAATCCCCGCAATGGGGTGAGCTCCCATTGCTCGGTCCCTGCTCCTGCCAACCTAGCAGTTCGAAAGCATGTCAAAGTGCAAGTAGATAAATAGGTACTGCTCCGGCGGGAAGGTAAACGGCGTTTCCGTGCACTGCTCTGGTTCTCCAGAAGCGGCTTAGTCATGCTGGCCACATGACCCGGAAGCTGTACGCCGGCTCCCTCGGTCAATAAAGCGAGATGAGTGCCGCAACCCCAGAGTCGGTCACGACTGGACCTAATGGTCAGGGGTCCCTTTACCTTTACCTTTTGTTGTTGTTGTTTAGTCGTGTCCAACTCTTCGTGACCCCATGGACCAGATCATGCCAGGCACTTCTGTCTTCCACTGCCTCCCACAGTTTGGTCAAAACGTTTACCTTTACCTGTGATTAACTCTGGCTCCACCTACTGTCTGCCTCCCAGCCTTCTCCCCTATCTGTTCTCAGTGGGCACCAGTCACCACCACAGCGGGTACAAAAAATGTTACAGGTTGGGGACTTTACCCCAGCTGAGCCAGGAACCTGCTAGCTGAGCTGAAAGTTCACTGCATCCTAAACTGCTCATCCCAGTGAATCTTGCCATAGGATCGCCACCTTAATTTATACCATACCTTTCTAGTACAAAAAAGTACCTAAAAAACCAGAACGACGTAGTTCAAAAGAGAACGTGCAATTTAGAAAAGCAGCAATGTCAAGTGAACAAAACTGAGAACAGTTTAAGAAATGACAACAACAAACAGCTGCGGTTCAAAGAGCTTGGGGAACAAGGCTGGTTTCCAAAGTGCTGTCGTACATTACCTTACCTGCCAGGTAACGTTATCACGGCAGCTTGGCATTCAGCCATCTGCATTCCCCTATGTTTCCTTTTGGTACCACAGTAAAATTTAAGACTTGCCTCCCCTTCATGTAACTAAAGCCCGCAATGAAACCACACAAAACACAATCTGAATGAAAATGGATAGTCATGTGCTGCTGACCAAGGAAGTGGCGGCGATGGCGTTCGCCAGCTTGAAGAATGTGTGGTCTTGCTGCACCACAAAGCAGTGGTCAATTTTGCTCCAGATTAAAATAGAACGTAAATACCAGGCTATAAACAACTATGGAGAACTAAGGAGTGGGAACATTTAATGCCTGCTTTATAGTTTTGCAGCCTGGTCCTAAGAGTATTGACTCGGGTGCAAGTCCCATAATTGGTTGGGACCTACTCCCAGATTAGGATTAAGTGTGGATAAATTTGCATGTACTTACAGCCAGGTGCTATATGCATTTACTTGGACAGAGATCGTGCTGCAATTATACTGAAATTCTGTACAAATCAAATATCTTTAATACGGTCAATGACCAGCAAGGAAATTCTGTACACATTTACTTGGAAGTAAACCCTATAGAACTTCATGAGGCTTTGTTCCGGACAGATTGTGTTCCTAGTCCATTTTACTCAGGTTAGTGTGCAGAGAATTGTGGGTGAACACGAGCAGAACATTTTAAGGGCATCTGAAGTTATTTAATAAAGCCCTGATAGCACAGTGATATTTTAATGCCCTGGAGTGATGAGCTCTGAATTTTCTGTGAGCTACCAGCATATCAGGGAAAAGCCATGTATGGTGGTAGGTCTATTGGCTAGCACCTGTAACATCACTTACAGCCGACTCTGCCTGCTAATCCCCAAAGCAGTTTGGCAAGTTCTGGACGTTTGGGAATTTGAGGGACAAGATAAAGCACTGGTCTTCAACCGGTGGCCTTGACCCAGGCCACATCCTGATCCAAACTGGGTTGCAACAGCAGCACTACCACCATACAAATATATAGTAAATGATTATGAAACGGTTCCCCAAAGGCATGTTTTGGTAAAAGGTGTGTTTGAAAAGATTGAAGACTACTGGGATAAAGGATTAATGCATATGCTTATAAATGCACACACAGGACCGCAAAATGTTTTTTAAAGGCACAAAATGAGCCCAGGACACAAGGCAGGGGTGAGATGGATAGCTTGATTCAGCTTTGATTTTAATATATAGAGAGACACTTAAGAAATGCTTGAAACACAGAGCGGGTGTGATCTCCTTACCTTTGTGGAAATCCCCTTAAACTACTGTTTTTAAAAGAAATCTATGTCAGGCATGCTTTGGCTAGATCATGGGGTTTTGTTTTTAATCCTAATCTGTATCCGTATTGGATTTACAATTGCCTTTATATATGCAATTGTTGTTTTTTACTGTTATGTCACTTTGAGATGTTTCATGGGAAATGATTTGCAAATGAAATAAATGACAAAAAGGGTAAGATTTTTTTGGGGGGGGACTTGTGTGTTTCATTAAGGCTCCCCCTTGCCTTTTCACACTTCATCAAAGGCAAGTTTTGAATTCAGATCCACATTGTGCCTGAGAAGTCTGCTCAGACCATTGCTAAGGATATCTTTGGCCTTTGCAAGCTATAGGTGCAAGGTGTGCTGCTAGCCATGCTCAGAGCCATTGCTTGGATTCAGACATCTTTTCCAAGCCTGGACAGGGTGTCACATCTAGAACCCTAATTCTGCCTTCTGCATGTGGAAATCCACACAGAATTCCAAGGGCTGCTAATGAAGGAATCCCATCTTATCTTGCAGAGTGGATCTGCAGATCGTTCCCACTCGTGCAATACATCGGAATAACAAACTTTTAATGTTGTGTTTCTATTCTACTGATTTTGTTTTATTTATTTATTTTAAATCCTTTTGCCCTGTAATGATTCTTAATGGACCTTTCTTCTTTTCCCCCCATGTAGATAATTTTCAAGACCAGATGAAGCGGGAGTTGGCCTACAGAGAAGAAATGGTTCAACAGTTACAAATTGTAAGAGAGTGTTCCCTGCTAAAAAAATGTTAAGCTCTATGTGCTATTGTGGCTTCTTTTCTTTTCCTTTCTTTTCTTTTTAAACTCACTTCATTTTTTGAAATCATCATCATCATCATCATCTTATTAGTATGCCGCCTTTCCTTATTTGAAACTATGCTCAAGGCGGCTTACAACACGACAAGATTTACATAATTACCAACATAACAGAAGTCATAAACAATAAATAAAACACATCAAAAAGTACACAACCAAATGGAAACAATTTCCACGTAAACCATAAGCTCTAAAACTAAAGATACAACAATTATATCAATAACAGCAACAAGCTCTCTCAATCTCCTGTGAACAATACTCCAGCCCAAGAATCTGTTCAACAACCTCAGCTTTTGTAGCTGGAGTCAGTCCGCACTCCACTCTCCCCGGCCAGATGGGAAAAGGCCAGCAAGGCAGGGTGCAGGTCTTCCAGGGCTCACAGCCAAGATGGTCTCGTTTAAAACAACACAGATAAAAATTAGAAACAATTTAAAAGCAGCCGCAGTCCTTGTGAAGCCTGTCAGGCCCCACCCCGAGCCAGGTGGAAAGAGGCAAGGGCAAGGTCCTTCAAGCCCTCAGCAGGCAGTCCTCCTCTTAAATAACTTGGAAAGATGGTTAAGAATGTGGGCGGGCAGGTCATTCGTATAATAATTTGAGGTGGGCTGAGCATAGGAACCCTGAGACCCCTTCTGTGTGCAAAGCATTCTGATACATGGATAGTGAGCTCCATTCTCCAAGCATGGAGATCCTTAGGTAGCCAAAAAAGCACAAAGCAAAAGAGGATGGTTCAAACGAGCTCTGGTGGAACCCAAAGCTTTGCAGAAGTTCTAGATAGATAGATAGATAGATAGATAGATAGATAGATAGATGATAGAAGGGGTGGGGTGGGGACTTAAAACCCAAGGAGAACTGAACGAGGCCAGTGAGCACAGAATGCTGGTGGACTTTTAGATGGGGAAACTGGGGGGAAAAAACACATCAGAAAGGTCATAGCTTAGTAGTACAGCATCTGCCTTGAATTCAAAGGTCCCCAGCATTTCTAGAGTAGAGCTAGGAATGTCCCCTGAATGAAACCACGGAGAGTGGCTGCCCAGTCATTGTAAACAGTGTTGAATCAGTTGGACCACTTGTTTGATCTGCTGCTGGGCTATGGTGCTTCTCAAGTTAAATCAGTAGGTGCAATACTGATTTGGGCTAGGATTGGGTCATCATCAAGTTGGCGCAACTTGCAGGAGAAGTCTTCTGCAACCCAGAAAGCATAATCAAGTTTACCTTGTAATTCCAAACAGTCTGCAGATGTTGATGGGAACATTTAAGAGCTAGAATTTTCTCTCAGCAACATATCAATCTCCCAGCGCCCCCTTCTGCCTCCACCTTATCACTACACCCTCCAGCAGAGGAGGGAGTTTAAAGCTTGCAATTAGAAAAAACAACCCTGGATCAATAAGGTTTCATTTTCAGCTTTTGTCCACCGTGGACTTGTAAAGATTCTTTTTTACGATTTCCTGAGCAACTGACTTCCTTGGCTTCCCCAATAATTGGGAAATTGGCAAGACAGTCTCTCTTCTCCCCTGTACATCCTTTGCCACAGGAAATGATATGCTCTCAAACTAAAGCAGGCAATGAACATGAGGTGAGGCTGCATATGAGGACGACTTCTTGCAAGGAACAATCTCTTCCCGTGTGGTGTAGTGGTTAGAGTGTTGGGCTGAGAGCTGGGAGACCAGGGTTCAAATCCCTTCACAGCCACAAAGTTTCAAGTGTGGCCCTAAGCCCAGATACTGTCTCTCAGCCTTACCTCACAGGGTTGTTGTGAAGACAACATTGGGAAGTGGAGAACCACGGAACACCTTGAGCTCATTGGAGACAAAGGTGGACTTTATTATCATTTGACTGTGTATGTTTTGGGGAGCGTGGATTCCTTGAGGGTGCAGTTCAGAACATGGTTAAAGGTAAAGGGACCCCTGACCATTAGGTCCAGTCGTGGCCGACTCTGGGGTTGCGGCGCTCATCTTGCTTTATTGGCCGAGGGAGCCAGCGCAGAGCTTCCAGGTCATGTGGCCAGCATGACTATGCCGCTTCTGGCAAACCAGAGCAGCGCACCGAAACGCCGTTTACCTTCCCGCCGGAGCGGTACCTGTTTATCTACTTGCACTTTGACGTGCTTTCGAACTGCTAGGTTGGCAGGAGCAGGGACCGAGCAACGGGAGCTCACCCCGTCGCAGGGATTCGAACCACCAACCTTCTGATCGGCAAGTCCTAGGCTCTGTGGTTTAACCCACAGCGCCACCCACGTCCCTCAGAACTTGGTTACGAGGGAGTAAATCCCCAAGGGAGTGGAATAATGACTGACAACTGGGAAGCGGGGCCGAATGCTGGGCGGAGTTAGTGTGAGTGACAGGTAGAAAGTGCAAAATGGAAAAACAGCAGTTGAAAGGGAGGAAGTGGTTGAGAGAGACAGGAATGAGATCATTGAGAAAAAGAGAATGAAAATATATGTAAAAGTTAGTTAGGATAGGTCAGAATTCCATATAAAATGACTACTTATTGTGGATGTTAAATATATATCTATGTTTTAACCGCCTAGGCCCAAAGCTGCTATTTCCATTGGAAAGAAAGCTCCCAGTGATGCCAGTGGGAGCTTTCTCTCTCTCTCTCTCTCTCTCTCTGTATATATATATATATGTAATCCAAAAAGCAGCTCTGATGAGGATTTTTTCTTCGGAACTGTGGCAGTGGATGCGGAAGGGCTGAACTCTCCCTTCCTACTCACCACAGTCTCCACTCGGTCCTTCTTACACCTGCTAGCTTGGCTCTTAAAAGAAATTAAATACGCTAGTGCCTATGATGCAACTTGCAGACTGACTGAACATCCGATCACAGGGGAAATAGAAATATTGATGATGAAAGTGAAGCAGAGCCCTTTTTTGGCAATGTGGAATAGATGTGGGAGAGAGGGGCTTGATCAGGGGGCTTTATGATTTGGTTTATGATTTGGGGTATAGTAGTAGTAGTAGTAGTAGTAGTAGTAAAAATAAAATAATAATAATAATAATACATTCTATTGTTTATGCCCTAGCCACTCTGGGCAGCTTCTAACACATATGAAAACATCATAAAACATTTAACATTGGAAACTTTGCTTTTGGTTTTGTCTGTGAAGTATTGGGAGATGCAATAGTTGCATCAGATTCTGTCTTTCCCCTGACGACTCCACGGGTGAAGTGGAATTTCCCACGGGGATTTTAGGTGTGAACACAGGGGAACACACTTTCACAAGAACACACAGCAGGGTCTGAGATGCTCCACAGACCACCAGGTGTCCATGCAGACTGTTCTAGAGACATGGGCTCACAGCACACATTGAAAGCACTATGGTACCACAGTCGTGGCTTCCCCCAAGGAATTATGGGGGCTGAAGTTTGTTAAAGGTGCTGTGAGTTGTTAGGAGACCCCTGTTCCATTCCCACAGCTATAATTCCCCAGAGTTGTTTATCAATCAATCCCTTTTCCTGGGGAACTCTTAATTTTGGAAAGCTGGATTTTTCTACTTCAGAGAACTTTTTCTTTCTTCTCCTGAGGCAGAAGTGACGATTTGGTCTACTAATTTATCCCATACATGTATCTGCTCAGTTGGTTTCTTTTTTTAGCAATTGCTTCCTTGTAAATTGCTTAGTTCTCTTTCGTTGTGGCAAGCGTACCACAGCAAGGAAGAATGTGACATGTGAAGCTGATGTCTCTGTGTGGAGTTCAGCTGACCCACCAATTCCCTGGGTCTTCTTTAAGCTGGGAGCAAGCCCCATTGATTCAGTAGGGTTTGCTTCTGAGAAAAGATGCATAGAATTGTGCTATGAGAAAGCCACTCTTTTTTCCCTTAACATACTCTGTATTACACTGACAAAAATACTTGCCTGCCTTACAGGGCTCCTGTAAGAATCACCTGGGAAGCATCTGGCTTAGCTTTGATTTAAAGTTCTGTCTCATCCTCACATAGAGGCATTTTCTATATCTTTGCAGATCCCCTATGCAGCAAGCTTGATCAGGAAAGAAAAACTCGGCACGCATCTCAGCAAAAGCTAAAGGGCAAGGTGAGTGGTAGTCTAAGGTGGGCTGAGGCTGTGTGCCCAACACACATTTAAGCGGCACACAAAACACTACCAAACCATTCTACATTCTAAATCTTATATTAATAATCCAAAAATTGAGAGAACGAGGTACGAGATCTACTACAAAAGCCGCAAACAGAAAACTCATTCAAATTGTGTCCAAAAGGAAGATTCAGTCTTTAAAGTTCCTTTAGCCAGGCTCCTGTAGATATCAACAAAGGTAAATTTGATCAAACAAAGTGTCGGCGATGTTACGCTCAAGGTTGACACTTCAATACCTACAGGAGCCTGGCTAAAGAAACTTTAAAGACTGAATCTTCCTTTTGGACACAATTTGAATGAGTTTTCTGTTTGTGGCTTTTGTAGTAGATCTTGTACCTCGCTCTCTCAATTTTTGGATTATTAATATAAGATTTAGAACGTAGAATGGTTTGGAAGTGTTTTGTGTGCCGCTAATGTGCTGCTTACTTCATACTGGTCTACAACGAGAATTGGCAGCATAGGTTCATTTCTTCAACACACATTTAAAGCACATGACTTCCTGCAAAGGATCCTGGGAGCTGTAGTTTGTTAAGGATGCTGGGGATTGTAGCTCTGTAGGGGGTGAACTACAGTTCCCAGGACCCTTCCCAAGGGAGGAGCAATATACTTTAAGCCTTTGTCACTGCTAACTGCCGCTGTGGTGGTGGTTCTATTGGAAGAGGAATCATGACCCCTTATTCCACGGCAGGGATGACGACTCTATCCCCCGTGGCACTATCTGGCAATCTTCTGCTTGTTGAATAAACAAGCTTTTCCCAGAGAGAAACCTACCAAATAAGCTAAGCAGAGGAAGATGCACTAGCATGCATGGCTAAAGGGTTAATCTGCCATGCTGATTCTAGAAAAATTCAGAAAAACTACAATTGATCTGAATGTCACAAACTAGTGCGCAACCTTCTGAGTCCACCAAAACTCTTTTATCAAACCTGATGTTCAACAAACTGGGAAGGGAGGATGAGAAAAAGGGCTGACTTGATAGGGAAGCTCGTAATGTGGTCAAAAATGCCTTTTTGTCATAAAACCTTAGGAGGAACACGTCATGGGGATTGTTACGAAGAGCATCTTCATGTCAGAATTGCCCCCTGCACTGTGGATGTTAAATTCACGGCATGAACTTCATGACCTCTGTTCTTGCTAGTTCTTAAAACAAGGGAAGCAAATTATCTAGGAATGCTTAGATGGACAAGGAGAAATAACTTACAGTAGCTCCCCAAGAACACAACCAAAAATTCAGAGCTTAGCTAGGTCCCACCACTGAGCCAATGTTTCGGAGGTGCTTTCTGCTTGATTCTGCCCGTCCCCTCGGTCACTTCTTCCCTCCATGCATGTGAGTGTGGGGACACCCACACACTTTGCTTTACCATAGGTCACCTCTGTGCCTTTTTAGGAGTCAAAGGTGTTATGTACTGAGTTGAATAGGATCCAAAATGCAGCAGTATGATTGGTCTGCAGGAGCCACCCAATCCTGCTCCAGGTGGAATTGAATCCGCAACCTGATTGGCCTACAGGAGAATCCCGGAATTAGCCGATCACGTGTGTCCCATTGTGTAAATAATGTATACAAAGCAGATATTTTGGGGAAACTTTTATTCCTCCTCACTGCTATGAGCTGAATAAAGAGCATAAAATCCACACTCAACTCCGAGTATATTTCAGAAGGTATCCCTTGAAACATTTTCTGCACCAGAAAATAATTCCACTAGGGTGCAAGGACAGCTATGAGTTCATTTGATCACAGTTTGTAGCACAATTCAGCATCCTGAATTGACCCACCGCATTAAGTTGTGTCAACATGGCTTTACTGGAGCCCTTTGAAATAAAGATCTCACACTAAATTGGCGTGTAATTCAGAATTAGCTGGATATATACCAAAGTAGGCTCGCGAGTGATGATTCATCTACATGACATTCCCATTCCATGAAGCCAACTTCATTAGTATAATCCTGAATACCTGAGGAAACATTTAGATCAGGGGTGGGGAATTTGTGACCTTCCAGATGCTAATGTTCTACATCCTCCAGATGTTGACCATTCCCACCAACCCTGGCCATGCTGGCTGGGACTGTTGGGAGGTAGGAACCCAACAACATCTGAAGAGCCACAGGTTCCCAACCCTTGTTTTAGGTCTTTTCCCAATCACTTCTCAGTCTTTCAGCTGAGATCAAGCATAGATTTTGTTTTATGTATCTGTTTATAAATGGATACATGGGAATGTGAGTTATATGACTTCCAACCATTTGTCCACCTAACGCGATGTGTCTACTCTGATTGACAGCAGCTCTCCAAGGTCTCCAGGAGAGGTTCTTCCCATCACCCGATCCTTTTAACTGGAGATACCAGAGTTTGAACTTGGTATCTCCTACAGGCAATGCATAGAATCATCACAATGTAGAGTCAGGAGGGACCGCAAGGCTCATATGGTCCTACGCCCTGCTGTAGCATTCCCAAAGCAAGGAAGGATTGGACTCTGATTAATAAAATACAGACAAGGCTTGACAGCAAGACTCTGGGCAGAGTGCGTATAATAATAATTCCTGTCCACCCCTCGGCCCAGGTCGTTTTATTCACAAAAGAACTTTTTACACAGTGTTCCTAAGAACCAATCAGATTTCCTCTGAGCATTTCAAAACCCCCACGTGGGGACAAAGTTAAAGTTAAAACTACAAAGAGCTAATTTGAGCATGCATAGTAGTTCAGAGTAAATAAAAGAGGAAGCAAGGAGGAATGCTTTTAGGAAACCCCGGAGGTCATAAACAGGAGAGGCAGGATTTACCATCTCCTTGTGACCTCTCTTCCTGGCCCTTAGATTAACAAAACTAACAATAGCTACATCAAAGAAGCTACCTACTATCTTTTTGACCCAGGATTCCCGGTGAAGCACCTGGCCTGTGTTTTAGAATGCTTATACGTGCCTGTCAGGTGTAGAGAAAGCAAATGGTAGAGATGGAGAGGCTTGTGGGATTTGATCAGAAATTGTTGTCAATAAGTTTGGCCCAACTCATAGTCATGGACATGCCTTAGACCTGGTGTTCACCTCTAGTGACGTGGGTGATCTGACACGAAGTAAAAGTGAAACAAAAGAAGTGCCATGGTCATATCACCTCCTGGTGCAACTGGACTTCTCCGCAACCCTTCCCCTCTGCAGGGAGGTGGGACCAATTCGGATGGTCCGCCCCCGCCACTTAATGGATCCAAAGAAAATCCAAAGAGAATGGATCCAGAGAGTGGTAGGGGATGCTTTATCCCATGTTGATGGCCTTTCAGCTGATTCCCTGGTGGCCCGCTGGAATGTGGAGTTAACCAGGGCTATCGACTGTCTGGCTCCAAAGCGCCCTCTCTGATTGCATGGAGCCCAGACAGCCCCGTGGTTTTCTTTGGAGCTGAGGGCGATGAAACAATCGCTGAGACGGCTAGAGCGTCAGTGGCAGAAAACTCATTCTGAATCTGACCGGACACAGGTTAGAGCTCAACATCGAGCCTACCAAGTGGCGATAACGATGGCAAAGAAGACTTTCTTCACCGCCTCTATTGCATCTGCAGAAAATAGTAGCAGGAGACTCTTTCAGGTGGTCCGCAATTTAATGGAACCACCTTTACCACCGGGGCCTTGTAAAGACCCCAAGATCTCCTGCAGTGATTTTGCAAAGTTTTTTGCAGATAAAATCACTACCTGACATTCAGAAGACATCTTAAGGCAGCCCTGTTCAGGGAAGTTTTTAATGTGTGACATTTTAGTGTATTTTTGGTCTCTCTGGAAGCCGCCCAGAGTGGCTGGGGAAACCCAGCCAGATGGGTGGGGTACAAATAATAAATTATTATTATTATTATTATGAATCAAACCCAGTCAAGCAATGCTTTCATCACGGACACAATGGCTTGATGCATATTTTATAATTCCTCATAGCAATCCCACCTGACCCCCCACACTCTGGGTATTTGCACCCCTACACCCTGCAAAGCAGGAATCTTTGGCCCAACGTGGGGCTTGAACCCACAACCTTGAGATTAAGAGTCTCGTGGTCTACCGACTGAGCATGTGCTCTTCCACTTCATTAAGACCCTTCACCTGCAGCCAATGTACGTGGTCGTTTGAATTCTTTTTGTTTCGTGAGCCAACAAACGAAAACAAACACCCCACTCTAAATAGATCTATCTATTCTTGGTAATAATCCCAGCGGTTTCTCTGCTTGGATGGTTTAGTTAGCATTTAAGCGAACACTAATCTTTGAAAAGCACTGCTGTCTACTTTTTTTGTATTAAAAAAAAATCAGGCTGTCTGCAGGGGAGGCATGTCAGCGACAACAGACCCAGCATGAGAAATTTATCTCCTGTGCTTTTCACTTTCTGCATATCTAAGCATGCTGCCTCTCTTACTTGCTCAAGCGATTCTGCGCAACAGGTAAACCTCCCAGGCAAATACAGCCTGCTAGCCTTGCATTGTACAGTGGTACAACGGGTTACCTACGCTTCAGGTTACATACGCTTCAGGTTACAGACTCCGCTAACTCAGAAATAGTGCTTCAGGTTAAGAACTTTGCTTCAGGATGAGAACAGAAATCGTGCTCCGGCAGCACAGCAGCAGCAGGAGGCCCCATTAGCTAAAGTGGTGCTTCAGGTTAAGAACAGTTTCAGGTTAAGAACAGACGTCCGGAACGAATTAAGTTCTTAACCCGAGGTACCACTGTAACCCGAGGTACCACTGTATAGCCTGGCAGAAGCTGACAGTCCCCTTATTTTTTGCAGTGTTGGGCCCAGCAGGATTTGGCCTGCAAGGGCCAGAGACCAGGTTGGGCACAAGTCAAGGTCTAGATCAGTGAACATAGAAAAAGCGGGCAGAGATTGGGATACAGGTGAGGTCAAGTAGCTGGCCACATTCTCTACAGCAGCTGCTCTGATAAGCTTCTCAGACTAAGGTACTGAACTCATGTTAACTCAAGACTCTTTTGGCTCCTCTAATTGCCTGGTCCAGTTGGGCTCGTGAGTGCAGTACAACCCTCTCTGGCTGTTCTCTGGGTGGCGTTGCAGAGGAGGGACTGTCAGTCTCATCCCTACTTCTGCATGATTGCTCGAACGGAGCAGCAATCAACTGCACAGAGGTGTGTGAGAGAGAGGCTTTCACACAAATTCCTTTGCCTTGAATTTGCTTGGAGGGAAACATCGATTCATATGGTGTCAGATTTAGTATTCAAGCACAATTCAAAGTGTTGGTGCTGACCTTTAAAGCCCTAAACAGCCTTGGCCCAGTATACCTGAAGGAGCGTCTCCACCCCCATCATTCTGCCTGGACACTGAGATCCAGCGCTGAGGGCCTTCTGGTGAGAAGCCAAGTTACAGGGAACCAGGCAGAGTGCCTTCTTGGTAGTGGCGCCCGCCCTTTGGAACGCCCTCTCACCAGATATCAAAGAGAAAAACAACTACCAGACTTTTAGAATACATCTGAAGGCAGCCCTCTTTAGGGAAGCTTTTAATGTTTAATAGACTATTGTATTTTAATATTTTGTTGGAAGCCATCCGGAGTGGCTGGGGAAGCCCAGCCAGATGGGTGGGGTATAAATAATGATAAATTAATAATAATAATAATAATAATAATAATAATAATAATTCAGCTTCCACAGAAGGGGGTCCCATTTTCCAGCTGGAAACTGGACGTGTTCCTTGAGCGGCATGCCGAAATAATAACTACGCACACAAATTCAAAATCGGGGAGGATTTAACATTTCAGCTTATTTTAAATGGGAAACAACAACAACAACAACAATTTATTAATTATACCCTGCCCATCTGGCTGGGTTTCCCCAGCCACTCTGGGTGGCTTCCAACAGAATATTAAAATACAGTAATGCATCAAACATTAAAAGCTTCCCTAAACAGGGCTGCCTTCAGATGTCTTCTAAAAGTCTGGTAGTTGTTATTCTCTTTGACATCTGGTGGGAGGGCGTTCCACAGGGCGGGTGCCACTACCGAGAAGGCCCTCTGCCGGGTTCCCTGCAACTTGGCTTCTCACAACAAGGGAACCGCCAGAAGGCCCTCAACGCTGGATCTCCGTTTCCGGGTAGAATGATGGGGGTGGAGACGCTCCTTCAGGTATGGCACAGATTCAGGGTTCCACTTCTGTGTTCTGTGAATGATGGCAGTTTAGACCCAATGAGAAGAGGGTCCTGTTCTCCTGCTCTGGAGGGTAGGCTTCAAATTACAAGAAAGGAAATTCCTGCTCAACATCAGGAAGAACTTTCTGACAGTAAGAGCTGTTCAATGGTGGAACGGTTTCCTTCAGAAGGTGGTGGACTCTCCTTCATTGGAGTTTTTTAAGCAGAGGTTGGATGAGCATCTGTCATGGATGCTTTAGCTGAGATTCTTGCATTGCAGTGGTTGGACTAGATGACCCTGGGGTCCCTTCCAACTCTACAATTCTATGATTCTATGACTGTCAGAATAATTTCATTCATTGGTGGATCTGCCTACACTTACTAAGCCTTGCCAACTTGCTCTAGCCAAGGGAGATAAGGCTTTCTTCTTATTTTTGTTATTGCTGTCAATGGGAGAGAACTGATAAATTGTGGACGGTCATAGCTAAGATTTATGTAATTAAATCAAATCATGTTATTGATTTATAGCCTGTTCTAATATTTTCTTTTCTCTTGCCTTATAGCAGGAGCGCAGGATCCTCTGATAAGAAACTACCCACCCATCGCTTTGATTTCAGACTTATTTGAAGACTGAAAATGGAAGAGCTTTGGGTGTTTTTTAAAAAAAATAAGGAAGAAACAAAAATAAATCAGGTTCCATTGAACCCAAGGACAAGAGACCTCAAAGCTTCATGGACAACCATGTAAATTAGAATGTAGCAGACATTTATTAATTTCAAAAGAAGAAGAGGAGGAGGAAGAAGAAGAAGAGTTTTTTTAAAAGGTGGAACAATTCAAGAATGCCCGTCTTGGATCTTTTTGGTGGTACCAGAGTTTGGTTTGGTGTTTTTAGAAGGACTCCTCAACTTGATAGAAACTGTGAAAAGGCTTTCTGACCCAGTCATGTGGTTAAACCCACACAAAAGACCCTTCCGAGGCTTCCCAGTGCAGTGTCCCAAAAGCACGTGGAGAGTTCGGCTTCTTTTGCTTTTGAAAAGTGATTCTTTTGTGGAAAGGAACATGATTCAGAAGGGGGTGGAAAGAACAAACTTGGGCTAGCGTGACATTGAGATGTATTGATGGAAGAGCATTAGCCATACCCAGCGCTTTCTGAAAGCAGACTGGGATATCCAAGGATCCTCATCCGCTCAGCCACCTTTTCCCAGACTCTCTCCGTTCTCTCCCAGTATTTTGCCTGCTGTATGAATGAAGATTGTACTCTTCTGAAAATATTTTACAATTTATTATTGAGTGTAATTAAAAATATAACCCCTGAGATTAAAAGGAAAAAAAGGTATTTAACTCTGTTGTAGTTTCTTTAACATTCATGTGGATAAAAAAAAAGTCTATAATAAAAACAGAAAACTATATGATGTAATAGTTGGTGCTTTCCTGCAAGTCAGCTGTTTCATTCATTTGCTTACTCTTCCTCCTCACCCTGTTGTTTGTCATGGCAGGTAATAACTGTGTTGGTTGATAAGCTTGAATATGTGTGCAGATATGAACCTGCTGCAGGCCATTGATATATCTGGCTCCATTTTGTCTACAAGGAGTAGGGTCTCTAGGGTCTTGGACAGGGTTTTTCACTAGCCATACCTGGAAAGCGAGATGAGCACCGCAATCCCAGAGTCGTCCGCGAATGGACCTAACGGTCAGGGGTTCCTTTACCTTTCCCTTTCCCTGGAAATGTGGGGGGTTGTATTTGGGACCTTTAGCATGGCAATGCATTGCTCTGTCATGCAGCTACAAACTTTCCAACATCGCCACTGTGCAATTCTTTTATTCCTTCTCTCTTCTAAAGGAAAAAGAAAAACCAGCCAGTTCTGGACCCAGTGTCTCTTCACAAATGTTCTGAAATTAGTATAATGTTTAAATAGCACTGTCCCATCTGTCTGTGCATCTTGTCTGCCTTCTCCTCTTGAACTGTTTCTGACAATGGAGAGAGGAGGAACGTAATAGGTGGTGTTTGGAGAGCCTACAACATTTCACCTGGGAGAAACTCCCTGCCCAAACGCCCCTTCTTTTAGTCCAACATCATCTAGAAAGCCACAGGCTCCCCATCCATTGCTTAAGGAACAGCCACTGCAAAACATTTTCCCCCTACAAAAGAGAAAAGGCCTGCTTTGGTTCAGTAGTCCTTGCGCCCAGTTGTGATGACCATGACATCAAACTGACACTTCGCATATGCGACTGAACCATCACAGACTCAACACCTTGGGGAGGGCTTTACTATCACCTGATCTCACCACAAGCACAACATTTTCCATCCCAGAGAGGCAGCCGTCTTGTTAGTCTGTTTCACCAAACCAACAGAGTCATTTAAGGTGCTCTGTGGTGGCACTGTGGGTTAAACCACAGAGCCTAGGGCTTGCCGATCAGGTCGACGGTTCAAATCCTCGCAATGGGATGAGCTCCTGTTGTTCAGTCCCTGCTCCTGCCAACCTAGCAGTTTGAAAGCACGAAGTGCAAGTAGATAAATAGGTACCACTCCGACAGGAAGGTAAACAGCATTTCTGTGCGCTGCTCTGGTTCACCAGAAGCGGCTTAGTCATGCTGGCCACATGACCCAGAAGCTGTACACCGGCTCCCTCGGCCAGTAAAGCGAGATGAGCGCTGCAACCCCAGAGTCATCTGTGACTGGACCTAAAGGTCAGGGGTCCCCTTACCTTTACCTAAGATTCTTTTAATATTTTCAGTGGAGTTGATTCAGGAATTTAGCTGACACTTGTCAAGTTTTGAATAGTCAGGTTTTGAATAACCTAGTGCTGCACAGCTTATGGGTCGATTATCCCATAAGACAGCAGAAGTCAGAGGGGCACTGGTTGTGCAATGACACTCGATACAGGTATGTGCTCTCTGTGTGCAACTCTATGTGCTCTGTGTTCCAGTCAAAGTTGCACGACTTTATGTAATCATTTCCACCTTTTGATTGAAACCCAGTGAGTCAGTCGCCATCTAGGCAGAGAAACAACAAGACCAAGTCCATTTTTTTACGTCATCAGCTGTGAAATGTGTCTGCTAAAAATTACCTTATGATCACAATATCGTCCTTATCTTTGTACTAAATGATTCCAGTCTTGTGTAAAAAATCTGTGGGGTTTCGAATAATGATATTTAACAGGAATAATGGGTGTGGCTTACTGAATTTCCCATAAATTCCCTTTGGTGAAGGCAGCTGGGTTCTTGCTGCTGTTTTTGTATAGTTGCCACCACCTCTACTGCAGCTTATCTTCTGAGGACATTAATGCTTGACCTCTGCAAGGAACCTGTTCAGAACAGCTGGCATTCCACAACAGTGCGAAGGACTGAGTGATGGGATGCAGAAGAACAGAAGCTGCTGGGGAAATGAGATTGCCTTTCTCTCTGTGAAGTGCAAGTGATTCTACATCTAAATAGTTCTACTAGTAGTAGTAGTAAAAGGTAAAGGGACTCCTGACCATTAGGTCCAGTCGCGGACGACTCTGGGGTTGTGGCACGCATCTCACTTTGGCTGAGGGAGCCAGCGTGCAGCTTCCGGGTCATGTGGCCAGCATGACTAAGCCACTTCTGGCAAAACCAGAGCAGTGCACGGAAATGCCGTTTACCTTCCTGCCAGAGCGGTACCTATTTATCTACTTGCACTTTGACGTGCTTTCAAACTGCTAGGTGGGCAGGAGCAGGGACCAAACAACAGGAGCGCACCCTGTCGTGGGGATTCAAACCGCCGACCTTCTGATCGGCAAGCCCTAGGCTCTGTGGTTTAACCCACAGTACCACCCACGTTCCTAATCGTAGTAGTAGAGCCATAGTAAAATCAAAAACTAGCATGCAGAACTAACCCTGTAGGGGGAGCCTTGGTATCTTACAGAACACAGTGTGAAAGAAATTACCTTACATGGGTGAGGCAGGGAAATCTACCTCCCTCTCAATAAAAGCCTAAGAGCAACTAAGCTCCTCATACAAACCAGGAGTATGAGAAGGTGACAAGCTGAGAGCTCAGCATGACAAGATCTTCTTTCATCGAGAGACCCAACGAGACCCAGTGAGAGACAAACAGGAAAGAAGACTTGACAGCCATAAGGTAATTAGTCCACAGCTCCTTGTTTTATGTCTAAATGCTGTTTATTCCTCCCTCTCACCCATTTCTGGTGTAAATTTCTTCAGTTCAGAGTCTATGGGTACTTCGAGACATCCCCCCAAACAGCACTTTTTGACCCAGAACTGGCCAAAGGAGGCTGCAGGTGCATTCACTGGGGCTTTTGGGGCTCTGTGGGCAAAATCAAACTGTGGCATTGGCAGTACCAAAATGACCTCCTTGGGGCACAAGCCTAGGCAGTGTGTATGGAGGTCCTGGGCTGCCCGGACAAAAATGATGTGGTCCAAAGGAAAGCAGAGCAATACGTTTGGCACTAGCTTGGCTGCAGAAGTTGCCGGAAGTAGGCCAACAAGGCGCCATCCAACCATCTTAGGGACTCCGCTCCAGAATTGTGTAGGGTTTACTCCCTAGCCTTCTCCTAGAGGGACTTTTCTTCTCCTAGAGGGACTCCCTTTCCCGGTTGACAAGCCCCATTAGCCCCTCACTTCCCTGTACAGCACATGCAGAAATCGCCTTCTTGACCAACCCTCACTCTTGGTCTCACCCACTCAATCCTCTGGAGCCTGTCTTCGCGTGCAAGAGCAGTCCCTAACTCACTGAGGGTTTGAGACCCATCGGTTACCCTCACCTGGTTTAGCCGGCCAGTCAAAGCCTTTACTCGGGGTGTGGCTGCTGTCCCATGCAGACAGCTTCTAGCAGTTTCTTTAGGCTGGGTGTTAAAACAAGAGGAGACAAATATGTTGTTGGGAATGGGGCTAAGAACACAAGACAAGCCCTACAGAATCAGGCAGAGGGTCCCTAATGGAATCATCTTGGAAGCCAGCTCAGTTGTGCTAGAACCATTAGAACCACCAGTTTCTTGTGAGCAATGTGACTGCAGAATTCTGCACCAGCCTGAAGTCTTCAGAGGCAGCCCCGTGTGGGATATACAGTGATCTACCTCCTGTGAGAAGAACCTGATGTTGGGAAAGATGGAGGGCACAAGGAGAAGGGGACGACAGAGGACGAGATGGTTGGATAGTGTTCTCGAAGCTACTAGCTTGAGTTTGACCAAACTGCGGGGGGCAGTGGAAGACAGAAGTGCCTGGCGTGCTCTGGTCCATGGAGTCACGAACAGTCGGACACGACTAAACGACTAAACAACAACAACAACACCTCCTGTGAAGATGGAGGCATTCCTTAGCCATCATGGCAGAAAGCAACTGGCAGTTCCATCTCTCCTGATCGCTCTTCTTTTTGCATGCAAGGGAAGTCCCTAACTCTCTGAGGGTTTAACACCCATCGACTACCCTCACCCACTTTAGCCGGCTAGTTGAAGCTGTTCCTGGGGTGTGGCTGCTATCTCATGCTGACAGCTTCTAGTAGCCACAGGTGAGAGATGAGTGCAGGGTGGGGACCAAAGGTGGACAAACTACCCCAGAAGGAGCACGGTAGGTACCCACAAGAGTTACTACCCATCTCCTTGATTAAAACCCTCTGGAGAATGTTCCTCCAATTGTTCTCTTTAGTTATGGCCACCAAATGAAGCAGGGGCAATACAACACTAAATAGGAGAGGGCCATTGCGTCCAAGTCCCCATTGGTGGGCTTTCTGGAGGAATCTAGCTGGCCACAGCAGGAAGTTGGATGCTGAACCAGATGGGTCTTTGGTCTGATCCAACAGGAACATCCTATGACCTTATTCCCATGGAGTCCAGGCTCTGTCAAAGGCACATCAAATCACGACAGGGAAGACACAGCCTCACTTACAGTACCATTATCTTTCTTTCTTTTTCCGAAGGGGGGGGGGGAAGCCACAACATAAATACGAAATGTCTTATCAGGAAAAATAATGTATGTGACAACAAAACTCCCGTTAAACATTATAGCACATAATTTCAGAGCCCGATTCCGTTCTGAGCCTCCGTTAAAGCCTTGGGATTTAAAGGCCTTCCTTCCCCATAAATTCATCCCAAGGCATTTTCGTTTTGTCACTTGGGCGTTAATATAGTGGCTTCCTTGTGGCATTTATGCACTGACCCCGGCTGCCCCTTATTCCAGATTATAAATGAGGTGTGGAATTACCGAATGCATAGCCCGATAGCACACCTTTAATAAATATGTTAATCAACTGGCTGTGGCATGTCCCCAGGTGCCGGAGAGTTTGTGCCTTGCGTTATGAATGGGGCACTTTAAATTCTATTCTCTTTGCACTGACAACCTTAAGTTAAAACAAATTTATTGGGGTGGGGTGAGGAACAGGGGGGAATCCATTAGCCACGGGTTGTATATGTGAAGAAGCAAGACAACGAGAGAGAGAGAGAAGTCCCCAGAAAAAAAGGGTGTGCAAGTCCTTTTCACGCCTAAGTAAAATCAGAAATGATGCCTGAGACCTGGAAAGAAATCCTCCCCACACTAGCATATGTGTGGCTTTCTTTAGATCAACTTGGGAAAAACTTAGTACAGGGGTAGGCAACCTAAGGCCCAGGGGCCAGATGCGGCCCAATCGCCTTCTCAATCCGGCCCGTTTCAGGTCCGGGAATCAGCGTGCTTTGACATGAGTAGAATGTGTCCTTTTATTTAAAATGCATCTCTGGGTTATTTGTGGGGCATAGGAATTCGTTCATTTTTTATTTATTTTTTCAAAATATAGTCCAGCCAAAATAGAAACATTGCCACCCAACCCCAACCCCGCTCATCTTTCCCCCCTCCACCTCTTTCCCCCTTTTCTTACTAATGTCTCAACAAATGAAACCGATTTGTGTAAAAAAAAATGTTACATGGGGGGAAAAATATGAGGGAGACATTGCACATACCTTTGTAAATGAAGAAAATCTTTAATAAAAATACTTTATATAGAGAGAGAGAATGTGTGTCTGGCCCACCAAATTGACTGAGGGACTGTATTGATATGGGGCTATCTGATTAGCCCATTTTAGTGTTGGCTAAGTTTTAAAATCTTCCTGGATGTTTTTAACTGTGTATTGACAAAATGTACTTTTTTCTGACTGACGGTCGAATAAAAATGATGATGATGAATTGACTGAGGGACAGTGGACCGGCCCATGGCTGAAAAAGGTTGCTGACCGCTGACTTAGTACAATGAACTTATAAGACGCTTGGGCCCAAATGCCAGCAAATACATAGTCATTCACTTACCTGCTGCTTGGTGGGACATCTTAAGGAGAAGAAAAGGCTGAGGAGCAAACCCTACACAAATCTGGAGTGGAGTCCTTAAGGCGGTTGGGTGGCATCTTGTACACCTCCTTCTGGCAACTCCTTCAGCCAAGCTGGTGCCAAACGTCTTGCTCTGCTTTCCTTTGAACTGCATCAGTGAGGCTGAGAGGAGGGTCTTGGTGTCTGGGCAGCCTAGGACCTCCACACACACCGCCCAAGCTTATGGCCCAGGGAGGTCACTTTGGCGCTGCTTGTTGTTGTTGTTGTTTAGTCGTTTCGTCGTGTCCGACTCTTCGTGACCCCCTGGACCAGAGCACGCCAGGCACACCTGTCTTCCACTGCCTCCCGCAGCTTGGTCAAACTCATGCTGGTAGCTTCGAGAACACTATCCAACCATCTCGTCCTCTGTCGTCCCCTTCTCCTTGTGTCCTCCATCTTTCCCAACATCAGGGTCTTTTCCAGGGAGTTGGCGCTGCTAGTGTAGCACAAACAATGCAGGAGGTAGCAGTTACGAGTTACGGTTTCTGCAGCCACAGCAGGCGCTGTGATTCTCCAGCGGTTTGGCTTCACCCCTGGTGGTGTACTCCATTGTCTTTCAAGACAGACGGATGCTGAAAACAACAGTCAGTCACTACAGAGGGATGATGTCAGGAGGAGTCCCAGGACCCTACAAACCCCCAAGTCTGTTGCTCCAAGCCCCATGTCTCCTACCCCTTTCCCTCCCACTTTAACGACTTTGCTTACAGGGCAGTGCAGGGCTATGCAATGCAATGGAGGAAGGTGGAGATGCCCTCACAACACTGGCAGAGCCAGCAAGCCTGCCCCTGCAATGATATTTAGCACACATTCCCATTTTAATGGTTTAAGACTATGGTGGAATACCTGTGGCCCTTCACACATCATTGGACTCCAGCAACCATCAGCATCAGGTAGCACAGCAAATGATCAGGGATGATGGAAATTGCCTTTAGGAATGTACATCACCCCAACCTATCACATTAACAACCTTCACCCTTCTTACAGCTCTCTGTTTTGCTTTGCAGCATGCTTACTCCTAGGGAGGAGGAATTCTATGGAACGCTTCCCCCCAAAGATCCAGGTACTCTACACTGCAAAGCTATATTCAGCAAAGGTTAATCCCATTCATTTAAAAACAAAACATTGGAAGGCCAACAAGGTTTCCTCTTGTTCCAAACTGTACAAGCTCACTGGCGATGTTTCTGTCTCTTGCCTCCTGAAGGTTTTGCCACAGGTCTCAACATCAACCTGAGACATAGACATGGCCAGGATTTATGTTAGGGGGCAGGGTTTATGTTGGGGCATGCAGAACCAAGCTTAGTTATGTATTTTTCTTTATTTACTTGATTGGGAGGGCAATTGCCACCTGCCCCCCAGCTATGCCCACGTCCTGAGACATTCAGGGTCTTCTGGCGGTTCCCTCGCTGCGAGAAGCCAAGTTACAGAGAAGCAGGCAGAGGGCCTTCTCAGTAGTGGCACCTGCCCTGTGGAACGCCCTCCCACCAGATGTCAAAGAGAAAAACAACTACCAGACTTTTAGAAGACATCTGAAGGCAGCCCTGTTTAGGGAAACTTTTAATGTTTAATAGATTATTGTATTTTAATATTCTGTTGGAAGCCACCCAGAGTGGCTGGGGAAACCCAGCCAGATGGGCGGGGTATAAATATTTATTATTTATTATTATAGAGCCCACCCTCCCCCCAAATACTTCATGCCAGTCGGGTTGACTTCTAGATTGAGTCTCTTTCCAATCACAGACCAGAAAATTCAGGTTGTATAACCGCAGCTGATTGGGTGGTCTTGTGCAACAAACTCGCTTCCTGAAAAGATCGGACTTTTTGTGATAAGGGAAGTGGTAGGGAAATGGGCTGGAAGTGTGGGATGAAAAATCGTCTAAGCTCCCTGCAAGCAAATCAGAATGAATGCTCAATAAGCACATTGTCTGGAAGCACCAAGAATGCCAGTGTCAATAAATGCAACTTCTTTGTAACTATAGCACAGTAACTGGGGCAGGTGCTTATTTCCCTGAGCTCTGAATTTACTAAGCCAGGTCTAGCTGCCCCACCTGTTTGCTCCTGAGCCTGGATTGCCTGCCATGGGGCCAGGTAAAAGGTAAGGTAAAGGGACCCCTGACCATTAGGTCCAGTCGTGACCGACTCTGGGGTTGTGGCACTCATCTCGCTTTACTGGCCAAGGGAGCCAGCATACAGCTTCCAGGTCATGTGGCCAGCATGACTAAGCCGCTTCTGGCGAACCAGAGCAGCGCACGCAAACGCCGTTTACCTTCCCACCAGAGCGGTACCTTTTTATCTACTTGCATTTTGACGTGCTTTCGAACTGCTAGGTTGGCAGGAGCAGGGACCGAGCAACGGGAGCTCACCCAATCACGGGGATTCGAACCGCCGATCTTCTGATCGGCAAGTCCTAGGCTCTGTGGTTTAACTAGGTACCATGTGGAAATAATAATTTTTAGAGACGCACTTTGTATGCTGATCAACAACCCTGGGAGGAACTTCGTTTTATAAATCTAGTCACCACTCCTCACTATTTGTTGTTTTCCTGAACAGCTTCCCTGCAAAGCTGACGATGGTTCATTTCCATGAACATATGCAGCTGCCTTGTTCCAAGTCAGACCACTGGTCCATTGGGCTACTCCAGCTTTCACTGACCTGCTGCTCTTCAGATGTTGCCGAACTGCAACCTATGCCAGTTCCAGCTAGCATGGCTCTGATGGCTAGGACTGACTGGCGTTGTAGTCCAACAAAATCCGGTGGGCACCAGGTTGGCGAATGCTGGCATCATCTTTCCAAGCAGGGGTCCTTCCCATCAACTGCTATGTGGTCCTTCTTAAAATTAAACTGAAGATAGGAAGGGTTGAATTTGGGGTGATTTGCATGCAAATATGCTGAACAACAGGCTGGGACACGGGTGGCGCTGTGGGTTAAACCACAGAGCCTAGGGCTTGCCGATCAGAAGGTTGGCGGTTTGAATCCCCACGACGGGGTGAGCTCCCATTGCTCAGTCCCTGCTCCTGCCAACCTAGCAGTTCGAAAGCACCTCAAAGTGCAAGTAGATAAATAGGTACTGCTCTGGCGGGAAGGTAAATGGCATTTCCATGCGCTGTTCTGGTTCACCAGAAGTGGCTTAGTCATGCTGGCCACATGACCCGGAAGCTGTACACCGGCTCCTTCGGCCAATAAAGCGAGATGAGTGCCACAACCCCAGAGTCGGCCACAACTGGACCTAATGGTCAGGGGTCCCTTTACCTTTTTATGCTGAACAATAGACCAAGGTCTATTCACAAGCTTTCATTTTTTTTATTTCAAATCCATGTTGTCAAGAAAAGGATTAATGCTAATAACCTAACACCACGGGGTGTACATTTAAGGAATAGTTGCTTTTATTCTCTGTGCTTAGATCTTTCCTCTTGGACCTATGAGATCATCATGTTATGTCTCTCTGGAAGCATCTTTTTGGCAGCTCTGATGTTCGTTGCAGTGAAGACAATCCGAACGAGGGTCTTGCATTTTCAGAGGTAGTGCATTTCTGGGGAATCTGTCAGACTCCAGCTCTGCTGAAATATACTCGGAGTCGAGAGTGGATTTTATGCTCTTTATTCAGCTCATAGTGGTGAGGAGGAATGGAAGTTCCCCCAGAATGTCTGCTTTATATACATTACTTACACAATGGGCCCCATGTGATTGGCTAATTCCGGGATTCACCTGTAGGCCAATCAGGTTGCGGATTCACTTCCACCTGGAGCTGGATTGGGTGGCTCCTGTGGACCAATCAGACTGCTGCATTCTGGTCCCTATTGTTCTAGGACCAATCAGACTGCTGCATTCTGAATCTTATTGTTCTAGGACCAATCAGACTGCTGCATTCTGAATCCTATTGTTCTAGGACCAATCAGACTGCTGCATTCTGAATCCTATTCAACTCAGTACATAACATCTGCTTTCATGCTTACATTCCAAACAAACTTAGAATATACCTGATACCATGTTCCTTCACCAAGCTGGGGACTACAAATCCCATTAGCCCCAGTCAACATAGCCAGCAGTCAAGGCTGATGGGAGTTGTAGTCCAACATTATAGAGGGCACCAGGTTGTAGAAGGCTGCCCTATGGTGTTGCACAAGAAGTATTGTGGGTCTTCAACTCCCTGAAAGCAGGAGCAACACAATACAATGCAACCAGGACGGGGTTGGTGTAACTATTGCTACATAAGCAGGTCATATTTTAATCCTTGGGCACCATGTAACCAATGGAGAGTCAGAGGCGCAGCAATTCGTTGACTGGTCTTGCCATGGTGTAAATCTTTTGCCATCTCATGTCACCCTCCCCCTATCGGCCTGATCTGAAAATTCATTTAGCTTAATTAATTCATTATTAATTAAATTTGCATACCACCCTTCAGCCGAAGATCACAGGGTGGTTTGCAGCATAAAAATACAAAACGAAAACGCCGAATACATAATAAAACAAAAGCAAAAGCGATGCAAACCAAGAACCCTCTCCCAAAAGAGCATCAAACACCTAAACTCCTGGATGTTTTGAGCCAGGAGATCATGAGCTAAACTGTTAAAGAGAAAATTCTCATTCCTTCTTCCCCTGCACCCCACCCCCAATAAAAAGCCAAGACATTTCAGTAGCCTTAGAGGCAGCAAAAGGATGTCCTAAACCAGGGGTCAGCAACCTTTTTCAGCTGTGGGCCAGTCCACCATCCCTCAGACCATGTGGGGGGCTGGACTATATTTTGGGGGGGAAATGAACAAATTCCTATGCCCCACAAATAACCCAGAGATGCATTTTAAATAAAAGCACACATTCTACTCATGTAAAAACACCAGGCACGCCCCACAAATAATCCAGAGATGCATTTTAAATAAAAAGACACATTCTACTCATGTAAAAACATGCTAATTCCTGGACCGTCCATAGGCCAGATTGAGAAGGCGATTGGGCCGCATCCGGCCCACGGGCCTTAGGTTGCCTACCCCTGTCCTAAACTCTCCCCTTCCATCCACTTCCTTGGATAGCAGAAAGAGAGTAATACATTTTGAAGCCATTTCTTAGAGGTTTAGAACGAGATCTTCCTGCCTAGCCCCATTTTTAAAACTTTATCAGGAAGCAGGAACCTCACTTTTGTGATTATTTATTCTAATGATTAAGCTAAGGTTCGGACATAAAAGCTGCTACAGCTCAGCTCAGGATTTCAGGACTTTTCTCTCCCAAAGATCTTCCTGAAAAGTTGCAATTTGCAAATCTTTCCTCCCCACTGCATTTTATTATTATTATTATTATTATTATTATTATTATTATTATTACTACTACTACTACTACTACTAGTCTAGGACAATCTCAGCAGAACATCACACTTGACCAGCCAATTAATTTTGCTATGTTGTATTTTTTTATTCTTGTTTCAGAAGGGGTAAACCAAGCAGCCCCGCCAAAGAGCTTTCTGCAGCTGAAACAGTGGTAGTAAATATTATTGTGAAGCGCAATGAAGCGAAGGATATTTTTACAGCGCAGGTTACTGGACCAGCGTATATAATATACATGTCTGAGACAGAAATGCCACTTGAAGCTTGAAGAGGAAAACACTGTGGGATAACCAGCTTCAAATAACCAACATGCTTAAGTCTAGTTAATGCATGAAGGGGTTAAAACCATAGAGTAAGCTGTCCTGCTAAGCTTAGCTATGTCACTTCCCCTCACCTTCGGAAGAAATAGTTAATCAAGCCTATAGTTGTATGCAGTCTACGTGATTAACTCAGTGTGTGAAGAGGATTGAGCTGGTTGCTTCAGCGCAGCCACATGACTTTCACCAGCCATTCTTGTGTTCCTATACCAATAATTTAGGAACTTTCACCAATTTGTAACTAAACTAAATTTCACTGCCTGTGCAACTTTCCTGAAGCACATCTGACCTTTGGAGAGTTTACTTACAATTTTAACTTACCAAACGTATGGTTTTTTCCTATGCTGGGGGAAGAGGGAAATTTTGGAATTCACTTAGAAAGGCATATTTAAAAGTTTAGCCTATATTTGCGTGCATTACTTTGCTGAATATGGTGTTTTTTTCAAATAATATTTATTATTTTCAGTAAATAAACTTAATAAAAAAGAAAAGATTAACAATAATAAAGACAAACAAAAAATAGGAGAAAAAGAGAAAAAAGAAAAAAGATACATACAACATATTACCACTTAATTAATTAAAATTAAGTGCCATCCATCTTCATAGACATAGTATTTGACTTCCTCGAATCTCTTCCATTCGAATTTCTTAGTAATTACTTTGCTGAATATGTTGATACTTTAAATCTCTGCTGTGGTTCTCACTCCAAGCTTGGATATTGGCATCCAAAAATTACCATATCCACCACAAATATCTATATTTATGTAAAAAGGTCAACTGGAAACTGAATTCACAAGTCTGTGCAGTATTCTGCTTGAGTTAGCACTGACAGAGAAGGCCTCATTTGATTTCAGGCTCTTCCACACATCATTTTTACGTTGCATTTGTGATGATTTCTGTGCATGATGGCAACGGGCAGTTGTACGCGATCCCATTTTCAGTACCGTATGTTTGTGCCTTTAAAAAATTCAGCTGAACAATATAACACAACACAATGGCCAATAACAATGGCACTAAACACTATTTATAGACTAATAGAAATGATCAGAAATTACAACCAAAGTCTCTAAATCTTCTTCACCAGTCGCGGTAGAATAATTCAAAGGTTCAATATACAGTGGTACCTCAGGTTACATACGCTTCAGGTTACATACACTTCAGGTTACAGACTCCGCTAACCCAGAAATAGTGCTTCAGGTTAAGAACTTTGCTTCAGGATGAGAACAGAAATCGGGCTCCAGCGATGCGGCAGCAGCAGGAGGCCCCATTAGCTAAAGTGGTGCTTCAGGTTAAGAACAGTTTCAGGTTAAGAACAGACCTCCGGAACGAATTAAGTACTTAACCTGAGGTACCACTGTATACATAATCTGTCACCAAATATTGCCAGAACAGAGTTACTTAGTTGGTCTCTAAGGTGCTACTGGACAATTTTTTAATTTTTAAAATATATTTCTATTGTATTAAGGTATTGTTGATGGAGCACCCAAGAGGATTACAAGGCAATTTGTAATCTTGTACTGGAATTTAAGATCCAAATACTGGGGTGCCTGTGACTGCTAAGATACAGCAGCAGAAGGTTCCCCGTTATTTCCAAATTCAGATTTACAGCCTGAGCTCTTACTGTGAAGTCTTGCTATTCAGTTCAAAGCCTATGAATTCAAATATGAATTTATTGCGTACCACAGTGGTGGGGAACCTGACTTTTTCATCATCCGCAATAAAGATTTAGAGGTGCATTTAAATAATTTAGAATTCCAAATCAAAAGCTCCTTTATTGTTCAGGCAACAGATGAAGACTTTTGTTATTGTTGCTCTCCAAGACTCTTTTTAGTGTTGTTTTACTGCTTGAATATTGTTTTTTTTATATATGATCCTGCATGATTTTCAGTTGTTCTGATGCTTTATTGTATAATAATCATTTTATTGTTGTTTATTGAAAGTATTGTGAACCATTGGATACAATTTTAGAGTTTAAAAGTATATATTTTAAAGAAAATAAATAAAAGCATTTGAATGCAGACAGATATGAACTTACCCTCCTGCAAAGTCTTTGCTGAGTCTAAGGAGCTCCACAAATGTTGAAAAGCTGCAGTTACAACTCTCTGCTTGATGGATTTGAAGCTGAGATGGGATAAGGAGAACTCCTTTAGCTATGGGACACTTGGAATTCAAGTTGGCCCTTCTCTACATTCAAACCCCTTATGAGTATAATCTCTGTGGGAGCTTCTTAGTTGTGGACTAAGGACTGAGGCTGTGCACAAGGTGTTCGGATCAGTCAGGGCAACCACTTGTGCCCTGGATCCTTGCAGCTCTTGGCTGATAATAACTAGGAGGGAGGGGGCAACTGGCCGGGGCAGGGTGGTGATTAATTCCTTGAAAGAGGGGCTGCTCCCTGCCTGCCTGAAGGAGGCAGTGGTACAACCACTCCTCAGTGAACCCTCCCTGGATTTGGGAAATCTGAGTAATTACCGGCCAGTTGCCAGTCTCCCCTTCTTGGACAAGGTTTTTGAAAGGGTGGTTTGCAGAAGTCGTCATACTTTTTAGGTCTGTAGGCAGATTTGGATTTTTGGGTTAATGTCATGGATGTTGCCATCTCTGGTCAACAACTCTCCCAGATCTCACACATACAGAGAGAGAAAGAGGACGTGCACACACAATTTTTTTTGGCGAAGGATCTGGATAGGACTGATCCACAAGCCTCGGAAAGCACATAGAGCTGAAAGAGAAAGTGGAAGAGGGCATAACTTTGTCCTTTAGGTTTATGTACTTGTCAAGGGGAAACAAGATAACCACCCTCACCATCTCATGATTAAGGGAAGACCTCCAGAATGCCACTGCGCCCATGTGTGCCTAAGAATGCCATGTTGGTCAGACACAAACAACAAATGACATATATTAACTGCCCAGGAGCCAAGGTAAAGGTAAAGGTAAAGGGACCCCTGACCGTTAGGTCCAGTCGCGGACAACTCGGGTTGCGGCGCTCATCTTGCTTTATTGGCCAAGGGAGCCGGTATACAGCTTCCGGGTCATGTGGCCAGCATGACTAAGCCGCTTCTGGCGAACCAGAGCAGCACACAGAAACGCTGTTTACCTTTCCGCCGGAGCGGTACCTATTTATCTACTTGCACTTTGACCTGCTTTCGAACTGCTAGGTTGGCAGGAGCAGGGACCGAGCAACGGGAGCTCACCCCGTCGTGGGGATTCAAACCGCTGATCTTCTGATCGGCAAGCCCTAGGCTCTGTGGTTTAGCCCACAGCGCCACCCGCGTCCTGTTTTTAAAAGTTATCACTTCCAGTTTCATTTGAGACTCACATTGTGAGCTTGTGATACCAGCAGCTACCAAGTCAGGATGCCTACTTTAGTTAATGTTGACCGGGCAGTCACAAAATGGGTACACACACTCATAATATGCCTGGGTTTTAATTATGAATAAATGAAGAATTTCAGCGGAACTTGATTCGCAGTACAGTTGAGAACTGCCAGCTGGGAAAAGTCTTCCTTCAAGCATGTTAATTTTGGACAGCATCTCAAAGCCACCATATGAAGCCACGGGAAAAATCATCTGAAATCTAAGCAGAATACTACGTAACTCAAATACATTGGTAAGCTTGGATAATACTATCTATCCTAATAACAACTGGAGCTTTCTAGGACAAACATTGTTTATTTCTACACACATGCTCCATCTTCTAATGCTGTGTTTTCCAGATAGGTCCGATACCTGTCCCTCCTTTCTTGTGAGTCTATCTTACTCTCAATATATACACATTTATATCCCATTTACACTAATGGGATTCACACATGTGTATCGAGGAGAGCAAATATAACTTAGCTCTGTGTGTGCCTCTGCCATCGTTTATGGCACTCGGCTGAATTTCTTAAAGTAGGGTCTCCTTGCACTGATGAGCCTGCAAAAGAAGAAGAATGTGCTTATCAGAGGGAATAGTACATAAACACTCCTTTATATCGAGAAAAGAGGCTATACTCTCTGTAATGTCAGGTACGTCTTACCCTTCCTCCAGACATCATTTTGCTGCTCGTTTCCCCACCCTCATTCCATATCATCAGCTGCTGCTGGCAGTGGGAGGAAACCCATAGTATACTGATGTTAGGACACACTATACGTTGAAAAATGTTACACGGAGGAAGTACTGTAATTTGTTGCATTTATATCCTGCCCTGCCTCCAACAAGCAAAGGCAACCAGTATGGTCCTTTACACTCCCATTTTATTCTCACAGCAGCCTTTTGAAGTAGGTTGAAACTGGGAGAAATAATTGAAATATTGTTTTCCCCACATTTCTCAGTTCTACCTAGTAAGTCATTAGTGTACTGTATCTGTAGAAGCTGTAGAACCACAAACGCATGCCAGGCAGGCAATGTGCATTGGAAACAGAATGAAACAACACACAAAATACTTAACATGAATATTATTTGTTGTTGTTGTTGTTGTTTAGTTGTTTAGTCGTGTCCAACTCTTCGTGACCCCATGGACCAGAGCACACCAGGCACTCCAGTCTTCCACTGCCTGGTCAGTGGAAGCTTGGTCAAACTCATGTTTGTAGCTTCGAGAACACTGTCCAGCCATCTCGTCCTCTGTCGTCCCCTTCTCCTTGTGCCCTCCATCTTTCCCAACATCAGGGTCTTTTCCAGGGAGTCTTCTCTTCTCATGAGGTGGCCAAAGTACTGGAGCCTCAGCTTCAGGATCTGTCCTTCCAGTCAGCACTCAGGGCTGATTTCCTTCAGCATCCTTCAGATAGGTTTGATCTTCTTGCAGTCCATGGGACTCTCAAGAGTCTCCTCCAGCACCATAATTAAAAAGCATCAATTCTTTGGCCTTCTTTATGGTCCAGCTCTCACTTCCATACATCACTACTGGGAAAACCATAGCTTTAACTATACGGACCTTTGTCGACAAGGTGATAATTGATTGAAAATGGGTCTCTGTTGTAGAGTCAGAGCCCCTCTAGCTCAGATATGTACTCTTCATCCTGTTGGAGTGGCATCTGCACAGGTTTTGGGACAGTCATCCTGCTTCATTTACAGTCAGTGCAGATCTCATAACTTCCTGCTGAAATTCCATGACTTTTTGTACAACAAATGTTCTGGTTTATCCCGACCAAGACCACCGCCCGCCCCGATTTTGTTACACTATAGCCCCTCTGCATCAATGACGGGGTAGAATTGGGGAAGCAGAACAAACTAAATCAGAAGAAATCCGCCACTGGTACAATGCACGTTGCAGAAATCACGCATAATAAAACTCGCAGTCTCGGGTGGCCCTTAATCATACGGCATGCATGCACTTTAATGCTGCAAAACTGGGCAAAAGACATGCTTATTGTCACTTAGAAAAAAACTCTAGGAGCAAAAGTATTATACCGTTCAAATAGAATACCAAAAACACTTGGAGTACCTTTAAAAAACACGCCTAGAAATACATGATTACCCGGTTCAAGGTACAGGCAACTCTCCATTTACGCTGGGGTTTGTAGTGGAAATGTGGAAGACAATTGTATTTCGAGGAGTTAGGTGGCCTAACCCTTTCCCTTTAACATCCCCAGTTTGATTCTTGTGTTTCACACACCTGTCAGGAGTTTCTTGGGTTCTTCTGTGTTGCAAGTGCTGGCTGGATACCCGGCTGCAGGTAGTGGGAGACTCTCAACCACTCTGTATTAGTTCCATATATGGGTCCTGGGCTAATCATGAGTAATGCCAGGTGCACTTTATTACATCAAGGCAGGCTATAAAAGCCATAGGTGGGAGGGGCCCGGGGAGAGGACCTGACACTGGGAGACCAACGGTCGGGGTCTTTCTCCTGCTGCTCTACCTGGGGCTCCGGGCAGCTGAAGGGGAGATTGGGTAGCCCCTGTCAGGTATGTTTTTATGTTATGTTTTGTATGCCTGCTGTTTATTTGTTAATAAAACTGTTTTGGTTCCCCTTCCACCTCCTCATTCCTTTTGTCCTGATATCCTTGGAAAGAACTGCTGTATTTGGCAACACGGGGTTACATTTCACGGATAGCACCTAAAGCCAAAAATCACATATAGTCAAAACTTCAATGGTTCAAGGGTGGGTGGGATTGCCAAAGCTCCCGCGCCAATGCCCATCCCGTTTTCTTTTCTTTTTAAAATTGCCAAGCACGTAAATGCGTGTAAGTTGCAAGTTCCCTGTACACAGGAGTCCGCTCACACAAAACACAATGCAGCCCATGTTTCACTGTCCTTGTCCTCTGTTTGCACTGCTATACAAGCCTTCCTATCAAAACAGAAGGATTTCATAGCTGCTATGAAAGCACAGCAATATTGCCAGGCATTGTGCTCTGATAGGGTAATAAAACCTGTCAACCATTCAGAATTAAGGCGTTCATATACTGTATGATTACTGCGAAATAAAATCACAGCGATGATGCAAATCAGAAGCCTGCCACCAATCAAAATGGAAAATATAAGTGAGAAAAAATTGTCTATTTATGCATCACTAGCTGTATAGTATCCCTGAGCTCCAGTTATTATTTGGTTTGTTATCTGTATTACAGTAGTGCCCAGAGGCCACACACAGTTGATATAACACAAAACATAATTGTTTTAGCTTGGAATCAATTATTAATCTTGACACCTGCATTTTAGGTAAATAACAATTAGAACCTGATGAGTTTTTTAATTACTATTTCAAACTCTACATCAGCAGCAAAATGAAAAATATTAAGAGAGACAATGGTGAAATTAACCAGCTACAAAGCTGTAATAGTAAAAGGTAAAGGTAAAGAACCCCTGGACGGTTAAGTCCAGTCAAAGGCAACTATGGGGTGTGGCACTCATCTAGCTTTCGTGTTTGTTCGGAGACAGCTTTTCCGGGTCATGTGTCCAGCACGACTAAACCGCTTCTGGTACAATGTGCCAGAGCGCATGAAAATGCCGTTTACCTTCCTGCTGCAGCGGTACCTATTTATCTACTTGCACTGGTGTGCTTTTGAACTGCTAGGTTGGCAGGAGCTGGGACAGAACAAGAGGAGCTTACCCCGTCACGCAGATTCGAACCGCCAACCTTCTGATCGGCAAGCCCAAGAGACTCCGTGGTTTAGACCACAGCGTCCCTAAAAATGAAAAATATTAAGAGAGGCAATAGTGAAATTAACCAGCTACAAAGCTATAATAGTAATGCTAGCTACTTAAAGTGAATGTGTGTGTGTTGGTTTGTTTGTTTTAAAATACCCAACTTACACAGTCATTAAGGAATGAAGGCATGCACATTACGGTAATTAGGTTGCAATTTTTCTTTCTAGTTTAATTGCATAGTAAAATGTGCTCACCGGTCTTACACTTTCAAAATAACAATCAATACTGAAAGGACATATTCTCCGTGCTTTGGAAATCTCACCTGTGTGTAGAGAGCCATGAAAATAAAGGTAGAAATCTCATCTCTTACAGAACCAAGCAAAATTATCCAAGAATTGGTGTCCCTTCTCTATGACCTGGATCACACCATGTGTGAATGTAAAACTGTGGTTACATCTCTTCTCTCTTGGTCCTCCTGCTACCATGCTATCTGGAGCTAAGCCATCATTTCTGGAGCTAAGCCAACAAACAAACAACCCAGTGACTAAGGTAAGACACTGAAAACATTTATAAAATTATGAATGGCTTAATGGAAGGAAATACGCTCTGGCTCACAATGCTAGAAACCGAGAAATCTGAAGAAACTGATAGGCAGTTTAATTTCACATTTCCTCCAAGGTGTCCAACCTGACTGTATGCAACCTGACTGCGGCGGGAAGGTAAACGGTGTTTCCATGCGCTCTGGCACATTGCACCAGAAACGGTTTAGTGGTGCTGGACATAGGACCTGGAAAAGCTGTTTCTGGACAAACATGGACCACTTATAAACGCCATCTCCAACTCCTCGAAAGATTCCATCATTGGTGTAAAAAATTACACATCACTTGGGAAGACTAATGCCAGTGTACTGGAAGAAGCAAAGATCACGAGTGTCAATGCGATGATTCTTCAACATATGAACTTCATTGGACTGGTCATGTTGTGCAGATGCCCGATTCTCATCTTCCAAAGCAACTACTCTATTCCGAACTTAAAAATGGAAAGCGTAATGCTGGTGGTCAACAAAAATGGTTTAAAGACTCTCTCAAGGCAAATCTAAAAAAAATAAATGCAGTATAAACACTGACAACTGGGAAACACTGGCCTGCGAGCGCTCCAGTTGGAGAACAGCCTATACCAACGGTGTCATGGCCTTTGAAGACTCTTGAACTCAGGACAAAAGGGAGAAACGTGCTAAGAGGAAGGCACGCTTGGCAAATCCATACCGTGAACTCCTGCCTGGAAACCAATGTCCCCACTGTGGAAGGATGTGTGGATCCATAATTGGCCTCCATAGTCACTTACAGACTGGGTTCATGGAAGACAATCTTACCAGGCTACAAGTGATCGTCAGAGAAGAAGATATGGTTCTCCCCACCCCCCGTTTATTTTCACAATAATCCTGTGATATAATTAGCCTGATACTGCTGGCCAAAGTTCACTGAGGGTGCTTCCAAGACCGTTGCTCTTATTGAGTGGGATTCAATCACATGCCAGCAAATTCAAGTTGCAACAATTAAAGCTGATCTGGAGTTCTTGTGCAACAAGCCTAGTCCTCTGAAATATCAGACAATTAGGAAAGTGACAAGAAAATGAAAAGTGAAAGTGTGGGGGGTAACACTTGCTTTGAGAAAAATAATCTAACCTCGCCACAAACAGATCAGGATGAATGTGCAATCAACTGGTCATATATAGAAGCTGACTAGAATTAAAACTCAGGTCCTCGTTCAACCACGAGTGAACATACTGTACCTCTCATCTCAGAAAACCCTCAGAAGCATATGAGATGAGAGTTACAGTATGGTTCACTCATGGCTGAACTGAGACTGAGGGGACCTGAGCATAGCTGTCAACCGTCCCTTATTTGGTGGGAAAGTCCCTTATCCCAGCGCCGTGTCCCGCTGCTGTCTCTTATTGATGATATCCCGTAAATTTCCCAGGTTTCAAAGGAAGCAGCTCCTCTCCCTCCCTCCCTGCTGGCTGGCCAGGGAGGAGGGAGGCTCCATCTGTGTTGCTTGGCTGCATTGCTCACCCAATAAGGAGTCTGAGAACGACTGGGGGCTGGAGCTTGCATGCCTTGTGCTGATCAAATCGGCCGCGTTGCCTGGGGACTCGCCTCTGCTCAGCGCTTCCCAGCAGAGAGGTGACGGTGGTTTTCCTTGCTGCATCTCCTTTGCCGGGTTGCTGCGCTGTGGGAACCACCACTTGAGGCTTCGTTTGGCTGCTGGTTGACTAAAATCCCTTATTTTGGCTGCTGGTCCCTTATTTTCAAATCTGTAAGTTGACAGCTATGGGCTTGAGTTTTTAACGCTTACGACCTTCAAAATAAATACACGATTACAAATGTAACAGCAATCGTAAGCAATAAATAAAACATCAAAAAGTACACAGCCAAATTAAGCCATTTCCACATCATTAGATCTAATACAAGGGTACCAAAAAAACTAGCAACAAAAGCAAATGAAGGTGATGTTACAGGACACGGCCCAGCACTTGTGAAGGAGTATTAATTTATTTAAATGTGTGTGTTTTATTACTGTTTTGCTTGTTGTGTATTTTTGTGTTTTTGTAACTGTAAAAGTTACAAAACTCATTTTATAGGTACTGGAATGAAATAGTAATAGCCTTTATTCATAGGCTTAATATATCCACGCCCCGCCTCGCAGCAAGCGCGAGGCGTCTTATTAACGTTAACCACCAGTCCCCTCAACGAACGCGTGTGCACGTGTGAACGCGCTCCCCGGGTCCTGAGGCGACCACTCCTCCCGCGCCAGCCGCCTTATAGACTCTCCTCGCCTTTCCTGGCCCCGCCCCCTCTGGAGCGGGAGGGGCGAGGAAAAGGCGGGAAAAGAAAACCAAGCCCTTCCCTTCGACTCCTCCGCGAGGAGCAAGCTAACCACGAGACCGCGCCTGTTCTGACGTCACTTCAGGGCGGTTGTCCTTCTTTTGGTGGCGGTGGGACTCCGTTTCCCATCAGCCCCGGCCGGCGTAGGCCAATGAGTGGGGGACGACGGGAGCTGTAGTTCTGTGGGCTCGCTCAGGGTTCGTTTTACGTCCGGCGCCACGTCTCGCGCATGCGCGTGGACGGCGGCGCTCGCGCTGCTCCTGCCGCTGCATCTCCTCACCGTCCTGAGGTAAAAGAAGGAAGGAAGGAAGGAGCTTCGCCCGGCCGCGTCGGCGGCAGCGATGGCGTTCACGCTGTACTCGCTGCTGCAGGCCGCGCTGCTCTTCGTCAACGCCATCGCCGTGCTGCATGAGGAGCGCTTCCTCCGCAGGAGTGAGTCGGACAGGCCTCGGAAGGGGGGCGTGAGGGTGAGGGGGGTCCTGGCCTCATCCTCATCCTCAGTCTGAGGGGAGGAAGGCGGAGGGCCCGGGCCGAAGGCGGGGCTTCTTGGGGCCACGTGGCATCCCTAAGACGTCGCCATAAAGTTAATCATAAGGATCAGCGCCGAGTCATTCGTAGGGAGAGGCAGTGTGGGGTAGTGGTTAGAGCGCAGGGCTAGGACCCGGGAGGCACAAGAAGAGCCCGGTTGGATCTGGGCAGTGAGCCCTCCTACCCATCATTCTGGCTTCAGAATCAGTTTGACTCCCTCCCCCTCTTTCTCTTTCTTTTTCCTTTCTCCTCCTGTGAAGAGGCTGCATCCTAATGTTTTAATGTTGTATTTTAATCAACTTGTTTTTATTATTGGTTGTTAGCCGCCCTGAGCCTGGTCTTGGCTGGGGAGGGCGGGGTATAAATAAAAATTATTATTATTATTATTATTATTATTATTCACGGGGTCCGGCCAAATGCCCCAAAGACAGAGAAACCTGCGAATAGGATTAATTTAACATATCAATTCCAACAATCATTTAACATAGCTTCTTATCTTACACACTATTTTAGACTTCCGTCAACAACCTCTGAAGATTTTCCGTTCTTTATCACTTATTCTGCATTTCTTAATTTCTCTATTACTTTTAATTGTTCTTAACCACTAATTCTTATCAAAATCTTCCTTGCAATATTTCACAAAGTCCTCCTTACAGAACTTCTTGCAGTCCTACTAGCATAATATGTTGATTACAATTGTTTTTCAAATAGTTCAAATATTTACTCCAGTCCTCTAAGAATCTCTGATCCCACAGGTTTCGAATCCTTCCTGTTAATTTATATAATTCTGCATAGTCCATTAATTTCATTTGCCATTCTTCTTTTGTCGGTAATTCTTCTTGCGCGAATAGGATTATTATTACTATTATTATAATTCTCCTAGTGGGGCAGCAATAAGAGAGATTTCTAGTGCATCTGTAAAGATGAGCAGGGACTGGTATCATTTTCAAAGTGGATCGAGGGAGGGTGCATGTTGAGTTTCCTGCATTGCAGGGGGTTGAACTAGATGACCCTCGTGGATTCCTTCCAGCTCTACGATTCGTAGAATTCAAAAGTTGGAAGGGATCCCAAGGGTCATATCTTGCAACCTCCTACAATGCAGGAATCTCAGCTAAAGCATCCATGTGTGGGGATTACATGCAGGCGCTGTCTGGAGGAATTTGTAAATAATACTTGTTCGAATGTTGCCAGCCTGACAGGCTATATTCATATATATATTCAACTATTTGTGTAAGGCATTTATTTTCTTTTTTGTATCACAAATAGCATAACAGAGTCATTGGGGAGAGGGGAATCTTCTCCCTTCCCTATCCCAGTGTTTCCCAAACTTGGGTTGCCAGCTGATTTTGGACTACAGCTCTCATCATTGCTAGTTAGCAGGCCCAGTGGTCAGGGGTGTTGGGAATTGTAGTCCAAAAACAGCTGGAGACCCAGGTTTGGGAAACCCTGCTGTATCCAGACTGTATTATGTTTGGCACCAGAGTGGCTGCAGGTGCAGCTGTCTGTGCTGTAGGAGCAGATGTGGGTTGTCAGTATTGCCCTGGGCGCAGCACAGTTGCCCTCAGTAAGCAACGTGATAGTAGAGCTGCTACTATAGTTCACCTTGCACTATAGTTATCAAGAAATGGTTCTAGCCTCCCAGTCTCAAAGGTTAATGTAAAAGTAATGCAGAAAAGTAGTGGTAGTGATAGAGTATGAAATGCCATCTGTACCAAATGAGCCAGTGTAGGCTGGAGCTTTTTTTTAGTTAATGATAAAGGTGGCTGAAGTGGAATGATACGGAACTTTTCACATAAAGTTCAATTACAACTTTTATTACCCTCTGCTTACAAGATCTTTTTGGCTATTTCCCACCCCACCCTACAATTGTTTGAATTGCTTGTCAACTTACTCATTCTAGTTTCAGATCATCTTCATGTGGGTTTGTGGTTGCTCAGATGAAATCTAATTGTGAGTGCTGGTTTAGATCAGTGGTCCTTGTAATCTCGTTAATTGTGGCCGTGAAGCAGTAAGGAGAGGCATTGGAACAAAATTGGGCAAACTCTGAGCAAATCATTGTGGAGGCAGTACACAAAGCTGAAGTGATTTGAAGGTTTTGCTTCATATATTTTAGCTGGGATCATTGGTGGAAATACTAGACAGTCAGTTTTCTGAAATTCTGGTCTCTGCTGGTTTTGCTTCTCTCATGATGCATTAAATTTATTTCATTTATTTATTTAAATGCCGCTTAACTACAATAGTCTCTAAAGCGGTATACAAGAAATACAATACAAAAAAGTAAAAATCAATGAAAGCTATAAAATCAAATTGCAGTTAAAATGCCTGCTAGAATATGTATCCAGTTTGAATTATAATTTCAAATGGGCTTTCTGGCATTGAGACAAAGGTTAGAAGCCTGCTATTTATCAATATTTGGGCTTAAAATGCTTGCATTTGTAAAATACATTTTTGGTTGATATGACTGATAATTTAGATTATGTATTTGCGTGTTTACTTAACAAAAATAAAATTTCTGAATTATAGTTGGCTGGGGAACAGACCAGGGAATTGGAGGATTTGGAGAAGAGCCAGGAATTAAAGGACAGTTAATGAACCTCATTCGATCTGTACGAACAGTTATGAGAGGTAAGGTGGACAAAATAATGCTATTTTTAGCAATATGTTGTTGTGAGTTGATTTGTTTTACTGTGTTCCGTACTGCAGTTACCTAGTATTACTGTGGCTTTTACACACTGATGGCTAATGTAAATTGCCCTGAGTTGCTGCATCTGGGCATCTTCCTGTTTGGTTCTACTGGTGCAACACCAAGACAAATGATGTTGCACTAACCAGGATAAAGACCTTCGCATTTAATCCTGCCTAGTGGACTAATAGAAACAGGCTGTTAACTTATTCACTAGCCTTATAAGTTATAACCATGTGAAACTAATGTGGTGGCAACACCAATGTCTCTCTACTCTGCTGCCTCTGTGTCCTGTCAATCTTATGAGCATCATTGCTTCTTTCTGATCCTGCCTCCCCTAACCCATTCACTCAGTGCTGTAGATTCCCTGAAGCATGTGAGACTCTCTGACCACAACACCCTGCCTTCACTGCCACACCTTTTTGAGCTGAAATGGGAGTGCAGGGGCATCCAAAATTAAAGTGCTTTTTCCTTTAAGCAAATTTGGCCTGAGAGAATCTAGATCTGGCCTGTGGCGCCAAAAAGGTTTCCACCCCTGCTTTATAAAATGCATTGCTGAAATTGTTTTGTACGCTTGCATGCAGAAAATGATCTTGAATGTCCTTGTTCTTGAAGTTTATTCTCCGCCTAATGCAATATTATGTTTGTCGTTAGCTGATAAACTGTAATACCCTTTCTGCTTTTCTTTGCAGTGCCATTAATTGGAGTGAACACCGTTACAATTGTGCTGCTCTTGTTGTTTGGTTGAAGTCGGTGTCTTCAAATCAACCTGCCCAGTATCTCTAACATACAGACTGCAGACCAGTTTATTCATTAGGATTCAATTTGGCTTAGCTTTGGAAGCAACACATCTGTTTCAATAAAGACACAATTTCTATTTATTGTATTCCTTAATATTCAGCCCACTTCATAACACCAGAGGATTGGAATCACTGCAATCGTGCTGTACGTATCCTGAACCAGAACTAGATTTTTTCATTTAATAGTATCAAATGTTTACAGTACGCATTGTAACATATTGTAGTAAGTACTTAAAGATTCTGTTTCTTAACTCCTCTGTTGCTCAGGGCTTATTTTTCCAACGGTGTACTTGAGATGTGCTTGTGTTTTAAGTTGACCTTTCATTCAGTTTGTGAAGAACTGAATGATGTAGACTTTGCAGACCACTAGGTCAAATATGGCCCATGGACTATATGAATGTCACAGAAATGGAAATATTGTTACTGGCACATATTAGAGGTTTTTAAATAGACTTTTGATAGTTGATCAGTAGTATATGATTTATATCTTTACACAGCAGTGACATTTTAAGCTTAACAGTTCGAAATCTGGTGACATGTTGCAACTGCTATATAGCCAAACTTAGAAGAATAAGACCTAGAAATGGAAACATGTAAAACTTCATTTGGCAAGTACAGTTTATTAGTATGTTTTACAGTGGATCTTTATCCTTTCCCAAGATTTTCATTGTAAATAATTGTGTATACTGTGTGTAATCTGTTTTGGTGAAAGAATTTTTAAATATTGGGGAAAAGAATCTTTTTTTTGAAAAAATGTGGCTGTACTTCCTTTTTTTAGAAAGAGAAATGTAAACAGAAATCCTCTTCAGTGGGTGTTTAAAATCTGTTCAAAGCAGATATTACTTAAAATTCAGACCATAGAAATGTGCCCAGTAAAATGCACTATTTTCCTGATTCATATATTTAAGACTCTGAATCAGGTTTTTGTTTGTCTTGGAAGATAATCCAAGAGAAAACGGGCCTGTGATCAGATCATCACACACTGGAGGGTGGGAGGCAGGCAAGCAAGGGAAACTGGTGAGCAAAATCAAATATTTTTTTCTTTTTAACATCTGAATGCTTCTAGCAATCCTTTGCATGTTTACACAAAAATAACCCTGGTGACCTTAAAACCCAACTGACAATTGGTATTTACGCTAATAGGGAATCTGTCCATTAATTGTTACAGATACATTTCCTGAATTCTGAGTGTTTTCCCATTAGTCGCAATATGTATGATGGGATTCCACCAGCTCTTGCCCATTCGAAAGATGCAGTGAAGGTTGTTGCCGAAGGAAGTAACTCTCCTGAATTAGTACAGTGCATAGGAAAAAAGGGATTGGTTGGTCCTGGGGAAGTAGAACTACATATATAGTTCAATTGTCAATGGTAGATGCATGCAAATCAATAACCTTAACAATATGGAAAAACAAATTCTACCGCATCTTAAGTTAGTTTCAGAACTGCAGATTCTTTGAGGGCATGATCAAGCAAAAGTTATGGCACATTAAAATCCATTATTTAAATGGGTGGGTTAAAATCATAAAAAAATCTGCCCCTGAAATTAAAGGGACATAACTGTTCAATTTTGGCTGGATCACAACCATAATGTCCCATCCCCCCCCCCCCCAATTTTAACTACAGTATTTGATTTGATTTTTCCATTATTTTAAGCATGGCATATAGGCTGTTGTCTTTCTCTTTTTGTGATGTGAGCTGCTTTGGAACACCATAGTAAGTCTGAAAAATGAAATTGAGTTGTGCAATATAAACGGCACAGCTTTCCACATTGGGGAAAGTTGAAGGCAGATGGCAGTCAGAAACAATTCTCCCTTATGGAAGATGGCAGGACACGAGAAAGAGCTATTTCTGCTGCTCAAGAAGCTGCACAAATCATCACATTTCCTCTTAAATTGAACTATGTCAGCAATCCTAAAGACCAGATGTGGATAACCTTTCCGTCAGGGGCTGCCCCTTGGGTAATCTTTCAGGACTGAAAGTGGGTGGCTGGGGCTAAAAGTGGGTGGAGCTCTGAAACAAAGCTGGGATTGGAGTCCTAGCCCAGCTTTACACACTTCGAAATAGCCCAATAACAGCTCATAACTGCTCAAATACATGCCAAAATAACATTGTAAGACAAGACTGATGGCAACCTTTCTACTGATGAATAGCATGCCACGAATATAAAAACAAGATGTGTATCCCTATTACTAAAATAACCAATAGTGATAGTTGAGGTGTATGGACTCAATCCACACACTGAATCTTGTGCACGCACCCTTCATTAAATATTTATCCATATTACATCAGTAGGAGCTTCTTGGGGGGACCTGCCTCTTTTGCTAAAAAAATTCTTGTTTTGAGTATAGATCCTGGACCGTGGTACTTTTTCAGAAATAAATAAAAAGTTTAGTTTGTGAGAAGCAATCTCTGGCTTGCAAGTATGCAGCTTTTGGAAATACTGTTTGGAGGAGGATGCAAGAAAGGGAGGAGGTAAACTTTGAAAGCCACTCACATTTGCTCTCTGCAATAAAGCTTTGGGCGCTGGCATTTGCTCCACGCACCCACACAGTGCTGTGCTTTTAGCAGCTGAATGTTAAACAGAAGTTCAACAGGTGAAGCTGAATTCCCACATCTCTTGTATTGCCTAAGGTGAACTGCTCCTGGGTGTTAGGGTGATCCAATACAAGAGAGCACAAGCTTTATGTACCCTTTATACGTTTTGGCTAGTCTCTCTGCGAGTGTTAAAAGTGCAGCATCCCACTTTCCCCTTCGGGAGATTTGGATTGCCACAAGGACGGGCAGAAGTTCAACAGGAACGCATTTTCTGCTGAACTAGAAAGGTGGCTATAGCCTTCATTTGCTGCTTGGTCCTTTATCTCCCGCCGCCCCGATCCAGTGCATTCTGACATGCTGGAGTCTCCCAAGTTCATTACATTAAGCCAGTTTCTGCAGACTGGCTCTGTCCCATCCGCTTGCAAGACACAGCAAAAAAGGCAAAAGGTGACTATCGGAGTGCCTGTTTGCTAATCTCAAAATCTGACCGAAATGTTAAAAGCGGGAGCGTCTACTGGGGAGACATTAACTGTGTTTTTCAGGAAAGTATGTTGGGGAGGTGCGGAACTGAAACGAAACAAAGGCCCGCAGGCGTTCGTTTTAGTCACCTGCCGGGTCCTTTCTGGGTCCTTACGCAGAGAGGTCTTCCGCTTTTCAAGCCCCGCCCCCCTCCACCTCTTGCGGCTGAGCCGCGTCGCTGTAGCGTCAGGTCATTCGAACAGAGGAAGGGAGCTGTGAACCCCCCCTCCCCGTTTGCCGTCATGGTACGGCCCAACTCCCGTGGCGACTAAGGGCGAGGGCGGTACCAACTGTGCAGCAAAAGGGGGAAGGCAGAAACTCACCCTCTCGGCTGGCAATGGACCAGCCCGCGATGCGGTCCTCATAGCTGGAAGGACAGGTCCATCTCATGGGAGAGGGAGGGAGACGTTAAAACGTTGGTAAATTCCCCTCTTCTCTCGCTGATTTCCTCACCTTGAGACGTGGGTGTGAGGCAAGCCAGGTGAGGAGCGCTTTTTTCCTGGAGGTGGGGGTGAGTTAGTGGTGGACAATAATGCCCTAAATCACCTTGAATTAAAGTCTCTTGTGAGCCTAGAGCTGCCTTTGTGAGAGGAGGCTGCCTGCTGTACCTCTGGAAGAGTCGCTGTTCTGGCTTCTCCTTCCAAGCTGTGCTGGGAGTGGGGCATTTTCTGCTTTTTCTCTGCATGGGTGTGTAGGATTGCCTCTGTCAGTCGCTAAGGTTGCCAATGTCACACCAATTTTCCTTATTTGCAACAGAGTTGTTGTTGCTGTTGTTTAGTCGTTTAGTCATGTCCGACTCTTCGTGACCCCCTGAACCAGAGCACGCCAGGCACTCCTGTCTTCCACTGCCTCCCGCAGTTTGGTCAAACTCATGCTGGTAGCTTCGAGAAGACTGTCCAACCATCTCGTCCTCTGTCGTCCCCTTCTCCTTGTGCCCTCCATCTTTCCCAACATCAGGGTTTTTTCCAGGGAGTCTTCTCTTCTCGTGAGGTGGCCAAAGTATTGCAGCCTCAGCTTCAGGATCTGTCCTTCCAGTGAGCACTCAGGGCAGAATGGATAGGTTTGATCTTCTTGCAGTCCATGGGACTCTCAAGAGTCTCCTCCAGGACCATAATTCAAAAGCCTCAATTCTTCGGCGATCAGCCTGGTGCAAAACATAGGTTGTTTCACTGCAGAGTTTGGGCTGTTTTGTGTATGTATGTGGGTGGGTGGTGTTGTGGTGGAACTAACCACTCACAGCCTTGACTTTATCACGATTGCGGGTTGGTGAGACACTTCTGCAACAAGGAGCGGATTCTGAAGAATGACATTTGCAAGACTGAAACCTCTGACCTTACTCCCATGACTAACCAATGACACTAAAAAGAAATTCTAATTTATTCTGGCAGCTGCTTGACATTGGAATGGACTTCCTCAGAAGGTGGTGGACTCTCCTTCACTGGATGTTTTTAAGCAGGGGTTGAGTGGACATAATAATAATAATAATAATAATAATAATAATAATAATAATTTTTATTTATACCCAGCCCTTCCCAGTTCAGAAAACCAGGCTCAAGGTGGCTAACAACAAATTTAAAACACTTAATTGATGCAACAAAAAACAGCATAAAATAAAGTATAAAACGTGAATAACAATAAATTCAGAATTAAAAAATCAATTTAGGTGGAAAATACATCCAATAAACATTAGGTGATCACCAGGGCTAGCTGGCTAAATTAGTCCTATTTGGGCCAGTGAGGAGACCAGGGGAGAATTAGCTGTGGGATCCCAGAGCGGGTAGTCTTCATAAAAAGGGGAGAGGGAGGGAAGGAAGGGGAATGAAAGATCAGGCTAAGTTCAAATTGAAAGACAGGCAGAATAGCTCTGTCTTACAGGCCTTGCGGAAGGAAGTTAAATCCTGCAGGGCCTTGGTCTCATGGGACAGAGCATTCCACCAGGGAGCCATCACTGAGAAGGCCCTGGCCCTAGTGGAGGATAATCTGACTTCCTTAGGGCCTGGACCTCCAAACTATGATTATTCATGGACCTTAAGGTCCTCTGCAGGAGAGGCGGTCCCATAAATACGAGGGCCCTAAGCCACGAAGGGTTTTAAAGTCAAAACCTTGACATCTGTCATGGATGCTTTAGTTGAGATTCCTGCATTGCGAGGGGGCTGGACTAGATGATCCTCAGGATCCTTTCTAACTCTACAATTCTGTGATTCTATGTATAATCCTTGAACTTAATCAGCTTTTCTTTTCTTTTTACAGCAGATGTGTAACCTTGGTCCACCTGTAGATAAGTTTATATTTCTTCGATAAAAAGAGTTCTTTTGCAGGTGATAAAAAGCAGACTCTGCAGGTATGTACCTTGAAACACCTTTTAGTGGCTGGCTTTATCTCTGGGAAAGAGGAGTGCTCTTCGTTTTCCGATTAGATAAAAACCTGCGATGGCACCTGATGATCTCAAAACTGCTCGATAGGAAAGTGCTGATAAATGTTTAAAATTCCCGAAGGCTAGTCCGTGCTGGTCACGGAGTTTGCAGTCTGGAAAAAGAATTCCCAAAGCTTGTTCCTTTGGGCCGTTGAGAATGGGGGGGAAGCAGTCTGGTGTGGTGATTAGGGTGTTGGCCATAAAGCTTTCTAGATGACCTTGGTGTGAGAATAAGATACCACCATCCACACTTACTCTTGGAAGGAAGGGCGGAACAAAAGTGTAATATAATGTAATACCAGAGGAGCCTCATTGATTCCCGTAGGATTAGAGGAATCGTTCTGTCATTTGCCCTAAAGAGCGGTTTCTTCATTCTAATAGTGCTCCGCTGCATGCAGCTGTAAGAAGAAGCCAAAGATTTCTTTTTCCTAGAGGTGCCATTATTGACAGCTTGTATTGGGTTATTATTAATAATAATAATAATAATAATAATACTAAGTTATTATTTATACCCCGCCCATCTGGCTGAGTTTCCCCAGCCACTCTGGGCAGCTCCCAATCAAATGTTAAAAACAGTACAGCATTAAATATTGAAACCTTCCCTGAACAGGGCTGCCTTCAGATGTCTTTTAAAGATAGGATAGCTGCTTATTTCCTTCACATCTGAAGGGAGGGTGTTCCACAGGGTGGGCGCCACTACCGAGAAGGCCCTCTGTCTGGTTCCCTGTAACCTCACTTCTTGCAATGAGGGAACCGCCAGAAGGCCCTTGGTGCTGGATCTCAGTTCCTCCTTCAGGTATACAGGACCGAGACCGTTTAGGGCTTTAAAGGTCAGCACCAACACTTTGAATTGTGCTCGGAAACATACTGGGAGCCAATGCAGATCTCTCAGAGCCTCTGATCATTTCCACCACGTAGCAGAGCATCCTACGATTCTCAGCTCCTTTATCACCATCAGGATCCTGCATAGTTTGCTGGGTGGCAGTCCTTCTCTACGGTGGCCCCCACGTTATGTAATGACCTCCCGAGTTGTGCCCTTTTCCCAGAGGCCTTTGCAAGTGGAGGATGAGATCAGAATATTCCCACCTCCCCAGTGCGTTGCCGCTTCTGACTGCTGTTGATTCAGTTTAATTTTTGATCCAGTAATGAGTATGTTACACATAGTTTACTTCTTGTGTTGAGCTCCTGGAGCCACATGTTTAGGGTAGGCCCATAAATGTGCATAAATGACTAGCCGCTTCACACCTACTGCAGCTTAGCAATTTGCAAGAAACCGAAAAATGGGTGCGGTTTTGAAAGGTTCAGTCTGCCATCTTGATTCAAAACAGTTGTATCCAGACATGGATGCGAGCCTGCTCCTTCGTCTCAGGAACCACCATGCAAAATGCGCTTACGATCTCGTTAGAAGTGTCCGGACGAGTAGAGAATAGGCAAGGGAACACAAGGTTCATCTAGTCCAGGCATAGGCAAACTCCGGCCCTCCAGATGTTGGGGACTACAATTCCCATCATCCCTGACCACTGGTCCTGTTAGCTAGTGATGATGGGAATTGTAGTCCCAAACATCTGGAGGGCCAGAGTTTGCCTATGCCTGATCTGGTCTAACCCCCAGCAATGCAGGAATCTTTGGCTCAACATAGGGCTCGAATCCACAACCCTGAGATTAAGAAATAGCCGGCAGGCTCAAGTGATGGGTCGCATCATTATATTGTAGGTTTTGCTACATGGAAGTGGTTCCTTGAGGAGGAGAAGTCTATCAATGGCTGCTAGCCATGATGGTTGTGCTTGGTCTCCACATCTGGAGGAAGCAATACTTCTGCATAGCAGCCGCCGCAAACCACAGGAGGGGAGAGGGCTCTTGGGCTTACGTTCTGCTTGCTGGTTTCCCAGAAGCATTGGGCTGGCCGCTGTGAGAACAGGATGCCGGACTAGATGGGCCATTGGCCTGATCCAGCACTCTCTGCTTACCGTATTTTTCGCTCCATAGGGCGCACCGGACTATAGGGCGCACCTAGTTTTTAGGGGGGGAAATAAAGAAAAAAAAATTATTTGCCCTCCCAGCCCCAAAGAGCAAAGAAGGCAAGACAGCCAGCAGGATCCATCCCGCTGGCTGTCTTGGCTTCCTCTTTAGCCGTGCGCAACCTCTCCAGCCGGGAGAGGCTGCACGCGGCTTCGTTTTTAGCCGCGGGGCTGGGGCGGGGGAAGCCCGAGCTTCCCCCGACCCCAGCCCCCAGAACATGTCCAGGAGCGGCGGCAAGGTTACACGCAGCCTTGCCGCCGCTCCCGGAGCTTGCGGGGCTGGGGGCGCACTCCAAAGGCTTGCGGATACCTGCCTGAAGCCCGGGGAGCGCAGCGGGAGTTGGCGCTGCACTCCCCGGACTGCAGGCTGCTATCCGCAAGCCTTCGGAGCGTGGGGGGAACTCCTGCTGTGCTCCGAAGGCTTGTGGATAGCTGCCTGAAGCCTGGAGAGTGAGAGGGGTCAGTGCGCACCGACCCCTCTCGCTCTCCAGCCTTCAGCAAAAGCAACGCGAAGCCTCCGGAGCGCGGAGGGAGCGCTCCCACTGCACTTCGGAGGCTACGCGTTGCTATCGCTGAAGCCAAGGACCCTGCATTCGCTCCATAGGACGCACACACATTTCCCCTTCATTTTTGGAGGGGGGAAACTGCATCCTATAGAGTGAAAAATACGGTACATTCTAAAGTGTGAAACATCCACATTGAGCATGATGCACCCATCTGAAACAGCCCCGCAGTTGCACAGATAAAAGGCATCTCTCTCCCCCAATTTCCTGTGCTTTGGGGACAGTTCCTAATATGGGCACTTTGCATTCCCTGAAGCAAGATACGGACAGCCTTCTGTCCAACACCTGCTGTGTTCAGATTGGACACTTGGGCCCTATTGCTGGTCCTGTCGCATCGCGTGGCTCTCTCTTCCCCATCTGTGCATCTGACGCTCCACCTACGGAAACAGAACAATATTCGGCTTGGAACGCTTTGCAAAATTCTTCCAATGAAGGGAGGGGGGCACGCGCCTAATTGCTTTTTAATTGTGTCGTGCTGCTGCGGTTGGCACCGCACCTCTGTTCCATGCAGCAGGTAAAAATATAAAAACTCAAAAGACTTGAGATAAGATAGCGTGTACTTTTAAATCCAAGCTGGACGTGCCGTTTCTCTCTGGTGCGAGTACGCTTGTGGAATTTAAAAGTTGAAAAAGGTGGTTTCTGTGTGGGCAGCGAATGGGAGAAAAGGCTTGTTCTATCAATTATGTATATATATATTTAATGTTGCCTCTTACTTCCCTGTCCAAAGGGGCTCGTTGAACATGCTGGGTAATGCTCTCTTAGCATTACTAGGCTTGGCACAAATGGAACAGATAACAGAGTGCCTTTTTAATTGTCCATTGTTATCTAACTCTTTGGTTGTTTAATCTTCCTTCCCTCTCCTGGCAGTGTGAAGGATGGCAGCCCGGCGCGCGCTAAAGGCAGTCCTGGTGGATCTCAGTGGAACGCTTCATATTGAAGACTCGGCTGTTCCAGGAGCCCAGGAAGCTCTTAAAAGGCAAGTTATCCCTTCCAGACACCCCAAAAAGAACAGAAAACAAACGTGTAAAAAGGCCGTTTTCACAAAGGCTGCTTATTGGGCAAGGAAAAGGCCTTGCGGGCAAGGGTGTTGACGTGCCTCATACATGCACAGGGTCAGGTCCCAGATGACAGAATTTGGCTCTTGGCGTTTAACACAGCAGACCCTTAAGAATCCATTTGTGGTGGAGAAAGGCTACCGGCGGCTTTAAGACAGGCATCCCCAAACTTGGCCCTCCAGATGTTTTGGGACTACAACTCCCATCATCCCTAGCTAACAGGACCAGCGGTCAGGGATGATGGGAATCGTAGTCCCAAAGCATCTGGAGGGCCAAGTTTGGGGGTGCCTGCTTTAAGACCATAAGAATCAGGCCAGTGGACCATCTGTTAGAATTCCTGCTGTGTGATTGCAGTCATGGGATTGTTGTCTATACATGATGGTGTATGTTTTGACTCCACAGAGTGGGAAGTGACAGAGACAGGATGTTTGTTTTACTGTGTTCCGTGAAGTGGGACTATTGCTCTTTGCTGTCTGATGCTAGAGAGAGAGAGAGAGCGCCACGTTACAGTGCTCCGTGTATGTTTATATGTAAATAAAAGTAGATTAGCCAAAATGCTGAGTTGCTGAGGTCTGTTACTCAAGCTGCAAAGACTCTGCAGAACCCTAAGTGTGTCGGTGTCTGTTGGCATCGGTTTCTGTGATGTAGAAGACAGGAGTGCCTGACGTGCTCTGGTCCATGGGGGTCACGAAGAGTCGGACATAACTAAACAACTAAACAACAATCCCGCTTTATCCCTACCCTTGTTGTTGTTTAGTTGCGTCCGACTCTTCGTGACCCCATGGACCAGAGCACACCAGGCACTCCTGTCTTCCACTGCCTCCTGCAGTTTGGTCCAACTCATGCTGGTAGCTTCGAGAACACTGTCCAACCACCTCGTCCTCTGTCATCCCCTTCTCCTTGTGCCCTCCATCTTTCCCAGCATCAGGGTCTTTTCCAAGGAGTCTTCTCTTCTCATGAGGTGGCCAAAGTATTGGAGCCTCAGCATTAGGATCCAGTGAGCACTCAGGGCTGATTTCACTACCCTGAGGAGTCTCAAAGCAGCTAACATTCTCCTTTCCCTTCCTCCCCCACAACAAACACTCTTGTGAGGTGAGTGAGGCTGAGAGACTTCAGAGAAGTGTGACTGGCCCAAGGTCACCCAGCAGCTGCATGTGGAGGAGCGGGGAATAATAATAATAATTAATAATTTGCCAGGAAACGAACCCGGTTCACCAGATTACGAGTCCACCACTCTTAACCACTACACCACACAGTAATTCCTACAGCTCCAAATACCCCCCGTCCATAGTCTTATGTCTAGGCAGTTATCCCCAGGTCTGCACCCTATAGAGCAGTTGCAGCAGCAGGGGACCACTCCTCCTCCACCAGTTCATGTGCCTTCCCCCAAAGGGCTGCATGCATGCCTGCTGGAGACTATGCCTCTGCATGCAAGCTGCCTCTGCTCTTCCCTTTTCAGTCCCTTCCTGGTTCTGGGAGACAGGTGCAGGAGAGGGTAGGGAAGCACCCAGCCTGACCTGCCTCTTCTTCCTTTTCTTCCTATCCGTCCTGCACCCCATCTTCCAGCCTCCGACTCTTGCTTCCTGGCTGGCAAAGTTCCCCATAAACCACTGCCCCCCTATCCTAAACCAGAATCCAGCCCTTACTTTTCCTGGTGCACACTCTGCAGTGTCTTGCCAGTCCCTGGCATGCACCTGGCAACATTAGAATGTCATATGTGTGAAACCAAACTTTCCCTCCTGCCCCACGCCCATTACACTTGGACATTGGATTCAAGCTTGAGTGATCAAAAAGCATAGGGATTGGCCTCAGGTGGGATTTCTCTTTCTGTTAAACTCCAAAGATCCAGGAGTAATCTTCTTAGCACTTCCGCTTGGCAGCCCTGCTTGTGATAATGCGCTCATGTTATCTTCTGATGAAGCTGTTCCATGAATGCGAGAACAAAAACATGTTTTTGCTGTGGTTTCCGAAAATGGCAGCGTCCTAAACTGCTTACCCTGTTTTTCACGGGTCAAGGCTGCGCAGTGCTCCTGTTTCCATCCGGTTTGTGACCAATACGACAAAGGAGTGCAAGCGAGATTTGCTGGAGAGGCTGAGGAAACTCGAGTTCGACATCAAGGAAGACGAGATCTTCACGTCTCTGACGGCAGCCAGAAATCTCTTGGAGCAGAAGCAAGTCAGGCCCCTGCTGCTCGTCGAAGACAACGCACTGCACGATTTCAAAGGTATAGTGTCCTGGCGCCAATTTGCTGGGAACTGTAGTTTGCTAAGGGATCTGGGTATCGTAGCTCTGTGAGGTCAGCACCCTTAACACTTTGTCAAACTTAAAGTGGCATTATAATGCATCCACTGTGTGGTGTGATTGTGATCCTTTTGGATAAAGGTAAAGTTTATACATTTGTTGCTCCACCCATTTTTGTCTCTGGCCCTGCCCACACCTGGCATGTGGCCCCTGAAATGTTTCCCAGAATGAAATGCGGCCCTTGAACTGAATAGCGTCCCTCATCCCTGATACATGAACAGTAGGATCTATTGACTGAGGCCAGTGAACCTAGCTCTTTATTCAAGGAAACAAACCAGGGCTCAAGCCTAGTGGTCTCCTCAGCAACCCTTTCTAGGAGGCCTCATCCTGATGAAACTAATGCGAGGTCTGAAGGTCCCTGCCTTCCCCTTAGGACTCCTCCTCTCCAGGGTCTTTCTCACATAGTCTCAGGCTGTGTCTGCGCACGACCACCTCGGCTCTGCCCGTTTTATTTCTCTGCGGGTTCTAGGAGACCGGGGGAAGGGAACTGGTTGCAGCAGGAGGGGGAGACTCCCTGGTGTCTTCAGCAGTCTGCCTGATATCTGCCTCTTGGCCCCCTCCTCTCCTGCCTTCACTCCTGCCTCGCATTCTGAACTGCTCTCTGCCACAGCTGCTTCCTGCTCACTAAACCCTGTCACTCATGGGTAGGCAAACTAAGGCCCAGGGGCCCAATCCGGCTCAATCGCCTTCTAAATCTGGCCTGCGGACGGTCCGGGAATCAGTGTGTTTTTACTTTAGTAGAATGTGCCCTTTTATTTAAAATGCATCTCTGGGTTATTTGTGGGGCCTGCCTGGTGTTTTGACATGAGTAGAATGTGTGTTTTTATTTAAAATGCATCTCTGGGTTATTTGTGGGGCATAGGAATTCGTTCATTTCCCCCCCAAAAAATCTACTCCAGCCCCCACAAGGTCTGAGGGACAGTGGACCGGCCCCCTGCTGAAAAAGTTTGCTGACACCTGCTGTCACGTCTTCAGCTTCTGCCACCTCCTCTTCTCCCTCTGACCACCCATCGCCGTTCCACCGCCACACCCCAGGCTCTGAGCCTTCTTTCCCTGGGGGTTCCCCGGCTGGTGCCCCCTCTGCATCCAGCCAGTCCATGACATTCCCCGAGTGGTTGTGTGTCGATTGCCAGGAACCGCGCGGACTTGCCCAGAGAAGCCCTTGTTTCACTGGGAGAGTCTTCTGTGTGTCCTGCGAGAGATGCACAGTCGCTTTAGGAATTGCAGCAGACCATTACAAGACTCGAGCAGAATTAGCTTTCTATACTGCAGACTTTAATTAAAGTAGAGCACAGAAAACACGTATACTATATTCTGATCGCTTAATGGACCGTTTGCATCGTTCAGTGAAATCCGTACGACCCATAAACCCTCTATGTCCATGACGAGATGGCTTATATTGTTTGTTTGCTTTATTTAAAGCTTAATTGAGGGTTTCTTCTTCTTTTTCTCCTCCTGCTTTTGCTGCCTGTCTAAAGCTTAATTTGGACTTCATAGTTTGGCAATGCAATAGCTCGACTCCATCTGAAGTTCCAGATCTGTGGGGTTTCCTATGCATCTGCTTTCAGCTGTGGCGCCTGTCTTGGCAGATAGGCTCATAGCTCCTCCCCCTGTGACCCCATTCAATCCTTTGGGGGCCAATTAAAGGGTCATCTCCTACTGCAAGCTTAATTTGCTGCACAGGGGGATGGAGGGTGCGGCTAAGGAGGGAAGTGTTAATCCTGCCCAGCTGCAATATTCACAAAGATCACATCCACCCCCGGCAATTAGGCTTACAAAATGCTTACATGCTTCCCCTCCCAGACTCATTCCTGGGCAGAACATGAGTGTGTGTCAGAGCACAGCTTGGCTACACTTCCTCTTGCATTGGCTCTGCCTACCACCAGCAAACGGCCCCCAGAAAGCTGGCCAAGGTGGAATGTGGCCCTTGCCCAACCCCCCAAAAGTCCCTCCCTTACAGGTCTTCTGCCTTGCTCTTCCCTCCATATCTAGTGGTTGGTTTTTTAAAAAAAACTCTGGTTTTCAGTAGTTTAAGTACGCTGAAAGATGTTTAAGCTCCTGATAGTAACTACTATGGAATTATTCTTGGATAATCTTCATATAAGATTGCTCGCAGATGGATGAGTGTAATCCATTCTTTGGTTAATGGACCCAGATGCTCCCAGAGAAAGTTGCAAGCGAAATCCACACCAGCTTGCTTTTCAGTTTCTGCGTTTTTGTTTTGTAATAATGTTGGGGAGGGCATTGTGGGGCCATTTGAACAGCAACCGATGTCCTCCTTCTGTTAGCTTCTGCAATAGAACTTTTCTTCTTCTCCCCTTTTATGTGTCCTGCACCCTCCCCACATCTGCTCCAGAGGATTGGGGCAGCCCCCCCCCCAAAAGAACAGATTTAAGAGGTGTGCAGCTGGAGGTGGGGGGCATTTCATTTCACAAACAGAAACCCTTGTGCTGATGGAACAAGTTAGTTGATACCACTCATGTTCCCCATGCCCAGTTTGAACAGCTGCCATCTCTAACGCTTGTCCATTGAAGGCATTGTCCCTCTGCTATTCAGCTAAAGAGGCTTGCAGGTCCATGACAGCCCCTGCCCTCAGGTCTGCAAACTACACCACATGACACAAAAGCAAGGAGGGAGGAGGAAGCTCAGGCAACCCGTTCTTAAAGCTGCAAAGTTCTTATAATGCCCAACTTCAGTGGGAAAAGTTCAGAGACAGCAGTGGCAAAGAGGCAAAAAGTTCTAGCAGAAAAGTTCAGCAGAATCAGCACAGTGGGCTTGGGTCCCTTTCTCTTCTGCCACCTGAAGATTTCACGCCAAGGCAATTGTATCAATAACGATACGATATCTTTATTGTCATTGTCCCATACAGAACAATGAAACTGAAAAATCTACATAAGACATTCAAAACCCCCTAAAAACTCTGAAACCCCATTTTAAAATACAACATACTCCTATAGAGACACCTTATACTGCGTTTAAAACCAGAATTGCATTTGGGTAGAAACTGTTTCTCAGGTGGCTAGTCCTAGTCTTTATAACCTGTGGGTTGAACCACAGAGCCTAGGACTTGCCGATCAGAAGGTTGGCGGTTCGAATCCTCGCGACGGGGTGATCTCCCGTTGCTCGGTCCCTGCTCCTGCCAACCTAGCAGTTCGAAAGCACGTCAAAGTGCAAGTAGATAAATAGGTACCGCTCTGGCGGGAAGGTAAACGGCGTTTCCGTGCGCTGCTCTGGTTCGCCAGAAGCGGCTTAGTCATGCTGGCCACATGACCCGGAAGCTGTCTGTGGACAAACGCCGGCTCCCTCGGCCAGTAAAGCGAGATGAGCGCCGCAACCCCAGAGTCGGCCACAACTGGACCTAATGGTCAGGGGTCCCTTTACCTTTATCTTCTTCCAGAAGGCAGAAGCTGAAAGAGATCATTTCCGGGGTGCGGACTAAGTCAATGTAAGGCGAGCCATTTGGCTGTCCTCTTTTTTTTCCAGGGATCGATACAAGCGAGCCCAATGCTGTGGTGATAGGGCTTGCTCCTGACCACTTCAATTACCAAACGATGAACAAAGCATTTCAGTAAGTCGGAACGACGTGACAAAAAGTTTCTTTATAAGAAACGACTTCCTTTAGCCCCCACCAGGCAATTAACATTTGGCACAAGCTCAGTTTCTACCTGTCACATAGCACACCTCCAGATAACTTTATGACGATACTGTCCCAAGGGTTCTTTTTATTACCGGGAGGATGACAACAGGGCTTGGTGGTACCAAGTGGAATTCCTGCATCTCCATGCGCTTTCAGAGCACAATGAGTCACACTGTTGTCCTTCCAAGTAGGGAAGGACTTTGCTATCTGTTATGGCATTGATGGGGAAACCTGAGGCTTAGAACCTCTCCACCAGACCCGTAGGGCTTTCCCCAGTCAACACACCCTCTCAGGGCATTTTTGCTAATAAATAATATAAAGAGAAGAGGCCCAGCCAGAGAGGACTTTGCCAAGTGCTCTCTCAAACCAGGTGGTAAGAACTTTCCCTGCCCTTCTCAAATGACAGGGCATCCCGGATTGTCCATTAGTTAATGAATTCTGGAAACAGATTGGTATAGAAATATCGGGAATTGTGGGTAGGAAGGTGGAAATATCTAAATTAATGGTTCTTATTAGCCTGAGTAGCACTGAGTTAGAAACAAAAGAGGAATGTAAATGGGTAAAATTGATGGTAATTGCAGCCAGACGGGTTATAGCGAGTAATTGGGAAAACGCAGAAGAGCTAGGGGTGAACCAATGGAGGGAAAAATAGAAAAATATTATAATCTTAGAATATCTAACCGTGAAGAAACATAAAATGAAAGGGTTTAAGGTCAGTGGGGAGGAGGAGGATTGGTTTGAGAAGATATTGAATTATTTGGGCAGGTTTGAACAATTTGGGGCAATTAAAATGTTAAAAGTTACCGTATTTTTTGCACCATAACACTCACTTTTTTCTTCCTAGAAAGTAAGGGGAAATGTCTGTGCGTGTTATGGAGCGAATGCCTGCAGGTGGCGGGGGGGATCTGCTGCAGTCGTGAGCAGAGGATCCATGGTTCCCCTTCCTTCCCTCCTCCGTGGTTACAAAGCATGGATCCACATGGATCCTCAGGATTTTTGCATTGGGCTACTCCAAACTCACTGTCAGATCACATGTCTGTGGCCACAGCATGAACCACAAAAATCATATATCCACTATTTCGTTTAGAATATTTTTTTTCTTGTTTTCCTCCTCTAAAAACTACGTGCGTATTATGGTCTGGTGCGTGTTATAGAGCAAAAAATACGGTAAATAAACCTTGTGGAGGGAGGAGTGTTAAGGTATATAGAATTGTACACATGGTTGATTTGAATATGTTATTATTGATTATGTATACCTGTCAGGGCTGCCTCAGGTCTCAGCTCACAAAAGACCAACGCCAAGTTCTTCTTATATACAAAGGTGTTTATTGCAGTTCATTGTTTGCTTCACATCCGAGGCGCGCAGCCCCACGTCTGTTACGCTTAGACCGTTGAAGTCCCCTCTGAGTCAGTCCCTCCCCTGCACCAGTTTAAGAGGCTTGCGCTGCTCCACCTCTTCCTCTCTTTCCTTTTCCGCAGGGTCTTCCTGCCCGCTGGGGTTTCGCCCCTCCTGGATTCCCCTGACGCGGAATCCCCAGATTGCTCTTCCCCCCCTCCTGCGGGCTTTGGGACCTGGCCCCTCCTCCGGGCTCCCTGTACTTCCGCGCGCCTCCACATTTGAACTTGGCGCGCGCGCCCAACCTCTAACCTTCCTCTTGACAGCTACACTACTCCCTTCACTACTCCCCTCCCCTTCCGGGAGGGTGGCTTCCTCCGACCTCCCTCCCTTCTCTGCTGCTGGAGCTGCTTCCCCTGATACACTGGAACCTCCACCCCCTTTCGCTGCACTCTGGCGGGGAGGCTGGTCCTGACGCCCAGCTGCCACTTTGGGATCCCCCGCTGGCCCCCTGCTCCTGACACGTTCTCCCTGGGGCTCCCCTGGCCTTGACCACCGGCGCCCCCTTCTGGGAATCCTCTGATTCGCTGGAAAGACTCGTGGAATCTCTTGAGTCATTGTCATCCTCTTCCTCGCTGTCTTGGGATTCATCCCCATCACTCTCCATCTCCTGCCTACCCTGTGCCTCTGTCCCTGAACCCCTGACAATACCCAATGTATCAGCCGCCTGCGGGGTTTCACGGTTTGTTTTCAGTGTTTGTGCTTTGGTGGTTGGTAAAAAAATTAAAATTAACTAGAAAAAATGACAGGGCATCCCGTTGGCCACTGTTAGAACAGGATGCTGGACTAGGTGGGCATTGACCTGATCCGGGAGGCTCCACTTACGTTCTTATTTTCCTCCCACCCCTTCCTTTCTCAAGACTGATCCTCGATGGCGCTCCCCTCATAGCTATACACAAAGCCAGGTATTACAAGAGGAAAGACGGGCTCGCTCTCGGCCCTGGACCTTTCGTCACGGGGCTGGAATACGCAGCCGACGTGGAGGCCACCGTGGTGGGGAAGCCCGAGCGGATGTTCTTCCTGGAAGCCTTGCGTGGTACCGGCTGCACGCCAGAGGAAGCCGTCATGATTGGCGATGTGAGTGCCTGAGCATGTTAACCCGCCTTAAAGATGGAGCCTCCGGGAACCAAGCAGGCCTAACGTTTTTGTTCCCTTCTACCTTGGCAGGACTGCAGGGATGACGTGGGAGGCGCTCAGAACGCTGGGATGCTGGGGATACTGGTGAAGACGGGTAAGCACCATCTCACCGTGCCTCTTGCTTGTCTGGGTGGAGGCTAGCGGGATGCATGTGTGTGCAGGATCTAGCCTACTGCAGAAAGGTAAAAGTTTTAAATGGGGAGAGGTAGACACTCATCTTTGGTAGGTGCTAAGCATGTCATAGGGATGCGGGTGGCGCTGTGGGTTGAACCACAGAGCCTTGGGCTTGCCGATCAGAAGGTCGGTGGTTCAAATCCCTGCGACGGGGTGAGCTCCCGTTGCTTGGTCCCAGCTCCTGCCAACCTAGCAGTTCAAAAGCATGTCAGAGTGCAAGTAGATAAATAGGTACCGCTCCGGAGGGAAGGTAAACAGTGTTTCCGTGCGCTGCTGTGGTTCGCCAGAAGCAGCTTAGTCATGCTGGCCACATGACCCAGTAGCTGTACGCCGGCTGCCTCAGCCAATGAAGTGAGATGAGCGCCGCAACCCCAGAGTCGGCCACGACTGGACCTAATGGTCACGGGTCCCTTTACCTTTACCTTTATGCATGTCATAGGTTATCTTGTTATTATCCGTGTCATGGGCTATTTATTTATTTCACAAGATTTATATACCACCGGACACCTCAAATTGTTTGATTCCCCCCCCCCAAAAAAAAGTTAAAAGAACCATTTAAAATGTTCAAACAAAGACCGTATTTTTCGCTCTATAAGATGCACTTTTCCCCTCCTAAAAAGTAAGGGGAAATGTGTGTGCGTCTTATGGAGTGAATGCAGGCTGCGCAGCTATCCCTGAAGCCAGAAGAGCAAGAGGGATCAGTGCACACCGATCCCTCTTGCTCTTCTCGCTTCAGGGATAGCCATGCAAAGCCTCTTGAGCATAGTGGGAGCGCTCCTCCCTCTTCGCTCAGGAGGCTTTGCCTTGCTTTCTTGTTTCTTGTTTACCTCCTCTAAAAACTTATGGAGCGAAAAATATGGTAACTAAAATCTACAATTAAGCTAAAAATCAGATTAAGACATATGGCAACATTCTACATATCTGGGCAGGCTTGTCTAAACTGTTTTTAGAAGGTGCTGAAAAAAAGGGAGTTCCGAAGTGTGTGCTGCCACAAGAAAAGACAGATTCCTTACAAATGCAGAGCAAGTATCGCGGCACCTGTAACATCACCAGTTTTGCAGAGCAAAGAGGTTGAGTGGGCATAGTTGGGAACGGTTATAACGCATAGATGTCGGGAATGTGTTATGCCAACGCGAACCAGGTGTTGAGACAGAGCGTTTTCTCTCTGCTTTTGTTACAGGGAAATACCGAGAGGGGGATGAAGGCAAAATTACTCCTCCTCCGTACTTAACTTGCGAGAGCTTTCCCCAGGCTGTAGACCACATCCTCCAACATCTCCTATGAAGAAGCCTGCAAGAGTTACACATGGCCATCACATGCCAAAAGCTGAAACATCCGACGGCATCCTCAGCAGAGCCCAGACTTGCTTGGGGAGCTCTTGCTGGACAGCACCAAGCGATCACGTTTGAATGCTCTCCCCAGAAGGGTAGCTTCCTGTTCATAGGAATCACAGAGAAGAGTCGTAGCCTAGCCTTCACCCTGCTTGGCATGCCAGTTTTCTTGTTCTTTTCACGGCAGGGAGAGCTCAAATAGATGTCCCCCCTTGTCTGCTGTCTAGCGTGGCACCTTCTGCACTTTTGCAGAAAGCATAGCTCAGTTAGTTCTGCGGCATGACATTTGAATGGAAAAGGAGATGAACGCTAAGCCCAAGCCTAGTTAAAAAACAGTGAGGCATGAGTGGACTGGCCTCTCTCTTCCCTTCCTGTTCCACCCTCTTTCCCGCACTGATGCCATGAACAGGGGAATTCTCAGGTGTTGTTCCTGAGCTCTGGGTGATAAGTGTGAGTGTCAACAGTACAGTGCTGGTCAATAACTGAGTTTGCATGCTTGCCAGAGTCCAAAAGCAGCCAAGGTTTGCTGTTCACCTAAACAAAGTTTTTGATCAATACCAACATCACCAACCGCATTTAAACCACTTCATGGTAACGTGTGTGTTTGTTTGTTTCTTAAAGCGACATGGTAAACGGTACCACAAGCTATCATTTACTGGAAGTCTAAGTTGCAAAATATCAAGGGATTTTTGTTTAGGTTACTTACCATGGCTAGCCACTTTCCTCCTCCTGATCCAATTAAGTACAGCCGGGCTGCATCTTAATTAGCAATTCTTAATTTAAAGCACTCCTACCATTCATAATCATATTCATGGCTGAACTTCTGCCAGCCCATTAATAGAGGCCAGGGTTGTTTTTCAATTTTTATGCACAAATTAGAACTACCAGGGCTTTACAGATGTTTTAATTAGGTGGGGTTATTAACAGGAATGGCTGGGAAACAGAGATCTGGCCCATAATGGCTTCTATAGACCATGAATTTCTGATGTTAGACTTCAATGGGGGCCTATTAATTTGACAGTTGCAAGGTTTCATTGGGTTGGGGGAGTCCCCCACCCGTTTCCTTACGGAGAGGGAAAATCCTAGGGAAACCATGGGGACAAATTCCCCACTTTTTATGGGGTTTTGTTAGTACAGCTGTAAAATGAAATTGCAATTTGAAGCAAGTCCCATCCTTCCCGCACATGTTAACAGCACCAAAATGAGCTAACTTTTGTAATGGCAGTAAATGGCTTTTCTGGACCATTTGCAAAACTAAGAATGAAGCCCTTTTTGTTTACTTTATGGCGCTCCTGAGTGTTAAATTATTAGACTGTAATTGTAGCAGCGGCTTTACTGAAAGAGCAGGTTTCTTAATGAGCTACAGCTACAATCTCTTTTGGATGGAAAAGACACCAGGACTGTAACGGAGACCGTAGCTGAGTGGAAACAAGATTAGGAACGCTGATCAGAGATTCATATAACAAAAGACACAACAAAACACAACCGTTTAGGCAAAGTTAAGTGCTGCTTTGTTGCTGCCGATTTCAAGCAGCAGCGCTAAGCACATGTGTAAATCTTTCCTTCACTCTGGCAGGATCCAACCCTAATTGTTGTTTCTTAAATGGAAAATGCTGCCCTGATGAGACCGAGCCCCTCTGGACCAAAAGTAGGCTATAAATATAGTAACAGCAAAACCGATTTAAAAAAAACAACCACTGGCCCAAATCCAGTGAGACTTGCACACAGGCAAATAGGGTTAGGACTACAACCCAGATTCCATTGAAATTAACTAGTTAGTTAGAACTGACAAATGTCACTGTTTGCTGTGGGATATGCATGCCAATCTTACGCACATTTACCCAGAAGTTAGTCCAAGTTCCATGGAGCTTACTTCTGATTAACAGTGCACAGGACTGCAGCTGTACTCAAAGCTAACTTTAGCTTGTTCATTCAAAACACTATCTGTGGTCCCAGTTCGAAAGACTGAGCTAGAGTCCTGTGTTATCTCCCCTTATAGTCAGAACTATAAGATCAGAACCCCCATCGTTCAGCCCGGACACTGAGGTCCAGTGCTGAGGGCCTTCTGGTGGTTCCCTCACTGCGAGAAGTGAGATTACAGGGAACCAGGCAGAGGGTCTTCTCGGTGGTGGCGCCTGCCCTGTGGAACGCTCTCCCACCAGATGTCAAGGCAATAAGCAACTATCTGACTTTTAAAGACACCTGAAGGCAGCCCTGTTTAGGGAAGTTTTTAATGTTTAATGCTGTATTATGTTTTTAATATTCGGTTGGGAGCAGCCCAGAGTGGCTGGGGAAACCCAGCCAGATGGGTGGGGTATAAATAATAAATTATTATTATTATTATTACTACACAGACTCATCCCCAGAAACTTAACAGTGCTTTATTCTGGGACAAGGAAAGTCAGGTGGTGTGAAATGCAACATGTCAGCAATGCTGGCATTGACCTGCCAAAACAGATTAGATGTACAAAACAAGTGGAGTGACTCCCTTTTATTTTGGTTCTTCCCTTTAACGTGGCTGTGGGGAGCTCCAGATTCAACAGCAGAAGGAGTCTTGCAAGTGTGTGCACTTGTGAACATGTCCTTATCCCTTTCATCATGCTCTGCTTCCTGACCAAGTTTCTCCTGCATTTTTCTGACCATCCCACCTCACCCCCCCGCCCCCGGTGTTCCTTGATAAACTTTAGTAGCCCTAACCTAGCTAAAGTTACTTGTGGGTATTTATTTAACTGACCTATTGTTAAAGCGCTTATTAGCCATCTTTCCAGGGCTCAAGGTAGCATACATTCATTCATTCATCACCATCATCATTTTAAAGTAATACAAACTAATAACCACTTGAAAAATCAAACAAAAAACGACAAACATTCAGTGAACAGACCAGACAAGGGAAACACTAAATGGAAAGCAGTTCATCATGTATAGTCTCTGAAAGGTCCACCATATTGTGAGATTGGTTTCATAATTTTTGACCTGGCAAAATATCACAACCATTGTGTGTGTGTGCTATGCAGAAATCGCAATGTGGCAAACCCCGTGAAGCTAGCCAATGCTTTTCTCGATTCTTGCAGCCCCTGTTAACTCTGCTGGTTCAGCTCTCCCCTGCTTCACGCAAGGGGCCATGAATCACAAGAGCAGGCGCCAGCAAAAATGACGTGGGGAAAACTCTGTAGCCAGCCGATGCCTCTACATTGCTCTATCCTTATTTCAGACATCGTGATGTACAGTGGTACCTCGTGTTACGTACTGTCCCCCTTACAAATGCTTCAGGTTATGCGCTCCGCCAACCTGGAAGTAGATGCCCCTTATTGCAAACTTTGCCCCAGGAGGCGAGCGGAAGTCGCGCTCCGGCGGCGCGGCAGCAGCAGCGGGAGGCACCATTAGCAAAAGCGCGCCTCATGTTACGAGCGGTTTCCGGTTACGAACAGACCTCCAGAACAGATTAAGTTCGTAACCGGAGGTACCACTGTACTGGTAGCTTAATAGTACAGCGGCTAAGCCGTTAATAGCCGCTAAGCTGGTACAGTGGTGCCTCACAAGACGAAATTAATCCGTTCCGCGAGTCTCTTCGTCTTGCGGTTTTTTCGTCTTGCGAAGCACGGCTATTAGCGGCTATTAATGGCTTAGCGGCTATTAACGGCTTAGCGGCTATTAACGGCTTAGCGGCTTTAAGAAAAAGGAAACAAACTCGCAAGAACTCGCAAGACGTTTCGTCTTGCGAAGCAAGCCCATAGGGAAATTCGTCTTGCGGAACGACTCAAAAAATGGAAAACTCTTTCGTCTTGCGAGGCATTCGTCTTGCGAGGCACCACTGTATATTGCAACGTTTAGCTGGTTGATATATCACGATGTTGAAAGCCAGATATTGCCCAGCCCTAGTTATCATCCATAAATTTGCTGCTGCTGTTGTTATTACCCACCCTTCATCAGCAGGTCCCCAGGGAAGGTTACAACAATTTAAAATCCCGAATTAAAAGCAGTTCCTGTCGCATCAGTTTAGCGGTTCCACAGCCTAGGGGCAATTTGACATGAAGGCCCTATGTCTAGCTTTAGAAGATCATATGATGTAAAGGAGAGAGGCACGAATAGGGGAAGCCTCTGAGTCTCCCACTGAAGCCAAATCCACAGCCCTGCTATCCTCTTCCCTGGCAAAGGAAGAAGCACCTTTTGCGAGGGCAATGGGTCAACTTGTCAACTTTCATAGGAAAGCAGCCTGCAGAACAGGGTTAAGCACCCCTCCTCGCTGCTGCGTCTCCCACAGCTGCAATGTTCAAAAACTGTTGGGAGGTTATCCAGCTCTAAGGCTGCGTCATGTTTGGCCCCGAGACACAAGCGATCCCTTCACTTACGGGGAAATACTCTTTGAAAAGTCTACCTTAGATTCTCAATAAACCCAGGCAAGGGGTGAAACGGGATCCAGGAATGCATCCCTCAAAGAGGACCAGTAGTTTATTCTTCATCGTTGCAAGTCCTGCTCAACACCTGCTGCTTTTAATACAAGGATCCCTGAGAAGTCCAACTAACCACCACCTCTTTTGGTATTGCAAATATTGTCCTTGTTCCTCTGAAGAGGGGAGTGCCAGCAGCAAAATACTTGTGGTGTCAGTGTGTGGTGGATCCTAGGTGTCAGCGGGGAGGTGTCTATGTCTGGTGGTGGATGTAAGAGGATATTACAATTCATTGGATTTCAGGCATAAAATACAGTGCAAAAATATTTTCTGTTGCATATTAGTAAAGGCAGGAGAGGGGAGAGGCTCAACAGCAAACAACCAGCAAGCCCCTCTCTGTTCTTAAAAAGAAATAAAAATTAGTGTGCACCTTTGAGAATAGATTGTTCTGTTTCTCTTAGAAAGGAAAAATAATATCCGTATTAATGTTAAGTATTCAGTCTCTGGCTCCCAGAAATTCGTTGGGTTCTGGATGGTTGTAATCTTGACTTGCCGGGGGGTGGAATTCAGACGGACTCAAATTCTTTTTGCCACTCAGTGTATTTTTGGCTCAAGTTCTTAGCAGAGGGCTTCGTGTGAGTGATCACATCCAGGAAGTCTTCGGTGGTGACTGTGTCCAGTTCAATTACAGGTAAGCTCCCGCTGTCTGCGGAAAGAAGAGCATGGACCAAAACAAACACACACACACACACACCATTTGTTCATGTTATTGTCCCAGCCGCCCTGTTGATAGCATATACATTGACAAAAGAAGAATGGGTATAAATACTACTCAAGTCTCCCCTTGAATATGGAAGAAGCTGTGGGAGGTGGGGGATAGAGTTGGTCAAATGACGGGCTTGAGGGGGAATGTACCGTATTTTTCGCTCTGTAAGACGCACCAGACCATAAGACACACCTAGTTTTTGGAAGAGGAAAACAAGGGGGGGGGGAATTCTGAATCCCAGAAGCCCAGACAGCCAGCGGGATTCTTGCTTATCCACGCGCAGCCTCTCCCCAGCAATGGGAGCCTTCATCCCCCTGCCCAGGAGAGGCTGCGTGCGGCTAAGGCTCTCCCAAGAGCCGTGCTCCCTTTAAAGAGCGCATGGAGTGTGTGTGCGGCTCTTGGGGGCTTTTCCCCCAGGAGGGAGAAGGGCTGCCCTTCTCCTTCCTTGGGGAAAAGCCCCCAAGAGCCGCACACACACTCCATCCGGCTCTATAAGGGATAGCTGAGTAGAGCCTCCTGCCTGCATTTGCTCTATAAGACGCACACACATTTCCCCTTACTTTTTGGGAGGGGAAAAGTGCGTCTTATAGTGCGAAAAATACGGTAATACCTTGTCCTTATTCTGTGAGGGTGGGGTTTGTTGGAGGCACGTGGGGAGAGGTGACGACACCTCTTTAGCAGCAAAAGGGAACAAGCGAGAAGGAAGTGGGGAAATCCCCAGGAAAGTGGCTGGGCAGAGAGAGATGAGGTATCTAAAAAATTCTTAGCTATCAAGGCGAGAAGCGGCACTTCTGATGACTTAGTTGGGTGTAACAGAGACTATCAATCCTATCTCCTCGACACTGAATGGGTGTTGAAAGTTTTTAAATGGTGCCAGCCCGGAAGGTTGACTAAATAAAATGTCTGCAAAAAGGCTTCTAGAAAAATTCATTCCGCTGCCCAGGTGAGGTGGAGAAGAGATAGTGCCATTTATTTTGGGCTCCACTGGCAAAACAGCCTTGGGCTGTTGAAACTTCCTGATGAGTAATTGGGAGGGAGGGAGGTGGGACATACAGATGACCACATACTGACAATACTCCTAGAAAGGGTCTGATGCTCCCTCGTTCACTTTTAAATTTATAAATGGTAGGATATGGGTAGAGCATTTCCAGTAATGAAGACAGTGAATTGGCCAGTTTCCCTTTCAACTCGGCTTGCTTGGAACATGAGAGCCTGGCTAGCTGTAACGAAGACTCTTGTGGTTTCTCCAGGACAGCAGTGAAACTTCCCTCTGAGGTGCCAGGCCATCATATCAAAAGTTGTGGTGTTTTTAGGGGCGCTTCATAACAGGAAATAGAACGCCCCGACTGCAGTTTATCGCTGGAAGATAGCTAGTACTTGGCTCTTCAGCACAGCACTCTGCAATAGCAGATGAGTGCCTGTGCACCTTGAACACTCAGAAAACCTATTTACCTCGGGATGCGAACAGGATCTGTTCTGGAGCCCCGGTCGCACCCTGAATAGAACACACGACTGCGCATGTGCAGGTTGTGTTTTGCCGCTTCCGCGACGTCATTTTGAGCGTCTGCACATGCGCGAGCGGCGAAACCCGGAAGTAACGCACTCCGTGGGTTGCTGCAGAGCACAACCCAGAGCACAACCCAAAAGCGCTCAACCTGAAGCACATTCAACCCGAGGTATGACTGTACTTACTTGTTTTTATTAAATTTCCCTACTGCCCTTCATTTGAGGACCACAGGACAGTTTACAATATCGTTGGCATCCATCTGTCTTGAGAGACAATGGAGTTGCACCCCCAGGGGTGGAAACAAACTGCTGCGTTAGCAGCACTGAAGTGACCTCCCTGGGATAAAAGCCTGGGCAGCAACAAGACCCGCCCCCCCGGCCATGCAGGTGTGGTCCAAAGGAAAGCAGAGCAAGACATTTGGCACCAGCTTGACTGCAGGAGTTGCTGGAAGGAGGCGTACGAGGCGCCATCCAACCGTCTTAGGGACTCCACTCCAGATTTGTGTAGGGTTCACTCCTTTTCCCAAAGATGTCCCACAAGGCAGTGAGGTTTAGAACCACAGTTTTCCTTCGCCTAGATCAGCCTTGGGTTCCCAGATGTTTTCGGCCTACAACTCCCATGATCCCTAGCTAGCAGGACCAGTGGTCAGGGATGATGGGAGTTGTAGTCCAACAACATCTGGGGACCCAAGGTTGAGAAACACTGTCGTAGATGGACTACCTTCCCATGTGGACAAGCCCCACCTGCCCCTCACTTCCCCTTGCAACACGTGCAGAAACTGCCTTCTTGACCGTTGGGCCCACTATTGGTCTCATCCGCTCAATCCACCAGAACTTGTCCTCGCATGCAGATGAAGTCCCTAACTCACCAGGAGTTTGAGACCCATCAGCTACCCTCACCTGGTTGAGTCAAACCAGCCAGTCAAAACTGTTCATAGGGTGTGGCCACTGTCGCATGTAGACAGCTTCTAGGAAGCACAGGTGAGAGCTGAGAGCTGGTTTGCAATATAAAAACACAAATACACAGGTGTACCTGGCTGGTGATTTTCAAGGGCAGTGAAGATTTTTCTCACGGGGCGCATAGCAGCTTCTTTGCAGACCAACTTGATGTCGGAACCAGAGTATCCTTCCATCTCCTAATAAGTAAATTGGAAAGACACAGTTCAGTCTCCAGGAACTTTCCAATGCAAATGTAGCATTTCAAAGAACATGGGATGTTTCAGAAAGTGATTGAGATCCAGGGGAACGCCCCTCCACAAGCATGTCCATTTAGAATATGGCTCCCCCACCCCACTATTATTTCCCCCCAATTCCTGCCCTACTGAAGTGAAGGAAGACCAATCATTCCTCAGCACACACTGCTCTTACTTGCCCAGCTCTTTTGCCTCTCATATGGCAGTTGCCCCACCAGGTGGGTACTTCAGTTTCATCCCAGTACGTTTCTGAGCACAATTCAAAGTGCTGGTGCTGAGCTTTAAAACCCTAAATGGCCTTGGCCCAGTATACCTGAAAGAGCGTCTCCACCCCCATCTTTCAGCCCGGACACTGAGATCCAGCGCCGAGGGCCTTCTGGCGGTTTCCTCCCTGCGAGAAGTGAGGTTACAGGGAACCAGGCAGAGGGCCTTCTCAGTAGTGGCACCCGCCCTGTGGAACGCCCTCCCACCAGATATCAAAGAGATAAACAACTACCTGACATTTAGAAGACATCTGAAGGCAGCCCTGTTTAGGAAAGTTTTTAATGTTTGATGTTTTATCGTGTTTTTAATATTCTGTTGGGAGCCTCCCAGAGTTGCTGGGGAAACCCAGCCAGAAGGGTGGGGTATAAATATTTTTTATTATTATTATTATTATTATTATTATTATTATTATTATACCTCAAGTTAAGAACTTAATGCGTTCTGGAGGTCTGTTCTTAACCTGAAACTGTTCTTAACCTGAAGCACCACTTTAGCTAATGGGGCCTCCTGCTGCCGCTGCACCGCTGCTGCACGATTTCTGTTCTCATCCTGAAGCAAAGTTCTTAACCCGAGGTACTATTTCTGGGTTAGCAAAGTCTGTAACCTGAAGCGTCTGTAACCCGAGGTACCACTGTATTATTATTATCCTTTGCTTGTGAACCTCGTTCCAAACAACCCAAAAGTAGCAGACATGGAGGTTTCCAGACCAGTCTCCCAGCCGGGAGGAGACACAACCTCAGAGCCAAAATGGAACTGCATCAGGTGCCTTCAAGGTTGGCCCCAAAAACATGGCTCTTGGGGCGGTGGGCCTCCTTTCTGTTGAGTCAGCTTGGGACATTCCCAGGTCTACCTACGATGCACTGTGTGTATATGCCTTGCCCTCTGTGAAAGCTCCCTGTGAGGTGCAGTCGTTGACAGCGATGGCTTCTCCTCACCTGACTGAGCAAGCTGTAGTCTAGCTCCGTCCTCAGTTCGACTCCGCCGCTGTTGCTCACGGAAGGAAGCCAGTGCTGAACCATCGCCTGCCTTGCCTCTTTATTCGGGAGGTCCACCAGAATCCTCTTCTCGAGCCGGCGCAACATCGCGTAATCCAGTTCCCTAGAGAAGGGAAGAGGAAGGGGAAGAATGACTGCGGCTACAGGGGTCCGTTCACCATTTTCTGAAGCGTGGGCTGCGATCTCTAGGAAATCATGGGAAAGGGTGGAGAGGGATCGCAAGTCCCAGACTGGCTCAGGCTCCGTTAGGGCAGGACTTGTCCACAAGTGCACTTTTATGCTTGAACAGAGATTGCAGGGGGCGGGACTAGATGAGCCTTGGGAGTCCCTTTCCAACTCTATGACTCTCACATGAGGACGGCAGAATCAAGCAAGAATCTGCATGCAGGAATGGGCTATCAGTGACCTAAGATCAGACCATCAGAACTTAGAACTTCAGCATACAGTGCTTTACAACAGAGGCTGTTCACACTTCCATATTTATTTATTTAAATTTATTTAAATAAATAAATAAATTGCATGCCACTCTGGGCAGCTTCCAACAAAATATAAAAATTCAATAAAACATCAGACATTAAAAACTTCCCTAAACAGGGCTGCCTTCAGATGTCTTCTAAAAGCCAAATAGTAATTAGGCTGAGTTTTTATCCTTATTGAACAACTTTCATATTGCTTGATTATATGAAAACCTGTAAGCGTTTTAAAAGAAATATTAAAATTATCAAGAAAAAGCACTTTAAATGTTTAGAATTGGTATTAACAGTAATTAATATTAACAGGCATGCCCATGTCAGGACAGGCCTGCTTAAACAAAAATGTGTTTTTTGGGACTACAACTCCCATGATCCCTAGCTAACAGGACCAGTGATCAGGCATGATGGGAATTGTAGTCCCAAAACATCCGGAGAGCCAAGTTTGCCCTTGCCTGCCCTAAGCTATAGCTTGTTTAGCTTATACGTAAATCCGGCACTGATCAAAAGCCTTCCATGAGTGCAACAGCACCAACAGGACTTCCACCCAATATGCTAAGAAGAATCTGGATAGTACATATTTTCAGCTATTCCACTAGATCTAAAGGTAAAGGTAAAGAGACCCCTGACCGTTAGGTCCAGTCGTGACCGACTCTGGGGCTGCGGCGCTCATCTCGCTTTATTGGCCGAGGGAGCCGGTGTACAGCTTCCGGGTCATGTGGCCAGCATGACTAAGCCGCTTCTGGCGAACCAGAGCAGCGCACGGAAATGCCGTTTACCTTCCCGTCGGAGTGGTATCTATTTATCTACTTGCACTTTGATGTGCTTTCGAACTGCTAGGTTGGCAGGAGCAGGGACCGAGCAATGGGAGCTCACCCCGTCGCGGGGATTCGAACTGCCGGCCTTCTGTTCGGGAAGTCCTAGGCTCTGTGGTTTAACCCACAGCGCCACCCGCGTCCCCTCCACTAGATCTACGTGACATTAAAAAATCTGAAGGGTTTTATCCTCAAACTTTTAAAAGTCACCTTTTAATACCAATGAAATCCATCCTTGCCTATTTATAGAGCATATCTTTCCTGAGCACTGGATGTTTTAAGCACCTTAAGCGTTTCTTTGCTGAAACCCTTCTTTAGCTTAGCCATAGTAAATAACTTGGCCATCAAGCCCCTTTTTAAATATTAGCAGCTGGCTTGGGCCGGCATATGCTGCCTTTACGGAGGATTATGCACTCCTGCGGCAAGAACTGCAGGAGCAAAGTAAAAAGCTCCCAATTAATCTTTGAAGGCTTTAACCAAATATCAAGGCTTTTACTGCTCTGGGTCTAAGTAAAATCTTTATCTGTGTTTAGAGGCTCACGCAAATGTATTCAAAGCGTACTCTCCGGATCTCTTACCAGGGCAGGTTGGAAGCCGCTAAAACAAAGACAAGATCATCTGACCGGGCCAGGCCATCCATCTGAACCAGTAATTCCGTTTTCATCCTCCGGCTTCCTTCGTGTTCACCGCTACCAGGATGTGGAGGATGGAGAAAGGGAGGGGCGGAGTCAATGTTATTCCCTGGCCTGCATCAGGACCACTGCCGTTACAGAGACAGGGACAAGCTCAGAAGCACAAGCCCATTCATGGGTTTCGCATCTCCCTGTCTCGCCCAACCCCCAGTTCCGAGGGCGGTTAAGTTCCATGAGATAAAACCTAAGCATTATGTCCAAACTTCATGACGATTAATGCCCAGAAGTTAATTCTGCAATGAATCCACTCATGTAAGAGCACTAAAACGAAAGGAAATGCACACTTTGGAGTTTTATCTTTGCACGCAGATTAATGCAAGAGGCACTGAGCAGATCCCAAAGCCAGCATTTAGTGAGAAGGCTATTAAGTCTTAAGTTAGATCAGCTTGGATAATTACAGGGAACAGAAACGGGCCATAGTTCAGTGCCAGTATGCAAGCTTTGTACATTCCCAATAAATACCAGGCAATATGGACTTCTGGTCTGATTCAGTGTGTCTTACTAATCCTATATATCTTTGTGTTAAACTATGGTGCAAACTACTGAGAAGCTCTCTTGGTAAAGCTCCGCCAAAATAAATGGGAACAGCACAAAAAACACATCTGTAACCGTTCGCTACTCCCGTTTGGCTGAATGTGGGACATGCAGGAGAGCTTCGCAGATTTTGTCGTTCTTCGGTACAGGCAAAGTCTGCATCAGTGGCGTAGCGTGGGGGGTGCAGGGGGGGCCGGCCGCACCGGGCGCAACATCTTGGGGTTAGGGTTAGGGGGCACAAATCCACGAGTTAGGGGGTGCAAATTACTTGCCTTGCCCCGGGTGCTGACAACCCCCGCTACGCCACTGGTCTGCATTCTGCAACTGGGCGACAGCCAATTTTACAGGTTTCCTTGGCGAGATCTTGCGCTCTGCTTGGAATGTGCTTGATGGTGGAAGTTACTTTATCATTTATTTATAAAAATATTTATCTACCACTACATCATCGAGAATAACAAAACCTTTTACAACAGCATTTGTATATAATAAAAGTACATAAAAAATTTAAACCCAAGGCCGTCAAGCAACTATTATGGAGAGATGAATTCTGAATTGCCTAAAGAAGCCTGGTGGGATAGAAGGATTTTCAGCAGATGTTTAAAGGTTGGAACAGAAGGCACCTGCTGATTCACTACTGGAAGAGTATTCCACAATACTGGGTCGACGACACACTAAAGGCTCCATTTTGATGCCCAATGAGCCTTGTCAACATGGAAAATAACCAAGAACACTTCTCAGTAACTGAGCTAGGATAAAAGGGTCTAGGCCAGCGTTTCCCAAACTTAGATCTCCAGCTGTTTTTGGACTACAAATCCCATCATCCCTGACCACTGGTCCTGCTACCTAGGGATGATGGGAGTTGTAGTCCAAAAAACATCTGGAGACCCAAGTTTGGGAAACCCTGATCTGGGCGGTCCTTAAGGTACCCTGAATCTAAGTTGCTCAGGAATTTGTAGATTAATGCAGAGAACTTGAACCTGGCTCAGAGGGAGAATGACTGTACAGATGGACGCTGGCTGGGATGTAAAAGCAGGTGGGTGGATTAAAAGAGGGATGTGGAACCTTTAGTCCTTCAGACACTGTGGGACTACAACTCCCATAATTCCTGGCCATTGGCCATGCTGGCTGGGTCTGATGGAAGCTACATTGCACCATCATCTGCAGGGCCACAGACCAGGGCTGGAGAAGGGCAAGGCCCAGGGAGAACCCTAAGAGCTGGATAAAGAGACCTAGAGGTTTCATCTGGACTTGGGCCTCAGGTTCCCCACCCTTGACATAAGCTCACATACTTGCTGATTACTCTTATATTCCAGATTTGGGAGCTCAGAACAAGAGTATACTAGGTAGCCTCCCATTCAGGCAGACCCAGATCAGACCCAGACACGCTTAACCCAGGGGGAAGGCTAAGTAGCTTAAGTCACAGACCTACTGGCACAAACAGATTTGGCTTTCCAAACATACTGCGTTTGTTCCTTTATTTGAACGTAGGGATGTTTAGAGTCAGAAGTGGAAGAGCGAGATATACAGAAGGGAAAATGGATTTTTCTTACAGTTAGCAAGGTTTTTCTAAGCTGTTCGGGGAGAGGATCTGCCTTACGGAAAACAGTCGGCAAAGAGGTATCCCCCACTTAAACGTTTGTTACCCTGGGGCTGTTCCTCGTTGGCTCATGACGGACTCCAGCTCATCCAGGAAGATTGTGGAGGGGGCGTGGTAGCGGGCAAGTTCAAATAACACCTGTCCAAAAAGAAAAGGGGAGGGAGGGAGAGACAGCTCAAGTCAGGAGGGACAAATCTCCCCACTGCCATGCTCTTGTGCACCTTCAGCTGCTGGGGATCACAAGCACTGTGAAACATGGACCATTTATAAACACCATCTCCAACTCCTCGAAAGATTCCATCAATGGTGTCTCCGAAAAATTTTACACATCACTTGGGAAGACAGGCGAACTAATGCCAGTACACTGGCAAGAAGCAAAGTTCACCAGTGATGAAGCGAAGATTCTTCAACATGAACTTTGTTGGACTGGTCATGTTGTTCAGATGCCTGATTATCGTCTTCCAAAGCAACTACTCTACTCCGAACTTAAAAATGGAAAGCGTAATGCTGGTGGTCAACAAAAGAGGTTCAAAGACTCAAGGAAAATCTTTTAAAATGTAGTATAAATACCGACAACTGGGAAACACTGGCCTGTGAGCACTCCAATTGGAGAACAGCCTTTACCAAAGGTGTCATGGGCTTTGAGGACGTTCGAACTCAGGACGAAAGGGAGGAACGTGCTAAGAGGAAGGCACGCTTGGCGAACCCTCACTGTGATCAACTCCTGCCCGGAAACCTGTGTCCCCACTGTGGAAGGACGTGTAGATCCAGAAGTGGCCTCCACAGTCACTTACAGATGCACTGTTAAGACTGTGTTCATGGAAGACAATCTTACTCGGCTACAAGTGATCACCAAATAAAGTAAGTTGCACTCAGGTCCCTTAGGCATCTGACTGGCCACTGCGAGAACAGTATGCTGGGCTAGACGGGCCCTTGGACTGATCCAGCTCTTTTTACGTTCTTACTTCCTGTTCTTTTCCATGGGGCTTGTAGAACTCAAATTTTGGAGCGGGAGGACAGCAACACCAGGTACACACAGATCTTATGCATGATACATGACAGATGCCTGTCCAACCTCTGCTTAAAAACCTCCAAGTTCATATGATGAACTGCATTGCTATGTTCTTCCTGCACATTCCTCTTTAACCTATATTTACAATTATTCCGTTCACTGCAGGCCATTTAGATAAATCAGTTTTTACCCAAAACAAAGGTATTAACTTCAAACACATGAAGTCCTTTTACCGGGGCTCAGGCTTCATTTGCTTTCACAGCAGATATATTTTAAAAACACTAAACCATGGGTAGGCAAACTAAGGCCTGGGGGCCAGATCCGGCCCAATCGCCTTCTCAATCTGGCCCGTGGACAGTCCGGGAATCAGCATGTTTTTACATGAGTAGAATGTGTCTTTTTGTTTAAAGTGCATCTCTGGGCTATTTGTGGGGCATAGGAATTCGTTTATTATTATTTTTCCAAAATATAGTCCAGCCCCCCACAAGGTCTGAGGGACAGTGGACTGGCCCCCTGCTAAAAAAAGTTTGCTGACCCCTGCCTAAACAAATGGCAACTTCCAAGCACGGGCTGGAATAGAGCCAAATGCTGTACATTTTTGGCTTTGATGCAGTTGAACTGTAGTGAATGATTGTGTTCACTTACTCATATTATGTCATTATGATCTTATGATCCATTCAGAGAATTGAGGGTACAGAGTTAATAAAATAAAAGGCTGCACTTGTTTTGTTTTCTGCCATGGGCTCTGGCTGACAGAGGGAGAGAGAAGGAAACGCGGATGCCACAAGGCTAGTTGGAGAAAATATCTGAAACGCTGCCTTGGTTTGGTAGGCCAAACCACTTCTTAAATCAGAACGGCTTATAAAAGAGGAGAGAAAGAGCAAACACACACAAATAATCCTGTCTTTGCATTTTAAATCTTTTCTCCTAAATCCTACCCAAGTATATGGAGAATAATAGGATAGAAGAAAATTATTCCAGAAAGGGATTCTGGGCAAATCCTAAAAGAGCACCAAGGATTAAAACATTCCCCTTTTATGTATTGTTGCTCCATATATATATATTTAAATAAGGGGTTTTAAAAAATATAAATGCAAGTTAGAAGTTGGGTTGGTTGGACTAAATAGCTTCTGTTTTCCTGATCAAAACACAACGTGGATAATCCCACGTATTACACAAAATGAGATTTTTGTTGGCTTTTCTTTTTAAACTAAGGATGATGGCTTATTTTGCTCTACAAACAGAATTCTTAAGAAGAGGTAAAACCCAATATCCTGTCACTTTTAGCATCATGTGTTCTTGCTTTCCTTGCTTTAAAAGATGACTGCATTCAAACTCCATTCTGACGCAAACTCCGGCATGTGTCTGAAGTTGCAACTTTAATCTTTGCCGTTAATGGAACCGCATACTGTGAGCCTAATTCACTGCTGCAGCCAGATGATTATAGATGGATTCTGCATTTACACACCAGTACAGAAAGAAAAAGGCCAGATAACTTATCATACTAAGAAACAAAGGTGTCATTTAATAGTAAAAGAACCTAGTCCTTAGAACTCCAGTGATAGGCTTAGCAGTATGCGATCAGAGCGCTAGCAAACCCTTGGTAAAATCTCCAAAGACAAAATGGGTAGGATTTCAAGTACTTCTTTGCCTTGTCACTGCCCTCCCCATAACTAGCAAAATTATGCAAAACTAAGAAATTTTATTATAATTTATGTAAGGTTGTAGAATTCTGCCTTCATTTTCTTTTTGATAGCACTGAATATATGTTATCTTGGTAAAATATCGATATCTTGGTAAAATATAGATAAAAGGTAAAGGACCCCTGGACGGCTAAGTCCAGTCGAATTTGACCATGGGGTGCAGCACTCATCTCCACTTTCAGGCCAAGGGAGCAGGCTTTGTCCACAGACAGCTTTCCAGCTCATGGCCAGCATGACTAAACCGCTTCTGGTGCAACGGGACACCATGACAGAAGCTAGAGTGCATGGAAACACCATTTACCTTCCCACCACAGCCGTACCTATTTATCTACTCGCACTGGCGTGCTTTTGAACTGCTATGTTGGCAAGAGCTGGGACAGAGCAACGGGAGCTCACCCCGTCGCGGGGATTTGAACCGCCGACCTTCTGATTGGCAAGCCCAAGAGGCTCAGTGGTTTAGGCCACAGCGCCACCCACGTCCTGATCTAGATGATATAGATATAGATATACAGTGGTACCTCGGGTTACATATGCTTCAGGTTACAGACTCCGCTAACCCAGAAATAGTACCTCGGGTTAAGAACTTAGCTTCAGAATGAGAACAGAAATTGCGCTCCAGCAGCATGGTAGCAGCTGGAGGCCCCATTAGCTAAAGTGGTGCTTCAGGTTAAGAACAGTTTCAGGTTAAGAACGGACCTCCGGAACGAATTAAGTACTTAACCCCAGGTACCACTGTACAGACACAGGTCTAGGTGGACCTTGCCCTGATCCAGAAAGGAAACTCTTGCATCCCTAAGACAAACTGAAGACTCGGGATCACTTAAATTAGGCTAGCTACACCTTCCCTGTTCCAGAAAATGAACTCACGTTTGAATGGTACAAAGCAAGAGTTGGGCCATGGGGCTTCTAGAAAAGAGGGGAGAGGGAAGAATAGGTCCATTCCTGCATTAGGCCACCTCACTCAAAGATTCTCTGCCAAACACTGTGGATTTCTGCCAGGGCACGAGGAAAACAGAAGGCACTCTTACTTTCACAAGCTTTTCTGAATCTCCCCTCCATTTGCTGACGATGGTGGATGCCGAGATGTTGAAGAAGGTTGTGTTGCATTCAGTGGCAACAGCTTTGGCTAGCAAAGTCTTCCCAGTACCTACAAGGTGCAGGAAAATAAGTCAGGACTCAGTCTCGACATAGGCGCTCCTCAACATTTCTCCCCACTGAGGAACTGTGCAAGCCTTTGTCCCCACAATAAATGATTCCCCTGAGCTATTTGGTCAAAAGAGGCGTACCTCCGACCCCTCTCGCTCTCCAGGCTTCAGCGAAAGCCTGCATTCACCCCATAGGACGCACACACATTTCCCCTTCATTTTTGGAGGGGAAAAAGTGCGTCCTATAGGGCGAAAAATACGGTAAATCCTCCCAGAACAGATGCAGTGGTCGTTTAGTTAACCATTCTGTCAAAAACACTCCCAGTCTTTGGAGGAGTTTTGCAAGGGATTCACAGGTGGTGGTTGTTTTTATTTGTTAAAGGCAGCATATAGAGACATGTCTCTTTAAAACCTTTTCCTTTTTAAATGGAGAACAGCTACTCTGCAGCAAGAGGGAATGCCAGAGTGTCAAAAATGGATGGTGATCTTGCATTCACCTCACAGGATATGCAAGGCTGCAAGAGTATTTATGCGGCCAGGTCCACACCGTGGATGTGAGCAATATCGAAAAACGTTATGTCCGCCTTCAGCCAGGAGTAAGAAAAGTGTTTACCCCAAGAGAAGGGGATGCACAAAAAGGTCTCTCAAGCTGTGGTGTAAGGGAATGCGGGAGTTCATTCGTAAACTGTAGTTATGTAGACAGTACCTGGGGGCCCGTAGAGCAATAGTCCTTTCCATGGAGAGAGGATGCCAGTAAACAGTTGTGGATACTAAGCAGAGAAAAACAATATCAGAATTAAATAATAATAATAATTTTCGGGAGTCAAACTGCAATTTCTGCAACACTTTTGAGCACCCAAATGACCACCATCCCATTCTGCAATTAATCCAAAATGCAGCAGCTAGACTGGTGACTGGGAGTGGCCACCAAGACCATATAACACCAGTCCTGAAAGACCTTCATTGGCTCCCAGTACGTTTCCGAGCACAATTCAAAGTGTTGGTGCTGACCTTTAAAGCCCTAAACGGCCTCAGTCCTTTATACCTGAAGGAGCGTCTCCACCCCCATCATCGAGCCCGGACACTGAGGTCCAGATCCAAGGGCCTTCTGGCGGTTCTCTCACTGCGAGAAGCGAAGTTAGAGGGAACCAGGCAGAGGGCCTTCTTGGTAGTGGCGCCTGCCCTGTGGAACACCCTCCCATCAGATGTCAAGGCAATAAACAACTATTTTACTTTTAAAAGACAACTGAAGGCAGCCCTGTTTAGGGAAGTTTTTAATGTCTGATGCTGTATTGTTTTTAATATTCAGTTGGAAGCCGCCCAGGGTGGCTGGGAAAACCCAGCCAGATGGACAGCGTATAAATAATAAATAATAAATCATTATTATTATTATTAGTTGATTTTGCAACTTAGACCACATGAATTAGGGGGCAGTTTGCAACTGAACTCCATGTGTAACTCTGAAAAATCAGTGCTAGAAACTGAGATATGAAAGCTAGGAGCTAAATGGCACCTTAAACCTAGGTTATGGGCGCAACAACAGAATGTCTAGGTGTGCTTTTTTTATAACAAGAATACAAAGCTGAAAAAGAATGAACTTGGGCTAAAATATTATGTTCATTTTTAACATGGTCTAGTCCAGGGGTAGGCAACCTAAGGCCAGTGGGCCGGATGCGGCCCAATCGCCTTCTCAATCCAGCCCGCGGATGGTCCGGGAATCAGCGTGTTTTTACATGAGTAGAATGTGTGCTTTTATTTAAAATGCATCTCTGGGTTATTTGTGGGGCATAGGAATTCATTCATTCCCCCCCCAAAAAAAATATAGTCCGGCCCTCCACATGGTCTGAAGGACGGTGGACTGGCCCACAGCTGAAAAAGGCTGCTGACCCCTGGTCTAGTCCTTCCCCTGCCCACCCCGCCTCATATTTTTAAGAGGGTCTCTTCTCCAGTCTTAAAAGAGTAACTGGAAGTGCGGAGGCAGAAAAAAGCTCCTCCTTCCCTTCCCTTCCCTTCCCATCCCATCCCATCCCATCCCATCTGCAGTTTTAATCTGAAATCTTAGGCACAGTACTGCGCCCAGAGCTCATAAACTGCTTGCACTCATGAAATTCCCCGTCCCAACATGTGCCTAGAACAATGGGAGTTTCGAACACTGCTGAGAAGTTGACACTTTCAAGATCAGGAGTGCCAATCCAGAGAGAAAGAAGCTTTCAAAACAGGTTCCCTTACCCTGATTGGGTACACAACAGCTTCCTTGACCAACCGCTTGGCTGCATCGAGACCAATGATATCGCCCCACTTTACATTCGGGTTGTGGAGGTAGATATCCTGCAAGACATTGTTTGGTCTTCTTAAAGGCAGGGCTCCGGCTCCCCTGTACAGTCAGGGAAACATCGGTGCAGCAAAATAAGCTCCGTTATGCCAGGGCATAAAAACAAAACAGTGACACAGAAAGAGACAGGTTGCTTTGCAGTGTTTCTCGGTCGGTCCCCAGCCTGTTGTTGGACTACAACTCCCATCATCCCTCGCTAAGCAGGGTCAGTGGTCAGGGATGATGAGAGTTGTAGTCCAAAAACAGCTGGGGACCCAAGCCTGAGAAACACTGGGAGAGGGAAGAAGCATAAAATTGTTATTGCAATGGAGGACAAAAAATTCTGAACATGCTCGCTTAGGAGACAATCCCACTGAAATTGACTGTTCCTGCAGAGCAACTAGGCTTAGGGCTGCAGTGTGGAACCCAGTTCAGCTACTGATTGACTGACTGACTGATTGATTGATTGATTGATTCATTCATTCATTCATTCATTGACTGACTGACTGCAGAAATGGATAAAAGCCCCCCATCCAAACAATGACTATCATCAGTGCAGGTAAGGGGGGAAAATATTTTAATTTTAATCATCTACAATACTTTCCTATTTATTTTATAGTACAGTACACTGATTATTGCTTTCATTTTATGGATCAATGGTCTCGTTAGATAGTAAAATCCATGTTAAATTGCTGTTTTAGGGGTTGTTTTCAAAAGTCTGGAACGGATTAATCTATTTTGCATTATGTTCTATGTAAGTGCCTTGGTTTTGGAATGCTTTGGTTTTGGAACTGACTTCCGGAACGGATTACGTTTGAGAACCAAGGTACCACTGTACATGTAAAGGTCTGCTCTTCCCTGCCACCCCTCCCAGCAGCTCCTTGCTGTGCATCAGAAGAAACACGTTGAGGAGTGGATGCTTGAACAAGTTTGCTGTAGAAAGTTAAAATTTTCACTTGTTGCTTCGCCCATTTTCACCTCTGGCCCCACCCCAGCCCCAGAAAGCTGCCCAGATGTGAACGAAGCCCTCAATCTGAAAAGGGTTCCCCACGCCTTCCACAGAGCATCAAGCCTCGCCTCCTGTGCCTTGCAAGACTGGATGTTTTGCCATCTGGGGTACTTGAGGGTCGATTCCAAAAGATCCCGCCTGAGAAACGTCTTTGCCCCTGTGGAGATGGTAGCACCAAAACAGCGGCACACGTCCTCCTGTCTTGCACTCTCTACAAAGACCTGAGGAACGAGATCATCACCCCACTCGTACTAACCATCCCAGGGTGCTCAACCACTGCCACAATGTCCTTTCTTCTATCAGATCAAAATGAGCAGATAACAGCAAAGGTTGCTAGGTTCATAGCAGGGGCAATCAGAATAAGGGCCACTAACTGATGGCTGATTCAGGACTTTAAATTGTGCTGTTATATCAAATTTCCTTTTCTGCGTATACTGTAATGTTTTACTGTTGCTATGGCCATTGGCTAATGCGAATAAAGTTTTTTCTCTCTCCCATCATCCCTGACCACTGGTCCTGCTAGCTGAGGATCATGGGAGTTTGTAGGCCAAAAAACATCTGGAGGGCTGAATTTGAGGAAGGATGTGCTAGATGAACCAGTGGTTCGACTCAGGACAAAGCAGCTTCCTATCTTCCTACGAAGGAGAAACAAGAGGGAATGACCTCTTAGTCTGGTTTCCAGAGCTACGTGGCTGGCCACTGTTGGACTAGGTGGAACATGGTCTTCTCCACCAAAACAATTGTTATGTTCTTTGTTCCTCCTGAGGAACTGGGGATGGAGGTAGACTACGTCCACCAAATGCCACTACAGCAAACCATTGACAACTATGCAGCCTTCTAATCTTTCGATCCGTTTTATCAACAGCAACACCCACAAATGCGAATAAAGTTTTATCTTATCTATCTCGCCTCCTGTGCATACACAGAGAGCATCACCCAGCAGCGAACTCTCTTGCATGGACCCCACTGCAGCGGGTGGAAGCTGTGCTAGAAGAGTGAAGGTTGGGGCTTCCACAGGGGACTCTCCTGCAGGGCTGTGTCCAGAATGTGGTTATTCATAGACTCTCCTCCTGTTTCTCCATTCTGATGTTGGGTACGGAAATGCGGAAAAGCGGAGGGTCAATTCCTTGACCAACTAGGCTCAGCATATACCCCAGGACTGAAAGGAAACAAGGTTCGGTCTTACCCTGCTCACAACCGTCGCAAGTTCTCTCATTTCACCAGTCATCCCAATAAAAGCGCCCAGGGGTTTTAATAACCGTTCCTACAAAAAAGACACATGCACATGCAATCTATATACAGTATAGCAGGCATGTCAAATAGGTCAATCACGAGGGTGTCCCAAGTTGATCGTGGCATGAAGTACAACAACAACATCAATAAATTTGGTAGACCCCCCCCCCGCCCCGAGAAAAGCTCAATAACTTTGGTCAACCCTCCCCTTAAAAAAGCTCAACAACTCCTGGCAATGACAATGGGTAGATCACAGCCCGTCTTTTTATACTGTGAGTAGATCGCAGTCTCTTGGAAGTTGGACATGCCTGATACATAAAAAGGTAAAGGGACCCCTGACCATTAGGTCCAGTTGCGGACGACTCTGTGGTTGCGGCGCTCATATTGCTTTATTGGCCGAGGGAGCCGGCGTACAGCTTCCGCGTCATGTGGCCAGCATGACTAAGCCGCTTCTGGAGAACCAGAGCAGCGCACAGAAACGCCGTTTACCTTCCCGCCGGAGCGGTACCTATTTATTTAGTTGCACTTTGACGTGCTTTCGAACTGCTAGGTTCACAGGCGCTCACCCCGTCACGGGGATTCGAACCGTCAACCTTCTGATCAGCAAGTCCTACGCTCTGTGGTTTAGACCACGGCGCTATCCACGTCCCTGCCTGATATATAGCATGCAAAAAAAAATTGTCTTGGTTATTTTGAGGGGCTGCAAAACTTTAAATTAGGTATGTGAAAGTTTTAAATATGCAACACCATTTTTGGAATAGGGTTTTTTTCATATTAAGTCCAATTCAAGCTGTCTTCCCGAGCCCCAGCTCTATCCCTGTGCATATGCAGCGTTTTCTAGTCCTCACACTCTCCCCACACAATTCCTCCACCAAATATACAAGGTAAAGTCCAAATTGGGAGGTACCGTGGCTATGTGGACAGGAGGAGATACTACATCCTATCCAGGATCTAAGGTGCTATTGTGTTTCAACAGCCAAAAGAACTTCCAGTTTGGACGTCACCATCTATGCATGTCAAGAGAGGATGATACATGCAAGTCCAAAGGCCACTCCAAAAGACTTTTCTTCCCCGTTGGATTTACCAGGTACTTGTTGTCAGTTTGCATTTCTTAGTGCAGAAAGTATGGACCTGATGTGCAGAGATCTTTTCTACTCTGATTAATACAAGAGGATTCTAGAAGCTAGTAAAAGCTTCTCTGTGTGAGAGAAGTAGGCAGAAGGATTGTTTGGGTTATAGCTTCCGGAAGCTGAGTACAGCTGGTTTGCACTGGTTCTCTTATCTCTATTCTGCAAGGTCATGCTGATTATAAATATTGGCCAGAAGGAGCCGGGGTCTCACTTTCTTTCTGATTCTCTTTTGTTCTGTGTTCTGTTCTGTACATAGTATGCTTAGTGTTAAGGTTTTAGACTTATTATAAGTTCTTGTTAAGTTTTATTTTAAGTGCTGCAACTGGATTTCTTATGGACTGTGCCATTCCTGATTGCATTTGGATTCGTGACCGTTATGCTCATTTGCCTTCAGCACCAGTAAAAGCTCTGCTGGATGAAGTACTATTGCCTTTGGTCTATTTTGGGGGACTCTGCAAGGTGTTTTAAGTTTTTCCTCCACACATATGACGCTTATTACTTCTCAACTTTTATTTTACTAGGCGGAAAGAACACCACTCACTGAAGGATCTGGATTGCAGTTAAGGCTGTTCACGGCAATTTCATTTGATGCTCCTTTGATCGCATCCTGAATCATCCCACGAAAATCAATGATTTGGCCCTACAAGAGAAACGAATAGTGTTTACCGGACCCTGAAGCCCATGGCAGGTCTTCAGCCTGGAACACAATAATAATAATAATAATAATAATAATAATTTATTATTTGTACCCCGCCCATCTGGCTGGGCTTCCCCAGCCACTCTGGGCAGCTTCCACAAAGACCAAAAATACACTAATATGTCATACATTAAAAACTTCCCTGAACAGGGCTGCCTGAAGATGTCTTCTGAATGTCAGGTAGTTGTTTATCTCTTTGACATCTGATGGGAGGGTGTTCCAAAGGGCAGGTGCCACTACCAAGAAGGCCCTCTGCCTGCTTCCCTGTAACTTCGCTTGTCGCTGTGAGGGAAGCACCAGAAGGCCCTCGGAGCTGGACCTCAGTGTCCGGGCAGAACGATGGGAGTGGAGACGCTCCTTCAGGTATACTGGGCCAAGGCTGTTTAGGGCTTTAAAGGTCAGCACCAGCACTTTGAATTGTGCTTGGAAACATACTGGGAGCCAATGCAGATCCCTCAGGACCGGCGTTATGTGGTCCCGGTGGCCAGTCCCAGTCACCAGTCTAGCTGCCACATTCTGGATTAGTTGTAGTTTCTGGGTCACTTTCAAAGGTAGTCCCACGTAGAGCGCATTGCAGTAGTCCAAGCGAGAGATAACTAGAGCATGCACCACTCTGGCGAGACAGTCTGCGGGCAGGTAGGGTCTCAGCCTGTGTACCAGGTGGAGCTGGTAGACAGCCGCCCTGAACACAGAATTGACCTGCGCCTCCATGGACAGCTGTGAGTCCAAAATGACTCCCAGACTGCGCACCTGGTCCTTCAGGGGCACAGTTACCCCATGCAGGACCAGGGAGTCCTCCACACCAGCCTGCCCCCTGTCCCCCCAAAACAGTACTTCTGTCTTGTCAGGATTCAACCTCAATCCATTAGCTGCCATCCATCCTCCAACCGCCTCCAGGCACTCACACAGGACCTTTACCGCCTTCACTGGTTCTGATTTGAAAGAGAGGTAGAGCTGGGTATCATCTGCATATTGATGGACACCCAGTCCAAACCCCCTGATGATCTCTCCCAGCGGCTTCATATAGATGTTAAAAAGCATGGGGGAGAGGATGGAACCCTGAGGCACCCCACAAGTGAGGGCCCAGGGGTCTGAACACTCATCCCCCACCACCACTTTCTGAACACGGCCCAGGAGCAAGGAGCGGAACCACTGTATAACAGTGCCCCCAGCTCCCAGCCCCTCTAGATGGTCCAGAAGGATGTTATGGCCGATTGTATCAAAGGCCGCTGAGAGATCCAGCAGAACTAGGAAGCAGCTCTCACCTTTGTCTCTAGCCTGCCAGAGATCAACAACCAACAAGAGATGTTGGACAGGGAACCAAAATGTAAGAAGCCAGACCAATAGGGAAGCCACTGGAACAACGGGTGGAGGTGGGGCTGCCTCAAACCATCTGTAGGGCACCAATTTAGGGAAGGCTGCTGCAAGACATCCATAAGTTTCCACCTTCAGACACCCAAACACTCTTATAATAACAATCCATGCATGCTGTTAGGTTTCTGACTAACCCTCCTAGGATGAGCGCCTTCTCCACTTCCTTTCTGGATTGCGGACACGTTTAAACCGAACTCAGATGGCACCCGGGCAAAAGCATCTTCACTCTCCTACAGAAAACAAACACAAACACAGACCAATTTTGAAATTACAAGAGCATGCTATGACCTTAGGGAGAACATCCTGAAGATGTTATATAGATGGCATCAGACTCCCTTGAAACTAGCGAAAATGTATCAAGGAGGGTTGCCGATTTGTTGGAGATGTAAAATAGACGTGGGGTCATACTACCACATTTGGTGGACTTGTGCAATCATTAGGGAATTCTGGGATAATAGATATAATGAATTTAAGAAATTATTCAGACTTACCTATAAAAAAAACCCAGAGATCTTTCTTTTAGGCATTTTACCATTAGAAATTAAAAAAGACGTAAGACCACTGTTCATGTATGCCACCACAGCAGCAAGAATTCTTGTGGCGAGGAAGTGGAAAAACGAAACAATACCGACAATTACAGACTGGCAGATCCTCATGTTAGAATATTTACAATTAGCAAAACTGACGGGAAGAGTTAGAGGAGTATTGAACCAGAAAATATTTGGAGAATGGAGAACATTTAAGGACTATATAAGATCATATTGTACCAATCACAGCATATTAGCAGAACTTGAGTGACACAACAAAAACCGTTTGTGGAGTAGACGGGAACAATACTAAAGAATATAAAACTGCGGGGGGGAAACAACAGTATAAACAGTACAATGAGAATGATTGCAAGACTCGTGTCAGAAGTCTTTTTTTATTTAAGTGTTCAATTAAGTATTAATTAGGGAGATTAAGGGTTTTTTTATGTAAGTAAATTTGCTTTATCTTCGTTCTTTTTTCTGTATTTTCTTTTTTCTTTTTTCTTAATTGTTTTTTCTTTAAATTTTCTTTTTGTAGTATGAGATTGTAAATTCTTTGTATAAGTGTGTACAATAATTTAAATTAATAAAGATTATTTTTTTAAAAAATGAAATTACAAGGGGTTTCCAAGCAGGCATGTTTGAGAAACTCCCACAATCCTCTGTGCTTGGCATCCCCAGTGCAACCAATGTGTTCTATTGGGGTTTGTAACATCCATGATGGCTGCTGCAAGTATACAACAGGGCTGATCTCCGCCTTTGCTTCCTGTTGAGCACAGTGCAGGAAATGAGGAAAAGCAGCAATGCTTAACACTCAACTTTGCTCAGTAAGACACCCCTGAAGAGCAGGGAGGAGCCAGCTGAAAATAATCACTCTGGCTTGTTTTGTCTGTGGCGTGGAAGCAGCAAAGGCAGGGGAACCTTTTGGGCAATGTGGGTCAGCACACTGAACCATGGTTTGTTTTAAACTATGGTTTAATGTGACGTGCAAACAAGCCATTATTCCCACAGATACAAGTTTGGCTGCAGTAACGCTTGAAACAGCTCCAGCTCCAAATACTTTTCTCTCTCTTTTCATCCAAGCCAGGTTAACCAACACTCTCAGAATAGTTTTGGAATACAGAGAGTATATCTATAGTAGAAACACATATTGGTTATAGTCTAGTTTAACTGTAATGGCAATCCCCAAAGAATCTGAGGAATTGTTTTCCCTTCCCTTCTAATTATGCAAATATATACACATATTCTCACTCTCTCTGTAAATGAAAATATATCAAGACTCCCTAATCCATAATTGTTTTTTTCAATAAAGAACGAAAAGCTGCCATTTAGAAAACACTGTGTATACAGCTTGTCCATTTCATTTGTATACACCATCTCTTTTAGCTTACTCATATGAGCCATTTCTAATGATTTAAATAACCATTCCCTAACAGATGGGACAACAGAGCTTTTCCAATATTGGGCAAGAACAACCCTTGCTGCAATTAAGAGATAAATAATCAAGTTTTCACTTCCTTTGTTATGGCATATCTTGTATACAATCCAGCAACATATTTAAGGCATCCATTCTAATCTTACTCCAGTTATCCGGTTGATTATTTGAAATGCTTACACCCAATAAGCTTGGGGGATTGTAATTTGGTGAGGAGACAGGCAATTATCTGTCTACAAAGCTGTTGCCATCCTTCCAGTACTTGTTCCCAAAGTTTGCTGGGGAGACGGAATGTTTATTAAGGAGATTTCAGTCTGTGGTCGTCCCAGAATGTCCAAAGTTTTAATTATCCTTCTACCTCCCTGATACTTTTACACAAAACCTCCTATAAAGGTTTTAGCAGCCCCAGTAACCTACCAGTTGCTGTATCCTATTGCTAAGCACACTGCATTCCCCAAATTTACAAAACGGGGGTGGGAGGAGGAAAGAAAAAAGGAATCTCAACCTCTTTAGGACTATCCTTGCTGGAATGTTTTGGCTCGACCGTCCTACGAGAAATACTTTTCGAAACTGGCCTCTGACTTGCTGGGAGAATCTTAGGAAGATTCCGACATGTGCTGCTTGTTGCCCTAGAACAACAACAAAAAAAGAAAGGCTTTCAGGAAGTGTCAGGTTTACAACCTGTCTTGATATGGCAAAGGACTAAGGTAAAGATGGGTTTTCCCCACCTAGCTCCTGGCACTCCTGGCAGGCCACACCCCCTATCCCAGCTCAAGCTCCACCCTCTTCCTGGGCACCCACCCTACAGTACATGGGTAGGCAAACTAAGGCCCGTGGGCTGGATCCGGCCCAATTGCCTTCTCAATCTGGCCCACAGACAGTCTGGGAATCAGTGTGTATTCACATGAGTAGAATGTGTCCTTTTATTTAAAATGCATCTCTGGGTTATTTGTGGGGCCTGCCTGGTGTTTTTACATGAGTAGAAATTGTGCTTTTATAGTCATACCTTGGGTTACAGCCGCTTCAGGTTGCGTTTTTTCAGGTTGTGGACTGCCGAAACCCGGAAGTACCGGAATGGGTTACTTCCAGGTTTTGGCGGTTGCGCATGCGCAGAAGCGCTAAATCGTGCTTTGCGCATGTGCAGAAGTGCCGAATTGCAACCCGCGCATGCGCAGACGCAGATTGCGAATGTTGCAGGTTGCGAACGTGCATCCCGCACGGATCACGTTCACAACCCCAGCGTCCACTGTATTCAAAATGCATCTCTGGGTTATTTGTGGGGCATAGGAATTCGTTCTTTTTTTTCCAAAATATAGTCCTGCCCCCCACCAAGGTCTGAGGGACAGTGGACCAGCCCCCTGATGAAAAAGTTTGCTGACCCCTGTCCAGTACATGGGAGACCCTGACAAACTGGGATGGGCTCTTTCCATCCTCAGTGCAACACATTTTGTGATGTGGTTTAAGCAGGAGCTCTGTGTGTGTGTGTGTGTGTGTGTGTGTGTGTGTTGGCGCTATGACTGTGTGTGCCTCTGCCAAGGGTGTGCTCTATGCCAAAGAGGTGAGATTTTGTGTTTGGCACCACCTACTTTAGGTATGGCCCTGCCCACTCCTGGAATGCAACCACCAGGAATAAATAATGTTGTGGCTGCATGGCTACAGAAAATCTTTTTTACTACCAACTGTGTCCTCATGGCAGCCATTTCTCTTACCTTTTTTGTTTTCCTCCAGTTCTTGATTTGTTGTCTGCTGTTTGTTGGGGGGGAAAGAGAAGAGAGAGAGACCTTGCCTTTCTTTTAAATAAAATAATGTATATAGTCGAGGGCCACAATCCAGCTACAAAGTTAAGCACGCTGAAGCTTGCCCTGCACAGTGATCTACTCTTTGCTCTGACACAAGTTGTTCTTCCTTATAATGGAAGCTGACAACTGGACAACGAAAATGGATTCTACAAGAGACTGGTATTGATAAACTGGAAGAGTAAATACATGATCCCCTTTAATCAATGGTTGATGACACAAAAACACCCACATCATATGAAAGGATTGCTTACAGATGTAGACTTTATTTGGATAACTATATTGACACCTGGAATGAGTTTCTACAGAATACAGTCGGTTACTAAGAATCAAATATATATTAGGAAAATAATATTATTCATATATCCATATAATAATGGAGATGTAACTGATTATAGTTACTGTGTTGTATTATATCTTTTTATTGTACTTTAGCACTTTTCATTGCTTTATTTTCTATAACTGAAATTCTTTTAATATAATATTACTATATATATATTTTAAAAAGTTGTTCTTCCCTATATCCAAATGTTTTAAACATGCATGCAACAACACGGACCACAATTGACTGGGAGGTTCTGCTCAAACCCCACTGAAACAAAAGGAAACCCCACAAGTGCCTGGTAGGACCCTTGCAAAGCATCCCTTCATCTCAGAAAGGTTTGGACAGGACAACTTCCCGGGCAGTGAATTGCGTACATAAATTCCATCCCATTACCGAGAAAGCCCTCTGCCTGGTTCCCTGTAACCTCACTTTTCACAGTGAGGGAACTGCCAGAAGGCCCTTGGAGCTGGACCTCAGTGTCCAGGCTGAATGATGGGGGTAGAGATGCTCCTTCAGGTATACTGGACCGAGGCCGTTTAGGGCTTTAAAGGTCAGCACCTTTAATGCAGAATGGAGAGCGGTTATCACCATTCCAATTTGCATCCAGTTTGCACCCACAGCTCTCAATCCAGCAAGTGAAACCAGAAATCCAGCACAGAAACCAGCTTCGGAAAGCCAGTGTGGCACAGTGGTTGAGTGTCAGACTGGGGTCTGGGAGTTCAAATCCCTACTCAGCCGTAAAGTTCACTGGGGCGATTTGGGGCAAATCACATTCTCTCAGTTTAACCTACCTCACAGGCCCGTTATAAGGGTAAACGAGGAGGAATGCTACCAACACACCAGCACGCCGTTGGTGTTAAAGAAAATTTCAAACACTAGTGGTAATAAGAAAATCTGAATTTTAAATCTGAAAAGAAAAAAAAACCCACACACATTTATTCTGGAAATTAGCCACATACTGGTGTCTAAGGCTTTTTTGGTAATCTTTGGGTACTTCTGGAATTTGACATAGTAGTAGCTTTCGTATTCCATCAAAATTGTCTCAAGGTCAACATTGTCGCAAACTTCAAAGCGCCGCAAGCCCAGCTTCGTTTCTTGCTCCAATGCGTTTGCAGCATCGACATAACTGGGAATTACAGATTTGGGGGTTCAGTTTATTCAATTGTTATAACATTGTAGGGGGAAAAACCAAAACGTTTTATACAAAAAGAGGCGGGAAGGGGGAATGGCAACATAAAACAGGACCAGGATCATTGCATCATCACTGAAACTGTTAAGTACATCATCATCATCACCACCACTCTGATGTTGGTCTTTCCAAGTGGATCCAACCCCCAAGCTGCCACTGGACAAACAGCTCTATCCAATAGCCACTATTTTGTGTGCACCTCCAACTGATGGCATCATAGCCTATTCCTGGAGTTACCAAAATAGTGCCCACAAGGACCATGGACCCCTTGCCTCCTGCTTTCCACTCCATCCTGGAAATATTTATTAGCTATACAGTGGTACCTCGGGTTACAAACGATTCAGGTTACAGACTCCGCTAACCCAGAAATAGTACCTCGGGTTAATAACTTTGCTTCAGGATGAGAACAGAAATCGTGCTCCGGCGGCGCGGCAGCAGCGGGAGGCCCCATTAGCTAAAGTGCTGCTTCAGGTTAAGAACAGTTTCAGGTTAAGAACGGACCTCCAGAACGAATTAAGTACTTAACCTGAGGTACCACTGTATATATGTCCTTATGGAACATAAGGTCCTTTCAATGACAGTTATCATGTGATAGCAGTCATCCAAACCTCTCATCACATGGCAAACATTCCTTCCCTGAGAGTTATATTTTCAAGCAGCAGTATTACTCATTCTATAATAATAATAATAATAATAATAATAATAATAATGTATTATTTGTACCTCACCCATCCGACTGGGTTGCCCCAGCCATTCTGGGAGACCTCCAGCGTATAAAAAAAGTTTTAAAAAATTGAAACCTTAAAAAAACTCACTTCCACTGGAGGCAGTGACGGACACCAACCTAGATGGCTTAAGAAGAGGATTAGACAAATTCAAGGAGGACAGGGCTATCAATGGCTATTAACCATGATGGCTATGCTCTGCCGCCACACAGTTGGAGGAAACAATGCTTATGAATACAGTGGTACCTCAGGTTAAGAACTTAATTCGTTCTGGAGGTCCATTCTTAACCTGAAACTGTTCTTAACCTGAGGTACCACTTTAGCTAATGGGGCTTCCCACTGCCACTGCGCCACTGGAGCACGATTTCTGTTCTCATCCTGAAGCAAAGTTCTTAACCCGAGGTACTATTTCTGGGTTAGCGGAGCCTGTAACCTGAAGCGTCTGTAACCCGAGGTACCACTGTACCTGTTGCTGGAAAATCATCTCCCACATTTTAACAGCCCATCAGTGTGGTGACAGGTTCAACAGGCCAGCCAAACAAAGCATGTAATTAGGTCGTTTGCCTGTGGAGTGTAGGAATCCCTTCCAGCTGACTAAGCAGAACCGCTTTTCAAATATTAAGTCTTTCTCTAGGACACAAATTTACAGAGGATGCCAGCCTATAGTATACCTGGAAGAAAGCCCAGTAGAACTCTACAAGTTTTACTACACAGCCCGAAAGGAAACAAAGTTTGCAGTTATCTAGGGTTATATCTTTGCTAACCTATTTTATTTTAATTGAACAAGAAAAACAGATCAGTAAAAAAACAAAAAAAACCACATGAATATTTGCTAGTAAGCAAAAGAAAACATACCCTTCATCCATTAAATAATGTAAAATCAGAATGAGGAGGTTTTTCCGACGGGCTTCTGATCGCATCTCTTCCTGCATATAAAAGAGAAAGTTTTAGAATATGATCCTCTTGTAGAAGTATATCGCTGTTGAGAAAGAACATAAGAAGAACCTACTGGATGCAGCCAGTCTTCCATCTGGCCCAGCATCCAGTTCTCACAGTGGCCAATCAGATTCCTGTTGGAAACCTGCGAGAAAGGCCTGAGCACAAGAGCAACTCTCCCCTCCTGTGGTTTCCAGCAAAGCATAGCCATCACATAATCTTTAATCAAAGTTTCCTGGAACCAGGGCTCTGTCATGTGTCCATGCAGCTTATGAGACTCTGAAGCAGCAATGGATAATTTTTTTTAGCCTGACGGACACATTCTCTGCTGGGCAATTATGGCAGGTGGGGCAATAGATGTACATTTAACATTTGTACAGTAGACTTCTTCCTGCCCATACTCACACAACCCTCTCCATCTTCCATCCAGGCAAGGAAGAAACATTATCAGAGTTCAAGGACACATCCCACCAGTTTTACACATGCAGCTCCCATTTACAATTAATGCGGGTGGCGCTGTGGGTTAAACCACAGAGCCTAGGACTTGCTGATGAGAAGGTTGGTGGTTCGAATCCCCGCGACGGGGTGAGTTCCCATTGCTCGGTCCCTGCTCCTGCCAACCTAGCAGTTCGAAAGCACATCAAAAGTGCAAGTAGATAAATAGATACCGCTCCGGCGGGAAGGTAAACGGCGTTTCCGTGCGCTGCTCTGGTTCGCCAGAAGCGGCTTAGTCATGCTGGCCGCATGACCCGGAAGCTGTACGCCAGCTCCCTCAGCTAATAAAGCAAGATGAGCACCGCAACCCCAGAGTCGTCTGCACCTGGACCTTATTTGTCAGGGGTCCCTTTACCTTTTTACACACAAAGTTAGGTTGCAGTCCTATATACCACTACTTGGGAGTAAGCCCATTAAGCGAGCAAACTTGTGTAGGATTCTCCTGCAAAAGTGCAAGATTTGCAGTCATTATAGTCTACATGAAGCAAGTGTCAGCCGCTATATGACAGTGAAAACTGTTCATCATTTTTTTAAATAATCATTAGCTCATCTACTGGAATCTGGCTTTTCCAGAGGAACCAGAGAGCCATCTGGTGGCCCAGGACAGAAAGTTATTTTTCTGTTTGTGCATTTTTCAAAATGAGTATTTTTCTTGTACTTTATGAAATGTGAGTAATACGGTAGTTCCGAAACTATGCTAGGAAAGCTCACTAGTGTGCTGCAAAAAATGGCTAGCAATAAATAAATAAGGTACCAGGAGCTCAAAGCACCCAGCCACAGGAAAGGATGCAACACAACACCCCCAATAGTGAGCCCAACCACTCCAACCATCTGGAACTAAGGACCTGGGTTTTCAGAACAGAGGATAGGACTTCAGGTCTGGTTTTCACTTCTGCTCCTTTCCCTTTTTTTCCTTGTTGAAAACAGCATCTTCAGGTATTCCAGTTGTTGGTTGTGGTTCTACAAAACCGACTAAGAATTTCTTTTTAAACAAAGATCTCTGCTTGGAATGTAGGGATAAGTGGAGATGCTTTGAAAGTGAAGCAAAACTCCGCCGTTCTCCCAGCACTGAGGCTCATCCACATGGAGACTAATCCTGTACATAAGATTTACGTTGTCTGCTTCATGTTGCATTTGTGATGTTCTATCATGTCATTGTTATTGATTGTTTGTAAGCCGCTTTGCGATTTGTGCGAATGAAAAGCAGCACAGAAATATAATTTCTTGTGCTACAAAACAAAGAAATAAAATGGGGGAAAGTGCAAAAAGAAAGAAAGAAAGAAAGAAAGAAAGAAAGAAAGAAAGAAAGAAAGAAAGAAAAGGATGTAACAGAATCACCTGCCCTTCAAGGAGGCTGCCCATTCCATCTGTGCATGAATGCGCACAGTTCCACTCATGCAGTGGGACTCTCCTTCCTCTCTTCCCCCTGTGTGCACCCTCAAAATCTGCTCCAGATGTTGAGGGTGTACAGAGGCAGCAGATGCTGAGGATATATAAAGGAGGCTGCAGGGCAGAGGAGAGGACAGAAAAGCTCCGTTGCGCAAGCAGAGGTCTGCTGCATTAGAGGAACAGCAGCTTTGGATACGACCCAATCTTTTAAATAGCTTTTACATTTAATTGCTTTTATCGTCAACATTTTTACCGTGAAATCACTTGCAGGTATGTTATAGGAAGTGACCCATAAATAGAATCAAATATATAAAGTTGGACTCCTAGGATTTTGAGATAAAGAAGGGGCAGCTACTCCCCATTTAAGGAAACACACAGCCTGCCTTGTAGCCCAGATCTTTTCCATACGTGATCTGCACAATTCCTATTAATTATTCTGAGTGTCATGGGCCACTCACTTCCATCAGGATGGTTTGGCAGTCCCAAATAGAGGAGGAGGGAGGAGGAGGAGGAGAAGAAGAAGAAGAAGTGGGAGGCTGGCTGCAAGGAATGGAAAATGGAGCTCTGACCTTCATGACACCAGATGTTGGGGAGAAGCAGCTCTGCCAACTCTCTTGATTCCCCCTCCTGCAAAGTCACGTCAGGAATGGGGGAAGAATTGAGCAGGAGAAGGCAGCTGGAGTCTGAGGGGCAGGATACAGCCTCGTTGCCAAGACCCAGGTGCCCCCTCTGTCTGTAGTAGAGATCGGATGCACATTTGAAGCACAGCAGATCCGTAAGGCGAGAGAGTCTATCGAGTGAGCTCACTCTGCCTCATCTTTAAAAGCTTTGCAGGATGGGCATGGCAATTGTTGGGATATCTGTGTTGCTTCTGTCTGGCCCTGCATCTCTTGCCATGTTTGTGTACCTTGGACCCACTTATCGCTGCTGAGCCTGTACCGTGAATAAAGTTCTCTTCTTTACTCTCATATAAGAGCTGCTGTCATCAAGCACTGGGACAGGAGCATAACACCAAGAACAATATTTAAGGTGTTTCTTTTTTAAAAGACCAGTGCTAACGTAGACCTGCCAAAGACAAACACTGCCAATGGTTACCACAGAAGTGGTAGATGTTGTACATGTGTGAAAGAATAGAAGCACTTAACGAGCAAAACATTACTTAAAATTCAGTTTAGGTTTATAGTGATTTACGCTCGCTTCTTTAATTGGTATGTAGAATGCCACCATCTTTACAGCCATTGGTATTTCAATAGATGTTTAAGTGTTTAAAGTTTAATAAGCTCCCATTCCTAGAACAAAAAAATGGGTGTAATTAAATTTTCAATTACTATAAAGGGTTTTTGGTCCATACAATTAATAAAAGCTTAAGGCACTTAAACAGGAGCTAGTTTTAAATGCTAAAAGTGCTTCCCTAATTAGCTTCAATGCTTACAGAGTACATTATTCATTTCTTAAAATGCCACACATAGTTTTTGCTGCAGCTGCCAAAAGATGAATTAGCATGCAATCAAAGTTTTAATATTACGATCAGATAATTCCTCAAGGTTCTTTTTTTTTCTTTTAGAAGATGCTGATGGTGCTCTGCTTATTTTAAATGAGATGAAGTTGTGATGATCAACCTGCTTTGTTCTGCATTTATCATGGCCCTTGGAGAATTTGGTGCTGCCTTCCCATCTTTAAACAGGGCTCTGGCATCCCATTAAACATCTGATTAGCCAATCCAAAAGAAAATAGCATCACATGCATTAACCATACAGTGATGTGTTAATATTCACCTACATTTTGGATGAATAGGTCCTAAAAGTTGGCCAACCTGTCTTTTACTCAAAGCAGGCGGGAAAATCTTGCTTATTTTAAGGTCCACACTTCTACTTGTGCATCCAAACCGCACATTAGTTTCTTTCTCTTAGACACAGTGCATTCTCTCTTGCTCTCAATTTCATCATGCATATAAGTCTGAGCCAATGCAACCAGACTCATGAATGCACATATCTACTAGAGACTGTGTACAATCACAGGTAGTCCTGAGGAATGCACACAAATTGACTGCATCAATGGGATTTTGCACACTACCCAGTCAATATGGTTAGTCACCAATGTCAGATAATGTGGGCAGGGGGATTCTAGTCATTTCCTAGCTGATTGGGGACTGGGGATAAGGGAAGCCAGCGATTTTCATATTTAATGAACTTCAAAGAACTATTTTCACATACTGTAATTTCATCTGCTGAAAACAATGCAAAAGGTTCCAAGGCATGTTCTAGAGTCTAGGCACTGATGTTGCCAACTTGGGGGGGGGGGGGCTATCTGCAAACAGGAGAGAAACGTTCTGGGCACCATACACATACACAGCACATAACCAAGCACACAGCACAACCTATCATACTGGCTACAAGAGAACTAATTTCACTAGGGGGAATGGGCACACGTGCAGCATGTTGGCAATCTGTAGAGCTAGCAGTCAGTTCACATAAAGCTCAAGTCAGCTATTGAGCCTCAACATCTACTTGTGAAAAACAAGAGTGATCCCAGGCCCTTGAACACCTCCGCTCCCCAACAGGTCTCTGTAGCAGGGACAGGTCAGTAGCGGGGTAAGGGTGGTAAGCTACCTTTCAAGGGAACTTTGCCACAAATGTCTCACTGAAGAATTCCAGTTAACAAATGACGCTGCTTAAAACCAAGTCATTTCAGCCCAACCCACAACTGGCTAAGCTATCAGGGACATGGCCTTTTCAGTTGTGGCTCTGTGGTTGCAGAACTGGAGGGGGTGGGAGATTTCCCTGCCCCAAATCTCTTTTTTGCAGTTTTTAGACATGCCATGAATACCATTTTTGTCCTTCTCTGTGAGCAAGTATTACTACATCTATGTCAACTCAGATTCTGTTTCAATACCTTTCTGATACCAGCTAAACCAGGTGAGCATAGCCTATGGGTCTCAAACCCTTGGTGAGTTAGGGACTTCCCCTAAAGACAGGCTCCGGCAGACTGAGTGGACGAGGCCAATAGTGCACCCAGTTGTCAAGAAGGCGGTTTCTGCATGTGCTATAGAGGAAAGTGAGGGGCAGAAGGGTCTCCTCAACCTGGGAATGTAGCTCATCTAGGAAAAGGAAATATCTGATCCTAATCCTCCACTACCTTGTGGGATAGCTTTGTGAGAAGAAAAGAATGAGTAGTAAACCCTACACAAATCGGGAGTGGAGTCCCTAACTAGCAATGTGCTGAACCTTGGCCTAAGGCAAGAACACCCGACAACCACTCTCAGGAACAGGCTGCTTATACCTGCTGGCTTGGGCAGAGAGGGGGGTTTAAAGGGAGGGTGAATCCTGGCAACGTCCAGCCATGGAAAGTTTCCTTGCCGTGTTATGTAATGCTCTCCCTTGGGTGCCTCTGGGAATAAGGCAGCAAACAGGGAGGCTGTGATAGGCAAGGCCCATTGTGCTCAGAACAGGGAAAGGGCACCAGATCCCAGCAATGAGAGGAATGGCCAGATTAGCATGGCTGAGATGTTGTCCTGCTGTGTGGTAGGATAACCAGGTGAGGGCTGTCGGGATCTCCGCTTGACCAAGCTGATAAAAGTTCATTTTCCTCCGGCTGAGTCCTTCGGAATCACCTCCCGACGTGATTAAGAACCTGAGCCTTTGATGAGGCCTCAGGCACATTCCCATCCAGCAGAGAATCAAAGCAGCACGCGGAAGTGATGAGATTTATGGCTACATGGCTAAAGAGTTTTATTTCTCGCTACGCAGACAGAAAAGAAACAGCCTCTCTCTATGAAAGCAGAGAGCAACTGAACAACAAAGGAACAGGAAACCAGTACGTCACATCCACATCCGTCTCCTGTGAGACTTCCAACAGCCTGGACTGTCTCTGGAATGTGTGGAATGTAAACAGAGTCTTGTGACTCCAAAGCACTGCTCAGTGGCAAACAGAAACTAACAAGGGCAGCTGATGGGTTTTAAACCCTTGGTGAGCTAGGGACTTCCTGTGCATGTGAAGACAGGCTACGGCGGATCAAGCGGATGAGACCAATAGTAGGTCCAATGGTCAAGAAGGTGGTTTCTGCACGTGCTGTAGAGGGAAGTGAGGGGCAGAAGGGGCTCCTCAACCTGGGAAGGTGGCTCACCTTGAAGAAGGAAAACTCTGATCCTAAACCTCCACTGCCTTGTGGGACATCTTTGGGAGAAGAAAAGGCTAAGGAGTAAACCCTACACAAATCTGAAGCTGAGTCCCTGAGACGGTTGGATGGCGCCTTATATGCCTGTTAACACCTCCTTTCAGCAACTCCTGCAACCAAGGTGGTGCTCTGCTTTTCTTTGGCCCACTTCATTGAGCCTGAGAGGGAGGTCTTGTTGTCTGGGCAGCCCAGGACCTCCAGAAACACTGTCCAGGCTTATGACCTGGGGAGGTCCCTTTGGTGCTGCTAATGCAGTGGTTTGGCTTTACCCCTGGAGGCACACTCCGTTGTCTCTTGAGACAGACAGACGCCAATTCTTCTTTTGTTACTGATATTACAAGTCACCGGGATTTTCTTGGGGGGGGGGGGGGAGCTGTAGCTCAATGGCAGAGCATCTGCTCTGCATGCAGAACACCCCAGGTTCAATTTCCAATAGCATCTCCAGGTACAACTGTGAGTGAAACCTGTCCAAAACCCTGGAGAACTGCTGACAGCCAGTGTTGACAATGAATTAGATAATTGGACCAACGATCCAATTCACTATAAGGGAGCTTCCTGCATTGCTGCTTAGGGAAAGGTGTTATGTGCTGAAGTTCTCACCCTGGGCCATCAGGGGGATACTGTAGATAGTTATGCAAATGAAGGATCGAAAGTGACATTCAGTGATTGGATAGTTTTAGAAAGTTGTTACAGTAACATTGTACTGGAGTTCTATATAAGCAGGCTGACTGAACTCTTCAGTTCTGTGAATAAACAAGAGCTGTTTGAAGAATCGCTGTGTCATCTGATATGTTCACCCACAATGTAACACTGGCGACGAGGATGGGATGGATTGACAACAGAGCACAGCCATATGCAGCCACCCTCTGAGCAGAGGTGAATCACTGAGCTGAAACACCGAGCAAAATCACTGAACGTCACTTTCGATCCTTCATTTGCATAACTATCTACAGTATCCCCCTGCTGGCCCAGGGTGAGAACTTCAGTACATAACAAAAGGTAATAACGCACTGGCAGGACATCTGCTTTGCATGCACAAGGCCCCAGATTCAATCCCTGCAACTCTAGGTAGGACTGGGAGGGAACCTTGTCCATAGCTGTAAACGTTTCCCTTTTTTTAAGGGAAATTCCCTTATTCCGAATAGGATTCCTCGCAAGAAAAGGGAAAAGTTGACAGCTATGACCCTGTCTGAAATCCTGGTGAGCCACAGTCAGCCAGAGTAAACAATACTGAACTAGGTGCGTCAACGGTCTCACTCAGTGTAAGGCAGCTTCTTATGTTCCTATAGATTTTACCCTGAAAGACAGGAGTGTGAATCAGTAAAGCGAAAGATTTAATGAAGCATGCACTCTGCCACAGACATACGATTAAGCTGAATGTTGGAAGATTAAAGAAAGATTAATTAAATAGTTTTTTCACACAGTACATTAAATTATGGAACTCATTCCTACAGAGGCAGCAACAGCCACCAACTTGGATGGCTTTAAGAAGACAAGACAAATCCATGGAAGAGAGGGCTATTGATAGCTACAAGCCACAATGGCTACACACTCTGCCCTTCACAATTGGGAGGCAGCAATGCTTCTGAATACCAGTTGCTGGGGACCATTGGATGGGGAGAGTTGCTCATGTGCAACTGGTTTTTGCTGGTTTCCCAAAGGCATCCAGTCGGCTGCTACAAGAACAAGATATTAGACTAAGTTGGGCCCCTAGCCTGATCCACCTGGGCTCTTCTTATTTTCTTATGTTCTTACAGCAACGTCTCCTTGGAAAGACCCTCCTGGCTTGGCCTCCCCACCTTGCAAGAATGCAGAAATGATGTTATTTCGATTATTGAGAGCTGCTTTGAGCTCAGCATTTGCCATTGGAAAAGCAGAATACCATTTATTAAAACCACTCCTGTTTCATCATCACTTTTTCTCCTCCCATTAACGTTGATTTTATTATTATTATTATTATTATTATTATTAATATAAATTAATAACCCTTCATCTGAAGATCCTAGGACGGTTTAAAGATTTTATACATTTATATATACATTTAAACAGCTTGAATAATTATAAGTTTGTTTGTGTGTGTGTGTTTGTATTATTCAGGCTGCTTAAACGTCAATATTGCCAACACCCAAAAACTTTTACTCTCTCTTGAAATTCAAGAAACCATCCATCCCGGGGCAGCGTTACTGCGCGTGCGCGTTCCGGTTCACCTGACGCATGCGCAGAGACAAAGCGCTGGGGGCGGGTTACCATAGTAACGGGGCGAAGCGAAACACAACGACGCCTACTCTTCCACTCACCGCCTCTCTGGCCTGATAAGTAGATTTCAACGTTTGGTAGGTTAGCTCCATCTCGTACACGAGAAAAAATCCCTCCTATTCTCCTTTCGGGGCTTTATGAGGCGACACACGAAGCTCCGCGGCCTTGGCGGCGTCTTTCCCGAGGTGTAAAGAGTATAACCAATCAGTACCCCGGAACATACCACGGCTCAGCCAATAAGAGGTAGGAGGGCGGGATGTGGAGGGCGGGATGGAAATACTGACCAATCATGAGTTAAGCAAGGTTGGACGGCAGAGAGGGAGCATTTAAAGTGCATGACTTCCCCGCAAAGAATCCTGGGAACTGTAGTTCGTTAAGGGTGCTGAGAATTGTAGCTCTGCGAGGGGGCAAAGCTATAGAAAGCCCAGGATTTTCTTTATTTTGGAAGAGGGAGTTGTGTGCTTTTAAATGCACATTTAATGTTCCTTAAATGTAAGCTGTGATGCAGCAGTAAAAAAAAGAAGTAAAAAAAACTTCAATACTTTTTTCTAGGCAGCATTGACAGAAGTATAGTGTCCAGATCAAGGGAAGTAATGTTGTTGTTTAGTCGTTTAGTCGTGTCCGACTCTTCATGACCCCATGGACCAGAGCACGTCAGGCACTCCTGTCTTCCACTGCTTCCCGCAGTTTGGACAAACTCATGCTGGTCGCTTCGAGAACACTGTCCAACCATCTCGTCCTCTGTCGTCCCCTTCTCCTTGTGCCAACATCAGGGTCTTTTCCAGGGAGTCTTCTCTTCGCATGAGGTGGCCAAAGTATTGGAGCCTCAGCTTCAGGATCTGTCCTTCTAGTGAGCACTCAGGGCTGATTTCCTTCAGAGTGGATAGGTCTGATCTTCTTGCAGTCCATGGGACTCTCAAGAGTCTCCTCCAGCACCATAATTCAAAAGCATCAATTCTTCGGTGATCAGCCTTCTTTATGGTCCAGCTCTCACTTCCATACACCACTACTGGGAAAACCATAGCTTTAACTATACGGACCTTTGTTGGCAAGGTGATGTCTGCTTTTTAAATAGTCCCGCTCTATTCTGCCTTGGTCAGAAAACACCTGGAATACTGTGCTGGGCACCGCAATTTAAGAAGGATTGGAAATTGGAACATGTGCAGAGAAGGGCAAAGAAGGTGATGAAGGGTCTGGAAACTAAGCCTTACGAGGAACAGTTGAAGGAGCTGTGTATGTTTAGCCTGGAAAAGAGGAGGCTGAGAGGAGATATGATAGCCATCTTCAAATATCTTAAGGGCTGTCACAGGGAAGAGGAAGCAAACATTTTTTCTCCTGCTCTGGAGTGTAGGACCCAAAGCAAGGGCTTCAAGTTAAAGAAAGGAGATTCTAACACAACATCAGGAAAAGCTTTCTGACAGTAAGAGCTGTTCAACAGTGGAATGGTCTTCCTCAGGAGGTTATAGACTCTCCTTCATTGCAGGTTTTTAAGCAGAAGCCATCTGTCATGTATGATCTAGCTGAAATCGTACATGCATGCCAGCTTCCAACTCTATAGTTCTATGATTCTATGCTCTACTGCATGGGTAGGCAAACTATGGCCCGGGGGTCCAGATCCGGCCCAATCGCCTTCTAAATCCTGAGCACATTATCAACGTGTGTAAGAGATTCAAGAACTAAGTATTTACCATCTCAAAGGAATGGCCAGGCTACCCAGAAAAGGCAATCAGATAAGGCATTATCAGGTATCCTGGCAGACAGGAGAGAAGCAACACACTCAACTTTCTTCTGGGGACCACCTCTTTCCATGATGTATGCATGATGTTTTGGGGGGTGGTCTTGAGCTACAATGTAGGCAGTTTCAAAAGTCAATATAAGAGCTTGTGCACCAATGTTCTGGGTTCCTCTCCTCCATCCCTGCATGGAGGGAGTGGGGGACCCTGTTGCAACAGTTTAATAAAGATCAGGCTTACTAGCTGCTTTGCTTCTCAATATTCTATGGCTGGCCTCTGTATTTTTCTCCTAGCAATAGAGAACCTACATAATGACTCTATACGGGCTCTTGGATACCCATAACAGAAAAAGAAGCAGTTTTTTTTCTTATAACACCTTTGTACTTGCATTATTAAGCAAAAGCAAACATTAGGCAGTAATCCTAAGCATGCTTGCTGGGCGGGGCTCAATTGGCACTTACTTCTGAGTATACATGTTACTTAGGTTTGTACTTAGCTAATCATATGATATCTATAATTTAGGTTGCTGCTCCATTCCAAATAGGACATCATATTGAAAATATGGCAGGCAGTTAATGTTCCCTACAAATTACAGGGTCTCCGAATATACATAATACATTATTTTACTTAATTAAGCCTCATGGCAAGTCATGCCAAATTTTAATCAAGAGCCAGCTGAAACAACTCAAGGAATAAAATCTTTAAATAGTTAACACCTGCAAGTGCATATTTAGAGCTCAACAGGCTGGGAAGGTTTGCCTTCAGTTTCCAAAAAATCTGATCAGAGGTTTTTGAGAAACAAGGTGGTAATTCATATCTGTGAGTCTCTGCTACTTGTTTAATGGCTCCTTCCCCGAGAAAACTGAGGAAGGCTGATGGGGTGATGCCTTTTCTTTAACTCTTTTCTTCCAACTCCAGGTCTACTGAAACAACAACAAGGAGAAGAAAGATAAGGTAAACGAAGGAATCCCTGGAAGGTTAAGACGGTGTTTCAGAATATTAAAAGGTAGTAGTAAAAGAAAAGGCTGCTAAAGCCACTTACATTTGAGGTGAGTGAAAACAATAGCTACAAAGTCTTATACAGATGTAAAGAAGAGCAATGGAAAACTCAAAATACAGTTGTGTATAATTGTGGCATGTAACCTTTGAGGGGGGTACTATAAAACTAACTGTGGGCTGAATCCTGTGCACTCTTACCTGTGAGTAAACTCTGTTGTGCCCACTCCTGTTTGCTCTGCATCCAGTACAGTCCCAGCTTATTTGGGAAGCAGTGTATGTACAATGTTAGCCAAAATTCCCTATTTCTGCTTTCCTTTCTTATGAAATAGTATGCATTGATGCATTACCCCACAAAAAAAAAATCAGTTTAGATCTATATTGAGATAAAGTTGCGCTTTAAGCTGGTAATTTGTGCACATGGCACAACCACGGTAGAATTTACTTTGGAGTAATTTCCAAAGAGGGGAAGAGGTTTCTGTTGAAAAGTTGGCACAGAAGTAGATAAGGAGGGGTGCTGGGGATTGTTTGTTTAAGATATTGTTATTTTATTGGTATTTCAAGGTTTTGCATTGCTTGAGTTTTAGTATTTGTTTGGGGGAGATTGGAAGTCATTCTGGTGTTTTAGCAGAAGAACAGGACAAAGTTTTACTCAGAGTAAACCCATTTAAATGAATGGATTTTAGTCACATCCATTACTTTCAGTGGGTCTTCTCTAAGTATGACAACCAATGAATGCAGCCCTCGGAAGCTACTCAGGGAAAGGGGTTACTGGGGTCACAGTGCCCTGAAAATTTCAGTTTGCTACTCTGTTGCAATACAAGAAAAAGGGAAATGTTTTGTTAACTAAGGCATTGTATGATGATGTCATTATGAATCAATTGTGTCCAGATTGAGAAAACTACAGTGTCATAATAAGTCCAGGTTCTTGCAAAACCTGAACTGTGGAAGAATAAATAAATAGTGTAGATCAGGAATATTTATGTGACTGTATGTGATTTTCATACTGCTCTTTATGCATAGTTTAACTGGTATATATAGAGCCTTGCCTGAAGAACTGGTATGGTATACAGTGGTACCTTTGTTCTCAAACTTAATCCGTTCCGGAAGTCCATTCCAGAACCAAAGCATTCCAAAACCAAAGTGCACTTTCCCATAGAAAGTAACATAAAATGGATTAATCCGTTCTAGACTTTTAAAAACAACCCCTAAGACAGCAATATTTTTTTTTTAGAAGATATTTATTAAGATTTTTTTAAATATTACAATAAAAAATGAAAAAGAAAAAGAAAATACAAAATAAAAATAAAAATGATTAAAAACCACTAAATTTTTCCATTGCTTATTTTTCCTTAGCTTGTTTCCCAGACCTCCTCATACCTCCCTTTTTTGTATTCCAGTTCAGTTTGTTGGTTCAGCAAATCCTTACCCTCTTTATTTGTCCTAATCTTTGGTCTTAAAATAGTAACGTTAGATTTTTACCTCTTAACAACCCATTTTTCATATTCCCTTAAAGCATTACAGCTGGAAAGCACTTAATTTCTATCCAACATCGTTCTAACATTCATTAATTTTACAATATTTCTGTAGATAATCTTTGAACTTCTTCCAGTCTTCTTCCACCGACTCTTCTCCCTGGTCTCGGATTCTGCCAGTCATTTCTGCCAGTTCCATATAGTCCATCAACTTCATCTGCCATTCTTCCAGAGTGGGTAGATCTTGTGTCTTCCAATACTTTGCACCCTAAGACAGCAATTTAACATGAATTTTACTATCTAACGAGACCATTGATCCATAAAATGAAAGCAATAAACAATGTACTGCAGTCACACAATCAATCAGTAGCTGAACTAGGTTCCACATATAGTCATACCTCAGGTTACAGATACTTCAGGTTGTGTTTTTTTGGGTTACGGACCCACTGAAACCCAGAAGTACCGGAATGGGTTACTTTCGGGTTTTGGGGGTCACACATGCACAGAAGTGCTAAATCGCGCTTTGTGCATGTGCAGAAGCACCAGATCGCAACCCATGCGTGCGTAGACGCGCCGCTGCGGGTTGTGAATGCTGCGGTTTGCGAATGTGCGTCCCACACAGATCACGTTCGCAATCCGAGCGTCCACTGTAGTCACAAAAACAAACAAAAAAGAGCTGCAAAAACGCAAAATAAATAGCAAAAACAGTCAGACCTCAGCATGGCACTCAAATCGGAAGCATGGGATTCAAAATGGAAGCGTGGCACTCAAACTGGAAGTGTAACACTCAAAAGTGAGCATGTTCAGCTTCCAAAAAAAGTTTGCAAACCAGAACACTTATTTCCAGATTTGCAGTGTTTGGATTCCAAGTTGTTTGGGTACCAAGGTGTTTGAGAACCAAGGTACCACTGTACTAGATATTGTCAAATCTGGTCCATAATTCCTATTCAGGAAAGATCACAAGGTGACCTTTAGCCACTCTCAGTAATATCTCTGGGCATCATGGGAATGTTGGCTGGGTGTGAGAGACACCCAGACTTGTTTACTGGAAAAGTGGGGTTTTAAAGAAAAAAATACGCTGCTTTGCCATCTTAATGATGATTTGGAATGAATAATTATCATGTGGCTCCTGTTTCATAGAATTATAGAATCATAGAATCATAGAGTTGGAAGAGACCACAAGGGCCATCGAGTCCAACCCCCTGCCAAGCAGGAAACACCATCAGAGCCCTCCTGACAGATGGTTGTCAAGCCTCTGCTTAAAGACCTCCAAAGAAGGAGACTCCACCACACTCCTTGGCAGCAAATTCCACTGTTGAACAGCTCTTACTGTCAGGAAGTTCTTCCTAATGTTTAGGTGGAATCTTCTTTCTTGTAGTTTGGATCCATTGCTCCGTGTCCGCTTCTCTGGAGCAGCAGAAAACAACCTTTCTCCCTCCTCTATGTGACATCCTTTGATATATTTGAACATGGCTATCATATCACCCCTTAACCTCCTCTTCTCCAGGCTAAACATGCCCAGCTCCCTTAGCCGTTCCTCATAAGGCATCGTTTCCAGGCCTTTGACCATTTTGGTTGCCCTCCTCTGGACACGTTCCAGTTTGTCAGTGTCCTTCTTGAACTGTGGTGCCCAGAACTGGACACAGTACTCCAGGTGAGGTCTGACCAGAGCAGAATACAGTGGCACTATTACTTCCCTTGATCTAGATGCTATACTCCTATTGATGCAGCCCAGAATTGCATTGGCTTTTTTAGCTGCCGCGTCACACTGTTGGCTCATGTCAAGTTTGTGGTCAACCAAGACTCCTAGATCCTTTTCACATGTACTGCTCTCAAGCCAAGTGTCACCCATCTTGTATTTGTGCCTCTCATTTCTTTTGCCCAAGTGCAATACTTTACATTTCTCCCTGTTAAAATTCATCTTGTTTGTTTTGGCCCAGTTCTCTAATCTGTCAAGGTCATTTTGAAGTGTGATCCTGTCCTCTGGGGTGTTAGCCACCCCTCCCAGTTTGGTGTCATCTGCAAATTTGATCAGGATGCCCTTGAGTCCATCATCCAAGTCGTTGATAAAGATGTTTAATAAGACCGGGCCCAAGACAGAACCCTGTGGCACCCCACTAGTCACTCTTCTCCAGGATGAAGAGGAACCATTGATGAGCACCCTTTGGGTTCAGTCAGTCAGCCAGTTACAAATCCACTGAGTGGTAGCATAGTCAAGACCGCATTTTACCAGCTTCTTTACAAGAATATCATGGGGCACCTTGTCAGATGCCTTGCTGAAATCAAGGTAGACTACATCCACTGTGTTCCCTTCATCTACCAGGCTTATAATTCTGTCAAAAAACGAGATCAGGTTAGTCTGACATGACTTATTTTTCAGAAATCCATGCTGACTATTGGTGATCACAGCATTCCTTTCTAGGTGCTCACAGACTGTTTGCTTAATGATCTGCTCCAGAATCTTCCCTGGTATTGATGTCAGACTGACTGGGCGGTAATTATTTGGGTCCTCTCTTTTCTCCTTTTTGAAAATAGGGACAACATTTGCCCTCCTCCAGTCTGCCGGGACTTCGCCTGTTCTCCAGGAATTCTCAAAGATGACTGCCAGTGGTTCTGAGATCACATCTGCCAGTTCTTTTAATACTCTTGGATGCAGTTCATCTGGCCCTGGAGACTTGAATACATCTAAATTAGCCAAGTATTCTTGTACTATCTCCTTAGTTATTCTGGGCTGTGTTTCCTTTGCTGAATCATTTGCTCCAAATTCTTCAGGTCGGGCATTGTTTTCTTTATCGGAGAAGACTGAGGCAAAGAAGGCATTGAGGAGTTCAGCCCTTTCTGTGTCCCCTGTTTGCATTTCACCATCTTCTCCTCTGAGTGACCCCACTGTTTCTTTGTTCCTTTTGCTACGAACATACCCATAAAAGCCATTTTTGTTGCTTTTAACCTCTCTAGCAAGCCTGAGTTCATTCTGTGCTTTAGCTTTTCTGACTTTGTGTCTACACGTGCTGGCTATTTGTTTGAATTCCTCTTTGGTGGTTTCCCCTTTTCCATTTTTTGTACACATCCTTTTTTAATCTTAACTCAGTTAAAAGTTCTTTAGATAGCCACCCTGGCTTCTTTAGGCACCTTCCATGTTTCCGTCTCGTTGGTATTGCCTGACGTTGTGGTTTTACTATCTCCCTCTTAACAAACTCCCAGCCATCATGAACTCCCTTTCCTTTTAGTATTACCGTCCATGGGATCTCACCCAGCACTTCCCTAAATTTTATGAAGTTGGCTTTCTTAAAGTCAAGAAATTGAGTCCTAGTATGCTTGGCTGCTCCTTTCCGCTGTATAGTAAACTTCAGAAGAGCATGATCACTCGCGCCTAATGATCCTTCCACTTCTACCCCACTAACCAGGTCATCAACATTGGTTAGGACCAGATCTAAAATGGCTGTTCCTCTTGTTGCTTCTCCCACTTTCTGGACAATGAAGTTGTCTGCAAGGCCAGTGAGGAATCTGTTTGACCTTATGCTCTTGGCTGAGTTTGACATCCAACAAATATCCGGGTAATTGAAGTCCCCATTACTACTATCTCCCTTCCTTTTGCATGCTTGGCCATCTGTTCCAGGAAGGCATCATCTATGTCCTCCGTTTGGCTTGGGGATCTATAGTAAACTCCCACAATGAGGTCACTGTTATTCTTCTCTCCCTTAATTTTGACCCAAATGCTCTCACTTTGGCTTTGAGGTTCTAAATCTTGGATCTCTTCACAGGTATACACATCCCTGACATATAACGCCACTCCTCCTCCTTTCTTGTCTGGTCTGTTTCTCTGAAATAGATTGTATCCCCCCATTATTACATTCCAATCGTGGGACTTATCCCACCAGGTTTCAGTGATGCCTATTATGTCATATTTAGTTTGCTGTACCAAGAGCTCAAGCTCATCTTGTTTATTTCCCATGCTTTGCACATTAGTGTACAGACATTGAAGTCCATTAATCATTCCCCCGTGTCTCTTATTTAAGGATTTTTTCCTCCCACCACTAGGTCTGCGTGCTGTTTGCTCCATTTGGTCTATGACATTTGGAGGATCATCTTCATCAGTTGATAGACTCCTACCTTCAGGAGCACTGTCTCCCTCCCCCACATTAGTCAGTTTAAAGCCCTCCTAGTGAGGTTTCTGAGATTTTTGGCAAAAACATTCCTCCCAACCGTTGTGAGGTGCAGCCCATCGCTTGCCAGAAGTCCATCTTCAAGAAACTGCAGTCCGTGATCTAAGAATCCGAACCGTTCCTGTTTACACCATTTGCGAAGCCAGATGTTCACTTCCACTATTTTTCCCTCTCTCCCTGGGCCACGTCGTTCAGCTGGGAGGACAGATGAGATGGCAATTTGTGCATTTAATTGCTTCAATTTCCTGCCCAGAGCCTCGTAGTCTCTTTTGATCTTCTGGAGGCTATTGCTTGCAGTGTCATTGGTTCCCACGTGAACCAAGAGGAAGGGGTATTTGTCAGTGGGTTTTATGATTCCTTGCAGTCGTTCAGTTACATCTTGGATCTTAGCCCCGGGGAGACAGCACTCATCCCGAGACATCTTGTCAGGCACACAGATCACAGCTTCTGTTCCCCTCAGTAGGGACTCCCCTATCACCACTACACGCCTCCTGTTAGGTGTGGTCTCGGTACTTCCGAGAGCTGTCCGTTCCAAGGTCGCCTGCACGTTCCCTGAGGACTGACTTTGCTGCTCGTCTTCATATACCTGATCGACTGTAATGAGGAGAGATCCTCAAATGGAGTCTGCTCTTCGTCTTCCATGCTAGGGGAGAGGACCTCAAAGCGATTGTGTATTTCTAAACAATCAGAGCGAACCCTGGGCCTCCTACTTCTTTGAGTCACGTTTCTCCATATATCTGGCTCCTGTGTTGGTGAACTAGCCTCCTTCTCAGGGGAGTCCCCTGTCTCCTCCTTGGTGGAGACGGTGTGCTCTGTTGCTTCCAAGAAGAGCTCCAGCTCTCTAATTCTTTGGAGCGTAGCTACACGTTCCTCCAGTTGCTGGACTTTGTCTTTTAAGAGGGCAATCAACATGCAATTGCTGCAGGTAAAGCTGCCTGCAACCTTTGGCAAGATGGCAAACATTGCGCAGGAACCGCAGGCGACTGCAGCTGTTCCCTCCCCCCTCCATCTTGAGAACGTGTTGTTGGGGGTGGCTACAGCGGTCCTCCATCATAAAAAGCGTGAAGACAGGACAAATAACTCCCCCCACAAAAAAACCTAGGTCTCCCCCAACAAACGTTTGAGACTAGCTCCCCTAAATCTAAAAGATGGATCAAATTGCGCGCGCCTAGAGGTGCGTGCCGCTGCCCTGCAAGCTCTGATAAGCTCCTCCCACAGCTAATCACCTGCCTCAACAGAAACCCTGCCCCCTCTGACCTTTGCACAGGGAGAGCAGCTAATCAGCCACAAAGAAACACACACACACACACACACACACACACGAAAACCCTTTTTGCTCCTTCTTCAACTGCTGCCCTGCAAGCTCTGAGAACCAAGGTACCACTGTACTAGATATTGTCAAATCTGGTTTGAGAACCAAGGTACCATGACTATAATTTCCATGACTATATTTTTCCTATGGCTGTTGTAGACTTGCTTCTAAGGAAGTGTGCATAGGACTGCAGTATTCTAGTCTTAATATATAAAACTGAAAATCTGTTTCCACTTAAAAAAGAAAGACCTTGTACAGTAATTAAAAAGATAACAGCTTCAAAATGTGACCTGGCAGTAATTCTGCATTCATTGCCATGAAGAATAAAATGTGTTTTTATTCTTCGTCTCGTTTAAGCTGAAAAGTGCCTATGTTACGTATTTGGTATATGTGTTTATTCTTCATAGTAATCAATAATAATTACCACCATGCTCCACTGTTTCCTTATTCATTAGAATCGCAGTTTCTGAAAACACCCATATGTTTCAACAATATTTGAGGGGCAGGAAATCATTGCCTTTAAAATCCCCGGAATCAGCTTGAGGGCCACTTCAAATAATTTTGATTTTCAGCATACGCAGAATCCCAAAACACAGTGACATCATAGTTAATGTGGCTCTACACAGCTGCAAGAACAAAAGCTCTTTCCAGCTGGGTCCAAGGACATGAGTGCTATGTCTCCCCAAACTCATGTGGGAATAGCAGTGTTCTTGCCACTGAACAGAGCCCCAGGCATGCGTGGCTGCCCATGGACCTATTACATAAGTATATAGCTATGTACACATTAGTGGCTAGAAACACAGCAAGGCAGTATTTCAACTTCCTTTTTTTATAGAATCATAAGAGTTGGAAGGGACCTCAGGGGTCATCTAGTCCAATCGCTTGCAATGTATGAATTGCATATATTTAAGAGTTCCCATATAGGGATGCGGGTGGCGCTGTGGGTTAAACGACAGAGCCTAGGGATTGCTGATCAGAAGGTCGGCAGTTCGAATCCCCGTGACGGGGTGAGCTCCCGTTGCTCGGTCCCTGCTCCTGCCAACCTAGCAGTTCGAAAGCACGTCAAAGTGCAAGTAGATCAATAGGTACCACTCCGGTGGGAAGGTAAACGGCATTTCTGTGTGCTGCTCTGGTTCGCCAGAAGCGGCTTAGTCATGCTGGCCACATGACCCGGAAGCTGTACGCCAGTTCCCTCGGCCAATAAAGCGAGATGAGCACCACAACCCTAGAATTGGCCATGACTGGACCTAATAGTCAGGGGTCCCTTTACCTTTTTTGAGGCATCTGATCAAAATCTGCTTTGAGCTTAAAAAAATTATATTTGTAAATATATTTTTCTCTGCAAGGGAGAAGAGCAGCTGAATACTCCGGCAGCTGTTCAAGGGGCCCCACTGCTATAAATAAAAGTATTTCAAGGTTGTAAAAGGAAATTAGAGCCAGAGAGCAAAAGGTCACACTGACCAGAATACAATCAAGCTGTAAAAACACAATTAAGAACTGGTAAATAGTGAAATTTATTGTTTAACAGAAGACTCGAGCCATAAGGTTAAAGGTTAAATGGAAGAGGTTGCTCTTAGAAACAGCTGCTGGTTAGGGAAAAGGCCTCTCTCCAAACTGTTTTGAAGCTTCAGAGAATTTACTAAGTTCCTTCTAATTTGAAAAGGCCTTTCCTTCTAAAAATCTATCTATGTTATGTATGAAATATATTGGCTTAAATGTGATTATGCAAAGGATTTAGAAAGTAAGAAATGTTAGATTCTTATGTTAGATTCCTATTATGGTGGGTGAGAAGGTGAACTCAAGATCTCTTTAAGATAAAAAAATTAGAAACCATGCACCATCTGCTTTAGCCATCTGGTTTGCGGTGAATAGGGCAACAGGGGCCAAAGGTTATCTGGTAATTGAGGTGCCTGGTCGAGGTAAATGTAAGATATATGGCTACTTGTCTGCCATTTATGGATACAAGGAAATATAGCTTTTTGTCTCCCATAAAAGGGAATAGGAAATGGGTGTATCTTTTATGATTGGTTCTAGCAAACAGCCAATAGGAATTTCAACCAGGCTGATTGGACAGAGGCAGCCAAAGGAGGAGCAAGGGGCTGGGCTGAGGAAAGATAAGTGCTGGCCATCAGGGCTGGAGTAGGCAGAGCTTTGGTATCCATATACCACTGTGTCTCTCATTTATTTGTCTGACAAATAAATTATTATTTTAATTTCTCTATTGCTGCGTTGAATATTTCATTCCAGCTAAGCGTTAACCACAAGCAGGGTGCTACATTTTAAGAGTTCCCATATTTTGGGGAGGGAAGTAGCGAGGAAGAAAGAGTTTACCAAATCAACCCAGAAGAATTGAGGGCTGTGATGGTTAGCAAATCGGCTTCAAGGGGGAAGAATGTGAAACAAAACACAGATTTGTGTATCCCACTATTTTGACCATAACTCTGTTGTTGAGAAAAAAGTAATCTTGTGGCATCTCAAAGGCAGACTTATACCTTTAAAACACAGTCAAAGCACATTACCCTCCCTCCAATGACAATGATATAATAATAATATAGCTTAAAGTCTGTTTGTTTTTTTTAATGAATGGGGTCCCCCCAAATGTTTTTAGCTGTTCATATTTTGTCTTTAAGTCGCCTTGAGTATCTGTTAGGGGAGAAATGATGGGTATAAATAAATTATTGCTAACATTTAATATTCTGGACACTGTAGTTGCTGGGAAAGTAACTCTGTGAGGGGGTGAACTGCAGTGCCCAATTTTGGAAGAATGTGCTTTGAATAGGATTACTGTAACTATTTGTATAATGTGTAAATCTATCTACTGGTAGTTTTGATTCTATATTTAATTGCTTTTTAATTGTGAGTTCTGTTTCTAGCGGTTCCTATATTTTTTGTCTGTAAACCGCCTTGAGTCCCCAGCAGGGGAAAAGGCGGGGTATAAATAAATATACTATGCAACAACCACCAACTGATGTGCTTGTGCCACATCTTGTGATTGATTATGCGGGGAGCGGCTTATCTGCCCCCCCTATTTTATTTGGGTTCACGCCATAGCTGTCAACCTTCCCTTTTTTTGTGGGAAATTTCCTTATGCCAGCGCCGTTTCCCGCTGCTATCCAGGATTGTTAGATATCCCATAGACTGTCCCCAGGACAGGTGAGTCTGCTGATCCCTTATTTTCAAATCTGAAAGTTGACAACTATGGTTCACACCCCTGATAACAACAACACTGTTAATAATTTGGGTGCTGTATAGTGGTACCTTCGTTCTCTAATGCCTTAGTTCTCAAACTCCAAAAACTCAGAAGTGTTCTGGTTTTTGAACATTTTTCGGAAGCTGAATACCTGATGCGGCTGTCGGCTATTGTTTCCAGGGCACCTGCACCAATCATAAGCTGTGCCTTGGTTTTTGAACATTTTGGAAGTCAAAAGGATTAAGTTTGGTGCTTTGGGGGCTTTTGTTTTTGCTATTTATTTTGCGTTTTTGTTTTTGAGGCTTTTTCAATTAATTTGTTTTTGTGACTGTGTGGGACCCAGTTCAGCTACTGATTGATTGTGTGACTGCGGAAATGGATTAAAGCCCCCCATCCAAGCAATGACTATCGCCAGTGCAGATAAGAATTATTATTATTTTTAATTTTTATCATATACAATACTGTCTTATTTATTTTATAGTACAGTACATTGATTATTGCTTTCATTGTATGGATCGATGGTCTTATCAGATAGCAAAATTCATGTTAAATTGCTGTTTTAGGGGTTGTTTTTAAAAGTCTGGAGCGGATTAATCCATTTTGCATTACTTTCTATGGGAAAGCAAGCCTTGGTTTTGGAACGGACTTCCGGAACGGATTAAGTTTGAGAACCAAGGCACCACTGTAAGAGTTTTGCTGCTGTGAGGGAAGCCGCTCCGTGAGGGGGTGAACTACAGCGCCCAGAAACCTTTGCGAGGACGTGCTTCGATCGGGGCTTTTACTCGGCGGGTTCTCCCAACTAGTATCAGAGGGGTTGAATGACGGGCCTTGCGCGCGCCCCCTCCCCACGCAGAGAAGTGGACTCGGCGAACTGGCGGGAAATCAGCGCCGGCTTGTGTAATTCCTCCTCAGAACCTCGCCCCCTCCCCAACCATCACAGCAGGAGGGGCGTGGCCCCTCCGAGACCCCGCCTCTTGCGTCACGCGCCGGCCGTCGTGCCGCCCGAGGAGGAGTGGGGGCCGCTCGGAGCGTGCAGGATGGTGGCGGCGGCGGCGGCCGAGGCTGAGCCAGGCGGCGGGTAGAAAATGGCGGATTTCGAGGAGCTGAGGGTGAGGAGAAGCCGATGGCGGCGGCGGTGAGGGCGAGGTTGGCGGCGCGCTCCCCGCGGCCTTTCTCTCAAGGCCGACACTTCCCGGCCCTTAGGCCGCCCTCCCGGCCGGCAAGCATCCTCCCTCCGTCCCCCGGGACCGCCTCTCTCCCTCCCCTTCCCCACGCGGGAGGAGGTGGCCCTTGGCCCGCGCCGGCCTCCCTTGCCTCGTGTCATTTCCACGCCGCCGCGATAGCAGCGTCCCCGTTAACCGGTCTGTGAGGAGGCGCCTCCCGTCGCCTCAGCGGGCAGTTAACGGCTCGCAAGTCGCGGCGTGGAAGGGCAGGTGCCGAAGGGCCAGGAGAGCGGGGTCCCGCCGGGCTGAGGAAAGCGTGAGTGAAGGGGTTTGCGGGAGGCTCGCGCCTTTTTCTTCCTTGGAATCCGGCTTCACTCCCGTTTCTTCCCCTCCCCCAGTTTTTGTAGCCTACATAGCTTTCCCTCCCCCTCCCCTCCTAAAATAAGTCGTTTTTTTAACGATCTGCCTCGGTTTTTGTTTCCCCCGTTTTATTTCAAAGCGCCCCCCCCCTCTCTAATCCTCCCTCTCCTGCTTAAGCCTCTTTGTCTCCTCTGCGAACGACCCCGACTCCAGAGAGCATCCTGCGAGGAGCGGGATTCGCATGCTTCGCTCGCAGACGACCCCCATCTCTGGGCACAACAAAGCGCGCCTTTGGGTCTCGAAGCCACTCGTGGTTTCCCCCTGATCGCTCATGTGGTTTCATGTTTCTCTCTTCCACCCTTCCCTTCGGCATCTCTTTCTCTCTCTGACACTTTCCAAGGTTTGGTTGGCGCCCGATCGCCGAAATCACGGCCCGCTTCCATCTTTGCATCTATCTCTCCTCCTCCCCAGTTCCTTTGAATGTAGCTCTTCTCCCGCTGCATTTATTTATTTTTTCTTCATGTGACAGGGTTTGCAGTGCCTCTTTCTGCACCCTCTCAGATCTGCTTGTTCTTATCCTTGAATTTTGTCCTTGCAAAGCTGTTTTTCTTCCTCACCTTGATATTTCATGTAGGTACAGTAGATCCTTTTTTTAATCCCACATTTCAGGGACAGACTATTATATGAACATCCCTCTTTAATTCTCTACTGTACTGCCTTTTTTTCTTTCTTTCCTAAATGTCCATTCGCCCCTTCAATTCCTTCTAGGTTTGGCAACCACTTGAGCCAAGCTCAAGATCTGTTGCAAGCACTCTAAACCACTGCACTTTCTGCTTTTTCTTTTTCTGTGCCATCCTCCCATTCATCCATTTCCCACCCTTTCCAAATATTTCTTGCCTGCTTTTGTTTTCCTAGAAAAATTGGCTCTGCATACAGCACCAGATCCCATGTTAGGTCTTCAGCTACTAAGCTCTTATATTTATTAGTGTAAAAGCATCATTACTTCATAAGGACTTACATCTAGGTAAAAAAATATAGCGCTGGGCTGATGTGTTTGTTTATATTTTGGGGACCCATGACCACAATATATTTTTCTCAACAAGTAAGAAAGCCTTCTTAAGTAATTTGCTGTTATTTATATTATTCATTTTAGGGACGTGGGTGGCGCTGTGAGTTAAACCACAGAGCCTAGGACTCGCTGATCAGAAGGTCGGTGGTTCAAATCCCCGTGACGGGGTGAGCTCCTGTTGCTCGGTCCCTGCTCCTGCCAACCTAGCAGTTCGAAAGCACATCAAAGTGCAAGTAGATAAATAGGTACTGCTCCGGTGGGAAGGTAAACGGCGTTTCCGTGCACTGCTCTGGTTCGCCAGAAGCGGCTTAGTCAGGCTGGCCACATGACCCGGAAACTGTACACCGGCTCCCTTGACCAATAAAGCGAGATGAGTGCCACAACCCCAGAGTTGGCCACGGCTGGACCTAATGGTCAGGGGTCTCTTTACCTTTTATATTATTCATTTATTTTATAAAAAAAATTAATAGGTTCCCATAAAACATCCAGAAACTATTTAACAATAAAAATATACATATACGTATGGGAGAAAAAAATATTCAAGAGTTTTATTGGAAGTGTAAATTACTCAATAGGCAATGAAAAGACAGCAAAGAAGGTAGATAATGGGAGGGAGTTCTAAATGGTATGTGCCACCATACTAAATGTTCTATTCTGACACTGTATAGAATGGGCCTCCTGATGGGATGGTATCTTGAAGAGTCCCTCTCCTACAGAGCAAATTACTGGTTGGGTATATAAGAGGTGAGGTGATCTTTTAAGTATGTTGATCACAAAGTGTATAGGACTTGTACACCAGCCTGGTAGCTAACTATCAGCCAGTGCTTTCAGCAATGACATAAAATGATGGTAATATTCTGCCCCAGGGAGCAGTTGAGCATCCTTGGGGCCAGTCCACATAGGGTACACTGCAGCAGTCCAGTCTCGAGCTTACCAGCACATGGATGGCAACGATCAGGCTGTCCTGGTCCAGAAGCAGCCATAGCTGTCTTCGTCACCTGAAGCTGGTAGAAGGCAGCTCTAGCAACTCAGGTTACCTGGTCTGCTAGCAACAGAGATGGATCCAGGAGTACCCTCCAGACTTTGACCCGGCTCCTTGAGAAGTATTATGACGTTGTCCAAAACAGGCAATTGGTTACCTATAATTTAGGAGTTTGAGGGACAAAATAACACACATGGATTGTGGCAAGATCCTAAGTTAAACCTCATTAAAATGTATTTTGGATCTTATACCACATATGACTGAATAAATTTTATCTGGATTTGTTTCTTGAGCTGGAGTAGACTGAATTACTTATTTTGGCATACGTATTTTTTTTTAAAGTGTTGAATAAAAAATACCTAGTTTGCACTAAGTGTGTGTGTGTGTGTGTGTGTGTGTGTGTGTATATATATATATATATATATATATATATATATATATATATATATATGGGGTATGGGGGGGGGGGGAAAGAAGCATAAAGGTGATTTGAAAGACTTGTTTTCTTGCATCAGATAGTTTCCCTGCCCTTGATAATTTTGTTGTCTGTCTTTAAAGTTTGCTAAGATATACCTGATGAAACGTTAGTATTTGAGGTATAGTTTTTGGAAAGTCTAAGATTAGGCTAATCTAAAAAATTTAAGAAAGACTGTAAAGGCTATAGATACAATACAATTCTGCCTATATATGCCATTGCTTTTATTTGTTGTCTGAAAATTCTATCAAGTGATTTCTTCCCCTTCTGAAATACGTATCCCACAGAGTTTTAAATGTGCAAAACATTTCATTGATTCACATTTATTCAGTTGATTGTGTCAACTATGTCAACACCAGTTTATTTTAACAGCAGAAGTTCTTAGAAGCATGGAAGGAGGTGATATATTCTGCACTTCATTGCTTGTGTTTGCCTCTTCATAGTTACTGATTAGCACTCCACTTCATAGTATTTTATTGAAGTACCACCCTTCCTGTGATATTCTCTCTCTCTCTCTCTCTGTGTGTGTGTGTGTATGTATATATAATATAAAACATGTTTAATTGTTATAAATGATTCATTTTTTGTGTTTAGCTTGTTTCTATTTAGCTGTAAGCTGCCTTGAGTTCCTATCAGGGAAGAAGGTGGGATGTACTAACAACAGTTCCTTACATTGGGGAAATACCTTGCCTCCTCCTCTGTAAATTAAGCTGATTTTTTACCTATTCAGCAGTAACTGACCATATAAATACCTCACTTATTTTTGGCTGGTGGAGGTCAGAAGAAAGCTGGGCTGCAGAGTGATGTTCTCAAATTGCGGACGTTTTCAGATTCACGCTCTTGTATATTGAAGCAAATTATGTATTCTGTGCGCACTTTGTACATGTTTTAAGACAAAAGATAACATCTCTTGCAGAATAGTCAGCATATTTGTACTGATGCACCTGCAGGTTACAGCTGCTAATAACAGTGTTGCTGGGAACGAGTGTCAAATTTTTTTTTGGTGCATAAGGGGAGAATAAAAATTCCTGTTGGAGATAAGTGGTTAATGTTTGCTATCCAAAACTGTGCATCTGTACAAACATGTCTCTGAAAACAGTCTTGTGCTTATCTGAGCATTCCTTGTATCCCACAGGAACTTGCATTAGTGACATTGTACTGTGTGCGTAATGCTGAATTATCTTCACTTCAAGGACTTGATTCTGAGCTCTGTATTTCTTTTTAATCTTAAGGGCTTTAATCTTTGTGCAGTAGTGCCTTAGTTTACAAACAGTCTGGTTTGCATATGTTTTGGATTACAAACACGTCAAACCTGGAAGTGCGTGTCCCAGTTTGCAAACTTTTTTTAGATTACAACCCCCCCCCCCTTTTGGGGGGATTACGAAAAAAGTTGACAGTGAAGAGGAAGGTTGATAGTGACCTACATGTTTCCTCTTGCACCATAGTTTTGTATAGTATTGATCAGTGTTAGAAATGAGCTAGAAGTCCAGCATGTTTTGCAACTGGTGCAGATCCAATTGCGACCACGTGGAGATTTCTAGATGCTAGGTTGGCAACTGACATCTCCATCTGGCTGGTCTCTAGCTTTCTAAAGCAGGTAAGCAGAAGAGCTTATTTATTGCGTTTCTCTCCCAGCTTTTTCTCCAAGGAATATATAGTTCACTCCCCTCCTCCGTTAATCCCTACAACAACCCTGTGAGGTAGGTTAAGAGGTTGTGGCTGGGCCAAGGTCATCCAGTGAGCTTCAGGACTTAGTGGGGATTTGAACCCTGATCTCCCACATCCTAGTCTGACACTCAACTACTACACTACCCAGGCTACCCAGAGTGCTTTTGCTGTGGAGCAGCTCTATATAAATTAAGTGAGTAAATAAATAAATAAATATGGGGAAAGCAAAATGTCGCTTAGAGAAGGATCTGAAATATTTTCCTTGAAGCAGTTTAATGTGTTGTAAACTGCTTTGAGATTTTTTCTGTAAATTATAAAGTGGTATAGAAATCATATTAATAATAACAAAACACACAGGGAGGGATGGTGTCTGGAATTCTGTTGTGTTGACTTCAGCCTAGGTTTAAGGTGCAATTCGGTTATATGTATCTGAATTTCTAACACTAGTTTTGATGATGTGGGCATACTCACAGCCTTCCATACGCGTAACTTTTGTTTGGACTTAATATTTACCTCTTGCATGCTAGTGTCTTTCTGTAATGCCTACTTCAGGTTTATTTTTAGTAATGCTTCATTTTATTTTTCTACTAAGTGTTCTGCAACTGTAAGAAATATAATATGGCATGTATATAACATGTATATGATAAGTGTAGCATAGCATGTAAAATTTCCAAATCTTTCTTAAAAGGCATTTCTTTCTTACTCTTCAACTAAAATTGTTCCCTGGGAATCTCATGCAAGAGCTTTACTGTACTAAACAAGGCAGTCCCTTCCTGCAGGTTTACAACCTTAAAGGCACAGCAGAAAAGGGGATTGGATTGGAAGCAAAAAGCAAAGCAACTGACTGTGGGGACCAACTCTTAAAGGGTCAAAGATTTTTTGAATGACCATCTTGAAACTGTTCAGGAACAGGAAGACCCAAAAAGCCACCCATTTGCTTGAGCCCTACATGTTACACAGGTCTCTGTTATCTTGTCACTCTCCAAAATCAACAGGTGATACACAACGTTTCTGCTGCCCTTGCATTCTCTGCTTCCATCAGTGTCCCTAAATTGACTTGTGTTCTCATGACCACATCCTGGTTTAAGCTATGGGTTAAGTCTTGCTTTTCTATCTATTTAGATACTATTAAGTATAGTCCTGTGGTTTGCACACCTGGAAGCTGTGGTTAACTTCATCTTCCTAGTCTGAAGGGGACTGCGTAGAACTTTTGTGCATCCTTGTTTATTAAGCCGCAATTGGATCATGAGGAGTTCTGGGTTGACCATTTGTTGTCAGGATTCCATGTAGCAGAGAATGACTCTATAGCCAGCAGAAGAATACAGTTTTTCCTACTTGTCTTACGCTCTGTTTGCAGGAATTGAACAAAAGTCTTTGCAGGGATAGCAAGTGACAACTGCACCAAACATATTTGGATAGTCTGCTGTGTACGTCTCCTGTATTAAGTTGGAATATGTTTAGAAGAAGAAAATATTCTTCTCTGAATTTAAATACAGATACAGAGATACTATAATAATAATAATAATTAATAATAATTTATTATTTATACCCCGCCCATCTGGCTGAGTTTCCCCAGGCACTCTGGGCGGCTCCCAATCAAGTGTTAAAAACAGTACAGTGTTACATATTAAAAACTTCCCTAAACAGGGCTGCCTTCAGGTGTCTTCTAAAAGTCGGGTAGTTTTTCTTCTCTTTGACATCTGATGTGAGGGCGTTCCACAGGGCGGGCACCACTACCGAGAAGGCCCTCTGTCTGGTTCCCTGTAGCCTCACTTCTCGCAATGAGGGAACCGCCAGAAGGCCCTCGGCGCTGGATCTCAGTATCCGGGCTGAACGATGGAGGTGGAGACTCTATACTAAAGTATAGAGGGACAGTTCAGTATCATGTTTAGGTTACAGGGCAAAAATGATAGAGAACAGCCTAGCCTTTGGTGTTCCCCTTTCTATACTTAAAACACTGAATTTATAGTACAGTACGCTCGCAACTTAGGCACTTTTAACATGCACATTCCGCTTTATGCACTTGGCAATAAAAATAAATAAATAAATAAAAAATGGGAAGGCGTCCAGGGGGAGAAAACTTGCAATCCCACCCACCATTGCACCCAATGTGTTTTGACTACACAATTTTGGCTTTAGGTGCTATCCCCAGAACATAATCCCTGCATAAATTGCAGGCTTTCTGTAATTCAAAATGTCACTTGTTTTCCAGTTATTGAGCACTATGATATTAGACAGATCAATCTCATTCTTTTTTTGACTGATCACATAACCAGCCCCTGCTCATCTTGAGTTTGCCTTCCTAGTCTGACCCTGTCCTCTTCAGTTTTGTTTTACCAAAATGTTTGGTAAACATTGGAATAAAAGCCTCAAATGGCAAACCTCCGTAGCCATTCTCCATGCTACTATGTCTTCCTACTATTTTTTTGTTTTACAGACACAAACATGGTGACCCCTTTAAGAAAACATCGCCCTTTAAGATGAACAAGATACATAGCTAAGAAACAACAGAAAGCTATCTCGGCAGCTACTAACTTACAAGTAAGAGTACCCCAAATTATGAAAAGCACACAACGTTCTTCTAAAAATAAAACCACACACAGAGAGCTAGAACTTTAATAGTATTAATTATTTCAGTAATAAAACTAGCTTAATGTGAACTGAATACAAATTTCAGAAAGGATTCTGAAATCTGTATAGAAGAGGATAATTTCAAACACCATTTACATTTTTAAACTATTCCATGAAGTGTGTCCTCATTTTAAATGTCCCTTGGTTACATCTTTTGTATGAAGTGAGTACTTGAAACTAAAAGGCTAAAATAACTGAGCAGGCCAGAAAGAAACAAGTAGAGTATAAAATATTAAAAGGAAGGGAAATTCTTGGATAATTGAGATGGGTTAATTGAGGTTACTGAACGTAGCATTCCTACAGTGTGAAGTTGACAGTTGCACCCTGTGGATTACACTAAAGTAAACAGATCCCTTTTGTTTACAACCACCTTAACCAAGTATTTAATTAATATTAAAAACAAAATGCAACATTTAATGGATCATGGCTTGTTTCTAAAACAAAAACAATGCAAATGTACATAATATACTATGGAATGAGTACATAATAGTTGTATAAACTTTTTAAAAAGTGCCTATTACTGGCTAATAATAGAATATAATGTGATGGGTAGTCAGAATATAATCCCACTTATTCTGATGCAAACGGGATGAATTTGAAAGGATAAGAGTCCTGTGTTCTACTACTACTCTTCCTGTACAAGCAGGACACTTGAGAGTGTAATGTGATTCCAACATTGCATTCTTCTTAAGAGTACCAAGTTCTTTTGTAGGCTTGCTTGGAGTAGATTGGGAATCCCCAAACATGGGGTTTGTTTATTTATTTTGAAGCATTTTTACCTTGCTTACCAACTAAAATACTTGAGGTGGCTTAATATATTTGAAATACAATAAAATAGAGAAGAGTTATTAGAGTGGGCCAAAGTTTTAAGTTCTCAGATCTTCCAGTTGCCACTCTGCAGTTGAATGTATTGGTCTGGAAAGAAGTTCCTCAGAGGTTGGTACCTATTGGTGGGCTACTTCAGATGTCTCAGTTTCTGACTCTGGTAGCAAATGCAGGGAGCTATTGGAGAGAGTAAAGGTGTCTGTCTCTATATTTTTTTTAATAGTGCCCACCTGTTGTCACATGCAACCCTTGGGTGGGGTAGAGTAACAAGAGCAGCTGAAACAACCTCTTCAAAGTGTAGGGCCATAATTTCTTACTACCTGGGGTCAACAGCTAACATCCTACAAATGCCTGAGCAAAGAAGCTTGTTTTCAGTTTGGGAAAAAGAGAAGTTACTAACCATGCCTCAAAGGAAAGGATTAAGAGCCATCCCTCAGTCCTCAAGTGTGTCCTGGCTTTCCATGCCTGGTAGATGTTGCTACAAATGGAAATTAGGAGTATCTCTTTTTCAAGCAAACTGGTCATGCCAGCTCATTAATTAACATGACACCTACATGACACCAGATTGTCATGTGGAACTCCTGCTATGACTGCCATGTGTGATGACCAGGACAGGTCAGCATGTAACCATCGCAAAATATAGATATCCTGATGGAGTGTTTAGTCCTCAATATTATTATGATAATCAGGAACTCTTCGACAACATTTTCCATTCGGAAGCAAAGTGACTCCCAATTACGCAAGCTACTAAATGCTTTTGCAAAAGCCCAACATACTCATTGCAAGTTGTGGTAATGTTCAGAATCTTCTGTTTTTACATTGTTGTATGTATAAAAGACTTGTAGAAGGCAATAGTTCTTCCTCTTGATGCTAAGCAACCTGCGTAGCTATTGTTAAATCTTTGTTTCATTTGATGTTGCATATTTGCTTAATTCTACAATATAACATCAGAACCTCTGCCAATTCTGAAAACTGCCATAGCAGCCAATGTCTCTTGCTTTTAAAACTTTTTTTGCATTGAAGAAAATAAAGCACTGCAAGCATCTGTGGGGACGGAATGACTATAAGAACAATACAGTACACAGAAATTGAACTACCATTTTCATCTGCATGTGCTGAACCGGAGAAGTGGGAATGGGGAAATTAGTCTTAAACTACAACTGTTTAGGAATCATACATTCTTAATTATTTCCTGCTGTACAGAAATGAGTATGTAATTATTATTATTTTTTAAGTGTTTGTTGCGCTTGTGCATAGAAATGATCCACCAAGGAAAGCAAAGAATTATGCTCACTTCCTCCAGCTACTCCATATACATGAGAGCTGATGTAGCATAGTGCAGGAGCGGTAAACTATTTCAGACCCAGGACCAATCTTTAACCCAACTGTGTATTTGGGGGCCCATTTATTCCCCCCCCCCAAGTATTTGTATGGTGGTAGTGTTGCTGTCATGACTCACTTTGGATCAAGCCTTGGCCCAGTAGTGGGTCCCAATCCACCAGTTAAAGACCAGTAGCATAGTGGATAAGATACTGTGCTACAAACCAGGAAGTCCTTGGTTTGAATCTCTGTTCTGCCATGATAAAATCAATAGGTGGTCTTAGGCAAGCCACTCTAAGACATATGTGTATCCATAGAGTATGGAGAATAATAATAGTGAATTGCTTTGCTGGATTTTTTTTATGTGAAGTATTCTGAACACTTGAAAGCACTAGAAAAATATTAGTATTCTTACACTGACTTCTGCTACTTGTTTAATTTACATTATGGCCCAAGCTCTCTCTGGTTCACCGGGGCAAGCTTTGCCCCTTCTCTAAGCGTTCACACAGACAGCTTTTTATTGGTAATGCACTACAACTTAACTCATTTCCCGCTGCTTTCTTTTCTTAAATCCCCAAGTCTGTTTTCTCATCCACAGTTCAAACTTGAGAGATGGTAAGTGGGGCAATGACTTGTTTTCTGCTTATGTTAAAACATTATCTACATTGGTGCTGTATAAATAATAAAATTCCTTTGTATGTGCAGCACTGGTTCTGGCTGGTGTTGCCAATATGTTTGTGTCTGTATTTCTTGTGCTTTGCGGCTGAGGCGAGAGTAAAAATGATCAGAAGCAAACTATTGTTTTGTGACTGTAATGATACCTGTGGTTATTGCATCAGTAATGTGGGCAGCTGGTAATACTGTCTAAACATGTTGGCTACAGAACTAAAACGTGTTGATTCTGATTTAGCTTGTTTTAAACACTGAAAGTGCAAAGAGCTTTACTGGAGAGTTTTCTTGGTTGACAAATGGAAAGAAACAATTTTCAAGCATAAAATGAGAAGCTTTATCAAAACATTTGTTACATCTTCTGCACTGTTCTCACTTGTTTGAGGAAGGCAACAGATTTTGAAAAGAGATAACCCAGATAAATATTGTTAATATTTATTAATGTAGTCCCATCCATGTGCATGGTACTTCTCAAATAATGGGAAGACATTTCACTGTCCCAAGGGGATTGTGATATTGAAACACACACAGGAGACAGCAGAGGTGCATAGAGAAGAATGTGATATTTTCACATAATCATGCTTAGATTTAGTATAGACACCATACTCCATATCTGCTTAAGACCAGCTGTTAAAAGCAGGCTAGAATAGGAAAGTCATTGAGTGCTTCCAGAAGGCATTTAGAGGTTAGACTTTAATGGATCTTTTACAGAAGGGAACTTCTACATCAGTGGGGCAGCCACCACAAATGTCTCGTCATTTGCTTTTGCTATTGAACTTTGCTTACAGGTAGAAACGGTTTAGATGGTTGTGATGGACCAGCGGAAATAAGGCCTACCATCTTAACTAGTTTGGATAGAACTTGCAAGTTCAGAAAGCTGATCTGACTTGCTTTCCTGCAACTTTTTGGAAATTGACCCTGTATATGAGAGACCCTTAAATTCTATCCTTGTGGTTGTAGATTTCACTCAAAGCACAGTTAATGTGCGGTGGCTCATGGTTTTTTTTGGTAATGTTTCCACAATCTGGTGGTCATGTTTCCGGTAAAAGAGACTAAATCATGAAGGCTTTGCTATTGCCGTCTCCATGTACGATATATGATATAGTACCTAAAGAGCCTCTAAAGTGCAATTTGCAACCCCTTTTTCATTTTACATGTTTGTACCTGTATGTTCAGTGCTCTCAGTTCTTGTTTGATACACTGTTTGTCTGTTTCCCCCTTAGAATATGGTATCAAGTTTTCGGGTCTCTGAACTACAAGTGCTGTTGGGCTTTGCTGGACGTAATAAAAGTGGACGCAAACATGACCTCCTAATGAGGGCATTGCACTTGCTGAAGAGTGGCTGCAGCCCAGCAGTTCAGATAAAGATCCGAGAACTCTACAGGCGACGATATCCCAGAACAATAGAAGGTCTTTCTGACTTGTCCTCTTTAAAGCCTTCAGTCTTCAATTTGGACAGCAGCTCATCTCCCGTGGAACCTGATTTAGCTGTTGCTGGTCTGCACCCAATACCATCTACATCAGTCACTCCTCAATCCCCATCCTCACCTCTTAGTTCAGTGCTGCTCCAGGACACAAAGCCTCGCTTTGAGATGCAGCAGCCTTCACCTCCAATTCCACCTGTGCATCCGGATGTTCAGCTGAAGAGCCTTCCCTTTTATGATGTACTAGATGTTCTAATCAAACCTACAAGCTTAGGTAAGTGGGATTTTTCAACTGAGCAGTGCAGATCACTTAACTGTGCAGCTGGGGTGCACCTACCTCAGAAAGTACATCATGCTAACTCTCAAGACACTACAGCTGGCTTTATTGGGGATGACAATAAAGTTATTAGCTTGCCAAGCTGCTGAAATGTATGAAGTATAGTTGCTTGGGGAACTGATGGCACTCGGTGAACTTTTAAATGCATCTAAATGCAAAAGTACGATTTATGCACTTAATCTGGAAGACCTGAAAGCTACACAGTTCCATTACTTAAAAGTCATGTTTTTGTGAAATTGGGAAAGTTATGAGACACCCGTTTCTGTACTGCCTTCTGTGGACTCTGGAGTTTGTCAGTGAATTAAAGCTAAACTTTTCTGTGTCCCTCTGCAGTACAGAGCAGTATTCAGAGGTTCCAGGAGAAGTTCTTTATCTTTGCTTTAACACCGCAGCAAGTCAGAGAAATCTGCATTTCCAGGTAATAGCAGAACGTCTAGCCTGAACTTCCTCATACCAGATTTGGTTAATTTTCTTTGGCAGAATTCCAGACCACTTGATCTACCTCTGGGAATCCCATAAAAATAACTGATGGCTTCTTGGAATCCTGAAAACTACTTCCTAGCAAAATACTAGTATCTCAGTTAATCTTGTAGAATGAACACATTTTTCCAAGGAGATTGTTCAGAAATGAGAACCCTGTTGGAAATATGATAGACTTACGACAGCTGCTAACTTTTAAGTTCAGATGCATGTAATTTTTATGAATATGGTGAGGCTAATTCGCGATGTGAATTACAGCATTGAGGCTTCAGCCTGTCATCCCCCACAAATACAGTAAATGGATCTAGCAAAGATGACACTTGGAAGTGCTGATGAATTCGGTGGCTGTTCCTCTGATGTCTCAGAGAGTATTTGACAGCCCTCTTGTAGGTTTATCTCTGCAACTATGAAAGCCATATGTTCGCAGAGTTTCACTTGTTGTCTCTGGGAAATGGATACACTTGATCTTTTGCTGTCCATAGTGTTTTGTGTGTATGTGTATCTGTGTGTATCTCTCTCCTTATATCTGTATCAATAGTGGACTCTCACTGTGCTTGCAGATACTTATATTCATGAAAGCAAGGTAGAGTTACAAATCAGGATTAGGAAGGTAACCGTTGCATGAGGAGTTGACTTGTTAAGCGATAAAGCAACCTTAGACTTGTCTAAGTAACTTCTGCTTTTGTTGTGACAGGGATTTTTTGCCAGGAGGCAGAAGGGATTACACTGTGCAAGTTCAGCTGAGGTGACCAACTTATTTACATAAATGTATAAATGCCTCTTTTAATGGAGTACATTTCAATGCACTGCCATTCAACAATATTATTTTCTGCAAACAGGTTATGCCTGGCAGAAACCAGCTGCCCCCAAGAAGATAACTACCCTAGTAGCTTGTGCATAAAAGTAAATGGAAAGCTATTTCCATTGCCGGTAAGCTGTTGAAAATTTTGATGGTGCGTCTGTTTGAAACTTCTTGTAATCCTGACTTGCCAGCCCAATGGGTGCTATACCATCCTGATCCACTGGCCGTAAGGAGGGCTCATGGGAGTGGTTGGGTGCAGGGATACCAAAGGATGTTAAAAACAGAGTGAGCTGTTCAAGTGCTTTATTAAAGAAGGCGTAGACTTACAGCAAAGCAGCGTGCTAGTTCTCGTAGCTTTTGCAGACGCATGACAGACTTCGCAGCAAGGAGATGTCTTGTCCGCACCCAAGCAAACATTTATACATCTTTTATGCAACAAAGAAGCATACATCATTTAACCTGACTAGCTGAGGGCATAGGTGGCAAGTATCCAAACCTTACTGATAGCTCCCCTTTCCTGGGCTTCGAGCCCAGCACCCCAAGCCCCACAGATAAGGGTAACATCAAAGCAAGCCAATTAGCCTAGATCAAAGCAAGCGAATATAAACATATACGAGCTCATTGCTGTAACAACTACCAATTAATTGTGGGGTCATCTTGACTACCAATATGGCATTAGCAAAGCTTCCAGAACAGTTCACCTTTGGTTCAACACAAATACCCTCTGCCACACAACTACCCATAAATGTCTCTAGAATGAAAGTTGTGGAACTAAATAACTAGTATTTGGATCTGTGAAAAAATACAGTTACAAAACTTGGTTGATGCTGCATCAGTGTGCATTATTCACAGAGCAGATTTGGAAATCCTTTATTCACAGCTTGGAATTTCCCCTACTTTCCTTCTCTGACTTAATAATAATAATAATTTTTATTTATACCCCGCCCTCCCCAGCCAAGGCTGGGCTCAGGGCGGCTAACAAGCAGTAATAAAAATAAGTTGAATGAATGCAACTTAAAAACAAAATTAAAATACAACATTAAAAGATTGAAACATTAAAATATTAAAATGTAGCCTCATCGCAGGAGGAGAAAGGAAAAGAAAAAAGAAAGAGGGGGAGGGAATCAGTGGCGTAGCGTGGGTTGTCAGCACCCGGGGCAAGGCAAGTAATTTGCGCCCCCTAACCCGTGGATTTGCGCCCCCTAACCCGTGGATTTGCCCCCCCTAACCCTAACCCCCAGATATTGCGCGCGGTGCGGCCGGCCCCCCCTGCACCCCCCACGCTACGCCACTGGAGGGAATCAAATTGGCTCCAAGCCAAAGGCCAGGCGGAACAACTCTGTCTTACAGGCCCTGCGGAAAGAAATCAGATCCTGCAGGGCCCTGGTCTCATGAGGCAGAGCGTTCCACCAGACTGGAGCCAGAGTTGAAAAGGCCCTGGCTCTGGTTGAAGCTAATCTAACTTCCTTAGGGCCCGTGACCACTAGGGTGTTGCTATTTATGGACCTTGAGGCTCTCCGTGGGGCATACTTAAAGTTACTGGTGTGGCGCTGTAGCCAAGTTTGCTTTCCCGAAGCAAAGCTTCGAGTAAACTAACAAACTAACTTTCTTAAGGAACTTATTTCATAAAGAAGTGATGCAGTCCTTTCTTCCCTCCCTCAGACTTAAGTTACTAAGGCTGCAATCCTATATGCGCATTTGGGAATAAGACCCACTGAACCCATTGAGGCTTACTTCTGAATAAACATGTATAGGATTGTGCTGTAAGGCTCACAAAACAAATGGATGCTTGGCAAATGTTTTAATTTCCATTGAAATCAATGGGACATTAGTGTTTAATTTTAGCTTGCATATACTGTAACTTACTAGAAATTGCAATGTTTTGAGCAGTCTCCAAAGAGAAAATCTATATAAATGAAAAAATGATTTTTTGTCTGTGTTTTTTAGGGATATGCTCCACCACCCAAAAATGGAATTGAGCAAAAGAGGCCGGGGCGCCCCTTGAATATTACATCTCTAGTCAGGCTATCCTCTGCAGTGCCAAATCAGATTTCTATTTCCTGGGCATCTGAAATTGGAAAGGTAAATTGAAATCTTTCCCTCTTGCAAAATGACTTCATGTAAAGAAAACAAATGTAGAATTGTTTTGAAGGAAAAGTATAAATCCTTGCCTTGGATTTCTAGTGACCTACGTGCATTGAAACAGGAGGGTTGGCAGCTAGAAGACAGGTCCAAACGTGGGTGAGGCTGCACCATTGGGCCCACCACATGGTGGTGAAGAAGAAAGCTAGCTTCTCCACCATCGCTGCATCTGCAAGTAGCCGCCCAGCAGAGCTTTGCCTAGTAGTGAATTGGCTTGTGTCATCTGGCCTAGAGTGCATTGCTCTGACACCCTCAGATGTCTGTTGGGCAGAGATGACTTGGCCGCTGTATTCCCTGCTCCGGTAACTTCCAGACTGAGTTATTATAAAGTGCTCTAAGTATCGCTGCCCTTGAAGATGACTTGGAAACTTCTGTTGCCCAGAATGCAGCGGCAAGATAAGGCTGGGGTTACCTTCTGATCTTCCATAAACTGATTTGAAACCACTGCGCTGGTTGTTTCCGGGCCCAACTCAAGGTGCTCACGTTAGTGTTTAAAGCCCCAAGTGACTTAGGGCCACAATGCCTGTAAGACTGCCTCCTTGCCTACAGACCCTCTTGGGTGCTAAGCAGGGCGGAGGGTGCCCTCTTGGTTGCTCCTTCACCCACAGAAGCTTTGTGGCACCTCTGTGGCAGCTCCTAAATTGAGAAATTCCCTTCCCATAGTGGTGCATCTGGCACTTTCATTATACGTCTTTCAGTGAATGCTGAAGATGCGCCTCTTTATCCTGGCTTTTGGCATTTGAGAGGTATATTATTAGGACCCACCTTATTTTTGTAATTTTAGATTGTTTTAAACGGTTTTTAATATTGTGTAATAATGTTTTAATATTAATATTGTGTTTGAATTGTTAATTGTTGTAACTTGCCCTGGGACCTTCAGGTGAAGGGCGGATAATAAATTGTAATAGCAATAAATAACTCGTTCATGCAACACTATTTCTCTTTTTTAACTTACTGTGATCTGATTCTGTGTGTCTGTCTGCTGTAAATGGAGGCTTGCTGTTGTTGTTGTTGATGATGATGATGATGATTTGTATACCACCTTTTAACTGAAGATCATTTGTCTGTGAAAAAGACCTTTTCATTCTTTCACATTTCCTCTCCTGTAGAATTACTCAATGTCTGTGTATCTTGTACGCCAACTCACTTCAGCCATGCTGCTACAGAGGCTAAAAATGAAAGGTATTCGAAACCCTGATCATTCCCGGGCACTAAGTGAGTAGATCATTCTTGTGTTTTTCTTCCTTCGGTTACATGTTTGTAATGGGCTGTAGGTTTCCAATAAAAGCAATTGGGTGGCTTCTCATCAGGGTGGTTCTTGGCATCCCATGTGGCTAAGTGTGAGGAGTAGCAGGGTATTATTGCCAGAGTGCAGAAGAAAATGCTTTTTTTTGGAAGGGCCGCTTTGACATCTAATAGGAATCAAAAGTGTTATTTTGACTTCCTGAAGCATTTTACAATATTGGACCATGTATATGTATACTGACAGGGGCAGTAGCTAGAGTGTCAGAGTAGGGTGCAGGAGGCCCCATCTTCAGATACTTGTGTAGCCATAAAGCTTACTGAGTGACTATCTCTCAGCCTTGCCTGCCTTGCTTGCAGGGCTATCACGAGGATAAAATAAGGCGGGAGAGCCCTGTATGTCAATTTGTGATTATTGGCATATAACTAATAACTGAAATGCAAAAGAAAGTTGCAAAGTAGCTTCAGCTGCCCTTAAAACAGTGGTATACCGAAGTCCCATTTTTTAAAATACTTTGCTTGTTTAGATTACTTTTACTGAGTTACCTTTGTCACCAACCTGTTGAAATTTCATTAAGGGCAAAGTACTATTTCGTATTCTACTTTTACAAATTGCCTTACTGAAATCTTGGGAATATGCTGGGTCTAGAATAAACCTTGCAACAATTTCTTAGCCTGGTGTTGAAGTGCAGATTTTTGTTTCTGCATGCAGAGGATTCTGGAGCTGTTCCAAATATCCAGCTGGGCTGTTAGAGTGTCTTGCATCATGTCTCCCATGCTGCTTAAGTCTGGTGGCTGCCATTCAGGACTCTGGGGCACCTCTTCACCTTGCAGCTTCCTCCCTTTCCCTGCAAGAAGAAAAAAGCACCACTTAGATTTGCATAGGCAGCTGATTGGTGTGAGAGCAATGTCCCAGCAACAGGCTCTAAATGCATTCATCTTACAGATTTTATATAGCAATTGTATTATAGATGGGAAACTTCACATTAGGAGTTCTAATGTGCAGCTTTGAAATTTTGTCAGTACCATTATCATTTTATGTTGAATTTACAAATTCTTGAAATAGCTAGGCCATATATTATTCTCTCAAGCTTTTGAGTAATTAAGAATTGCACATTAAAAGTTATAGTCCAGCAAGATATTAAAGCATTTATTTTAAATCTTTCCCCCATTCTTTTTAAAAATAATAGTTAAAGAAAAACTCACCGCTGACCCAGATAGTGAAATTGCGACTACCAGTCTGCGAGTATCATTAATGTGTCCCGTAAGTAGAGTTGGATAATAGCTTGGAATGATGTCTTATAGGGAAATTATTTGCTTTGATTAAAACACTTTTTGTTTCAGCAAGGCTATCCAGAATCCTAACTTGGTCACATTTTTAAATATTTGCTGATTGTATCTGAGTATTATTGTCTTAAGTAAACTGTTTAGAGATTATACATTTTTTCTGAACAAAATAAAGATTAAGAGGTAGACTCTGCAAATAAGTATGTCACTAGTAATACAGTATATGCAAGTTGCTATGGTTTGCATATTTATGTGGAATTTGGGTTCTAGTATGGATTTCAAAGCCCCCTAAACTATAAAGAGAAAGCTGATAAGATGTTACTGCATCTTCTAAAGATGTCTGGTAGAACTGGTTTTATTTTAATTTTAAAGGTTTTACTGTGTTGGGTTTTTTTAGCAGTAGTTGTTGTTGTTTGAACTTGCTATACACAGCTTAGAGATACTTTAATATATTAAGTGGTATATAAATTGCCTGAACATTAAATACACACATACTGTTAGTGGGAGCCCTCCTAAGCCCAAAGAAAAGCCACTTGATCCATTCACATACAGAGCTGGAAAGATTCTGAATCAAGGTGCCCAAATGTCTACACTTCCAACACCATTTCCACTAACATCTCTGATGGGATCTGTGAAGTGTGCAAGTCTCATGTCCACGACATGCAGTGATGCCAGTGGCATTTGTATGTGGCACTTTACGCAACACGAAAACTTACTTCCTTGCGTATGGCGTGTCATTTTATGAGGTGAAGCTTAATTTTTTTCTTCAGTGAGGGTTATTAAAAATAGGTTTTTGGGTGTGAGGAATTAAAATCTGCTATTTTTGTGATTGGACAATATTTAGTTTGGTGATTCTACGTTTTATGAAGAATTACATAAACTGCTTTTGGAAAAACCAAAAAATTTTAATTGTACCTTCTGAAAATGTCAGGTAATGCTTAATAATAATAATAATAATAATAATATAGACTATAACTGCAAGTACTTGGTAATCATTTTTAATGATTTCTATGCAGTTTGACACACATTTTACTTACTACCACATTTTCCCTACCAAGCAAATTAATTTAACAAAATATCTTTTGAATTTCCAAGTTATGTTACAACTTTATATCACCCCTCATTTTTGGAATTTGAAAGTTGAAAGATTCAGCATGCCCTACAATGAGTTTGACTGATCAGTTACGGGAGGCAATCTGATGGCTGAGAGGCTATAACTTGGGGGGGGGGCGGTGGATCAATGAGGAGTTTGCCCCTTACCTAGGGAGTCCCACCCACACTGTAGATTGCTTTCATGCGAGGATCTAGGCTCCAGACTTCCGCAAACAATCAAGGATTGTCTGGTTTTGTCTTTTTCATAAAGGCACCCAATTCCATTCGCTAACAATGGCTCTCTCTCACCTCCCCACCCTTTCCTTCCATCACTGCCTCCCTACCTTTGACGCCTTTCACTTTCTACGTGACCTGGTCTCCAGCTGGGGAAAATGCGGCTGACAATTCCCTGCCGTGCCGTTACTTGTACCCACCTGCAGTGCTTTGATGCTGCTCTCTATCTACAAATGAATGAAAAGAAACCCACCTGGATATGTCCTGTGTGCGACAAGAAAGCTGCATATGAGAGTCTCATCTTAGATGGGTAAGACGAGGAGGCGGTATCTCGCTTTTTCAGGCAGCAGTAGCTGTGCTCTTAGAACTATAAAAGCAGTTTGCTGCATTCAGTGAATTAACAGCAGGAGCTGCCTAGCAAGTAAGCTAGCATTGTGTCTTTCCAGGGGCATGTGTTTGGTTGTGGTAAAGCCATAAAGAATTGGAACTAGCCTGCATTTGAAGCTTGGAACTTATAGCCCATGACACACTCCACTCTTTAATCACAACTTGAACGGTCACCAGCATTACCTCTTGGCCTATATAGATCTAATGTGATAAAAGGGTTATAACCTTTTAAATTGACAACCAGCTTCTAGGGCTATAGACCTGGCTTGAGACTTAGTTTGCTCCCACCAGAGGTCTGTGAACGGCTTTATTATATGATTGAGGTGACAAGCAGTTAATTTATGAATGTGAGTCGCAGGGAATCCTGATCCTGTCAGATGGTTCCAAAGGGTGATTAACTAGCTGTTGTCTCATGATCGGAATCTTTATCGAACCATGTGGAACACAAGGATTGATGTGGGACTTTAAGTAAAGTATTAATCTGATTTATAAATTTACCTTCAAGCCGTTTTGAACAATATCAAATTCAAATTCTTTGATCTAATATCTCAAACCTATTCTCCACAAAAATTCACCCTGCACGGCTAGAGGCCTCATACCTTGCCAGGCTCAAAACAATTTGTGGTTCATTACCAATCACTCAGTCCCAGAATGAATACTGGTAGAACTCAACAGCAGCTAGTTAACTGTAGCTCACATGGGTAAGAGCCATTGGGTTGGAGTGGAGCTGGGACCTCCTTTTGGAAGGGAAGCTTCACTTTCTAAGGCAGCCGTCACTCAAAGGCACCATCAGAACAGTCAGCGGACACAAACTTGTAACGTTTAATGCTATTTTCCAGACTCTTTATGGAAATTCTAAACGAATGTTCAGATGTAGATGAGATCAAATTCCAGGAGGATGGTTCCTGGTGCCCTATGAGGCCGAAGAAGGAGGCTCTGAAAGTTGTCAGCCCGCAGTGCACCAAGGTAGAAAGTAAGTAACTTGGAATTCAGGCCATGAAACCCCTGTCCCAGTTGACGTGGGAACCTATCCAGGCTGACTGTTTACTCCTATTTGCAGAAGAGGCAGCAGATACTTTTGCCTCCTTGCAGAAACTGCCTCCCAGTTCCTTCACTATCTGGCTCAGAAGCTGGGCGTGATTTTTTAACGTGTCTCTCCAGAAGACAAATACCTACCTGGCCTATTCTTTCAGATCTCCGTTCATCTGTTTATCCTGTTACTTATCTGTTAAGTCTTGCTCAGTGCTATTTTTCTAGAAAAAGAGGTGCCGGAACTCAGCATGAACATCTCCCTAGTCCTATTATAGTGGCATTGGCACACACCTGAGAGGTGCCGGAACTGAGTTCCGGCTGGAAAAAAGCCCTGGTCTTATTCTTGATTTCTTTTTCTGAGCTTCGTTCTCCCTACATAGGGAAACGAAAACCCCTAAACTTTTGTTTTCTCTCTTCCCTGCTTCTCATGGCACCAACAGGGAAGTGCTGTGGAACAAAGTCTTCCAAAACAACCCTGCTTCCGAAGAGTTAAACTTCTGAAGCATCTGTCCTCCATGCCCTGCCAAGTCAGAAAGGGAACTCTAGAGGCCCAGCAAAGCACAGCTTAGCTGCAACTCCACGCGGCTCAACAAACAAGGGAAACTGCTGGTGGAAGTCCCTGTCAGTGTGTCCAGACCTTCAAATTCTCAGGTGCAGAACGGAGCAGGGCATATCTATCAGCAGTATCCCAGTTCTGGTCTGCCCTAGTGGACGACTCTGCCCGTTTGCAATCCAATGCCAAGCAAAAATGACATTCCTTTCACAGGCCACCAGGTGGCTGCAGAGAGTCATTGGTACCGTCCTAACAGTTCCTGTACAGCCGTGGGAATATATTTGTCAGATAGCAACTCCCCATCATTCCAAATGTCTGCCTCTCTGCAGGGTCCTGGATGCTACCCTTGCGTATCTGGCCAGAATGATGCAATTCTGCACCTTTTTCTGCCTCTATCCTCAATGCTCAGTTCATGAGAGAATTAAAGAGCCATAATTGTTTATAATTGAGCAGCTGTATAAAAGAAGAGTAAGAAAGCACACCCAAAAAAGGGGAGGCACACGCTGTTCCCCTCTTCCTCCATGGAGTCTCCCTAGCCCAGTGGAAAAAAGTCAACCAGGGCCCCAGCATGAACCATGCCAAAGCTCTCTCATCCTTCTTTTCTAACTCCTCAGCTGAGTTGAGGGTAATCTCCTGATTCACACTCATTGGCATGAGACAGAATTCTATATTTAAAAATCTTAAGGATTCCACAATAGTCAGTTTACTCCACCTCTGGATGTAGTTTCTTCTTAGATTCAACAGCTCTTGTTAGGAGCAGGTCTGGAGAAAGACAGAATCAGTAAGCAAAAGAAACCATAGGCTGCAAAGGACAAGAGTGAAGGGTTGAAACTTTCCTGGATCTTTGAACTTGGTATCTGGGATTCTTCATGCCCCCACCCCCTTGGCCTCACTGGAGAAGAAATGGTGAGTCAAGCCTGCAGCCGAATAATGTAGTCATTCCTTTAATGGAGAAAAGCAGAGTAGCAACTCAGTTCAAACAGTTTGGCCACAAGGGGTGTGTGTGTGTGTGTGTGTGTGTGTGTGTGTGTGTGTGTGTGTGTGCTTGTTTGCAGGAGGGTAAACATCACCTCTGTTGCACTTTAGACAATTGCTTTGCAATTTACTCCTTTCAGCCTTATCACCAAAAGTGCACATCACCTCGTACTCAAAGACAAGGAGATCCTATAGCCTTCATCTTGAGCAGTTGCACTTTTTCTTTCCAGGTTCCAGCATGGTCAGCAAGCCCTGCTCCACGCCAATCAGTGAGGTCAGCAAAAAGAAAGTTGACGTCATTGACCTCACAGCTGAGAGCTCGTCTGATGAAGAGGAAGATGCGCCTCCCAAAAGGAAATGCATATATATGTCTGACACACAAGCAAGTCCCACCAAAGGGTTGGTTAATTTTTCACGTGAATAATACTATCTGTCCTGGTTTGTTTGTCTATCAGTTCCCCATCCTGGCAGCTTGGGTCTGGTTTTCTCTTTTCTGCTTGTACATCATTAAGTAGATGTGCTGAGTCCATCTCTCGCCACTCTACCCCTGCTTTCTTGGAAGCCTCTTCTCTGATTATTTCCTGTTTGATTAAAGATGCCCAAACGCAGCTAGCTGTGTTAAGGCAAGCAAAATTCATTTTTGAAGAGTCCGTCTGCAGGCAAATCAAATCTCACCCTGGATTTAGGAGTTAAGAAATGCTATTGCTTTAGTCTGTTTCAGAGGAAATCCTTCTCTCTACAAAGTCCTCTTCTAGCTCCAGAGTCCAAAATGGTGTGTAAGGTAGTTCATATAGAAATTATTGATCTTTTCTTCCTCTTCAAGCAGTGTGGATTACACTGGTTTTTGGCCACTGTAGATTGTACACCTTCGCAAAACAAGAACACCCTCAGGTTTCGCCAACTGCTGATCTGTGCACTGAGTGATCTCCCTATGGTCCAGTAGGAGGCAGGTTTTTAGAAGCAAGATCTGGTCAGGGCCCCTCCCAATTCCCATTGGGAACCTGTCTCCTAGTTTGCCAATCTGTTTTGCTCTGAGGGAACCAGAGCGTCAGGATACATAGGCTTCTGATTGGATGAATCAGGAGTGCTTGTTGGCACACAGAGTTGGCGCTGGCTGCCTTTTTGGCCAATCTGGTCTTTTCTCACATTGCAGGAGGATCTCTTTCGATTGCTCTTCCCCACATACTCCAGAACAGAGGTGGTTACAGTGGTACCTCGCAAGACGAATGTCTCGCAAGACAAAAAACTCGCTAGACGAAAGGGTTTTTTGTTTTTTGAGCTGCTTCGCAAGACGATTTTCCCTATGGGCTTGCTTCGCAAGACGGAAACGTCTTGCAAGTTTGTTCCTTTTTCTTAACACCGTTAATACAGTTGCGACTTGACTTCGAGGAGCAACTCATAGCACGCGGTGTGGTAGCCTTTTTTGAGGTTTTTAAAGACTTTGGTGATTTTTGAAGCTTTTCCAAAACTTTCCCGACACCGTGCTTCGCAAGACGAAAAAAATCGCAAGACGACAAAACTTGCGGAACGAATTAATTTCGTCTTGCGAGGCACCACTGTAATCATTTTTAGGCTGAGGACAGCATTGACCTATGGGGCTGCATATCAGAGTGGGCGTGGATTTTGCTGTCTACGCAGTTCAGCCTTGGGAGTTTTGCTCTGAAGTAACGTCTTTTATGTGCTTGTGTGGCTGGATTCTGCTTTTAAAATCCACTTTGACTGCAGCTCTAAAGGATGCATTTTGTGAATTGTCCTGATGGCCTGCCTTGGGCCATGTTGGCAGGATGAGCATCCAGAGAGACAAAAAGGAAAATGCTTACAATAAAGACCCACACTGGTTGTGTGTATTCTGATGACTGAGTCTAAGAGGGCTCAGCTGTGCACAGCTTACCTTCCTGCTGACTGCTGCGTTGTTTCTGACATTCCACCTTCTGTTTCACCCACAGGGTGCTCATGTATCAGCCGTCTACTGTACGAGTGCCTGGAGTGAGCACAGTGGACCCTTCTGCTATTCCACCCTCATTAACGGACTACTCCGTACCATTCCACCACCCACCAATATCAAGTATTTCATCAGATTTACCTGGTAAGGCTTCTTTTTCTGAACTCAACTCTGTTATCAGTTGGGGCAGACGCGACTTAAGAATCAAATCGGCATAGGATGAGAGGATAAAGGGTAAAGAGAGAGGACCATGTCATCTCGTTTTTATGTCCTCTTGAGCAGGGAGAGGTGAAATAAAATTAATCCTGGGTCTTGCCAGTTCTCGTCATCCTTGGCCCTTGCACCACAATGTAACATTGAGATTTCTCCATGATGCATCTTCTTTCAATGCAATGTTTTTTTCTTCTAGGTTTGGATTTTCTTTCTTTAATCCCAGTTGACCCACAGGTAAATATATTCATTACAAATTATTTACTTTTGCTTTTTTTCTTGCTTAAACTGGAATAATGTAGACACGAGTACCCTTCTGCTATTTGATTGTTAGATTTGGGGCATTTTTAAAAATTACCATGACTGCTCTCCCATGGTGGCATTCGCATCTAAGATTTGAGACTGAACGTTTTAACATCCTCTGCGAGGTGTGGGTTAAAAACTTGAAGCAGTAGGAATAATTTCTTGAAGGAATGCTTTTATCATTTAATTTCATTGGCTTCTCCTTTCTTTCCCCTCCCACCCCTTTTAAGCAGGCCCATAAGGCAGCACGCAGATGGTTTGTGGTTAGGTTACTTATAAGGATGGCCAATAATGTACCGAGTTGACAGGTTCCTTGTAATCTTAGCATGCCTGTCTAATGGAGAGATTTCAGAGTTGCCCTTTTTGAGCCTTGCGAAACCGTATTAATTGACCTTGTCTTAACTTTGCTTACTCTAGCCTGGATGCTTGCACTTTTTCCCCCCCTGTGTGTTTTGTCTCTCTTCCTTATCTGCACCATTGTTTGTTTCAAGCAGTACTGTCCTCCTATGTTTTTGGATAGTCTCACCTCGACGTTGCCAACAAGCACCACCCCCGGCAACATCATCACCTCCACCAGCCACCACGAGAGCAGCACTCGCGTTAGCTCCTCAGGCCGGAGCGAGACGGCAGTTATCACCAGCAGCAGCGGGAGCAACATTCCTGACATCATCTCTCTGGACTAAAAGCTGGCAAAATCTGCCCATCTGCAACTGCACAGGGCTTGTCCATTCACATGCCTAAATCCCTGGACCATCCGCAACTTGGACCTTATTTGGGGTATTTATTTGAAAGGAGCCGGGGGGAGGGAAACGCTTTGGATTTTTTTTTACCCTCTCTGTGGATTGACAGTACCACAAAAAGAGGGCGGGAAACTGACTGGATTATATTTTTGTTGTCTTGGGGTTTTTCCCCCCTGCTCAGCTTGGGAAGAATGTGGTCAGTTTGAGGACGCCAGCCCATCAAGCTTGCTATGAAGAAACTGACGTGGGTTTACTATGTGGATTCCAGGGCAGATTCCATATTTTGATTTTATTTTCTCGTTACATTTAGCAATAATGTGAACAGTTTTGTTAAAAATCAAAAAGCACTTAATTTCTCTGGAATAACAGATGAAAGGACAAGAGGAAGTTGGCAATTTCTTCAGTGGAGGACAAACTTTTGTGAAAATAATAGGTGTATAAACTATGTTTGCCTCTTTGCTTCTCCAGTTGCTTCACCATCTCCTTCCTAAATCTGGATATATATTTTTTCCTATTTGGAAGCTCATGCTGCTTGGAGAATGTTCAGTTAACAACTGCGAAAAAGGCACAGAAATGTGGGGGGAAAGAATGCTATGCAAGGTCAGCTTCACAAATCGAATCCATGTTCACAAAACAAAGAATTCAAAACCCAGCAATTAGCTTTCAGGACAGGATTATCAGTTCTCCGTGGATGAAGGAAAAGAATTTCTGCTTCTTCAAGTCCTACAAAATGGCCAGTGCTTCAGATTTGCGTGTGGTGCTAAGCCTCTGCTGAGTCAGCTTGTGTTATGCCATATTTTGTAGCCACAGAAAGAATCTATGCCCATCATGAGGTAGAAACTCTTTTTACAACTGTCCAATCCACATTACTTAAGTCAAGTTGCTGCTAGGAAGATTGATCCTCATTCCCTTTAGAATAGTTATGAGAACGATTTACTTGACTGCATAGATGACATAGCATTTCAGATCTCTACTTTGGAAAAAATAAATAAACCAATTTTGCCATTTGAAGAGGCTAATGAATGCTTTGGGTACTGGGGGTAGGTTTATACTTTGATGCAGCTAGTCCTGGTTCAGATGAGGACATCCTGAAATTGCAGGAGGCTACATGTAAAACATGATTTCATTGATGTAAGATTCCCTGATTGATTTCTTTTATGTGTTAAGAAGGAAATCATCCTAGTAATTCCTGCTTTACTGTGCTTGCCAATCCATGTCTCTCCATACAGTCAATCCTCTGTTCCTGAACACCTCCGTTTTGGCTCCTGAATGCCGAAAACTTGGAACTGTTCCGGTTTTCGAACAATTTTCAGAAGCCGAACATGCTACACGGCTTCCATTTTGAGTTTCCTTATTGTATTGAGGCTTCTGCTTTCGGTTGTCAAATGTTACGGAAGTCGGAACGGATTGCGTTCAACAACCAAGGTTTGACTGCATGAAAAGTTCCTGTGCCATTAGTAGTAATAGAGAATTTTAACCAGTGTGTTCCGAAGAGCCACGTACCTCCAGGCCCCTTCTTTAATTTGCGAAAAGGTAACCCCCATAGCATTGAAAGGCTGCTGCTGTTCTTCACTGCATTCTCTCACCTTCTCATATGCTTAAATTGTTAACACTTTCAGCTGTATGGCCAAATACTACAGTGCTACTTCTGATTCTTTACCACACTTGATATTCTATTGCCATTTTATAGACACATTTGCTTGCAGGAATGAGGAGATACCCAGTAATGGTTACACTTCAGATGTTTTGAAAACTTATCAACACTGGGTAGAATTTAGTTTTACAGTGGTACCTTGGTTTACAAACTTAATCCGTTCCAGAGGTCTGTTCTTAAACCGAAACCGTTCTTAAACAGAAGCGCACTTTCCCTAATGAGGCCTCCAGCCACTGGTGCCCTTCCACCGTTCGGCTTCCGTTCTTATACCGAGGTAAAGTTTGCAAACCAGGACACTACTTCCGGTTTTGCAGAGTTCGTAAACTGAATAGTTCGTAAACCGAGGTACCACTGTACTCAAGAGTAGACCCACTAAATTAATGGACCTTAACTGTTGAGTTTTGCTCAGGGTAGATTCACTGAAGTGAACAAACTTCAAGCTGAATACAGTCTATTGCTTTCAGTGAGTACTGGTATCATTCATTGTTTTCTTTTTCCATTCTATCTCCAAGCATCCCATTCTGCTAAGTCAATTCTTAGCTCACATGATGGGTTTTGCATTGTGCCAGTCTTCATGTGTCTGCTAATTTGTAGTTATTAAAAGTAACCTGGTATCCGGGGGTGGGGGGGGTTGACTTTAAAGCCATACCAATTGCTAGTTTGAGACCTCCAGTCCTTGAGCAGCTTGCAGCATTGTAACACTGCAGGTCCCAGGAGGTGAGGCAAATTCGCTAAGTCAGGTACTGTCTTTTATTGGAAGTCTCTCTTACATTTTTCAGGGTTGTAATACAGCTCTTTGCAACAAAAATTCCTGCAAGTAGATGGTTTAGAACTTTACTCAAGTCTCAAACGTGTCTCCAGGGCAGTAGTTCTCATCTGTTAAAGCTACTGTTTGTACGTAATAGGGCAATTGCAAATAAGATTAAAGGCCTTCAAGTGATTTTGGAACAAGAGCTCGTAAGGTCTCTGCAAAATGAATTCTGTTTCAGTATAGGGCTCTTAAAATAGATACCAGTGATAAGTGGGGAAGCCTGCTTACTGCAGAAACAAGAATTTCACCAGATAAGCGGTTCAACACATACTTTTATTTCTCATTAGGTGAACATGACATAATTGCTAGATGTTTGGAGTTTTTCTGTTCAGTTTCCCACTCCTTTGCTGGCTTTGTGAAGCAATCCAATTCTGTGATGAAGTTGAGTGCCAGAATAGGCACCCCTGACCTGGATGAGGTTGTAGTTACAATTTGTCTAGGAAGTTGTCCAGAGGTGGAATACCTTCCTTCAAGCCTTTGCGTTTGCGTGTTTCAGCCACGACTTGGAAGGGTCGTGAATTAGCATCGTAGGGGTCTCCGGGCAAAATCTGCCAGTGATCAAAGACACATTGTGGGAAAGCCTGGCCACCGGTATTGGATCTCAAATCAGCAGTGAAACCTATGGAGATGAAAAAAATGAGTAACTTGTAAGGCTTAGAACACCCCTTACAGTATCCTCTGTCAGACCTTTCATTCAAACAAAAGTTCTTACTTAGCCACCTTTAGCAAGTTTATCTGATGCAACATTAATAATGCTAAATTCATACCAACAGGAAAAGCTTGTTCAATCTGGCTTAAATTTCTTTCCTCTTCTACACCTACCTCTTCCTTGCTGCATTTCTTTAACTCCTAAGAGAGGGTTGTCGCTCAGTAGTAAGAGCATCTGTTTGGTATGCAGGAGGCCTTGGGTTCAATCTCTGATACTGCCAAGTAAGGGTTCAGAATCATCACCAGCCTGAAATCCTGGCAAGCCATTGCCAGTCAGTGAAGGAACTGATGGGCCGATGGTCTGACTCAGCACAAGTCCGCTTCCTAACTCTAGTATCACTATCCAGAATACAATTTGACTGTTCCTTAACTCTAATGTCCAGCTTCTCATATCTGCTTCTGGGTCATTTTCCCTCCCAGGCTGAGGTACTACTCCATTATGGGCAGCTACTTTTCCTGGCAAAGTTGAAAGCAGGAATACTTGAGCCAAGAATGCTAGTTTTTATTTCATTGTATTCTCCCCCAAAACTAGTGACTTAACTGGAAGAATGGTATGAACCACCCAGTGGGATTTGATAAGGTCATGAAATCAGTCAATCTCTTACCAAAAGACTCATTAACTGGCAGATATGCTTTGACCACAAACATGGGCGTCCCAGCTACTTGGGACTCTTCAAAAACATGACCGCGTTTTCGATTCAGCACACCATAAATGCCTCCAACCACTTGTTCTGGGCACTAGGGAAGAAAGGCAGCTGTTTAGATTTTTCCCATCAGCTCAAAGGAAAGTCTGTGGTATCTCCTTTCATCAACAATTAACTATAAGACACGGGACCTCTTGAATTTCATACTACTAAATTATTTTATTTACAATAAAATGCACTAGAGCAGCACTTAAGGATCTTAATACAAAGACAGCTCCATGTGACATCTTGAATAAAAGCATTTTTGCTCTGGTAGTTAATAAATATACATTAATAAACCATTATTCAATTTTATGCTGCAAAAGTCTCACCTGACTAAGTAGCAAATTAGCTGCTTTTTTGGTGGCAGACTAGATTTCTCCACTTAAATGGGAACACAAAACTAAATGACGAAGGCTGCAAGCCATACCACGTCCAGTCTAAAGTTGAGGTTACTTCCAGGTACGCAGGGCAAGAATTGCAGCCTTAGTGAGGAATCAGCCAATGCTGCCAAGGTCCAAGATAGTTAATATGAAACATGCTTAAAACTCATGTTCTTTCATAGTATGTCAAATGAGGCTCTTCAGCTGCACATTTGTGCACAAGCAGGGCTAGTAGTAAAAACGAAATCTGTTGGGGGTTGAGAGGAATTTCCTAGAAGCCAGCAATACTGCTCTTGTTCTAACAGGAGTGGGATAAAACGAGAGTGGACCCGAGTCCACTGTGACAGTGAAATCTCAGAACTAAGAACAGGAGTTTTGATTCCTGCTTCAAAGTCTCAGCAGGGACAACCCACCCGTCCAGTGACATACCTGTATCTCTACAAGATAGATGGGTTCCATCAATCGGGGCTGGGCAGTCAGGGCAGAGGCATACAAAACCCTCCTTGCAGTTGGGATGATTTGCCCACCACCCCGGTGGATGGCATCAGCATGGAGAGTAACGTCATGGATGTCAAAGCGAACTCCCCGCATGTTCTCCTCACACAGAACGCCCTGCAAAAGACAACAGTCAAAAGTGGAAAGGAAAAGACTTCTGACTGCAGTATTATTGGCATCCTAATGCTTAAACTTGTTTTAATTGGCAAAAGAAAAAGAGTTAAGTTGCCACTTGTGCAGAAGAAAAACATTACAGACCATTAAAGTGTTGGGAGGTCTTCCTGCTACTAGAGAGGCTTGCAAATAATAATGAAAAATCAAACACCTTATGCACAGCAAAGAAAATTAAGATAGTAGGTTGCGTTTCACAGAAACATTTAATGTGTTTTAAGTCCGTTTGTATCCAAGTGAAACCATTCATAGTGCAACAGGTGAGAATTACTTAAAAGCATATGGAACAGCCCTAAACAGAAACATACCACTGAGGTCTGTCAAGCCCAGTACTGGCTGCCTAGGAATCTCTCTTGTCGTTCTACCTCAAATCTTTTTATTTAAAACAAGCCATGAGTTATTAGGGATTGAACCTGACAGCTGTAAAATTTACAGAATAATTTCAAACATCTTGCGTATCAAATGCTAACTTTATGGCAGACTTGCCTCTTTCGTTGCCCACTGGAATCCGGCGACCACGCTATCCTTTATTTCATTGAGGTACTGGACCCCTTTGGTGATGTCCACCAGGATGTTGGGGCCTGTTCCGTCGGGACCAAAGCACCAGATCTTCCGTGCTTCAGACACATCCCACTCGTACTTCTCGGCCAGGTACCGAGCCCGTTGCTTCAGCTCTTGGCGGGAGCTGACATCCCCTTTGTCTATATCTTCTGCCAACCCGTCAGGGAAAGGGCGGGCTTTCATGTACAACCGGTTGTGCTTGTTGGGGGATTTGGACAAGCACATCTGGATCGATTCTTCAGAGACTGTCTCCCGATAAGATACTACCGGGTCTGATTTCTGTTATGTTGCAAAAGAAGAGTGTCAAATAAATTTGAGTCCACTTTACAAATTCATTCTATGCTGAGATCAACCTTTACTACCCTGTTTCACATGTTCATTTCAAGCTAGAGTGACGGAGCATGTCCCCCCACTACACATACCAAAATTGGAGCCTCATTATAACACGTGTGGACCCTAGATGGGGATACATGGCACACCAGGTGAGATATGGCAGTCAGACATCCTCAACAGAGGCAACATCGAGTGTTTTACAGATTTCATTGCCAGATTTAGGCTCTAGCATGAATTACTAGAATTAAAGGTAATGGGACCCCTGACCATTAGATCCAGTTGTGACCAACTCTGGGGTTGCGGCGCTCATCTCGCTTTATTGGCCGAGGGAGCCGGCGTACAGCTTCCGGGTCACGTGGCCAGCATGACTAAGCCGCCTCTGGCGAACCAGAGCAGCGCACAGAAACGCCATTTACCTTCCCGCTGGAGCGGTCCCTATTTATCTACTTGGACTTTGACGTGCTTTCGAACTGCGAGGTTGGCAGGAGCAGGGACCGAGCAACGGGAGCTCACTCCGTCACGGGGATTCGAACCACTGACCTTCTGATTGGCAAGTCCTAGGCTCAGCAATACAGAAGCAGCAACGCGTTTTGACGAGTCATCTAGAAAAAGCTGTGGCTTGAGTTTCCTTGAAATGCTAATGCACACTCACTGTTCCGTTATAAAGTGAAATCGAAATGAATAATCTGATTAAGAAATCTAGGTTCGCCTTGGCAGCTCTAGTTTCTTGCTGTGACCATGTCTCTCACCTCTGCAAGCGAATACGGCACCCTGCACCACTGTGGGAGACGAACCTTTGCCTCCAGAGTTGAGAGGGGCAGGAGCTTGTCTCCAGTGCACTAACCCTCAAATTCCCAGAAAGCAGCACAAGTCCCTTGGCTCTCCAGGTGTCACCTTTGTTCCGTGTGACATCATGGAATACAACCACCATTCATCTGTACTTCTGAAGTCAGCCTGGTATGGCAGAGAATCCTCATGCTTCTCCAGGCAGAGAAGAAGGGTGGTGGCCCTCCCTGATTCTGTTATTTTGCCCGAGCAAAAAGATGTGCTCAGCCATGGTGAGCTGGCAAGTACACTGGTTAGATGCTGGTTAATAAGCATTTCCACAAGCCACACTGAAATGACTGGGAGAAGAAGCACAAGAGCACAGCAGCAATCTAGAAGTCAATAGGCATTTGCATCTCATGCTCAGGGATTTATATGCAGAACAAGTATATTCAAAACCTAGGACCTAATGTAGAAATTAACCTTATTGAGAATCCCAGGCTTATTTCACATCTTCTCCCCCGGCCCCATCCTCTACCTTTGCCTGCCAGTCTCCTACCAAAAGAGGTCCAACCATTGGAAGCAAAATTAAGTGTAAGGTAAAGGTAAAGGGACCCCTGACCATTAGGTCCAGTCGTGGCCAACTCTGGGGTTGTGGCGCTCATCTCGCTTTATTGGCCGAGGAAGCCGGTGTACAGCTTCCGGTCACGTGGCCCGCATGACAAAGCCGCTTCTGGCGAACCAGAGCAGCGGACGGAAATGCCGTTTACTTTCCCAATGGAGTGGTGCCTATTTATCTACTTGAACTTTGACCTGCTTTCGAACTGCGAGGTTGGCAGGAGCAGGGACCGAGCAACGGGAGCTCACCCCGTTGCGGGGATTCGAACCGCCGACCTTCTGATCGGCAAGTCCTAGGCTCTGTGGTTTAACCCACAGCGCCACCCGCGTCCCTTCAAAATTAAGTGTACGCAGGTCATATAAAGAGACTCAATTTTCATTATTTTCTGGCTACTGAATTGTATTTTATTTATTAACTTTGTATACTGCCCTATACCCACAGGTCTCATTTATTTGGCACAAAACCAAATCCCGATATCTAATTTCCATTTAAAAAAAAATCATATTCTCAGTCCATCTGGCATTTACATGTTCTAACCCTGCCCACACAGCATGTGAGTTTGCATACCTTGATGGGAATACAGGCATGGTCCTCTTCCAGATCTTTCAGGCAAATTTCCAGATGCAGCTCCCCAGCTCCAGCAACGATGTGCTCTCCAGATTCCTCAATAATGCACTGGTGAACAGGAAAAGTTGGTTATTAGGTTGTTTCAGGAGGAAAACGTTATGAAAACCTAGCAGCATTTCCTTATCATGCTGCAGAATGTGCTACAATTCTGCCAAGCCGTTTTCAAAAGATCAAAGCATTGGGCCTTTCCACAACTGTTATGCAGAAATCATCATGGGAAAAGTTGAGCTTAGGTTGTGATGTGCTTTCCACCCCTGACCTCCAAGCATTGCACCTACCTGTGAAATGCAAGGTACTGCCAGGTAAAACGCACCACTTCTAACACTTATGCCATGCTCTAGAGCTTGTGCAGCAGTAGGTTCAAACAGAGCCACCCCACCACACAGAGGAAGGGGAGAAAATGCTTCCTAATTTTGAAAACACAAGAAAGAGTACTACCCAAGACCAAGGCCTATCTATAAATATGCTTGTATTTATTTATTAGAATTGTTATCATCTCCCTTCCTGAGAGCTTGGAAGGGGGAACATTGTTTCTGATAAACAAAACATCCTCCAATTTCAAAGATTCCTACAGAGCTCAGGGATTGTACAGAAGTCTTTAAAAGCACAAATCAACAGTGCACTAGCAGTATGGATGTTTGTTGCATTTGAGCTCTGTCTTCTACACAGTGGTTATAACCTCTCACCACAGTGACCACATTCAGAAGTCATAACTACAGTGGTACCTTGGTTTAAGAACAGTCCGGTTTAAGAACGATTCTGTTTACAAACTCCGCAAAACCGGAAATAGTGTCCCGGTTTGAGAAATTTACTTCGGTCTAAGAATGGGATCTGAACGGTGGAAGGGCACCAGCGGCGGGGGGCCTCATTAGGGAAAGTGCGCCTCAGTTTAAGAACTGTTTCGGTTTAAGAATGAGCTTCCAGAACGGATTAAGTTCGTAAACCAAGGTACCACTGTACAAACTAGCCTGTGGTAAGCCTCAAGCTTGTATGTTTCTCTCCCCATTTACTTGCATGTGAGAGATTTCAGTGACATACACCTTTGGTTTGATGTCCTGGCTTGTGAACTGTGGTTTGTAAAAATCAGTTTCTTCATAATATGGACGAACCAGGAAGGTGCAATTTGTCATGCCCAGAAGCTTCACATTTTCTTGGGTGAGGGAGAAGCTTACAAACCCGAGGTTCACTAAGTTATTGTAATGCGAAGGGATAGGAAACCATTTTTTTCAGGCCAAGGGCCACATCTGATCAACCTTTTCTGGTGCCAAAGGCAAAAGTGGGCAAAGCAACCAATGGTTAATGTTACCTTTGTATAGTAAGCTAGTTTCTACAAACACACACACTCCATCCCGGCAGCCAAGAACCATTGCCAGAGCTCAGAAACACATTCCAGCCAGGCAAAAATATTGAAGGAGGGTATGGAATAGGGCTGTTAAGGGAAATGGCCTGGAAAAAGTTCCAAGGGCCAGATAAAAAGGCTACATTTGGCCTCTGGACTCAAAATGCCGGCCCTACACCATGGTTTTGCATCACCACTGAATACAGGCATTAAATATCGTCCCCATCCAGCCAGACCTTTCTTCCTTAGTCACTGCCTGTCCTGTTTATATTCTTCCAGATGCATCTGTAGTAAAAGGGAGCAGCAATTTCCACCATCCTGTCCTTATCACGTGTTAATGAGAAAGGTAAGAACCAATGACAGGAAAGGTTTAGTACCAGGTTGTCCCCAAATTTCCCTAACCATTTCAAAACACAGTTTTCTTCTTTAGCTGAAACTCCACAACAGTTAAAAAATATGGAAACTTTATTTTGATTGAATTCAATCTTCTTCAGCTAAGAGAAGGCAGCTTCCTAAAAGCCAGTAAATCTGATGAGAAATTTGTTAGTCTACAACTGAATCTTCACTTACTCTGGAGCAAGTGAGAGAAGCTTATTTGGGAAAACGTGTTTTATTTCTTCCGTTTACATCCTATTTTGGAGCACCGGGGTTCCCAGGGAATCTCCCATCCAGACACTGACCAGACCCGCTTAGCCTAAGCAGGGATGCTGCAAAATGTCCCTTCAGACCACACCCTGCAAAATTAACCTGGTAATAAATCCCTCCTGTATTCATTAGTTTTTGACTCTTACGACGTGGTGAGGCTTTCTTCCTGGTTGCAACACTACTACAAGTTCCCCACAGATATCATTTCACCCTTTCACTCTGACCCATTCTTGGAAGGTACAGTATTTGTGGACATGCTAGATCTTACACATTTCCCACCCCACTATTCACAAAGTGGCAGTTATTCAGTCTTCCGATGGAAGAAACTGAGTGGCCAAATGAATATTAAGACATAGGCTGACTACAAATGTTAAGGGCTGGATTGCTTTATTTTGAAATTTCTGTCCGAGTTCTGAGCAAGTCTATAGCTGCTTCCCTTGAGTGGCATGCTTGCAAATGCTATTAATGAAAAACTCTCTTCCAGCAAAGCTCCACTGCAAACCAATAATTCACAAAGTTACAGCTAACACTCACCTGGACCATAGGGTCAGACTTGGCGAGACGCTTTAGACCTTCCACTAGTTTTGGTAGGTCGGCAGGGTTTTTTGCTTCAACTGCAACCCGCACAACTGGGCTAACACTAAATTTCATCACTCTCATGTTGTGGGCATGTTCAAAGGTGGAAATGGTGCCCGTCTTCACCAAAAACTGGTCAACACCAACTAGGCCAACAATGTTGCCACAAGGTACATCCTCAATGGGCTCAACATAACGACCCATCATCAAAATGGTTCTACAAAGACAGAGGATGGGTAACAATCTATTTTATCATCGGAAGTATTTTTTTAAAAATTTTTTAGGAAAAAACCCAACCTTTTTACATAAAAGGTATTCTCTCTAATTGCCCTTTTAACTGTCTATCATATCTCTCAGTAACTAAAGTTATATTGGGCATGCCATAAAGAAAAAATTCTCAGAAAAAATAAAAATGCTGCTGCCTCTTATCAGGTTCCCCGCCCCCATAAAACAAAAATATACATATATTATAACATTGATTTTTTTTTGCATGCATCGACTTCCAAAAGAAATGACGCCATCACCATCTACCTTTGAATGGGCTTCAGGTAGAGATCTTCTTTCTTTCCTGGGGTATAGTTTGGCCCCATGATTCGTACTTTCTGGCCTGTGGAAACAATGCCAGAGAAGACCCGCCCAAAGGCATAGAAACGACCTTTGTCAGACGTGGGGACCATTTTGGAGATGTACATCATCAAAGGGCCTTTTGGATCACAGTTCTTAACACCTGCAGCAAAACAATGCAAAGATAGTGACTCACAGGCAGTTCTGAACTCAGCAGAGATATCACGATGGGGGATTTGCCTTCCTTTTTAAAAATGAAACGTAAAAATCAGTTATATGTTGCCGATCAATTGGGCACAGGAAACTAACTGGACAAAAGCAAAGTCTATCCAAATACAGTGGTACCTCGGGTTACGAACTTAATTCATTCCGGAGGTCTGTTCTTAACCCGAAACCATTCTTAACCTGAGGCGCACTTTTGCTAATGGGGCCTCGTGCTGCTGCCACTGCCGCACGATTTCCGTTCTCATCCTGGGGCAAAGTTCTCAACCCGAGGTACTACTTCCGGGTTAGCAGAGTTTGTAACCCGAAGCTTTTGTAACCCGAGGTACCACTGTAGGTGAATGAAATGGGAAGTGTGTTTGGTAGAGGGCTGCTTATATAATAGTTCCAAGATAGTTCAGCTGAGGACCTTTAGAGTGTCAAGTTCTGCTACACCATCAGGTCTCGCTCCCTATTCTTAAAAGATTTGTACAGTGGTACCTCGGGTTAAGTACTTAATTTGTTCTGGAGGTCCGTTCTTAACCTGAAACTGTTCTTAACCCGAAGCACCACTTTAGCTAATGGGGCCTCCTGCTGCTGCTGCACCGCCAGAGCATGATTTCTGTTCTCATCTTGAAACAAAGTTCTTAACCTGAGGTACTATTTCTGGGTTAGAACAGTCTGTAACCTGAAGCCTATGTAACCTGAAGCGTATGTAACCCGAGGTACCACTGTACAGTCTCGTAAAGGAGAAGGCCAACATCTGCCAATGAACACAGAGCTTAGTATGAATAATGATGGGGAATTAGAAAAAATATATAGTCAGAAATTTCAAGGGTTTGCAAAGTAGTCATCTTCTGCCTTGAATTGCTAATGTCATCTTACCCATAGCTGCTTCATCATCAGGCGGTCCCTCATACAGAAGTTCACAGCGATATTTCTGCGCCGTAACAGGGGAAGGCAAGTGGATGGTAATCATCTGAAGTAAGGCATCACCGGCAGGCAGCCAGCGACGCATTACAGCCTGGGAAACAGACATTGAACACAGCTCAAGCTACTGTTTCATCCTTTAGTTTCTTTGTTTGGCTAAACTGGAAGAGCGATGTTCCTCTTCAGAAATGCGATGTCACTCTTCCAGCGCCCATCTCATAAGAATATATAAAGTTGGCCATGCCCCAGTGCCCCAGGCCGTTTCCTGTCGTGCTACCCCAGACTGAACTTGCAACTTTCTGTCTGCAAAGCAGGTGCTGCTTAGCACAGCTGTGCCAAAAGGGACACCGAGACACAGACACACACGGTATCAAAGTACCTTGAGCAGTGGCTTCCCCTCCTTTTCTCGGTCTTCAGCATCCAGCTTGATGTCCAGTTTCTCTATCAGTTTGGATGCCTCTTCCTTCTTAAAGTTCATAATGGCATCGAAGACCTACACAGCGAAAGTATGTTACAGAGATTTTGTTTGCCCGGTCGATCTAGCATGCCATCAATCAGCTGCCGAGAACAGAGTGTTGAATGAAAGTCAAGCCAAATGAGGATTTCCTTTACGTCACTTTAAGAGACAGGTGTTGTCACATAGTTTAATTAATTAAGGTGTTCTTAATCTGTAACCTGTAATCCGGGGGGGGGGGGGGAATGAGTGGATTCGCTCCACCCCCTTGTTGTCATTCTCTTTGCCCACCAAAAGTTGGAAGGTAACTGCATCAAGCAAGGAGTCTCCTGTACCTTGGAAAATCAGGGTTCAGGAGCCACCATGGCTACAGGAGGCCTCTTCTTCTAACAGTTGCCCTCCAACTCGTACAGGGGGAAGAATGCTAATGAGGAGGAGCCTGAACAACCATCCTCACAGCATCACTACAGCTTGAAGAGGGCTTATGTGCCTGGTTTACTGAATGTGCAGTACTTCCATAGGCTAAACATGATTTCCACCCAAGGCTGCAGAAGAGCTTCCATATCTTATAGCTTGCTACCGATACTCAAGGGCACTTTACATTCTGCAGATCCTGCTAGGTTCATGATTCTGGAAGCTTAACATTTTGTCAGTGGACGAGTCAATAAGCTGGTCCCCTGGCAGTATGCTTTAAGGCACATTCATGTCATTGGTTAAACACTCTATAACTTAACTGATGTGTGTTGCACAGGTGGGGGGAGGGGAATCAGCCTGCTTAGTTAGCTGCTGCAAATACATTTACTCCAGGGATGTTTTATCAAGACTAGGGAAGCCTGTCTGCTGGCAATAAGTGGCCTGAGGTTTCTCATGGATCCTTCACTCTATTCTTCAGCACCCTGAAGAATAGCTTATTCTTGGGAGTTCTCCTAACAGACTGAGGGAGGGAATAATTCTCAAGTTTAGGTGATAATACTATTTTTGTCGAACAGAGTTTCACCTTAAAAATAGGATCCAGGATGAGTTGGCAGAAAGTCCGTGGCAATTTCTTTCCATCGGGGTTGGTTGCTGATTTACTGAATTTTCCATTTGCCGGGTCAAAATACCTAAATTAAAAAGCAAGGCTTATTTTTTTACATACAGTGAAAAGGTTGAGGAACTGAAAAAGAAACAGAAGGTATCTTATTTGGACTTCTCAATTCATCAAGCAAAGCGCCAGTGATCCCGCCATATCCTACTGCCTCTGTTTCTTAATTTACAAAGCAGAAAAATATCAAATATACATTTACAGTTGTCACAGCCACATTGACATTATTTCTAGTTTTTTCAGTACCTAACCACTTTTTAATTATCATAGGTATTTAGTATCTTGATTTTGTAAGCGGAACAACCAAAACCCACAGGTGAGTGCATTATATATGCAAGTACACACCACAGAACGATTGATTCCTAAACTGACTTATCTGGGTGACACCAACTGCTATGCATAAATATATATTCCCTTACTCACTTGTCTCCCCATAGCTTTTTCATCATGTCTTCTACCTTCTTGGCTCTTTCTGCTGCTGGCAGCTGTGCTTTTTCCCCTTTGGCAGCAAATTTGGCTACATACATCTCTGCAAACTGTTTCAGAGTAAAAGCCCAACCATGCAGGCCAGAGCCAAAGCCAACAGTACCAATGACTGGATCAATCTACAAACAGAAGGAGGGAGGGTCTGTTTTTAATCACAGGAACACATCAAGAATGCAACCCTAAACATACCCACATTCCACTGAAATCTAGGCGGCTTGTATCAAAATGAGCATCATCTGGGGCCAAACCATTTTGGCTAGTATGTACTTCTTGAGTAGCCACCCAAAAGTGCTTAAAGTGCATCCAATAAATTAAAGACACTGTGTTCTGTACCCCACTTATATACTGCCCTTCTCAACATGCCTCCTTCATGAGAGGTCTGGAGGGTGGCAACCCAAGAATGGGCCTGCAGTTTTGCCTCGACTACTGATCTGTAGAGCACAAGAGGCAGATTGGACTGGAGCCTGATCTTGCATCCATATCGCAGCTTAATCATCACCTATGCTTTAAAACAGGTGCCCTTCCAGGTGCTGTCGGACTTCAGTACCCATTAGCCCCAGCCAGATGGCCAATGGTCAGGAATGATGTGATCTGGAGTCCAATGACATCCATAGGGCCAAAGGTTAGTCGCCTCTGCTTAAAAGGGACTCAAGTCAGTTGCAGGGTGTTGATGTGGCTTTTCTACTGAGACAAAAAAAAATGCCAATAGTGTTATTTTTCATGGCTTTGCCTGCACAAATAACTGCTCAAACAGGCACTCGGTAGTAGAAGAGACATTCAAAGTTGCTTTATTCTGAGTCAAAGCACTGGCCTATCTAGCTCCGTAGGGCCTCCTCTGACTAGCAGTAGCTCTCCAAGGTCTCAGCAGAGGAATGCCTTTCTGAGCCCTGATACCAGAGATCTGTTTTTTTCCTCCCAAATTGAAGATGCCAAGGCCCGATTCGGGGGCCTCTGGTGAACGAAGTGAGTGTGCTCTGACAGTGAGCTATGGTTTCTCCCCAAGGAATAGTATAGCCTTGCAAGAGCTGCTCAGAGAAACTGCAGCAGCAAATTCCACAAGCAGGATGCTCTCACGTGAACAGTTTTTGCACAGGTAGACAAGAAAAATAACTTCTGCGCTAGCTTGGTGTAGCAGGATTTGACCCTTCCGAAAATAGTTTTCAGATCCACTCCAATGTCAACGTAAGTCCTCTTTACCATAATATTACCCATGGGTCCAGTTTCACCCTCTCCGTAAGTGGATATTATAACATTGACGTTTTCTACGATACGCTGGAAGGTCTGGTAAAGTTCTTCTGGCTCCAACTGCAGCTCCAGCAAAGCACGATCCATCTTGTTCATCATCAGCACTGGCTTGATACGCTCAGCAATCGCTTGGCGGAGCACAGTTTCGGTCTGCACACAAACCCCTAGGCGAGAAAGTGGACAGGCAGTGTTTGCATAGCCTGCTTCCAGAGAAAACCTGTTGCAACAGAACTGACTGTAGAAAGGTCAGTCCAGGTCTGTCCTGAAAATTTCAACTCAGTGAAGAGAAGGATCAACAAGATGGCTTGCTGCCTAACAACCTGAAGCTATGGGTAACCATTGATTTTACTTGTTTTCATTCAAAAGGTTTAGCTACCACCTTAGTGAACTGATTTTGTGCCAGTTTACAAAAACAAAACTGCTAAATACTGCTAGAGCATCACCCTTGCATCCCATAGCATTCAGGCTATTGCAGACTGCTGAAATTCCATACTCTGTGTACGTTTTGTAAGTCACACAGCTTATTCTGAAGCCTTGACCACAGGAAATTTTGTTGAGCTTCCTGAGCTGCAGGGAAGTCACCAAACACATTTTGAAGGTCATTTTCACAATGGTAAGGGCTAAGCATTTCCTTATTTAAAAGGGTGTGTGTGTGTGTGTGTGTCAAATTCTCAAGGCTAAAATCCTCAACTATAATAAGGTCTCAGCACACTCTATATAAATTATTAGAAGAGGTTTGCTAGCATTATAGCCCACTTCTTTTCCAAGAGTTGAGGACAACATTTTAGTGCCTCATGACACCCCATGATGTACTTTGGGTTGATAGTCATTCAGTTACCCAGTGAGTTTCATTACTAAGGAGCAGAGAGATACTGGGCATGTCACATCCATTTTGAATCTCCACACTGCACTGTGTGCACAATGCAGGAACTATGCTTTTAGCTTCCTTTTATATTAACCTGTGGGCTTAACAGACAGCACAAGAAACATCAGCCACATGTCACATAAGCACATATTCCAATTTCTAGAATACTTGTGGCTGGTACATATTTAAAAGTGCTGCGCAGACATAAACAGGGATCTGCAAATTTTGACCAGCCTTCTTAGCCAAGCAAATATCTCTGGTTGCTAGGTCACTCCTCCTCCCCAAGGAGCAGGATCTTGCCCGTGACTTCATGCTATGCCTTTGAAACCTTGTGCAATGAAAGACAATGTCCTGTTCCACTCACTTGGTCGAAAGGCTGGGATTGTCACCCTCGGGGTCCCTTCCAACTGTGCAATTTCATGATTCTATAAGAGCAGAACTGCCAAATACTAAAAACACAATCACTTGTTCTCAAAGGATTCTTATCCCCTGCTATCTCTTACTGGCTGCCTCACAAACAACAGATTTCTCACAAGCAATTACAGTTTCCCAGTTTTAGCACACTTACCTGAAACACAGTCAACAACTACAAGAGCACCATCAGTGACACGAAGTGCTGCTGTGACTTCAGAGGAGAAATCCACATGCCCAGGGGAGTCGATTAAATTAATGAGAAAGCCAGAGCCATCTTTGGATTGTTTGATGAAGGCTAAATCATTTTCTGAGAGCTCGTAGTAGAGAGAAATGGCCCTACAAAAGAGGTGGTGGGTTTCCCCAAAATCTATTTACATTTATGCATAATTTCAATAAACACCACAGCTGGGGGTTGAGGCACTTTGACCTTGAGGCATTGAGGCTTGAGGTATGTCCCAAGAAGGGGAAACTTGGAGGCAGTTGTACAGATGGTGTTGGATTCCAACTTGCATCAGCCACAAACAAGCGTGGCTAATGGCCAGGGTTGATGGAACTGGAAGTCCAGTTTTAAGAACTATGTTGAATTCCTCATCCTGCCCTACATGCCTTAAGACTAGCTAAGGAGGCATTGCATAGGGTCCCTGCATTTGTGGAAGTGCAGGTAGCAGAGACTAGATCTGTCTCTGTGATGGTTGCATCCCCTCATTGGATTCCTTCCTTTGGAGAGCTGCATCTGGTCAACTCTCTTGAGAGTTTTCAGAGGGCAATGAAAGCATTCAGTTTCCTGGCACAGCCAACGGGATATTGGTTTTATGTTTTTAACGTCTTTGTTTTCAGCTGCTTATGAATGAGATTTAAAAACTCATTCCAGTGTTAATTTTGGAAAAATATTAAGGCTGCCGCAAGAACAACATCCTGGAGATGTGGGATATAAATATTAATTAGGGCCAAATTAAACCAAGTACAGTGGAACCTCGTGTTACGGACGGGATCCGTTCTGGAGGCCCATCCGTATCACGGAACTGATGCAAGCCGAAGTGCTGTGTCTGTGCACATGCGCGAAGCACGATTCAGCGCTTATGCGCATGCGGCGAAACCCAGAAGTAACCCGTTCCGGTACTTCCAGATTGCTGTAGGACGCAACACGAAAACACATAACCTGAAGCGGACGCAACATGAGGTATGACTGTATACTGAAATTGCTGAGTTGAAGCGGGGGGTACATTGGATAACATATAGATTCAAGGTCAATACAATGAGCCTGAAACTGTAGCCTTCATTTTTCCTATACATTACATACATGTAATTCAGTGCCAAAATCATTATGATTTGTATCAGTAACTCTGGCCCCTTATGTTTATGGTGTGTGTGTGTGTGTGTGTGTGTGTGTGTGTGAATACTAAGGATCACACTCCACACATCTTCTGCCACAATAAACCTGTCAATCTTTAAGCTGCCACAAGACTCCTCATGGTATTTGTTTTAACAGGAAGGCAAGGAATCCAACCCTTCTGTAGTTTCTTGATTTTTTTGTTTTTAATAAGAGCAATAATAAGAAAACCCCAGCAACCGTCATTTCAATGTGCACAATTAAATGAGTTAAGAGGAAAACCACTGAACTAGACCCAGTTTAAGCCCATTGTCTTCAAACACACAATTTGCAAATGGCTTGTGTTTTACTGCCAAAGCCATTATGCCCAATGTGAGCAATACTCACGTAGACTTGATTGTGATGCATCTTTCCTGCTCATCTTTCCGTGTGTCAGTAAATCGTGTTTCGCCAGCTCTGGCTGAAGCTATGATACCTGCTTTACACACCAATGAATCTGTAAGCGTGGACTTGCCATGGTCAACATGAGCAATCACAGACATATTCCTGATGTTGGACTTTTTGTCCATGATCGCACGGATCTGGTCTATTGTGAAATTCACCTGAGCGGGAAAAGGAAAGAAAGAAAACAAAACTAAGCCTTTCCTCCTACAAAGACAGAAAACACATGCTACCGAATTAACAGCAGAGGACAAAGGGGAAGTTTAAGTGCCTTGACTTGTCCTCTACACTGAGCAGAGCTACTAGGATCAGAGGGCAGCCACAGAGGACCAAAAAAGGTGCCCAAGTGACTTTGCTCTTTTCTCTGTTATGAGCATGGTAGGGCAGGCAACAATCCGTATGTATGGTAGTGAGTCGCAGGGGTTGGAACAGCAGCCTGGGGTTTTTCCCCCCAGACAAAGACCTACATTGAAGTCCAGCTTTGCTGCACAGGACATACTTTTCCTTTCTCATTTTTTTCCTAAATCGACAGACCCTTCTTTCTGTTCTGATGCTTCTGGGAAACGTTTGGGGCCTGCTGAGTCCTAGGGGTAGTATACCTCCCACAAAACTGGAAAACAGAATTGCAAGATGTTACAAAGGATAAAACGAGCCTGTGCCCTGACAGTGGTCTTCACCATGGTTGGCTGAGCACCATACAACTAGTTAGAAGCAAGAAGGAAGGATGAAGCAGTATGGGGACTTCGCGTTACAGCCTTTGGACAGTGCCCCCTTGCCCAGTTTGCTGTCTTGGCTAGTAGCAGTCCCTTTGAGGACTGGCAAGCTTGCCCATACCAAATGGCTTGTCAGAATCAGGTGTGCCAAATCAGCATATTTGGCTTTTTTAAAAAAAACAACCATATGGGAATGTCCCATAATAAAGTCCTGCTAGGAAGCTGTTTTACTAGAAATGAGGAAAATCCTTGGTTATGGCCTCCCAATAAAGATTCTGAAATGGTAGTCTTCCTATTAATGGCAGCTAGGATGAGAATTTGCCCCAACTGAAAAAAACCTAAACCACATTTTAAGGTGTGGAAAATGGGCTATATGGTCAAATGATGAACTTAAGAGGAAGAGAAGGCAGATAGAAAGATAGTAAGTTTGTAGAAAATTGGAGGTGGTTTGTTTTTACTGGAATAACAAAACACAAAATTTGATCAATTGGGAATATATATATATATATATATATATATATATATGACAAAAAAACTTTTCATTTGGATATGTGATTAGTGTTACTGTTGTGTTTAGCATACAGTTGTTTATTGTTTATATTATTCAATGCACATTCAATTCGAAACCCAAAAAGAAACCAAAAATCCTCTTGTCTGGAAGAACCCTAACAAATGACGAAGGAATAAACACAACTAAAGTTCATTTGAAGGGTAAACCTTTCCAGACAAAACACCTGGCAAGTCTTGGTGTTGTTTACTGGCTGCAATCCTAAGAACACGTACCTGGAACTCCCATTGAACTCACTGGGATTTCCTTAAAGACACACACAGGATCTGGCTGCATAAGCATAATCCAGAAATGTCTGTAGGCCAGGTCACCTCAGCCATGACAACTATATGCCTCAAGGAAGCAACTTGCTCTCAGACACATCTCCCTTCCCTATCAGAGATCAGGCTGGCTTACCTTAAATGATGTGCTTTGAAGCCCTTTAATGCATTATACCAGGAATACCCAAGGTGGTGCTCTCCAGATCAAGTGAACTACAACTCCCATCACTCCCAGTCAGAATGGTCAGCAGCCCAGGTTGATGGGAGTTATAGTACAAAATGTTTTATATTCTTTTCTAGAGGGTACCACACTGGCTATTCCTGCCCTATACAACGAAGGAGTGCAGTCCTACAGTCTCCCCGCCAATGACGAAAGCTGAATCGCGGTTCTGTTTCCTTAAATATGCTTGCTACATTCTGCTGCTATTTTAAGCCACGGGGAGGGGGGGTAGGATGAAAGGGAAGAAAGCCAAATAAATAAATAAAAGCACCCCTGAAAACCCATTCTTGCAGTGCCAGCTGCAATATGTGGGTACCCACCTGGAAGACACAGCTGATCTTCCCAGGGCACCTTACGGAATGAACACAAAACAGCAGTGATGAACGGCATTTGTTTTTTTAAAAAAACAGTCTTTTCCTTTCATTATCTCAGATTCTGCCACTCCTTAAAACTGCCTCGCGCGCTGTTTCACTGCATTCTGGGGCACCAAAAACCACCGCAATGAATATGCAGCACAGTTCTCTATCACGCACACAGGGAAGAAGTGTGTGTATACAAACACACACTCACACACACAGAGTCCCTTGCTACCTGAACAATGGAGCCAGGGAGAAAAACATTTCCAAGGAGAAAGCACAGGGCGCCCAGATCTCCAAACAAACATACCCACTTCTCCTTTCCTGTGGCTGTCAAAAAATAAATAAATGACCAGGACATGAAAATGTAAATAAACCTCCTTTCTTGCTGCTGACAAAAAATGACCCAAACAAAATAAGGTAAATAAACCACCTTTCATTATATGGGCAGATATAAATAAGCAGGCATGAGGCGGGAGACCCTTCAACCTCTTCCCATTATAAAAGAAAACCTTTATTATTGGTATTATTAATGTTATATACCAGAACGTGAGAGCGAAGGAAGATCCTCTTTAAAGGGCATAACAGGACAGTTACACAATAGACCTCAGGCTCTCAGCAAGAGGTGTGTGTGACAAATATTATTATTATTATTATTATTATTATTATTGCAAGTTTTGGGATTCTGCATAAATTCCACCTGAGCCAAGGCTCTTGCAAACATAGATCATCTCAACCAGCTTTTAGGGCATCCCCGTCTTTATACATTCACCCCCCACCTCCAGAATAAAAAATTACCCCCGGGTAAGCTCCTAAATTCGCATTATGGGCTATAGAGGAGGTGGGGGGGAGGCGAGAGAAGCCACCCCAATAAAGCCTCCATTCGGCTTGCGAAATATAAGGAGGTCCTACGTGGCTCCTTTTCTGCCCCCCGCCTAACCCAGCGCCCCCTTTCTCCCCACCGGCATCAACCCAGCAGGTGCGCCCTGAGGGGGGGCTTGAGAATGGCGTCACCCCCCCCTCCCCTCGCGAGCAGCTGCCCTTAAAAGAAAATGGTCGCCGCTGGTGCGGTGGGGACGGGGGGGGGGGCGGTGGGAAGAAGGGCCCGTGGCGGGGACGGAGGGCGCCCGCGTCGCGAAACGGAGCCTGAGGGACGTCCCCGGGCCTCCCCGCTCCGGGTATCGAGCCTTCCCCTCCCGGGAACCGCTCACCATTTCGGCGGATGGCTCCGGATAGTCCCGCTCCCTCCTCCCCCGTCCAAGAATCGCCGCCGCCGCCTCAGCCGAAGACGGTGGTGGGCTGGGGGGGTGAGAAAAGCACAGACTCCTAGAACGGACCCTCCGAGCGGGGCGGCCTTCTTGCCTGCGAAGCGGCGTCTATGACCCGCAGCCTCTCACGCTCGGTTCTGTGAGGGAGGGGCAGCCGGCGTTGCCATGGCGCCGGAGCAGCGCAGTCCTCCAGGGCCTTGTTTTCTTCCCTCGCAAAGCCCACCACCCTTTTTCCCGTGGGCATCTTTGCTTAGACTTCAGCCCTAACTTGTCAATGCACGCTCCCCACCATCACTGTGCACGTGAAAGCAGGTGCACACCATGGCGTGCGTTGAAGCAAGTGATGTTTAGGACATAGGAAGCTCCCTGTTAATGACTGTTCATAGCATCGTAGAATTGTAAAGTTGCAAGGGACCCTGAGGGTCATCTAGTCCAACCCCCTGCCATGCTGGAATCTTTTGCCCACAAGGGGTCTCAAACCCATGACCTTGATATTAAGAGTCTTGCCTTCTGCTGGCTGAGCTACCCCAGCAGAACCGCAGAACATAGCTGTCAACTTTTCCCTTTTCTTGCGAGGAATCCTATTCGGAATAAGGGAATTTCCCTTAAAAAAAGGTAAACGTTGACAGCTATGCCATAGAATTGTAAGAGTTTGGAAGGGACCCTGAGGATCATCTAGCTCAACCCCGTGCAATGCAGGAATCTCAACTAGATCATGCACAACAGATGGCTAGCCAACCTCTGCTTAAAAACTTTCAAGGAAGGGGAGCCCACAACCTCCCAAGGGAGACCGTTCCACTGTCAAACTGCTGTTACTGTCAGAAAGCTTTTTCTTGTTGCTTAGTCCAAATCTCCTTTCTTGTAACTTGAAGCTATTGGTTCGAATCCTACCCTCCGGAGCAGGAGAAACCAAGCTTGCTTCATCTTCCATGGAACACTGCTTTAGGTATTTGAAGACGGCTATCGTATTTCCACTTTTCCAGACTAAACATAACCCAGTGCTTTTTTTTCTGAGGGTAATCAAGTGTACGCTGTACCAGCACCGTTTTTTCTAGAAGAAAAGCCCTGAACATACCCTCTACCGTTCCTTGTAAGGCCCGGTTTCCAGACCTTTAAACATCTTAGTCACCATCCGCTCTGCACGTGTTCCAGCTTGTCAATACCCTTCTTACATTGTGGTGCCCAGAACTGGACACAGGACTCCAGGTGGGGTCTTACCAAGGCAGAACAGAGTGGTACCATGACTTCCCTTGACTTGGACGCTGTATTTCTGTTGCCAGGCAAAAGCATTCCTCTTCTCCCAGGTCTTGGGCTAATTAAACAATCTATGGTCTTTTAAACTTTGGGGAGAGTTGTTATTTTTTTGTTACGGTTGCATGCCGCCCCAACCTTTTGCGTGGTGCAAGATTCCAGCAATTCCAAGCAGTCATTCAGGGTTTGTGTTTCCTTTCATAGAATCATAGAGTTGGAAGAGACCACAAGGGCCATTGAGTCCAACCCCCTGCCAAGCAGGAAACACCATCAGAGCACTCCTGACATATGGTTGTCAAGCCTCTGCTTAAAGACCTCCAAAGAAGGAGACTCCACCACACTCCTTGGCAGCAAATTCCGCTGTCGAACAGCTCTTACTGTCAGGAATGAGGCACAGTGGAGACTTGGGTGTCTTTATGATATATAGTTTATTTACACATATCTATAACCTGAGCCTTTGATGGAGGGGTTCACAGCACTAACACCCTAAAAGGGTCTTGCTTAACCCATAGCCACAACCTTGGCTTCAAATAGAGATCAGGGATTGCTCTCCCCCTCACAGGCTTCAGCTTGCTGCTTCTCGAATTTCTAGCTTTCACACACCCAACTCAGATCTGGCCTAATTTCAACTGGTGGATTGGACTCAGAAGGTACCAGGTGATTGTCAGGAATTATTATCATGATTTCATCTAGGACTTGCTTCCTAAGACACACCTCCAAGTGATTTCACAATGCAGTGAAAACATACACGAAACAATTCCATATATAAAAACAAACTCGGATCCCACACAGGTAGAAGCAGGGATGAAAATACCCACTTAAAAGGCTTGTTGAAAGAGAAGAGTCTTGAACCAGTGGCAAAAAGACTGTAGAGACTTGCAAAACACTATGCAAAACTGGGGTACTTGATGGCCCCTAGTCATGGGAAGTTTTTGAGATAAGTATCTGACCCAAGGGCTGGATCCAGTTCCCCATCTCTGCTGTAGTTGTTGGACATCTGTGGAGAGCAAAAGGAGACTCAGGCTGCATTTACACCATAGATTTCAAGCACCCACCCACCCAAGAATTCTGGAAACTAGTTTGTGTTCACATCTTCAGAGACATCAACTAGCCATGATCAGCAACTGGAAGGGAAGGCATGCTTGCTGGACCTGGATGTTTGATACTTCTTTCCCAGTGACAATTGGGTGCCTAATACTTCCCCCACCCCAGTGGCAATAACAAAGATGTTGCAGGAATTTATATATAGTTTGGGGGGAGGTTGCCCCTCCAGCAGATATCATGCACATGCAGCCCACTACCAAAATCAGCACAATCACTTTTGTGACTTTTGTGATTTGTCCCCACAAAACACTTCATCGCGGTTTCTTCCTATCTATTCAAAGGGCCTCTGCTGTACAATACCAAATGTAACAATTCACCAATAAATGTATCTATGTACTGGCTCACAGAGAAAACTTCAGAAATTCATATAGACATGTGAGCTCAGCTGCTCAGCAGCCCCTCTGCCTGAGTGATAATTCCTGGCATCCTGATACCTGAGTGCCAGACAGGTAGCCATTCCAGAAATAACAAACCCAGATGAAGACAAAAGGGTGTGATTCACTTGGCTGGGAAACAGGGAAATGTAAATATCTCTTTTGCTACATTTGATGGGTGTTTGGTGGAGGGCAAGGAGAACCATGGGGCAGGGTCCAGGATGCTCAGATTACTGCCACCAAACCTCCCCTTTCAGGATGTATTAGTGATGTAGTTTTGGGGAGGGGTGTAACATGGGGATTAGCAGCTAATAAAAGTTTGGGGGCTCTTTTGTTTGGGGCTTCCATCTTGTTCCACCTTGTGGCATGTGAGAGTCCTGTCCCGAAAGTCTTCAACAAAGACCAAGCCTACTGGCTGCTGTTTTGCTCTGGTATTCCTGGCTGGTGTCCTTGTTTTTTGTCCAAGGGAGCCCTCAGATTTCTCCGTTAACAAAGAGAACTAGCTTACCCAGGGGCTTCAGGAACACTGCGGCAATTTTAAAAGTCCCATGCATTCATTCTCTATGCGCTGCTTATGGACTGCAGAGGCAAATTCAGAGACAACCTTGCTTTGCGCTCAACTCTTGAAGCGTTTTTAAAGACAGCTGCGAAGCCAGCAGAGGGTGCACAAGGCACACCAGTCCTTTGATCTACTTTGATCTTGGAAAGTTTGTTTGCTGTATTTACATCACTGTCAACAGACCTGATAACTAAAGATGCAGTTGCCAGTCTAGCAGTGGATAAGTTCTGCAATGCCTATGCAAAAGCTAAGTGGGTTTTCCAGTCCCGCTGTTAGAGATACAACCCCAGTTGCTAACTCTGGACCCATATTTACTCCTGAAGTATTATGGGGGGCACCCCCACCCTCATAAATACATTGTTTCTGTGGTTTTTATTTTACAGTAATGCTACATTTTTGGCAGACTTTGATGGCAATCATGCAAAGCTGAGAGGCTTTTCATTTTTATTCTACTGGATCTGACTTTTATTCAGACTCCGTGGAAAAGCAAATGATCTATGTGTGTTTTCTATCTGCTGGGGAGCATGGCAACATGATGTTGGACAGTGGGGAGAGAAATAACAATAGGGCGTGAAGCCCACAATACTTCCCCCAAATTCTAAAAGTGCCCACAAGTCCCATTAAGTTTGGCAACCCCTTTCACTAACAGAAAACTGGATTCTATGAGTGCCAGACCTTGGCAAAAATGACACTATCCATGCACAAGTGAGAGGCATGCTCAGGGGAAACCCAAAGGTTTGCTGGTGTACAATTGTGGGGTTTTTTGTTTGTTTGTTACAGAGGGCTTTATGCGAGGCTCACTAGGCACAACATGTTGATTGTTGGGGTGTGTGGAATGGAATATCCAGGAAGGGGGCATGGCTGGCTGGCACCCAATCAGGAATACAGTGGTACCTTGGTTTAAGAACAGCTTAGTTTATGAACAACTTGGATTAAGAACACTGCAAACCCGGAAGTAGGTGTTTTGGTTTGCGAACTTTGCCTTGGAATAAGAACATGTTCCGCTTCCTGTTGAGTGTGTTCCATTTGTAAATTGAGTCCCCTGCTGCTATGGGAAAGCACGCCTTGGTTTAAGAATGCTTTGGTTTAAGAACGCACTTCTGGAACAGATTAAGTTCATAAACCAAGGTACCACTGTACTCCAAAAGGCAACATTTTGTTGCAGGTTCCAGTCATCACCGTCATTTGGTATTGGTATTTGCTGCCTCCAACAAACTATGGATTTGTCCAATCCTCTTTTAAAGTTGGTGGCATCCTAGCTTTTCATGCAGAAAATTGGTAGCTCGGACTTAAGCAAAACATTATTTAACCTGGATCTGCCATAGAATTATAGAGCTGGAAAGGACCCAAGGGTCATCTAGTCCAACCCCCGGAAATGCAAGAATCTTCACTAAAGCATCTGTGACAGATGGCTACCCACCCTCTGCTTAATGACACAACTCAGATCCCCCCCCCCCCGGTAAATAACAAACAAAAAAGAGAGCTTTGACTGGTGCCTTCGCCTCAGCCTCTCCATGGTTCGCTTGCATACTGAATCAACACAAGGGATCCTTTATTCCAGATCACAGCAGCCCTGTTCTAACATATTTTTTAATTAACATTCCGTGCAGGAATGCACTTTATTTCTTGTAAACAACTATACATCAAGAAGACCCAGAGTGACTAGCACTGGCCGTAGCTTTTCAGTTGCTGCTCAGGCAGCTGGCAGCTGTTCGTCTCCTCCTTCTGTTGGCCTTGTAGGAACACATGCTTTCAGACAGGGAAATGATCCACTGGATAACATGGCTGCATTTGCTCATCAACCATTAGATGTGCCTTTGGCCCCATCTCCACTATACGTTTAAAGCACTATGGTCCCACTTTAAATGTTCAAAATCAATAGGCAGGGAGTTCCGGAGTGTAGATGTGGCTCTTGTAATAGTGCCAATGCTCCAGATCTAAGCAAAACAGAATGACAGAGACCCTAAGCTGCAAACAAGTCTGTCATGTTAAGCTAGGGTTGGCACATCAGGAGAATCCCAAACCCTAAGATTTCAGGGCCCAAATCGGAGACCTAGGGGTGACCCCTGGTGATATCACAGAATTGACAGATGGCCATCCAACCTCTGAGACCACATAACACCAGTCTTGAAAGACCTACACTGGCTCCCAATATGTTTCTGAGCACAATTCAAAGTGTTGGTCCTGACCTTTAAAGCCCTAAACGGCCTCGGTCCAGTATACCTGAAGGAGCGTCTCCACCCCCATCGTTCTGCCCGGACACTGAGGTCCAGCCCCAAAGGCCTTCTGGCGCTTCCCTCACTGTGAGAAGCCAAGTTACAGGGAAGCAGCCAGAGGGCCTTCTCGGTAGTGGCACCCGTCCTGTGGAACGCCCTCCCACCAGATGTCAAAGAGAAAAACAACTGCCAGACTTTTAGAAGACATCTGAAGGCAGCCCTGTTTAGGGAAGCTTTTAATGTTTAACAGACTATTGTACAGTGGTACCTTGGGTTAAGTACTTAATTTGTTCTGGAGGTCCGTTCTTAACCTGAAACTGTTCTTAACCTGAAGCACCACTTTAGCTAATGGGGCCTCCTGCTGAAGCCGTGCCGCCGGAGCACGATTTCTGTTCTTATCCTGAAGCAAAGTTCTTAACCCGAGGTACTATTTCTGGGTTAGCAGAGTCTGTAACCTGAAGCATATGCAAACTGAAGTGTATGTAACCTGAGGTACCACTGTATTTTAATATTCTGTTGGGAGCCGCCCAGAGTGGGCGAGCCAGATGGGTGAGGTATAAATAAATAAATAAATAAATAAATAATAAAAATCTCCAAGGAAGGAGAGTCCACCACCTCCCGAGGGAGACCATTCCACAGTTGAACAGCTCTTACTGTCAGAAAGTTCTTCCTGATGTTGAGTCGGAATCTCCTTTCTTGTAACTTGAAGCCACTGGTTCGAGTCCTACCCTCTGAAGCAGGAGAAAACAAGCTTGCTCCATTTCCCAGATATTTGAAGGTGGCGATCATATCTCCTCTCAGTCTCCACTTCTCCATGCTAAACACACCCAGCTCCCTCAACTGTTCCTCATAAGGCTTGGTTTCCAGACCTCTGATCATCTTAGTCGCCCTCCTCTGCACCTGTTGCAGTTTCTAAATATCCTTCTTAAATTGTGGTGCCCAGAATTGGACGCAGTATTCCGGGTGTGGTCTGATCAAGGCAGAACAGAGTGGTACCATGTCATGTCATGGGGTCAACCCTGGTGATTCTTCCTCTGCACTCCCTCTCACCACTGAGCCTTGGAGATGGAGATCAGTTGGAAGCAGGAGGGATAACAGACTCCCCCCAGAGAGTCTATGCAATGATTGGCACCCGACTCCTGCTAGGCTGAAGTTTGCAAGATGCGCGCATAGTTCTCTCCCCCCCCCTTTTTTTAATGCACTCTCATCCACCTGGAGATTCAAGCCCTCACTGGAGGGGACAGGGCAAACCTTGAAATTTCAGGTCAGCCCTGGAGGTCTATGTGCTAAGCTTCCTTTGCTTGCAATTCCCCTGTTTCCACATTTCCCCTGCAATTCCAAGGGTCTCTTTCTAGATAGAATATATATAAAAATTATGTGCCAATACCAGGTGCACGGAAGGGAACATGCTAAAGTCTGCAGGGCTTGGGTTGATTTTTCCTCCAGGAACTCTTGTTAATTTGAAACACAAACAGCGCAATACATTTTCTTAATTAGGAACTAGCAATTAGCACTGGAGGAAATTGAGTCTTAATTGAGTTTTTGCCTGTGAAACTTTTAATAGGCTCTTAAAATGTGACACCTAGAAACTTTAATTTCCATTTTGGGCAGTAAATAGAGGTTACTCCTATTTTAGGCTCCACCAGCAACTCATTAACAAAAGGGAGTGTGTTCCTGCGCCCCAGAAGCTGTGTCGATGCAAAGTCATACCTTTGGCCTAGAAAGGATATTCCTTTAAAGAAATGGCTTTTTTTGTTGGGGAGGGAGGTAATACAACCATTCCATGGGATTATATTGTTACAAGTTTAGGTTGGTCATTCTGGAGGATGCCTTGAGTTTCCCTTCTAGTTCTACTGCTGCAAGCAATCTTTCCTTCAGCACAGGGATCAAGCAGTCTGCATATTTTACAAAGTGCTCTCAAAGTGATCAGCAGTTTTACAGGTCACAAAATCTTGCTTCGCCAGCCTATTTGGTACATTTGTTTTGTTTATTGAACACTCAGGGTGGGGGAGTGGAAGGGGAATGCCTGCCTGGCAAAATTCCACTGGAAGCTGGCACCTCCTGGTTCAATAAGTGCAAATTATCAGACCTTCCGCTTCTGTTAAACTGCACACACAAGAGGGAAGTTTTTATTCTTCAGCAAATGGCACATTGCTTATGAAGCAATCACTTCTGAGAGGAGCGGGTGAGCCTGGCCACTGTAGAAGCCTGTACAAGTTGAAAGTCACAATTTTGGGCACCCAGATGTTGGGGGAACCTTTGCACTTCTATCGTTGTTCCCAGAGCTGTATTGACATCCTTTTACTCAGGGGTCAGCAACCTAAGGCCCATGGGCCACAAGCAGCCCATGGGGGTCGTTTAACCGGCCCATGGACCCCCGCCGCCTGCTCAGTCAGCTCCCGTGCGCAGAGCAGAGCGGGGACCGCCTTCTGCAACACTGGCCGGCTTCCTATTGGCTGCAGGAAGCTTCTGCAGCCAATGGGAAGCTGCGCACGCCTCCTGAGAGCCAGTATGGTGTAGCGGTTAAGAGCAGTGGACTCGTAATCTGGTGAACCGGGTTCGCTTCCCCGCTCCTCCACATGCAGCTGCTGGGTGACCTTGGGCTAGTCACACTTCTCTGAAGTCTCTCGGCCTCCCTCACCTCACAGAGTGTTTGTTGTGGGGGAGGAAGGGTAAGGAGAAGGTTAGCCATTTTGAGACTCCTTCGGGTAGTGATAAAGCGGGGTATCAAATCCAAACTCCTCTTCTTCTTCCTCCGCGTTTGCACATGTGAGTGCATGTGCGCATGCACACTCTGGTCCACAGCAGCGTCTGCAGGACTATGAACTGGCCCAAGCCACAAAATCTTTGCCAACCTCTGCTTTTACTTATCCGCAAGAGCACCAGTCCTTTCACTCCTGCAGAATGGAAGGCTGTATTTTCTCTCTCTCTTTTACAGTGGTCCCTCGGGTTACATATCCTTCAGGTTACAGACTCCGCTAACCCAGAAATAGTACCTCAGGTTAAGAACTTTGCTTCAGGATGAGAACAGAAATCATGCTCCGGCGGCGCGGCGGCAGCAGCAGGAGTCCCCATTAGCTAAAGTGGTGCTTCAGGTTAAGAACAGTTTCAGGTTAAGAACGGACCTCCGGAATGAATTAAGTACTTAACCCAAGGTACCACTGTATAGCAAGAAAATGTTGTCAGAACAGCAGCTTGAAAGAAACCCCCCAGGGCACACCTGACACCAGGGGCAACAAACATGTGGGAGGGAGGGGCAGTGCTACTGTGACACCTCAGATGGAATCCTGTCTCCTTATATGTTGACCACACTTCAGCATGACCAAGAGACAGGTGGGGTTGTACACATCATTATGCACCATTCAAATCTCTTGAGTGGTGAGAGGTGTTATGTACTGAAGTTCTCACCCTGGGCCACAAGGGGGATACTGTAGATAGTTATGCAAATGAAGGATCGAAAGTGACGTTCAGTGATTGGATAGTTTTAGAAAGTTGTTACAGTAACGTGGTACTGGAGCTCTACATAAGCAGGTTGACTGAGCCCTTCAGTTCAGTTCTGTCCTGGCTTGTGAATAAACAGGAGCTGTTTGAAGAATCGCTGTGTTGTCTGATATGTTCACCCACAACTTAACAAGAGGCTCTGGGGGTTCCAAGCGTTCGGTTTCCATGGAATGAAGGTTAGCAGAGACTGTGATGTCTTTAGGGCATTTGGTTCTATTTACACATAAAGGCAACCTGGGCAGAGGATGGAGGGGCTCACGGCATTAACACCCCAACCGATCTTGCTTCGGCACTGAATGGATTTTATTATTTCGGTCACAGACCAGTTCCAGCCCACATACAATATCAAGGAAGTCATAAAACACGATAGGGATACATTTGAATTTGCAATTAGGTATAACAGGGACAATACAGATACAGCAACAGTTAAAAAATATATAAATTAAAACTTAGTCACTAACATATAACCTAAAATTATCATTTAAGGCCTTAATCATTATGATAGCACAGCTTGTTCTCTAAGTTTTATGGCAACTGTACAGAATTTGGCTACCCTTAATGTGATCTCTGGATCCTTGTCCTCTACCAGGGATTTTAGACATTGAAGTTCAGATTCATTTGGAGATTTTTGCATAGCAGGGATGATAAATGCCAAGCATATATCCCCATAGAAACAACAGCGTAACAAGGCATGAGAGACAGTTTCTACCTCCATCAAGCCGCAGGGGCAAACTCGTTCTGCGTATGGTTTACCCTTGAATCTGCCCTGCAATAAGGCAGATGGCAGCACGTTGAATCTAGCGAGGGTAAATGACCGTCTGTATTTAGGTGTTTGTAATTTTGACAAATAATTTGCTGGGGTAAATCCTCTCCCATTATCTTTTATTGCTGGGTGTTTACTGCTTCGGCATTGGTCATAGCTTGGGATCCAGCACAGGTCAAGTAGGTCTCTTGTGTCTCCAGCTTCCAAGCTGCTTCCTGCTCAGAGCTCTCACACACAGCTCTGCTTGTTGTTCTCTCACCTCACAGCTGGGTGAGGAGGGGCAGATGAAAGGCCCAAGCATTAGCCCTGAGGACACCAACACTTAGTTGTAGCTCTTGCAACCTAGCTTATTCTTTTGAGATGCTGATGAGGGTACTTAAGTGGCCAGCTAAGGCTTTTGTCTTACAAAGAGGCTTGACTGTCTAATCCTGCAACGGGTCACCTCCAGGCTTGATTATTGTAACTCACTCTACGTGGGGCTGCCCTTGAAGCTGACCCAGAAACTCCAGCGGGTGCAGAATGCCGCGACGAGACTCCTTACGGGGTCTTTGCTGCGGGATCACATTCATCCAGTGCTATACCAGCTGCATTGGCTCCCAGTGGAGTACAGGATCAGGTTCAAGGTGCTGCTTTTAACCTTTAAAGCCCTATACGGCCTAGGACCCTCGTACCTGTGGGACCGCCTCTCATGGTATACCCCACAGAGGACCTTACGGACTGAAAATAATAACATCTTGGAGATCCTGGGCCACAGGGAGGTTAGGCTGGCCTCGCTCTGCCACATGAGATCAGGGCCCTGCCGGATTTGACATCTTTCCGCAAGGCCTGCAAGATGGAGTTGTTCCGCCGGGCCTTTGGTCAGGGCTCAACCTGACCCCCCTTCTCTTTTTGTATAAGAACTAGTATGAAAGAGGCCTCCCGGGATATTCACAGGCCCATATAAGAACAGCCTAAACAGTTGGGTCTGATGAGCATTTACTGTTCCCAGCCCTAATCCTGCGGAAAGCCATCTAATAAGTTTTCAATTTGATCCTGACTTGTTTTTAGGAGGTAATTTAATTATTGTTTGATTTTATACCAATGTTATACAGTATATTTGATGTTAGCCGCCCTGAGCCCGGTTTTGGCTGGGTTACAAATAAAAGTTGTTTATTATTATTATTATTATTCCTTGGTTAGACTTTAACCTTTACTGGGTACAGGACTTCAAGAACTCAAAGGGTCGCAGGGCATCATCCAGACTGACTCGCCAGCCCATAACAATACTCTTATTGGAAGTGCTGAGAGCAGACGGAGGCACACTTTCTGCCCTATTCCTCGGCCCGCTAGCTTCCCTGCCTTCCTGCCTCTGCTATGACCAGCAATGACCCTATTTTTGCCCAGTAGCAAGCAACTGAGGAGGAAACTGAAAATCTGTCTCCCACTTTCTCTTCTCAGGTTCTCTTTCCTGCTTGCTTCTGGAGCGAAACGCCCACCCACAGACCTCTTAGCAAGTACAAATTGTGAGATATACGCTCTAATGGAATTTATGGGGAGTCGATTGAAAGAAGCATTTAATCCTTCAGCATTATGCTTT